CAGATAGCTCTAGGTACCCAAAGCAAAACCTGATTTGGAGATGCAGTGTCTCCTTGAGGATGACCACGATACTGGCAGCATACCGGTCTTGTGGGGGCAAAGGTACCAGTGAGCTTGATGATGGACCGTTCTCCATCCTGCAGCCTGCTGCTCCAGCATCCGCCATGGCTCAATATCCTGCAGCCTGCTGCTCCAGCATCCGCCATGGCTCAATATCCTGCAGCCTAGGTTATATATATGTTCTATTGTAGTCTCCCATCATTCAATGTGCACTTTTATGTATCGAACACGAACGAACGTGAGCTCTGAGGCTCTGTGGGCGCCATTCTGTTGCGGGGAGATCTCGGATCGGGGCGGATTTCGCATTGCACAAAATCATGATTTCGGTCGTACGAATCTCAGATGAAAACCAAGCCTCAAAGATCACGATAGTCCGGATCCCAAAATTTGCCAGATCTTGAGCTCCACAGTCTCATCCGTGCAGCTGTGTATGAGCTAGAAGATTTTTACCTGAGATAAGTCAGAAACGTCCTAGAAATGTACTATAAATTTGCCGTAAATGGTAATTTTAGAACCATTAAAAGTTTTCCTTGCCCGGACCTTTCCTCATTGCAAACATGAGGTAGGAATGATTTCTACATATGTTCTTTCAGATGTCCTGAATAGCGCCACAAAGTCTCCTGAAACATGAACTCTTTGCTGTACTGAAATGTAGCCATATTGAGTCATTTCAGGTTCATTTCAGGCTACACAAAATTTATCATTTTCCTGCACCGCAAATGGCTACGAAAGTGGTAGCAAATCTATCATTTTGGGACACCAGAAAGCCCCGGTTAAGTCTTCGAAAATGAAACAGTTTTGATGGCTTGACCAGGACATTTCAGGTGATCTGAAACCAGCTCATGCCCGTAGTGTTGGGGAGGATGGCAAAGCCAGGGCGCCTACAGCAACTCTAACCTGCTGTCGTCCCATCCCGCCGTCAGCTATATTTCATTCCTGAATTGCGCAGCACGTACGTTCGCTCTCCCTTACTACAGACTACTCCGCAACGAAGCTGCTGCAGAACATGCATGACGGTCGATGGCGAACAACGCACAGTGTATGCGACCGAGCAGTGGACCGGTCCAGGCGGAGAATCGTTGGGGAGGAATCGGGGCAGCAGGATCGGCTACGCGCGTTTATCTTATCTCTCTCCGCCAAATTCGTTTTCGATTCCCGGTCCCGGTACCGCAACAGACGACGACGAAGACGACTGTATCGACTTGCGCTCGAAAAATTCAAAGCTTTGCACGCATACCCGAGCTGTTCATGCCACCAGGTCGTGTGATATCGCAGTCAAATGCACCTATCCAGCTGCTCGAACTCCTCAGCATCTCCGAGTCGGGTGGAACGACGATGAAATACCAATACGGGTCTTCACGGATCGCAGGCTCTTCCTGACGTATGTCGTCTGAAAGTTCGTGCGTGATGTTGTGGTTTCATGTTTTTCTGGCTGTGCATCGCTGACCGAGTCTCGGACACAGCTGCACGGATGAGACTGAGGTGACAGTATCTGAGAGATATTGAAAATCACGCGGGCGTGATTTCGGTCATTCGGGAATCTGATCATTGAGCATTGGTTTTTGTCTGACCATGTCACACAAGTCTCAAGATACTCCGCATTCGAGAATCTGCCAATATTCTCTGCACCAATGAATCAGGAGTCTGTGTGCTAAGAATTCTGCGCCTAAGACTTGTGCAAACGAGTCTCTGTGCTCGCAGCACTGACTGCCGTCGTGAGATGACATGAAGCGTCGACAGCCTGAGCATGAGCCCGATGAGACCAGTGTGGCACTCACAGAAGATGGTTTTATTGAGCCACAATATAAGTACTACGAGATTCTAGCCTGCACACGGTCACCCAGACCTCACTAACGAGACCCCAGTCTTCAGAAGCGGTCGTCGGTATGGCTTCGACTGCACTGTCTGCGGAGAACTAGGCATGTCACTTCGGGAAGCTCTTCACCACGAAGCAAGCGCACGTCACACAAGACAAGTACGCGGGCTCAACGGCCGTGTTGAAAGTGATCTATTTGAACCTGTGCCCGCCCATGTCCCAGATGTGTCGAACGCGTCTCCGAGTCTGAACCGCGCCGATTCGCCCTTGCCGCCTTCATCTCCACCTGAGAGCTATTGACCCACCAATCACCTTCCAGCTCTATCTCTACACAGCACCTTTGGCACAGAGTTCACCTTATCAAGATCACCAGACGTACCATGCCAACCGCTTCGGCCGCATACACCAGTCGCTCTCGGAGACTTTGAGCTGCCCGGGGCTAATCAGACTGCGGCTTTCGACCAACTCCTAGAAGTGAACCCATTAGGCTCTGTCCATGGACCGCAGCTACCTAGTGACCCGCCCGACCAGATATTTGACAACTGGGCCGGCCGACTCGGGGCCTCGGGCAGTCAAGCCCACTTCATTCTCCTATGAGATCCCTACCGGCGCAAGCAGAAATGCGCCTTGCAGACCCAACACTCTCGGATAACCCGACGCCGAAGCAGACTCTGATTCGGAGACATGGGGTGAGCCGGCATTTAGCGATCTATTTCACGACGCCTCTCCGGATGATCTTCTCGGTGAGCTCGTGTTTCCGCCACCAAATCTTCTCCTAGCACTGATAACCTCTGACCAAATTCTAGCTGGAGAGCTCTAGGTGGTGGTTTCCTTGAGGACGACGGCGATAGCGTTCCGGCCCTGTCTATGAGGACCGAAGGTACCAGCGAGCTTGACGATGAGCTTTTCTCCGCCTCGTAGCCTGTTACTCCGGCATCTATTGCAGCTTACTACCCCAGTTGAGATCATACATATGTTCTAATGTAGTCTCCTGCCGTTGAGTGTGGACTTCTAAGTACGGAATGCAACTCGAACGGACGTGTGCTCTGCACTGGGTGGTAAGCGCGCTTTTTTCCGGCGTAAAATTGGCCAAAAACTGATTGAACAAGGCCCCAACTTTCTCCGGTTTTCACTTGAAAAGAACCGAAGGCAAAACTCAGTTTTCCGCCAGTTTTACTGTGTTTTAGACCATTTTGGCTGGTTTTGCACCAGTTTCTCCTCAGTTTGCATCGGCGTGGAATCGAGGAATAACGGGGCCTTGTTTAGCTGCTTTTCCCTGAGTTTTCTCAAGAAAAAAACTGCGCTTACCACCCTGTGCTGAGGCCTGAGGCTCGGTGGGCGCCAAACTGTGGTGTGGAGATCTCGGATCGGGTGTATTTCGCATTGGACAGAATCATGATTTCGGTCGGACGAATCTCAGACAAAAACCAACGCTCAAAGATCACGATACCCCGAATCACAAAATCCGCCAGATCTTGAGCCCCACAGTCTCATCCGTGCAGCTGTGGACAACCCCACAGCATGAACAGGCCCAGAGCTTCCGGCTTACGCAGTAACTATCGTAACATTGGGGAGACTCTCAGAAAGGGTCTCGCCAGCCGCAGCACTGTCAAGCATGACATGATTATTAGAGCCTGGCCCGCTTGTTTGTGATCGCGCCAGGGCCAGAACTGGCTGACAAGTTGTCAGCCTCGCCGTATGAAACGATGGTCGGATGCCTCTCGTACCTCCAGGAGTACCTTCCCTCTGGTCCCATTGCAGGACTACGCATTTCGACATGCTCTCTGTGCCATCGGCAATCCACCTGCAGTCCTCTATCGCGGCGCCAACGGCAATGTCTAAACGCGACGACGCGAGTCTGAGCGCGGGACAAGGCCTCCATTCGCATACGGACCCCCTCGACGGCTCGCTTGGCCCGTTCCTGGCCACTTGCGCCCTCATCTTCGTCGTTGTCCTCGCCGTCGCTTCCGTCTTCTGGGGCGTCCACCGCAGGACACGCCTGCGCATCCTGCCCCAGCAGACGTCTGACGTCCCCACCGCAGAGTCGCGTCTCTCGCTGCTCTCCGTCGACCCGGGCATGACGCTCCCACCGAACCGGCTCCGCATCCGCTCGCCAATCCAGCGCCTGCGTCTCCTGCGCGACTCTAGCAGCACCATCCCGCTGTGGCACAGCCCGCCGAAGACGGCGACACCTGGATTCGCCGTGCCCGACATCGTGCTCTCACGTCCCTCCCCGATGCCGCACTCGCCAGTCAGCCCTAGTCTTACTACGTTCGCTCCTCCGAGTACGATATCTGTCGACAGTCTGCGGGTGCCTGCGGCCAGATGTACCGCTGCGAAGCATTCGCCCAAGCCTACGCCTCCAGTCTCACTCGTCCCGCCGTCTGATGCCACCAGTCAGCCTCAGCCCCAGCCACAATTTCCTCTTCGTCCTAGGACTCAGCCACTTGCTGCGCACCAACCGCTCAAGCAGATCAAAGCTGGCAGTCCTGCAAAGAAGGCGTCGCCTGCGAAGAGTCCCAAGAGGGTGCGGAAGGCCGGGATCCTCGGAAAGGAGAACCAGCGTCCACAGGCGCAGACGAAGGCAAATCACACGCGGAAGATCTTTGGCTCAAGGTGAGCGTTCTAAAACTGGCTGCATTTATGCATGTAAAAGTTCTGACGAATGCACAAAGGGATGATACTTGGTCGCAGATTCTGTAGTTTGCATCTCGTCGGTGTCACTTGCTTCATGGCTTCTCTTGCTCGGCTTTCTCGAAGGGAAGGCTCTTTCGTCATTCTTGTTTCTCTGATCGAACTTGTGCTACGAAATGTGTCTTCAGTATTGCAATCCATGTCATGTTATGCCAGCACTGCTGACTGTGGGAGAAGGCAGCATGCACGAGTATTCTACTACTCCTCGCAAAAATGACCATACATATCTCAGTATCCACAAGAAACGGACAATTGAACGCCCACTCTCGGACTCAGAGATGTCAGTTGCTATTCGACTTGGAACAAGCAGCCGCTCTTATATGAGCGCATCTGAGTGCACGAATACACTGCTGTTATTATTAGCACTTTGGATAGTACAAGCAAATATATCCTGTCGTTATCATTGCGCTTTATCACTGCTCCTGCACAGAAAGCGCCTTCGCAAGCTCCTTCACCCTGCGCTCCCAGCCCGCGACCTCCGCAAGCCTCTCTTCGAGCGCCACAATCTCCCGATCGATGCCCATGCGCTCCTCGGCGGTGCCGACGCGGGCGAGTGTCCACGAGCCCTGTGAGTCACCGTTGATGGTGAGAAGCTGCATGTGGTACTTCATCAGCGAGGGTCTGCAAGAGACGGTTAGCCTTCGTTATATAAATAGGAAGGTAATGCTGACCGAAGGGAGATGGTGATGAGAGTAATGCCTAGCGACTTGGCGTGCTCGTACATCCGGCCTTCGACGTCGCTCGACACGGCACTTGTACATTCTACGGACAAGCGTCAGCATTCTCGATAGTGATTAACGTGTTCGGGAGGCTCACCATCAAGTACAGCAAATTTTGGCCCGTGGTAGAAGACACGAGCCATCCCCATCTATCCCAGAGTCAGGATCGTGCGACCATGAGATGGCGTAAGATCACTTACCCGCTGCTTCTCTCCACCACTCAAGACGTCCCGCCACTCCTTGCGGGTGCTCCAGCCGCCTTCGCGACCAGGGAGGTACGCAAGGTTGACAGCCGCAAGGATCTCCATGAGCTCTTCGTGTGTCCGCCCAGATTCGAGAAACTCGGGGTAGGAGTCAGGATAGATGATCCTGACGCGTAGTCAATCAATCCGACGTATAGCCTGAAGACAAAAGACACTTACTGGTCGAGCAACGTGCCTGCGACCATGTAGGACCGCTGCGGGACGACGAGCACGCCCTTCTTCCCCGAAGGCCGCCTGACCTCACCTCCACCCTGGGCAGTCCACAGCCCCGCGATAACTCTCGCGACAGCAGTCTTTCCGACGCCGTTGCTCCCCGTGATCATCAGATGCTCGCCCGCGCGTAGCGACAGCGACAGCTTGCGGACGAGGACAAGTGGGACGCCCGTCACAGAGTTCGCTGGGACGCTGACGTCGACTTCTGATAGTGCAACGACGTCGCCCTCGTCTGCGGGAGTCGGCAGGGGCTTGAGGGAGTGCAAGGTCGAGAGAAGGGTGTACAGGCGCGTGGTGAGGCCCGCAAGCTCGAGCAGGTCCTTATATGCGTACATGAGGCGACCACCTGCGTCGGCCAACGAAAGCAATAGTCGCCGTGAAGAGATGTACGCTATGATGACAGATGAGCATAGCAGCCGATCAGAGACAAAGGTAATAACGCACTCTCTGTGCGGTTGGCAACTTGGTCGTCAATGCTGCGTTCGCCTGATGCGCTGCCGGTCTGTATAGCGACGTTTCTTCGTCTTGTTAGCAAGACAGGGACTGCTATCAGGGCGTATCCAGCAGCACTCCAAAGGTACTTGATCACGTAGTCCTCCGTCCACTCGTAAGCTATGCGGATCTGACGTTACATACGACATATCAATAATTGATATTTGAATGAGAAAACAGTGATACGGACCTTGTAGATAGAATTGATATGCTTGACGAGACGTCGATACGCACGCCAGAGAATTTCTCGTTCTCTGGGCCCACCATTGTAGAACCTACAGAACGTCTCATGTGATGTCCGCATTGGAAATTGTTGCAACGACTTACGCGACCTCCTCGCTCTCACGTCCAACTCTGCCCATCCCGGCACGATACTCTCCCTCCAGTCTTGCTTCTACCGCAGCCAATCGGCCAAATGCTGGTGTAACCGCGCGGAGAATCTTGACGGTGGCGTAGTAGTTGAGGAAGAGCAGCAGCGTACCACGCACGCCTAACGTGCGCGACAGCTGTGAAGTGAAGAAGAACAGGTCAAGTGATGGCTTCAAGACGTTTCCGCTGGTTGGGTGTCAGTAGGATGCAGTATACGTATCGAGGTTGGCTCACTAGACTTGAGAGAACGCGTCACAAAACGCGGATATGTCGGACGTTATGTATTGGTCTACTCCATCAAGACCTCCTTCTTGTCCAACTCGGTAGTAACGGAGGTCGGGCGCGGAAGATAAGTACAGGTCATGGGTGTAACGTGTCAGTTTCGTGCGTAGGCGGAGGGACAGCTTTGCTTGGAGGTGATGAATCTGACGAGATCTCAGTTCCGACCAAGCTCCCCAGAAATGTACGACTCACCATGGTGTTTGTATACGTGCTCGGAACAGCGAGGATAAACCACAACCCAAGGCCCTTCAGGAAGCTCGTCCCATCCGCACTGACAATATCGCGCACCAGTCTTCCGTCGAGCTTTGCCACACCGACACTAAGTACTGTCCGCAAGACAAGGAAGGACGAGTGCATAAAGAGGATAAGAGACTCTTTTGAGTGCCATGAACGGAAAGCGATGCGGATAATGGCACGCAGTTGGCGTAGGAATGTCTTGTCCAAATTCGGCTTGTGAGTCGGGGGCGCGAGTGGAAAGCGCCGTGCATCTGCCTTCAATACTTCTGATGGCGTAGGGATTATCGGAACCTTGGTGTATAGATTAGAGATATGTGGCGGTGTCAGTGTGTGGATGGCGCACCTTGGATATCTGATGGCGATGTGGCACCAGCAAGACCTTGCTCCCGTCCGGCGCCCTCTCGTACACCTGCTGTAGCGCCCTCTCGAGTTCCTCCTGAGTCGCAATAGCTCTTGCATGCGTCCGCCCCAATATACTTGCTAGAGCCTCCTGTGGTAGTTGGAGCAGTCGACCTCTGAGGACGAGAAGTGCAAGAGTTGCGAGAACGATCGCGCTGCGCTGCGCGCGGGGTAGTCGCGACAGATTGTCCAGTGTCGCCCGCAGAGACATGACGGGATTAGCTTATATATCCAAGAACTATGCAGACGCGCTTAGGGGGCGGTGTGCATGACAGCCGGGGAGAATGTGTCAGAGAGAGAAGGGCGGAAGCGAGAACCGAACGCTTGCTCATCTGCGGCACATGTGATAACCAAAGCGATCTGATCTCACCGCCACAAAGCTGATCGCGATCACGCCTGGCGGGACTTACCGTCCTCGTCCTTGTCTCTCTGCATCCTGGTACATCCGCTAGTCAGAGGCTCATCCACTGTCTCATCGCTAAGAAGAACGCTGCGAAACTTATGTCTGCTGATGTTGGTCATATGCTCATCACTAAACGGTCTCTGCCTCATCATGTTGCCAGCCTGAGAATGCCTTCGAGGGGCTTCGGGATGAGCTAAACATCTCCGAGGACGAGTTTTCCGACAGTGTGCTGTTATCGACATATCCCTCAGACTGATGACAATACTAATAGTAGCGGTTTTAGGTTCCGTCTGAGATGTTGCAATCTCTACTTGTCAGAGCTATCCGAGCCAAAGATCCAGAGCAGACCTTGGGCCATTTCCGCGATGCGGTGAACGCATCACAACTCCTATACGAGATGGTGAGTACTTGACACCTTACTTGTATAACACTTAATTTCAATGTGTTACAGGATGTCGTCGCAGCCATTCCCATACTATTACCTTTATCCTATGCCACGGTCAATGGTCTTCTAGACATCATCTCCACCAGATGCAATGCCAAAGAACTGGTAGTCGCCGCGCAGGAATGCACAGAACGTCTCCAGGGTATTCACTGTTACTATAATGAGAGTGACGATGATACGGCCAATATAGAAGCCAGTCTAGGTAGACAAACTGAACGTCTTCTCAAGATCTACACGCAAGGTATCCCATACGTCTCACGGAATCTGTCGAATAGCTTAATAGTAATAATTTAGCCATACCTCGTCTCCGAAAAGGCAAACAAACATCCGAAGACATTCTGAAGCCTATTTTCTCCCAGCTCAACACTCTGCTGTCACACAATGCGCCGAACTACACTCCGCAAGACGCACAGGATATACTTCTACAGACAGCTGAACTCGTTCGGTTCGTAGCACCCTGGGCAGCGGATAGCCAGTTGGGTGACGCAGACCCGCCAACGGTAAGTCCTCATCCGAACCATTAAAGCTATCTTATTGAACCAGGGAAACAGGACATGTTTTACAAGTTGATCACACATTCCCTGGAGGTGTTCGCCAATCAGCTTGATGCGGGCATTGCACAGAGAGCTTTTGAGAAACAATATCCTCGCCTGATCATGCCGAACCAGGAAAGCTCTTCTGAGCTGACAGGCAGAGGGTGTGATATCGTGCACAACACATGGGTATGATGCCTAGCTCCAAGTCGCTGATCTTCGCTGAAGTCCGCGGGCATCAGGCCATTCTTCGCCAGATTGACATTAGCGAGAACCGCATTGTAATGTACCCCTCTATCGGCAACCTGATCCTGCTCGCCCACTCTTCAAACACGCCCACGCTCTCTACCCTCGAAACGTTCCTCCCCGTCATGCTGACGTCCATTCAGACAAACACCGCGCTTGCCGAGACCCTTGCCCTGCTCCTCAGCACCCTGGGCCCTCTCCACACCCAGATACCTCGCCCGACACTCTCGCCGGACATTGCTGTCCCGCTCGCGCACATCCTGCCGCACCTCGCCGCCGCGCACCCCGACGCGGACATGCGCCACATCAGCTTCCGCGTCCTCGGGCTCGTGCTCGCGCTGGCACCGGCGCTGCTGCAGTTGCAGCTCCTCGGCGACATGCTCGCAGACCCCGACACGCCGGCGCAGATGCACGTCTCGGGCGTGTCGCTCGTGAAGGAGGCCGTGCTCGAGGGGCTGTCGCGGGACGAGCCGAGCCCCTTCGCGTCGCCTGCGTTCATGGACGTGTTCTCGTCTCTCCTGTTCCGGCCGAACTTGCCTGAGGCGCGTGACATTGAGCAGAGTCTGCAGGAGTTCCTGGAGTCGCCGGAGCCGTCGCGGCTAGTCGAAGCCTTAGGACTGCTGTTTGTTCTTTTGCGGAGAGACGCCACGAATAGGGTACGGTTTTTGCTTCTCGTACACCTCTTGCTCTCGCGTTGACCAGGATGGCTGGTAGACTGGGGTACGGTCCTCAGACGCGCTTCGTATCATCCGCAGCGCGTTCCTCATGCCGATAAAAGAGCATTTGGAGGCTTGGGGCGAAGGTGAGCGCAGTTGCGCACCTACGTGATGCAATGAAACTGACACGCTGACAACCACCAACAGTCGATCTTGAAGAATCAGAAGAGGCGGGGATGCAAATGAGGATTCTAGAGATGTGGGTGCAAAGAGTATTAGATACAGTAAAAGGGATCGAGCAGGGGCTGTAATTCTAAAATAACGTGCTACTTTTGCGACAGCCCTTTCTGGTGTATGTCCGACGGAGCAGATGCAGTGCAAGATTAAACGGGTCGAAATGATGCCGGCCTATGGCCTCTACTCGGCTTTGACACGCTCCCTGAGGGTCTCTTCCAGTCTGCGCGCGAGCCCTTCGGTCAGCTGCAAGATGCCGTCGCTTGTGCAGAGGCGATAGGAGGGCATGGGCTGGTACGTCTCAGCGAGGATCTGGCCATCTCGTGTCAGCCTGGCCTCGGCGCGTCTCGCAAAGCAGGCACACGCACCTGGCCTTCCTCGACTCTCACTGAAGCGATGATATCGTCGGGGTCCCCTATCCGTCCGAGGGCTGGCACGTTCCGCATGTCTACAGCACTCAAAGGTCAGCGCGCAAGGGGTGAAAGCGGTGCGGGACAACAGGGTGATGTACCGTGTATGTGCATCCAGCCTTCCTGTGTCTGGATCGCCGCATTCTTTTGCACTTCGTCTGCACCGTCCCGAAGCGCGGACTGGATCGAGTCGTGGAGGACTTGCAAGAATTTCACTGTGTGGGCGGAGTGCCCGTCAGCGCTTTCGTTAGAGCACAGGACGTCTAGAGGCGACGCACCGTTCTCTCTAAAGTCGTTCAGCCCCGCCTCCTCCGCCTCGCCCGCAGCAGCAGCAGGGAGCCACCCGAGCACCGCACAGGAGTCCAGGCTCGGCGGGGCCTCGGCCACGAAGGACAGCGCGAACACGGGCGCGGCGTTCGGCGGGTGGAACAGGTGGTAGAAGAGCTCCGGCCGTTCCGGGTCTGCGAACGAAGTCTGCGGGGCGGTAGAGAGCGCGCGAGATAACGAGGGGCGCGAGAGGAGGTGTGCTGGCCGGTGTATTGGAGAGAGGCGAGGGTGCGAGCGAGCAAGGGGTTTTGAAGGTGCAGCTGGCGCGGCGCGTCCCAGGCGCGATGAGGCACCGAACCCGCGCCACGGATATCGCGAGGCGAGGGCAGGAGAAACGGAGCGAGAGAGTGGTAGCCTCAGCATGCTAAGTATGACGACCGGCGACCAAGCTTGTGTTGGGCGGTAGAGGAGACAACTTCAGGTGTCAGGAGGAAGTCGTGCCCCGCTGTTGCAAGACGCCGGTGATGAGCGAGCCGCAGGCCCGACGCCTTTCCTCAATTAGCATATGGCGCATCAATATGGGAAAACGGCTATCGGGCCGAAAGCTAACTTTCAACAGTTTCTGAACCATTTCTCAAAGCGAGCATTAAGGCAGATATAATTGCTTCGAGGTCAGAACACGTTCACGAGACGTATGTGCATAGTAACGAAATGATACCTGCACGTCTTGTTCTGATTGTCGCGACCGCATTAGCTGCGTCAAGGTTCAGTACGTTCAGTGTCCGACCAGGGCCCGTAAACTGCCCGAAGACCGAAGGGCGACGCGTTCTGATACGTGCACTCTTCGACGGAGCATAGTCATGCAATATCAAGGGTCCTTGATACTGACGCGTACAGAACAAGAGTAATGCCACCCTTCGCAGGCCGACGCAATCTGGGACTGGAGGATATCTGATGTATGGCCTATCTTAACGACACATTATAGTACAGGCTGTTTGTGTACAGTATCTCTGATCCCCAAGGGTCCCAGATACAACAATCAATGTTCGTATATGTCTAGAAGGTGACCTTCTTGACGATGTTCCAGAACTGCTTGCCCTGAAGGGTCGCAATCTCGAGCTCAAGCGCAGATGGAGAGCGCGAGCCGTCGGCGCCGGCGAAAGAGCCTGCGCCCCACGGGGAGCCGCCATGGGGCTCAGAGAGGTTCGAGAGCTGGGAGAAGGTGGTGCTGTAGCCGAGGGGCACAAATATAATGCCGTGGTGCGTGAGCGTGGAGATACTGTTGAGGATGGTGGACTCTGCGGCGAGGGTCAGCGTGCGTGCAAGCGGGAAAGGGGCAGCAATACGCACCCTGGCCTCCACCTGGCGTACCCGTGGAAACAAAGGCAGCGGCATACTTGCCGGCGAGAGCACCTGCCCCCCAGAGGCCGCCGGTCTGGTCCCAGAAGACCTGAAACGCAACATCAGCTCCGGAAGCTGTTAGTAGAGACAGAAACTCGCGCACCTTCCACTGAGCGGGGAAGTTACCATAACGAGTGGGGATACCAAAGATGAACGCGTCGTACTGGGTCAGCTGGTCGGCGTTCAGGACGGGGTAGTTTGGCTTGGCAGGGGCGTGCATCTTCGCGAGGACCTCGTCAGGGAGCGTCTCGGCAATCCTGAGAGAGCATGAGCAGAGGGTCGAAATAGGGAGCCAAGGATACGCACTGGAAGATGGTTGCGGAGCCGCCAGCCTGTTCAATGCCAGCCTTCTCGGCCTCGGCCACTGTACATAGAGGATCAGTGATAGGAGGGGGGAACACAGCTAGTAAACATACGCTTGGCGACGTGACCGTACATAGAGTAGATAATAATGGCGACTCTAGGGGAAGACATGTCTGTAGCTGGAGTGGTTTCGGTAGCTGGCGCAGGTGCGGATGCGGGTGCTGGAGCAGGTGTTGGTTCAGAAGCGGATGGAGGGGCTGTTGAGGGTTGAGCAACTGGAGGTTCCTGGGCTTTTATAGGCTCCGGCGCCGGCTGCCTAGGGTTATCGTCTGAGAGGTTATTTTTCTGTCGTTTGCTGGGGAAGCACATCCCGATCTGGTTTCAGGTGGTGTGTCTTGCAGGTGCAGAATGATGGGCAAACAGGATAAGGAAGGGGACAAGGCCTGACACAGGGTTCGGAAATCGAAATTTGCAAGGTGCCCGCCCCTTGTGTAATGTCCGTTACACTCCGTTTTATAAATCGATCGAGCGTCTGGTCCATTATGCAGCGAATGCTAGCGATGAGGGTGAGCATGATTTGACCGCAGAAGAGCGAGGGCGAGACCGGCTGGCTGGAGGCGTGGGAGTTGCACTGCTCTGAGTGGAACTGCCATTTGACGGGTCGCGCTGTCCCACGCTGCGCGCGCCCACATTCGGGCCACCGTATCACACGCTCTCACACGCTTGTTCTGATGTTCCTGGGCCACGACATCTCCGTGTAGCCTTTCTGGGCTGTTCCCTCCTGCGTTCGTCGAGACTACGCCATGTCTCACCATCGCCCTGCAGATCCGCCCAACAGCGCCCGCTTTGTCAATCGCTTACGCCATCCGCTTTACGTGGATCCATTTTGTGCCTAAGAATCCACGAGCACCGAATTCGGTGGTACGGGCACGAATTGTGATGAGCGGACAGAGATTATCTCATACACTGCTTAGCCAATCTAGACCACCAGGACCTAATATTCATGACAGGTAGCGTTCTCGAATGACCAAAGACCACTCAACAAGTTGTCAGCTCAGTGTTGCGAGCCACACATGGTTTGTATCGTCGTGACTTCTTAGACTTTCGGCGGTGCGTCCGCCAAATGTCCACATGAGAGATAACTTGAGTTCGTGAATGGCTTTGATAACATGACTATACACTACATACAAGTGCCTCCTAAACCTCATTGTGTTCCGTATCTTTCTCAGGGCAGTAATTAAAATTTACGTGTCTCAACTCAGTGTCGACCTATGATCGTATCAGCCGTACTACGAATGGTGTCAGCAAGTCACAGCCCACGCATCTCCGGATGTTTGCGCTTTCCGGCTCTGACGTCGAAAGCTGGTAAAATATCACCAGGACCACCATTTTCAACCATTTGTGCGAGTAAGCAATATGAAAATAAGTAAACGATTCCTTACTATTTGTTAGCCTCTATTCTCAACCTTGCCCCTTAGATACCTGCCCATACATTGCCTGTTAGTGACCTGCCTACAATTGTTTAGGTAGCATGAAAGCATTGTGCCAGCCACCTGTACTAGCGAGCCTGCAACGAAAACAGCTGCCGGGAGAAAATTAATCGCGTAGCGGACGCGAAGCCGTTTCTTGTTTACGTTGAGTAGCTGTGGACTCAAACAGCTGCAGGAAATGCCTTCCAGCGGTCGCGAGCGGGTTCTGAATTTTCACTGATTGTCTATTAATTGTTATTATTGTTATTTGTCACAATGTCTGATTTATGCTTAAACTGTTACGCTGGAAACAGCATGGATCATAATCTCCTAATGCATGTCTCCGGATGTACAGCGACGCGAACGTTACGCACATGACGCGACGACAACTGCCCTGTCCCGCGCGTCGGCCCAACTCGGTCGGCGATATTTTGTCAGGCAAGTATCGTAGATGGTCACAACGAGGCCATGGCCTACTCTCAAGACCAAACGGGGGACGCTCTGACCGGCTATTTACCTTCCGCGCTTCAGCTTACCGCCTAGCAACACCATGACCATCGAGTTCAAGGCAGTCACGTACGTGATCCAATGCCGTGCCGGTCCACATTCAATCTGTTAAGTGTGCATGCATTGCCTCTGCCGGAATTGAGCGATGATTAGACTAGCGGCTCTCTGACCTGGTCGACTCACAGCTACCACGCCGCGATGTCCAGTTTCCGGATAATATAATCCCCCACAACAGATGTAGCTTGTCGCTAGAGCCTGAGCAGAGCAGTGGTGGTGAGTGCATGCACGCATTCGTCGCTTCACTGGTGCAATGGGATGTCGGAATGATTACTTGTTGCGATTTCCGCCAGCCTTCTGAGCAAGCCATTGATGCGCTGCCCACCCCGGACCGATGATGTCATCCCGACACGTCCGCCCCGTCGTTTGCGACACCCGACCCCGCCGCTTAGCGCCGCTTCTGTTGTAAGCCAAGCACCATTCCAAACCGTATACAATGCGATTCTTTCCGGCCGGGATGTTGACACAGCAACACAGAACATGGAGAATGCGCGCTCGATAAACAAGAACACGCTGCATCAGGAAGCGTAGACGCACGATGGTGATTGGGTAGCGAACGGTCACGGGATGGCACACGAACGCGCTGCCCCTCGAATCCGAACCATCCTCGCTTCCCACGTTCATTGCCCTCGGTTGTTCTCCACGACCTCCCCCGACGACGACGACGACGACGGCGGCGGCGGCGGCAGAAAAGACGCGCGACACTTGATCACCTCGATATCCGAGCACCAGCAATCCCCGCTACGACGCCTCGCAAACCGCGGAAGCCGACATCCAATCGCGCGACTTGCACTTTGACAGCTTGCCGGAAACCTTCGCTAATTACCTGAGCTCCCGCTTTCTCATGGTGATCTGAACCCCTCGCTCATAACACGCCATGTCCGAGTACTCTGCAACACCACCCTCATCGCTACGTGGGCCTCGCTCACCGTTGTTTGGCACAGCCACGTTCACATCTGTTCGGCACTCACAATCGCCATTGTCATCCTCAAGGCACTCTTCTTCTTCTCAGTCTTGTATGTCTCGCCCTCGCTTGCGTCCGGTCGATTGAATGACACGCTCTTATAGACGAAGGCGGCTCATCGTATGACAGCGACGATGCTTCGACCGACCGCCACATGAGAAGAGTCAACTTGTCACCTACAGCCGATTCCGACTCATACACCTACTCCGAAGAAGAGTCCATGTATGACCGCGCGCAGGTCGAAACCGAACTTGGAGAACTCGACGATGAGATACAAGAGACCCTAGATATGTGGGGAAATTCCCCCGCAGGCTATCCATCTACTTCCGACAACATGCTGGACCGAGGAAGGCGCATTCTCAGCACGATCACTGAACAAACAGAAGATATCTCCTCGCGCCCCACCTCATTCGCGGCAGGTAATAGCCGACCAGCGACTCAGTACTCTACCTATCTGGGAGAGCCGTCTCGACGCTCTACTCATATACCTGTAGCGAATCCTTCCGTTCACATCCGTTCCTCGACGGAACCTTCCACTCAGCCCGCAACGCCTGGTCGTCCAGCCGTCAGCAACCTCATAGCCCAATATGAAGCCAAGGGGATCTCGCCAAGTCTCCCGGGGCACTCCAGGACAGCTTCCTCACCTGCACCGCTTGGGCCACGCTCGCCCAGCCCATATGCGGCTACGTCGTATATCCCAACTATGCCCTCTTTCTCCGCTACTGCCGTCGGCCTCGGCTATACCGCAGGTGGGCCTGCCTCGGCTTCCGGTCTGGCCAGCAGTTTCTATGGTTCGCGCTCTTCCTCTCCAACGAGGAGCAGAGCAGGCTCCGTAGTGTCTGGGCCGAGAGCGCCGAGCTCCGTCTCTGGAGACTCGAGGAGAACGCCTGGGACACATTCTCGTTCGCAGTCGGAAGTAAGCGGCTACAGCAGCACGCCCTCACACACTGCTAGCTCGACATTCACGGGCTTGACCGGCAGCGCTTCAGTCTCACCCACGGCCACCTCATCAGCTACGCCGACGGCTAACCCGTCGGTGGTCTCGTTACGGAGACCTCAAGACTCTCCCCGATCGCCTCTCGCTCAGGTGAAGAATGTGGTCTCGGCATTTAAGGCCAAGACTCCAGTGCTCCGCAAGGCCCAGCCAGCCTCACCATCACGTTCCGAGGGTCGTGCCAGGCGGAATCGCCGCTCGGTTACCCCCAGTATTGCGGGCACTCCTGAACGCGGACGCGGACCAGCTCGTCCTGATGCCAGCCCGAGTGTCACAGACGCTTCGCGCACGGAGGGCACACCGCTTCCTGCTGACCCAATTCCTCCTCCATTCGATGTTTCACAGCTTGGTGAGACGGGCGAGGTGAGTTGCCTTTTCTGGACGCGTTGATCGCTCGCGTTTCTTGCGTCTCGTCCTTCCGCGCCGTGACCAACGTTGACTTTGCTTTGTATCAGCCCCTCAATATTGGCTTGCTGTGGTATCTCAACGTACACGAATTGCCGCCTTACCGCTGGAGACGATGCCAAGCAGTTCTGTATCCGCACATGCTCGCCCTTACCTGGATCGTCCCTGGAGGACGACGAGGCACGATCATGCTTGACCTCCTCAACTGCGTCTCGGTTGGCACCGCACTCTCTCCTCAACACCCTCAAGCCTCCGACGACATTGGTGCGATCGCTGCAAGGGAACAAAGCAAGCAGTCCGGCGAAGAAGGCCTAATGGAGATGCTCTCGCCCTTCCATCTTATGTATGATGACGGCACCGAACGCTTGGGCACAGACTCTCCCAGAGAAAGATTGGCTTGGATCAACGCCATTCGGTATGCAGCTTGCTTTCGCGGTATCTGAAGACAGCACTGAAGTTGATGAATTCTTTAGGGATGCGTTGGATCGTCCGATCACTATTCCCGATCGATCCAGCACCCGGTCGCCACAAGGCTCCATCCGGACGATTGGCTCGATGCAAAGTGGTTCTTCGCGCGTGTCCGGGGCTGGTTCTGCGTCAACGACGTATATCTCGCCTTTGCACAGCGCAGATCTCGCTGAACTCGTGTCCCTCTCTGGGTCAAGCTCTTTGTCACGCCGGCCATCCGCTGCAGCAGGCCAATTGAGGGCGATAGACGACAATGCTGTGGACAATCAGACGTATCTGCCCCATGCTGATCCGCGTGTCATCCCGCCGAGTAGGATGAGCTCGCTCAGGCGAACGAGTTCTATGACCGACCTCAGTGAAGAGATCGACTCTGCTGTCCGGCGTGCGAGGGCTCGACACAGCCTAGGATTTGGCATAGGCTTGGCCACGCACCCAACGGGCGGCGACTCTCCTGTGACGATCTCTAGCGGCCCACGGCTCGGGAGTCCAGTGTCTTTCGCCTCACCCCCGAGATCGAGGTCGAGGCCCCGCGGGACAGAGACGTCAACGTCATTGTCGGATGACAATTTCTTCTCTGCGACAGGAACGACGCGGACGCCGACAACGAGCTGGTACTCTGCGTCGTCATCTGGCAAAGGCGTGGATATAGTGGAGATGCAGACGGGTAGTCTCACCACGGACGAGACCATTGAGCTGACTATGAGCCAAGGGCTCACGAGTACAACTTCGTATCTGGGTCCGCCGACACCGACTCATCCCATAGGGCCACGGACCGAACAAACATCACCCTCGGTCTCTCCGTCTCGCGGCTTGGCGCGGTCCAGGGGGGTGCGGCGGCGGACCGGTACCTTAAGCTCTCGCAGTGCAATTTCGTCCAACACGCAGGGCACCGAAGAGTCTTCTGACAAGGAGAACACGACGTCGTACTCGGGCTCTGGCTCTTACACGTACACCTCGGGAAGCTACCCCACTGATTTCAGCACGTTGCCGACACTCACAAGGACTACGGACTCGTACACAACTTCTGCAGGTTCAGAATTGACGCGAAGCGGGACACCGACACCGTCCGTTGCGTCATCTCATCCACCGAGTGCTGTAACTTCGGGGTCGGAGAGACAGCTGTCGACAGCGCAGTCGTCTGGGTCGTCGGTGTACGTCACTGCGAAGAGCCCCTCTGTGTCCCTGTCCTCGCTGCCGACGATCCCTTCAGAAACCGACTACATCACAGCCGAGGTTGGGTCCTCCATTCCTTCGGAGCATCCGAGCGACTTCATCACAGCGGACGTGTGTCGCACAGAGACAGAGACAGACTTCATCACTGCAGAGGTGTGCACTACACCGGCCGCGACCGAGTACATCACAGCGGAAGTCTGTCCTTCAGAGATATCCACCGATTACGAGACTGCACAGTGCCGTTGTCCGAGGCCTGTTGAGCCCGCGCCGACTCCTTTCCCATCCCCGACTCCGACCCCCGCCTCGATCGTGAGCCCGTCCCCCGCGCCGACTCCCGTGCCGAGCCATGTCCTGACTCCTGAACCGAGCGAGAGGGAAGTGTCGATCGAGGATCTGGAACCGACGCCGGAGATCGAGCCGGCGGAAATCAGCATGAAAAGCCCGTCTTATGTGCCATCAATACCTGAGGAGAGCGAGCCAGAGGAGAGTGAACTGTCGTATGTTGAGATTCAGCCGAAGGACATCCCGTTACCGCCGTCGACGTACAGCCCATCTCTCCCGTCGACCAGTCTACTATCAGATTTGGAGCTCACGCCGCCATCCGTGGATCAGAGAGTACCTTCACCGTCGACAATGGAGCCTCCGAGTGTGGAAGATATCTCATCAGTATCGATCTCCGGACCGTCGCCGCCCGGGTCGTCTTTACGGACGCCCCAGCTGCCCAGCACGCCGTCGACAGTCTCGAGTCCCACAGAGTCTTCGGTGACGCCGACCAGCTCGAGCGAGCCATCTTCGCTTACGGTGCCGTCCACGTTAGAGCAGCCGAGCATCTCGAGCCCGTCGATTCCTGAGTCGCTGTGGGGCGCTGAGACTGACAGGTCCTACGACTCCTCCGTCCTGCGCGCGTCGCTAACGGCACCCAGCATCGCCATCCATGAAGGCCTCGACACTTCGATTGAGACGTCTTTCATGCACCCGACGATGACACCGCAGTCGTCGCCGCCCATTTCGCTGCGCTCGCCGAGTTCGATGATGAGTCTCACGCCGTCGATATCCATCACTGAGTCGTCCATCTCTGCACCATCGCCCTCGTCACCCTCGTCACTCTTGTCACCCTCGTCGCTCTTGTCGCCCTCGTCGCTCTTGCCCACTACACCAACGCCGTCTGCGCCTCCGAGCGTGCCATCACCAACTCCAGAGCCGTCAGAGGTGTCATCATTTGGTGTCACGTCAACGTCCTATCGCGAACCGAGCCCGATCCTGCCGTCGCCAAGTCTCCCGCCCCTGCCTCCCTTGCCGCCGACGCCGCAGATCGTGCGGGACATGCCGCCGCCACCACGAGAGATCACACCAGCGCCAACGCCACGATTTGTCCAGCGCACGCCGACACCACGAACTATTCAACGGACGCCAACGCCGCGAACTATTCAGCGCACGCCAACGCCACGAGAGGTCGCATTGTCACCGACACCACGATCCATGACTCTAACTCTGACACCTCAAGTTACTCCACCGCTGATATTACGAGATATTCAGCCGTCACCGACGCCGACGGAGCAACCATCGCTATACACCTCTCCGCCCTCGTCGCCCTCGTCGTCGCCGCCACCAACGCCATCGCAGTCTGTGAGCGGTTTAGTTGGTATACTCTTTTGCGTTTTCGTATTGACACTTCGATGTAGCCGCTGATGATGGTCCCTATGCCGCCGTCGCGTACTCCGTCGACGCCCTCCGTATCCATGAGACTCAGTGTGTCGACTCCAAGAGGGACTACGCCGTCCATCCACTCGACCCTCGAAACCCTTCTGCCAGAACCAGAGCCTCCCATCATGCCCCGCAATGCAACAGTGGATGACATCGACCAGCTTATGAAGCTCCTTCAGGACGCTGAGAATGCCAGAGGATCAGACAGTGCGGATAGCCGTGCTCAAATTCAAGAGCTCCGTGACCTGTTGCACAATCTCATCGATGAGCTGCGGCAGCGCGAAGCGCCTCCTCCACCTGTGCCGGTGAAAGATGTCTCTGTTGGACGTAGCAGTGTTGTGAGCAGTAGTGAATTAGGATCACTGCCGCCGCTACTGCCGCCTGTAACCGTTGTCGCTCCCCAGCCGCGTCCTGCGTATCCGCCCCCGTTGGTTGAGATGAAAGAAATCGGGATATCGCCCGCCCCGCCTGAGCCGAAGCCAATCTATCTCAGTCCTCCTCGTCGCCGTGGAGCGTCACCCGAGACCCTCAGCGATTCTGCATCGTTCTTGTCTTCGCATCATTCGGATGACTGGAGTCTCATGGAGTCGGAGTCCTATCCTGCCTTGCCGCGCTCGCTATCGTGGTCGAGTTCCGAACCATCGTCGCCGGAGTCATCACCAAGCGAGTCAGACGTGTCTGTTCGCCCAAGAAGTGCCTTGAGTGTCGATCGTGGAGCGACTCCGAGCCCTATACCAAGCCCCACGTCAATGCCGATGCCCATACGGATGCCCGTACCAACAGTGCCCGTACCGATGCCTGTGCCACAACCTGCATCGCCTACTGGATCTACGGTGTCGAGCGCCACCGCGCGGCCGTTTGGTCTATCTGATATCAGGGAACTGTTGGACGCACTGAGACGTGAAGTCGACAACTTGGCAAATGGACAGAACGCAGCGAACAGGAAGCTGGATGAAGTCAGGCAACACCCCGCACCCAGTGCGCCCGACTATAGCGACCGTCTGGGCAGGATTGAAATGCTTCTCCATGATCTGTTGACTCGACCTGCGGCACCCGCTGTAGAACGAGTGGCGCCTCCACCACCTGAGCCTGCACCCCCAAGAGAGGAGTCTGAATATGAGAGCAGCGATGGATCGTCGATCTTCCGCCAGTTCCGCGACTTCCTTGACAGAAGCCGAGCAGACATCCCTCCAGTGCACATGCCGACTCCCCGTCACGCAGGCCCAACCCTAGACGAACGCCTGGCTGAGCTCGCTGCAAGTGAACCACCACCGGCAGCCGCTCCTGTGCAGCCTCCTCCTCCTCTGGTGCCACTGATATACCGTCCAGGTCCTCGTCTCGGTAGGCCCCGCAGTACCAGTCCGACATTTGATGTGGAATTGCCGGCTCGTCCTGGGACTGTGCCCATCCCTGAGCCTGTCTTCGTTGAGAGATCGCGAAGGACTCCTCGTGTACGACCCATGCCCCGGCCCCGACCTGCTCCTGCGTCCGTACCTCTTACGTCTGTACCACCGTCGGTATCTGAACCACCGGACCAAGGGCCAAGGGACTTTCGTATCCCTCCGGACGACAGGGCTCGAACTCCGGCGACGATGTTCGGCGCAGAAAGCACCGGACCGGACATCGATATGCTTCGGGAAGTGCAGCGGCGACGTGGAGGCGATGGGACTGCTAGATACGGTGTAAGTGCATATTTAGGAGGCAGCTTAGCCTGCTCACGAGTCTGCTTTGCAGCGCCCACCTTCGGCTCCTCCGGATCTTGGCCAGGAACCTCCCCGTCGACCGGGGCAGGCCTGGTATCAGACAGGTCAAGCAGTGCCACCGGTACGTTTCTTTGCTTGTTTCTTGATCGCCAGCATTGACACTTCGCCAGGGGGGACCTCTTCCTCCCGGTGTCCCACCGCCTGGAGACTTCGTTCCAGGAGGACCTCTTCCGCCTGGTGTTCCACCGCCTGGAGATTTCACTGTTCCTCCGGGCGCTGTCCCAACTGGTGCGCAGCCAGGGGTCCAACCTGTAAGCTCATGCGGTGGCCTGACATTCTACCCAGCTGATAGTAGTTTTCAGGCATTTGTGCTACCGCCTGGTGGTATTGAAGGCATAGTGGAGCTTCTTCGTGTAAGGCATACTCCTATGGCTTGGTGTTTGCGAGGCTTACTCCACACGCAGGACCAACGGGTCGCTCAGACTGCGTCGATCGACCAGCAACGCGAGATTATGAGGTACCTGCGAGCACTGAATGATTGGCTAGGTCGAGATGTTCAAGACCGACAATCGGAGATTCGCGCTGTAGCTGCTCGCGTAGACCAACTACGAGACCTATTATTGCAAGTGCTAAACACTCAAGGACAAGGTAGGCGTTCATTGAAAATGGCTGTGCAATTCTTCTGATAGACACCAACTCAAGGACCTGCGGCACCTGGTGTACCACCTGCACCTTCTGGTCCTCCTAGCCAGACGCCACAGACTTTTGTATTTCCTCCGGGGAGTGTACAGCCCGGTGGCCCCTCCCTGGTCCACCCTCCCGTTGTACCCATGCCCCAGCCGGAACAGCCTGTAATTCCTGGTGTCGTACCTGGCACACAACCGTTTCCTCTTGGCTTCATCCCGGACCTGCCGTATGGCAGACCGCCATTTCCTCCGTCAATGCCGACGCCAAGCCCCGGTTTCCCCCCTGTCATACCTGATCGTCCAGAATCCGTCCAGCGGCCCTCAGGCGTTCCGGTTGTACCAGGGTATATCGAAGAGGAAGGACCACATCGTCGCCGCCCTAGGCCGCAGGCCGAGTACTCGCCAGACGAGCCTGCAGTCGTCCCTACCCGACCCTCGCTATCTCCCACCCCCACCGGGTCCTCTGATCTATCGTACCTGAGCGATGGCAGACCAGCTCCAAGGCCTCCCCGAGGCCATGAACGACCAACGCGCTATGAAGGCGAGCGACCAGCGAGCTACGATGATGGGCGAACAGCGAGCTATGACGATGGGCGACCAGCAGGCTATGGGGATGGGCGGCCCGCGAGCTATGAGGGTGAAGGCGCGCCGCACTACATACCGCCTCCAGGTGAAAGGCCCCGTTATCCAATGCCAGATCCTACTCTCGTTCGTCTTCCAACTTCAGAACCAGGTAGCAGCTATGAGAGTCAGCCTTCTGAACATGAAATCCACATTCAGCTTCCGCCACCAGGAGAACGGTATTCTGAAGGCATCCCACCAGGTGGCGTCCCTCCAAGCGGTACCCAGCCGTTCATTATTTCTCCAGGGGGTGTTTCTCCGGGCTCTCCCCAGCCAATAATCATTCCTCCAAGTGGTGTTGCACAACCCTCGGGATCTGCTGGACCGCGTATCATCATTACTCCCCAGCAGCCCCAGGCTGCTCCTGGAGTTGGACCTGAAGGACCAGCGATCTATGTCCGGCCTCCTATGAGTGGTTCACCGTCACAGCCACCAGGAGGCTTCTCACCAGATGTCATCAGGCAACCTGAAAGAGCACCGTCAGGCCAAGCTCCCGTGACGGTGATCGTACAGCGATCTCCGCAACGCTCGCGTGAATATTCGCATTCACGTAGTCAATCTCCATCAATTGTGCGCTACCGCCCATCGGGGAGGACACGGTCCGACTACTCACATTCTCCTTCCCGCTCATCACGCAGGTCACCCCGCAGGTCGCCACGCAGGTCGCCACGAAGCTCACCACGAAGGTCCCCGCGAAGGTCACCATCCAGAATCGAATCGGCATATGAGGTTCCTCGGACGCCTCCTCAGGTGATCGTACAGCCTCCTCCGCCCGGTTTTCCGCAACCACACATTGTCCAGATACCTTCACAACCTCCGCCGGCACAGCCGAGTACTGTTCTTCCTGTTCCCCCGCCAACTGGCCCAGTGATCTTCCAGCGTAGTCGCGATAGTGGGCGGTACGGACGTTCAAGAAGCCGCTCAAGGGGTCGCTCAGGGAGTCGTTCTCCCACAACGTTTGTCGTACACACAGGGAGAACCCATTCTAGCCCTAGACACTCCGAGTACGACCCGCACAGAAGGCCTCACTCTTCTTCATACCACTCCGGAGTACCGCATCGAGGGTCGCGCAGTCCGCCGGTGATTCACGTGACATCGGGATCGGATAGACCGCCTGCTCCAATCATCGTTGAAAGCCGGCCGTCTGGACAATTTCCAACTGTAATTGCTCCCCATCGCACGCGGACGAGGTCAGGAAGATCGGGGTCGCCTCCCATAAGCTATGCTGATGATCCCCACCGAACGAGGTCTCCAATTCAGATAATTCAGCGTAGCCCGAGTCGAGCTCATTCGCCGCACACAATAGTTGTGCCTGATCCGTCTCATAGAGTCCCTCGTTCGCCCACTCACGTGTTGGTGACTAGTGCCACTCGCTCGCGAACTCCAAGCCCTCACAGGAGACTCCACAGAATTCACAGGACAGCATCCCGCACACCATCGCCGAGGTCTTCTAGACATGCACATGAGGAGGATCCTCGACATCGTAGAATTCACAGGACAACGTCCCGCACGCCATCGCCGAGGCCTTCTAGACATGCATATGAGGAGGATCCTCGACGTCGTAGAATTCACAGAACAGCATCCCGCACGCCATCGCCGAGGCCTTCTAGACATGTACATGAGGAGGATCCTCGACGTCATAGAATTCACAGAACTGCATCCCGCACATCATCACCGGGGCCTTCTAGACATGAATATGAGGAGGAGCCTCAGCGTCACAGAATCCACAGAACTGCATCCCACACACCGTCACCAAGGCCTTCCAGACATGCTTACGAGGAGGAACCTGGACGCCATTTGTCCAGAGCTCCTTCTTCTCGAGTGCATCGCGTCCGCAGATCGCCTTCCCGAGAGTACAGTGACGAGGATGAAGGTTCGCCGAGTAGACCTCGTCGCGTGCGTCGATCGCCGTCTAGGAGATATAGGTTAGTTGCAACACGATCAAGATAACTTCGGACTGACGTACATGCTATGCTAGGTCACCCTCGCCTGGGCGTCGACCCACTCGCTCGCCCATACCCGTGCATGGCTCCCGAAGACCCGGCGAGGCTGTGTATGTGGAAGGCGTTTCGCACCCGGGATCTCGTTCACCTACCTTGGTTGGACACCCTAGTGAAAGACGCCCCAGTGAACGCCCCCCCACTGAGCCTTACACCGTTCGAATCGGCTCTCGTCCCGAACGATCGTCTTCCGGTCGCAGTGAGATTCCGCACGTCGTAGTGAGAACCTCTCCCAGACGACCTACTTCTAGGTCTCCAGAAGATATCGGGGGACCTCATCGTCTGCGTCGCTCTCCCTCCAGCAGTCCGCTGCCTGTACGTTCACCTTCGAGAGTGACCGTCCATCGTACACATAGAACTCCTACGATCGTTCCGTTGGATGAACCAGAACCCATACGCGCTCATAGTCCGACAGAGCCGCATGTGGTACGCGTAGGCTCCCACCGAAGCAGACGACCAAGTGAAGGTAAGCACTATCACATTGGTAATGTATGATCTTGTCTGATCTCTCGTGTAGTCACGCAGTATGAATATCCGACACAGCATCCTACTCCTTACCAAGGTATGTTGAAAACACTGGACAAGCGCGATATTCAATACCAAAATGCTGATACAGTATTCTTAGGACCCATTGAAGACACTCGCCCGCCTAGTGAAGAACTGGAGAGGGCATTCAGTGGCTCACCAGATCGACCAAGTGGTAAGTATGCATGATTCGATGCGCTTAACACGCTAAATTCTGTATTGTATTCAGTTGTTCCGTCTCGTGGACCGCCCTCTCGTGGACCGCCTTCTCGTGGACCGCCTTCTCGTAGACCAGTTTCTCCCTCTACAGCCTATCGTGACGAACTCCGCCGAGCCCGCCCAGAAGATGCTCCCATTCCGTATGTTCCTTCTGTTCAGCCGACTGTCACCGAGATTCCTGAGCTTGAGCGGCCATTACACGAGCGTATGCATCGCACTGATGTGCCTTCGACATATACTGCTTCTCCCTCGCCTACGCAAACCCCACTGCCAGTCCCAGCTCCAGCTCCAGCCTTAGCTCCAGTGCCAACACCGACTTCATACCAACGCATTCCAATGCCGGAGCCGATTACCACCCTCTCACCTCAACGGGAACCTTCTCGTTCGCCACCTCATCCTCCGGTCACGGTTGTCCCGTCTGATTACTCGGGACCTAGAGATTTGGACGCTGCCGACAGAGAACGAGAGCGAGCAGAGCGCTTCAGCGACCTTGCTCGGAGGATGGCAGAGCAGCTCCATTCCGCTGAAGAAACAGAAGAAAATCGTGACCGCATCTTCCGTATGAACGAAGACGAACGAGAGCGTATTTTCCTAGACCACGAAGCTCATCGCGACCAAGAAGCGATGAACCGTAGAGATGAGATTTTGCGCGACGTTGAGGACCGGGTCGAGGAGCGGCTGGCTTCCATACCCCCTGCAGCCCCCCCTGTATCCATTCCGCCACCTTCAGAAGGTGCTCCTGGTATGCCTATTCCTGAATCAGCTTACGAGGAGCCTCTATCGGAAGAGGAGCCTCTGTCAGAAGAGGTTCATGAGGATATCCCCATCGTGCCACCTCCGAGACCACTGGAACAAGCACCTTCACCTCCAAGGACGCCAAGGACACCAGATTTCCCGGCGCAAGCGGAAGATATTGATATCGATGCTCGTACCATCGCTCAGAGTATACAATCCCAGGTGGCAGAAGCTACTTCGCGTTACTTACAGGAGATGCTGGACACTATCCGTACGGAGCGCACTGACCTTGAGGAAGCTCGGACCGAAGCCACGCGCATTCGCGAAGAGCTTGACGCCGAGCGTGAACGCCGGATTGCCGACGTGGAGGCACAGAATAACGCGCTAAAAGAGGAACTCGCCAGCCTCCGCGCCCATAACGATCAGCTCAAGAACGACCTGGAGCAGGAAAGGCAGTTACGCATAACTGAGGACACAGCGCGGCAGGAGACGGAACGTGACGAGTACAGAAGAAGAGCAGATGATCTGGCGACCCAGCTTTCCGACGTCACCAACATCGTCTCTGAGACTCGGGACGAATGTGCAAGGAAACGCGAAGTGTCTGACGAGCGATGGGCTCAGAAGGAAGTTTGGCACAACGATTGCAACTCCCAGATGGATGAGATGAAGCAGATGCTCCAAGGCTTCCAGCAGATGTTCCAAGACGAGCTGAGACAACGGCAAGCGGAGCGGGAAGCTGAAGCAGCGAAGCCGAGTGAGTGGGATTGTCCGCAAAACTGGTACTATCCGCTAACCGGTTTGATGTAGGCATTGAATCCATTGTCAACGAACTTCGAGATGAGAATGCCCAGCTACGTGAGCTTCTGCGCGAGCTCTCCGACGGTTTGTATTTTGAGAAGTAGCATCAAGCTCGCGGCTCACATTGTCATAGGATGGCGTGCGGAAACACGAAGACAACATGATGACCTCGTAGACGCAGTGAAAGCCACAGCTCAAGAGCAGGTTCCGTTCAATATCTCTGGGGTGAGTGCCATAACTCGGCCGCGGCGGACGACCATCTTAGCCATGCTTTCTAGTATTTGGACGAGTTCAGCAAGACGCTCGCAAAAGAAGTGAGACAGCTCCTCGCCGAGGTCGGCGAACTTGCCACCCAGAAGAGCAGCCTCCAGCAGTAAGCCCACGCAATGGCTTTATCACGTCAGATGTACTGACGACCATGACAGCGAGATTGTATACCTTATGGAATTCAGGCGCCGATATGATCAGGGCGGCATCTTCTGGTGCGCATATCTCATCTGAACTTCAGTCGTAGACCCTAAACTCGAGACATCGCAGGAGGAACATGCCCCTACCGACGGCCATGCCTGATGCACCAGCACCCGAAGCACCTCAGGAGCCGCCACCGGCTGTTCCGGAGCCCGAGGCTCCGCAATCTGCACCTTCAGCCTGGCGACCAGTTCGTCAGCGGCGATTGAGGAGAGGTAGGGATAGCGGCCAACCTTCTGCTCCTGCCCAAGCACCGCCTCCACCGCCTCCTATGCCGTCTGCACCCGCGCTCTTGGATCCACGAGCGGACCCTCGCTTGGACCCCCGCTTCGGGACAGAGTCTTGGGCAACCTGGCATCGTAAGTATACATGATCGCTTCGAGTAGACTTGCGACTGATTCTGGACAATCTAGCTCGAGCAAGTATGCAGCCATCACCTGTCTCGTCGGGAGAACGACCAACCCCGGTTGTTGCTGCACCGCCTGTACCCCAAGAACCTCCCGGTCTTTTCGGCCCTCGCACGCCCCGCACTTCCTATCATGGCCACTAACGCTAATGTTGGTATTGAGAGACCTGCTGCAGTTGACGACATAATGATATCTCACGTTCTGACTTATGACTTGCTTACGAACATTAATATTATATTCAATATTGCTCTGCACGCTGTATCCTGTAGACCATCTCTTTATTTGCTGTATCTTGGAATCAATTGGGGTCTTTTCACTGCCCTGACTGATCACTGAGCGTACGCTCTACGTAGAACGGTCTCGCTATGTTATTGTCTGTCTAGCTGGCCGTCAAGCATGTGAGATCGGGAGCTAGCGGCCCCGCGTCTGATCCATAGTAAAGGCGCTAATGCGGGCTGTCACGCATAACATGAGTCACGGACGCCTATTTGCTCGCCGTGACGCAGGCCGACGCGTGTGCGCTGCAGCTCATACTCCCTTACCTCCTTCGTCATCCGCAGACTACGCCATGCCAGGCGAAATACGAACAGCGAAGCCTTCTGGGCTCAAATCCTACTATCAAGCGAAGATCGAGGCTGCTGAGCTCCTCATAAACCAGAAGACACAGAACCTGCGCCGTCTGGAGGCACAGCGGAATGCTCTGAACGCGCGAGGTATGTTTTATGCGTGCTGTATGTGTCCCGCCGCAATTTACCGATACAATTAGTGCGGCTACTCCGTGAGGAGCTCCAGCTGCTTCACGAACCGGGCAGCTATGTTGGGGAGGTCGTGAAGGCTATGGGCAAGAATAAGGTCCTCGTGAAGGTCCAGCCTGAGGGCAAATACAGTACGTGGTATCACGGCAAAGCGTGTCCCTCTTTGTTAACAGTGCACCAGTTGTTGACACTGACTCCGAGATCAATATCAACCTACTCACTCCATCCCTCCGCGTCGCTCTCCGTTCTGACACCTACACAATACACAAGATTCTGCCTAACAAGGTCGACCCGCTCGTATCGCTCATGATGGTCGAGAAGGTCCCAGATAGCACTTATGAAATGGTCGGCGGTCTCGACAAGCAGATTAAGGAGATTAAGGAGGTCATTGAGCTGCCCGTCAAGCACCCAGAACTCTTCGAATCGCTCGGTATCGCGCAGCCGAAGGGTGTACTCCTGTACGGCCCCCCTGGTACGGGAAAAACGCTGCTCGCACGTGCCGTTGCGCATCACACAGACTGCAAGTTCATCCGTGTCTCTGGTTCGGAACTTGTCCAGAAGTATATTGGTGAGGGCAGTCGGATGGTCCGTGAGCTCTTCGTCATGGCGCGAGAACATGCCCCAAGTATCATCTTCATGGACGAGATCGACTCCATTGGAAGCTCACGAGGAGAAAGCGGCTCGGGCGGCGGCGACTCTGAAGTACAACGGACGATGTTAGAGCTGCTTAACCAGCTTGACGGTTTCGAGCCGTCGAAGAATATCAAGGTCATCATGGCGACTAATCGGATAGGTCAGTTCACAGCTTCTCCTTACAGCTATTTACTGACTTGAGTGGGCAGACATCCTCGACTCCGCTCTTCTGCGACCTGGTCGTATTGACCGCAAGATCGAGTTTCCGCCACCGGGCCCGGAAGCGCGCGTGGCCATTCTTCGTATTCACTCGCGAAAGGTGAGCACGTCGTCTCCTCACGTCCTATGGTCGTGCTGAATTGGCTTAGATGTCCTTGCAACGCGGGATCAACCTTCGCGCTTTGGCAGAAAAGATGGGCCAATGTTCCGGTGCTGAAGTCCGAGGCATCTGTACGGAGGCTGGTATGTACGCATTGCGGGAGCGAAGGCAGCACGTCACACAAGAAGATTTCGAGTTTGCCGTTGCGAAGGTGCGATTGCTCGGTGTCTACCACGCTGTTATATTCACCATATATCTTGACAGGTCCTCAAGAAGAACCAAGAGGGCAATACCTCGGTCAACAAGCTGTTCTCGTAATGTAGGATCGTTCATTGTATTCGTAGATGATGCATATATTTTTGGCGCACGCTTTGTTTCTGTTGGAGACTTGCGACGTTCTCTTGCTGGATCAAAGCGTCCGCCATGGTTTAATTCCTGCTCAGCTGCGCTTCAACTCCACAACAAGTTTGTGGATCGCTTCCTTACGCGACCCCAACGTTCCGCTGGATTCGCTGACACACGGGTGCCTTCACAGCCCCCGGATGGGCGCAGGCGCTTGAAAACTTTTGACAGGTAAATGTGGAAATCCCGAGGCAGCCTCGAGGTTACAAGTGTGGACGACAATGCCTCGAGGCCAGATACGACCGCTCCCAGCCCACACAGGAGGCATATTTACGATTATTTGGACATCAGTAGCGTCTTCCAGAATATTGGATTCGTAGGATTTAAAAGATGGCAGCAGCCTGTTGAGTCGCCTCGCTCACTTTCCCCCTCCTCTTCGCGGTTTCTCTAGTTCCACGATGGGGCCTCTCTGCCCGAATCTCCTTGCGACAGGCGCATGCACGGATACTTCATGCGCCAAGCGACATGATGTCTACGTCTGCGCAGACTGTGGGGTATGCGCCACCAGCGAGAAGATGAAGAACGCACACGTGAACGGCGCTCGGCATCGTAAACGTATACAGGGCGGTTTTAAGCCAGTCCGCTGCCCTCTGTGCGAGACTCTGGTGCCCGGACCTGCAGGTTGGCGTCAGCATGTTGGCGGCAAGAAGCACAGCAAGGTCGCTCGCACGATGGGCGTCTCCGCCAATGTCGATCCCGAGGAGGCCGGCGGCGACGTACGCGGACACACATTCTGTAGCATCTGCGACATATACGTACGACAGGACCTCTGGTCACTTCATCCCCAGTCCAAGGTTCACCAGATAAGGATCAAGTTCGGCGCCATGCGCTCAGCCATGGCGGAAGCAGCGAAGGACAAACATGGCGTCGCAGTATCTGGCGCAGAGGTTGTTGACCTCGGTGTGCTGGACAGCGGCCTCGGAGAATCTCGCAAAGAAATTGTTCTCGATGTTCGTGCCACTGTCCCCACGTCATCTATCATGTTCCTAGAGGCCAAGCTCTCGCCGAGGCGGGTTCAACAGACGATACCGTGAGTTTGAAGTGGAGACTATGCATTACTTGCTTACTACATCTCGACTAGGTTCTCCGTTCGCACGGATGCCATCAACAAGAAGCTTATTTGTGGAAGGGTGGCGACTGTAGTCATCTCCTTTGCTCGCGAACACCTCGGTATCTATGAGGATAGAGTGGAGTTCGTCTTCGAGGACACCAACCTGAGGCAGAAGTTCCTCATCGCCCGACAAGTTCGCGCTGTCGTTGCTGCTCCTGGATATAACGACCTCCAGCCGAAGGCGCCCTTCGTACCCAAGAAGCGGGCTTCTCGGGACCGCGATGCTGACGTGGTTCCGGGAGATCCGCCTCCTGCTCTCGGCGCGATTCGCTACGTCGTACCCCTTCCGCACAATCATCTTACCGATTACTGTCGGAAGATCTTGTCCACCGGCGGCTCCGCAACAAATATTGCCAAGCAGTTCCGAGCAACCCTGCTGCCACAGACCTTCCAAGATGCCACCTACGGGCAACACCTCAAGGCCCTAGTATGGGCCGAGGAGTACAGAAGCGAGTGAGTGATCATTCCCGACTCCATGGACATCTGCAGCTCACAGCTGAATCGTAGGCAAGATCTGCAAGTTTATGACATTGACAGTACGACAATGAACAGGCATAATGCCTTCTACTTGTGAGCCAACCTTATCGCTATAGAGATCATCTACTAAAGCTTGTCACAGTCTCGAAGTCCCTGGATTGGCTGAGAAGCGGCCTAGTGTGCTTGTTGGTAAGCACCACGAGTTTTTGGCCTCATGCCCTGCTAACTTGCTTGTAGGTGATGGCATTCTGGTACAGCCTATCGCCCCCGGTATCGATGAGTCGAAGTGGTTCGAAGGATGCGTTCATGTCGTTCGACAAGTAGAAGTCGGGATGAAGTTTAGTCGTAGCTTCCCCGAGTACTCACCGTCTCAGCTTTATCGCGTGAGATTCACGCTTAACAGGTACCCGCTTCGTCGGCAACACCAAGCCCTCGATTACGCGTTTGCGCCGGCTCGACTGCTTTTCCCAACGATCGAACACATTCGGGTGTCTACCTCCGAACGGACCCCTCCTGCTGTGTACAACCCCCTTATCGCAAATAATCCGCCTCAGCTTCAGGCTATCCGCGCCATTCTGCAGCTGCTGCCTGGTTCGCCGCCGTTCGCTCTCTTCGGACCGTGGGTACTCTCTTCGCTTCAGCACACACATTGACATTGATAATTTTGTGCCGCAGTCCCGGTACTGGGAAGACCGTAACTGTAGTCGAGGCCATTCGTCAGCTGCTGGACAGGGACCCAAATGCGAAGATCCTGGCTTGCGCACCAAGCAACAGCGCCGCCGACATCATTGCTGAGAGGTTGTCCGTTGCACTGGATAAGGACGGGTTGTTCAGGTTCTATGCACCTTGCAGGTACAAGGACCAAGTTCCGCTTGCCTTGCGTGATTACACCTGCACAACAGCGTCGGGTCACTTTACCGCTCCACCCGTCCCGGTTCTCAAGCGCTACCGGGTGATCGTATCGACTTGCGTTTCGGCATCGTTCGCTCACGGCGTCGGCATGTCACAGGGCCACTTTACACACATCTTCGTCGACGAGGCGGGACAAGCGACAGAGCCGGAAGTCATGATCGGCATCAAGACAATGGGCGACAACGACACGAACGTCGTCCTTTCGGGCGACCCGAAGCAACTCGGGCCCATCATTCGCTCGGCTGTCGCTCGCGAATTGGGTCTGGAGAAGAGTTATCTGGAGCGTATGATGGATCGCGACAGTCATCAGCCCGCGCGATGGCAAGGCGTCACGTCAGTTCTTCCCCCCTTCAACTTTCTTACATGCGCTGACGCTTCTTATATAATACTAGTGTCGTGCAGCTGACACAGAACTTCCGATCTCATCCTAGCATCCTCAAATTCCCGAATGAGCAATTCTACGGGAACAGTCTCCAGCCACACGGCGACCTCGCCGTTATCAACTCCTACATCGGCTCGTCCATCTTGGTCAACCCAAAGTTCCCTGTCATATTCCACGCCTTGTCGGGACAGGACGCTCGTGAAGCTTCGTCGCCATCGTTCTTCAATGTTCTTCAAGCTCTACAGGTCAAGAAATATGTAGAGCAGCTCCGTTCTGATCGCCAGGTCCGAATCTGTGAGCTATCGACGTCAATTCCACGGCTGTAAGTGCACTAACTTCGGCATCACTAGCCGACCAGGATATTGCTGTGATTGCGCCATACCACGCCCAAGTTCTGAAGATACGGGCCGCCCTTCGGGGGGTTGCAGACGGTATCAAAGTCGGAAGCGTGGAAGAGCTGCAAGGACAGGTGCGCCACTTGACGCACGCGTTCCGATACCGCAATTAATTCCGCTTCAGGAGCGTCGAGTGATCATCATCTCCACAGTGCGCAGCAGTCGCGAGTTCGTCGAATACGATCTCAAGCACACCCTCGGCTTCCTGGCGAACCCCCGCCGGCTAAACGGTTCGTTGTGGCCTCTCGAATCTTGCTGGCAAACCTGACCTTCTTCCTGCAGTCGCTGTCACCCGGGCGCAGGCGCTGCTCATCGTTATCGGCGATTCGTCCGTCCTCTCGCTCGACCCTTTGTGGCGGAAATTCCTCAACTACATCTATAACGAGGGCGGCTGGCGGGGCGATGACCCTATCTGGGACACCTGTGCTCCCGTCGATGAAGATGGAGGGTACGACGCCCAGGTTAGAGAAGCTGCCGCTGCAGACATGAATGACTTCATGCGTCGAATGGAGTCGCTTACCCTGCAGGGTCTCAACGGCATCGACTCGGAGTCCGACGGCGAGGAGAACGTCGACCGGCCGTGGCGCGAGGTGGAGTAATTTGTGCCGACTATCTTTTGCTAGTATCTTTGATCATCTTTATGTGCTGTACCGAGTAGTTACGTCTTGAAATTGCTTACCTAACAGAACGCCAGAACGTCAGCATTCTCCACAAGCTTCCAGACCGATTACCGCAAAGGGCAGGCAGCGACTTGGTGGCGCTCGCCGTCTGATCCGCCAGAGATATAACATCTCATCATCGAGCTGGGATGCGTGGAGTCTACGGAACAAGGAAGCTCGTTTCACATAAAAAATAAAGTATCAGGTAACTGCGCTGACGAGTACGCGGAGTGAAGTGGTATATTTCGATGCGACAGAATTGAGGGGAAGCGTCATGACAGCCCACTATCGGATCCACGCCTGATACTGCGGAGGGGTGTCGGTAGCCAGCCGTTTGGTTTTCCGTTCCTGTTGGCACCGGTGGAGAGGCCAACTTTTCGTATTTGATTAAGCCTGTTTAACGCACGTGAGCAGGGCGATAGTCAAACGGCAGTCGCGTCAAGCGTACCTGGTCAGTCCCCTCCAAGAGAAGACGGCGGCGATTAACATGGACACGCCTGACATTATGACGAAGGCGTATTCGCTCTCCTCGATGTGGCTCCTCAACTGCCGGGGAGAGTCAGTACTACCGAGGAGAAAGTCGGTCACATAGACTTACGTTCATACCAAACAAGCCAGCCACCAACGTCCCGACGCCGATTCCCATCGTGACGATGGAAACCTAACGACAACAGGAACATCAGCATGTGATCAAGCCAGCGGCCGAAAAGCTTCTACATACTCTTAGGTCGAGAGCGAGAAGGGCGTTTCTATTAGAGTCCAGGATAAGCTCGACAATCTCTTGCGTCGATTGCACGTTACTCTATTATTCTGTAAGCTACGGGGTGCAATGTGAGTGCTGGATCCTTACGTGAATGTTTTCCGCTTCGTTGACAATTTCTTCCACTTGTTTGGCGAAGGACTCTAGGAGCATCTCCAATTCCTCGTGGTCGTTGAGTAATCTGGGCTGACCATTTCTCTTGTCGGTGAGATACATGGCTGCCAAGTCTTCGTCTGTGGGACGCAATCGCACATAATCAGCTATGATCTCAATAGCGTGTCGCTGACACTCACCTTGCTCCAAAACTTCCTCAAGGGCTTCTTGAACCTAGTCCGCCAGTTAATTGCATGGTAGCGCTCTTAAAATGCGTACTCGCCAGCTTAGCTCGGTTCTGGAAGCTGGTAAGTCTTCTGGAGTAATGGAGCAAACGTTTGAATTTGTCACGGTCGATATCATCCTCTAGCTCTGCTAGGAGACCACCGACCAGATTACGTATGAAGACCATCTCGGCCTCCAAGGCGCTCAGGACCGAAAGGAGAATAGATTCCAGGGCACTATTGAAGGGAGCACCTGACGTTAATAATGCGTGCGAGAGCGCAGGGAGCGGAAACACGTACCGGAATTCATATGGTGGACCTTGGCTTTTTGCTCGCAGATTGTGCTACGGGTACGACAGTCAGCCTGGAGCGGTCCGAGACGGACAATCAATTTACCTCAAGATGATACAGGAACACGGAGTGCAACCTGGAATCAGCCGAACCATACGTATCGAATAGGACGGCGGCATCCGCTTTGACGAGAGCACGAATATGTAACATGTTCACCTGCGTGGCAGGGTTAGCCGAGACCTCGACCAACGTGCGTTGAAGGATTACGAACCAGGATGGCCTCTTTCCGCACTAGGATGGTGGGAACGAGGTTGGGTATCCTAGAGTCAATCTTTCGTAGATCACGCGGCTACGGGCTGACATGTGAGCCCGTGGCGCGGCTGGAGAGTGGGAACCGAAGCTCACGTTCAAACGATGTTCGGAACATAGGTCCAGCTTTTTGAACTGTCCGGAAATTGTTTTTACATTGCCTAACATTCAGACATTAGGCGGAGCGAATGAGAGTTCGCCAGCGAGAATAGTTCACCTTCCGCGTCGAGGATGGTGCCTGTAACAAGGAAGATGTGCATCAATCAGCCGACCAGGACGGGTTGTACACCGGGAACCGGAGCTTACAGCGCAGCATGAGATCCGTGGGCTGCCTGCCCTTCATCGCTTTCTCCAAGATGGCGATCTTCGCCGCCTCCTCTTGGTTGTCAATGGGGCCGTCGAACTGGTCAGCCTGCTTGGTACCGAACTTGGGTATCCACGACATGTACCGAAGGCCGAGCCAGTTGGTGAACCAAGCCGGTCTGTGTGCCATATGTCGCCATGTAGAACGTAATCGTATTCCCTGGTGACCTCGGGAGTAGAGAGACGTGGAGACCGGGCTACGTCTCGCTTGCGGCAGTACGAGAGGTCGGCAGTAAGTTCCGAACAGAGAGCGTGGAAGTGTCATTACATGGCTTGCAGGCAGCTTGCTCCACGACGAGACAAGCATGCACGCTGCTCGCCAGCCTGGGGATGTTGCCGTCGCCGTCGACGATGAGAGCAGGATGAGCGTCGGAGCCAAGCCTGGGGACGACCTGCGCGCGCAATTCGCCCGACGAAAGTGTTCGCCGCAAGCGCCCGCATAGGCGCAAAATCCACGTGGCGGATCAACTGCCGTTTCCGGCCCTTGCGGTGATGGTCTGCGTGCCGCGTTCGCCTCGAGTCCAGCACCAGTCTCACAACCTCAGATGACCCGTGATCCACACCGGACGGCGGCCAGCAACCACACTCACACTGTTCGCGGTTGATATGTTTCAAAAAATTGGCCGCTGGAAGGGCTTGGCCCTTCAAAGAGCGGCCAAGTCACCGCTGCCAGTGGGCCTAATCCGACCCAACGGGCGCACACACAGCTGCGAGGCTGCCAACGTCCTCGGCATGTGGTTGTGGCCTTTGAATAAAGTCTGTGCTCGCAGAGGATCCATGGTATTTCTCCGCCATCCCAGACATCTGTGTATCTCCTCTCACCATGTGACCTCCTGCCCCAGTTCTTCATTGATTTGCGGTCTCAATCTGGGAGAACGTGCTGTCGGTGATCTCTGCCTTCGATATGCCTATAGGAACGCGCTCTAGGTCCTGTAGTCGCTCGGCAAGCACTCCTCAGGCGCCGTCCCATCTTCGGCTATGGCCTCGATGGCACTCTCCCGCTCCTACCTCCCACTCTTTCCTAAATTTGCGTCATGATGGGTGCCACCGTATGCCTTGTGCACTAGGCTGCTGTTATCTGCTCACTAACAACCACCATGGCACACGAAACGCGCCGCCTGCTTGAGGCAGCAGCAGTGCTGCATTCGCTGCTCCTCGCAGCTGGCATCCCTCATGCCTTCCACGGCGACTTCGTTGTCGCAGTTCTTGCCAATGCTCCGCATTGTAATGTAGGCTTTGTGACTTTTTGCATTAAAAACTGAACCGATCGGTACCTCAGGAGATTTTCTGCGTCGTCGAAGGCGGTAGCTCACACCCATTCCGCCGCGTCCGGCAAGCATGCGCATCGAGTGAGGACATGACAACCCGGTCGTCTCCTTGGACAAATCGGTAAGCCTCTTTCCTGAGTATTTGCACGCTCGCTTATGATTCGCTGCAGCCTACATGCCACGTATAGTCGACTTATTCCCTCAGTTGACGTGAGTACTTTCAATATTTTCTACGTCGCAGAACGTGTTGCTGAACGTCATGCAGATAGAGATTCTTCCTGCGGGAGAAGAAGGACCCAGACGCCTTGATCAAACCACCGTGATGATGCTTGCCGGCATACCCGTTTTGACCTATGCTGAATTCATCAGAGCCAAGCTGAAGGCCTGGATTATGTACGTACACGCCAGATGGCCATCGGCTGCACTGACTTGTCACGGAGCAGTCGTCGAGCCGAACACGATGCGGAAGATATTACCTTCGTGATGACAAGGTATTGGAGCGAGATGGATATTAACCGCATTCCAGAGCAAGATATGCGCGAATTTGTCCGTCACCGCCCGGCTGCGGCGGCACCATGGTCACAGCTCAAGAAGAAATACGGACTGCAAGTCATGCACTTGTTTTCTGGGTATGCCCGACTGACATACGCGCCCACAGAAGGTCGTAAAAACAAAGTAGGAGATATCGCACTCGGACCGCCTCATGTTTGCTCAGACAGGACAAAAGCGCCGCCTTTCGCTGCGCAACCCCGCAATCTTTCACATGTACAATTTCCCCGGGACCTTGGACCTTCTCCGCAACCAATTGCTCACGTTCTGTGCCACTATTCGCTCATCCATAATACATATCCTTCCCTTCACGCGCTTGTTTCGAGGGTGAATTCTTACACTTTCGGCAACATACGGTTTCGGGGTATCAAATCGTCAGGCAGTTCGGGTTCGATAGCCGAACCTGCCATTACGGGGGCGACTTGCCCTTCGTATCTGGGCGCAATCAGGCACGAGGTGAGGGTGCCTTCTCGGAGGGGCTATTAACTTGCCTTAAAGCTGGTCTATCCGTTCCCGTAGCGCCCATAACTTCCGAGACGTTTGGCTTTTTGAATAGTGCCCCATGGGAGGTAAGGTAAACAGTAGTATTGTATTTAATAGCTTGTTTGACACTCGAACACCGATATATTGCTCCTAACGGCACAGCCGCTCCAGACCAATGAGCAGTGCTCTGCGGCTACGAAGCTGGTGACCACAGCGCCTCGGGAACGGTGTGCGCCCCGACCATCTGATAACGTGAATCTCGTCCGGACTATCGAGGTTTACGACACCGATGAAACGGAAGATGCCAATGTTAGTACTGAGAAACTGTGTTCGGACGTCACGAGTCGCCTTGCTGAGCACGCAGCCATGATATGCTATTGAACGAGACGCCAGATAACAAAGCGTGAGACAGGTGAATTGAACGATTGTACAGGGTCAGTGCCATCGCATTCGACATTCGCTACGATACAATGATCCTTCCCTTGTGTGACTACAGCCGGCAATCCAGTCTGCACTCTCCGGCATGTCGTGCTTGTGACTCCTCGGTCTCGCAATCTCACGCAAGCTTGAGCTCTTTCGGGTCATAAATCGGCAAGCCGCAGGCGAAGTTCTCGCAAAGCCTGACATTCGGCCTCGCATTCGCCGAGTCGTCCATCAACGCCCGCAGCGTACCATTCAGCTTCGCGAGCTCCCGCGGCGGTCGCTGGGGATCGAGGTGGATCAGCACTCTGCTGGGGACAAAGGTGTGCCGGATGGCATGCAGGAACCGCGTCGTGTCCGAGTTGCTCGCTTCGCCGGAGACGATGAACTGCGCACAAAGAGAGTTAGCCTGTCCGCGGCGCAGATCGGTCACGCGACACACACCTGTCTGTAGCCACGCTGCGCCGTCAGAGCCGCGCTGACCATGGTCGCCAACGCGAAGGGGGCGTGTTCGAGCAGCTGGGAGTTGGATCGGAGGATGCTCTGGGCCTTTTCCCGGTACTCTCCGTGACGGTCCTCGGCGAAGTGTGCGAGCCGATTCAGGTTGTACAGCGTGACAGACACCGCGCTTGGTTCGGCACCATCCTGCAGGACGTTAGCTATCAAGCGTTTTCTGTGCGGACCACATTTTGGCGACCGCACCTGAGCATCCTTCATGCGGACTAGAATGTGCGGATCGGGCGCCGAAGCGAAGTACCCGCCGCCCTCCGTGTCGTGGAAAAGTTCGTCCTGTTTCTCTTGAAGACGGATGGCCCATGTCACGTATTCTTCCTTGCCACTTGCCTCGTATAGATCAAGCAGGCCTTGGATCAAGAAGGCATAGTCGTCGGCTTGGCCGGTTGGGCCCGGCCCCTGACGATAGCTGCGCCGCAGCTCGCCTGTCTTCTCGTCGTAGAGCTCTTTCTTGATGAATGCAGCCGAGTCTTCGGCGAGCTTCAGAGCGTTGGCGGCCTGCCCTTCCAGCACTTCAGACGCCTTCGCAAGTCCGGAGAGCTATGAGAGATCGTATCAAGTCAGCATCCGAACAGACGAATTACAACTTGATGTGGGCAGAGTACCATTAACCCGTTCCAACAAGTGAGAATCTTATCGTCAAGATGCGGCCTGGGCCTGTTCTCGTCTCGATACCGCTTGAGATGGGCCAAACATTGGTCCAAAGTGACTTGCACCTGTTCGGCTGGAATTCCGAATTTGCGAGCGGTGTCCTCTACCGTATGTGCGGTATAGAGAACGTTCTGGCCACTGGACTTAAAACTCGGCTTATGCACAGCGAGAGTTTGAACGCACCTGTCCCTTGAGCTCACCCTGTACGTCGTGTTTAGGGTCGCAGTTGCCATTACTTTTGACTCCATAATGAAATTTGAACACATCCGAGTTGTCACCGAGCAGTTCGTCCAGTTGCGCAGACGTCCAAACGTAGAAAGCGCCTTCTTTCTTGATCGTGCTGTCGCTCGACGGGAGGGAATCCGCGTCTTCCGCACTGTAGAATGCGCCCTCGGAGTTGCGCAAGTCTCGCGAGACGTAAATGATGATGTCATTTGCCATGGCTTCCAGAGTCTTGCACTCGACGGAATCGATCGGTAGAAGCTGGGCCAGCTCCAGGGCAGATGAAAGAAGCTGGGCTTCGTCGTACCTGATAACGCAGGTAGTGGGTGAATACCCAGTACGTGGAACGTAGAACAAAGCTTACAGCATTTTTTCGACTATTGCAGTTCGACTTAGTGGATCGCGTCACCACAATTAGAAGTGAGGAGCACGCACAGTGTGGGACATGCCAATGGTCGTCGACAGAATATCTTGAGAAGCCGCCTCCCACAACATCTCGAATCCCTCCATTGTAAATCTTAACCATAGTTTGCACGGCCATATCCCGAGCTTTTAACGCCTCGCTCTTGAGCTTTTCGTCTCCGATGTTCAGAGCTGCCAACCGAGCAAGGAAGTGGGTGGTCTGTGATGGAGACGGAAATTTTGGTGCTCCACCGAAACCGCCATGGACACTGTCGTACAACCGTTCCAATCGTTTGTATACTTGGCCCGCCAATTTCGGGATGTCGAGCTGTTTCTCGATGGGCGCCATCTATCATGATCGTGGAAAGTGAGCATCAGTCAGGAGACCCTGTGAGCATATACTTGCATTCGAGCTGCTCTTCAGCTGTTCGATGATGCCCTTGCCACTCTCTACAAGCCGTTCACGATCTTCTTCCCAGCTGTATACCTTTGTTAAATTTTTACGTTTCCCACCAATACACACCACGTACAAATTGGCCAGTTTCTCAAGGGCCTGCCTGAATTGGCCCTTTGGGAAATATGTACCCGCGAAGAAAGGATGCAAATCCGGGGTGAGCCCTGCAGTAATGTTCACGACTTCTGACTCTCACAGAAAACACCACTTACAAACAGACATGGGCCAGCCGCCACCGCCAGACGTGGCTTGTAAGAAAGTCATGTACAAACGATCCACGTCAGGTCGTTCTTCTCGGTCGACCTGTGTGGAGTAGACCCATCAGTACTTCTCAAATGCAATGCCATACTCGTTCAAAATCATACCTTGACGTTCACATAGCGCTCGTTCATAAGCTTCGCCGTCACTTCGTCCTCGAAGCTCTCGTGGGCGAGAACATGACACCCTATCGAACACGTCAAAGTATCAACAGAGACTACGACAGATTCTACGCACAGTGACATGCCGAATATCCGACAGACAGGAATATGGGCTTGTCCTCACGTTTGGCCTTCTCGAAGGCTTCTGGTCCCCATTCGTACCAGTCAACCTACATATTCAATTGAACAACGCGCTCAAACCCTCTACGGAAATACAACGCACTGGATTTTCCGCATGTTGCAAGAGATATGGGCTCTTTGCTTTGGCCAACCGGTTCGGGTGGTGGCTTCCGCCATGGCCGGTCGCATTCACATTCGAGCTCATCATCCGAAGCCTCTGAAATGGGACAGAAGGAAGAAATTTACCAGCGGAATGCCCACGCACAATGTATCGAGGTTTAACAATTGCTCTCAGGGAGAAAGTCTTGAGCGGACTGCGTGCAAGGTACATGGCGTGGTATAAGTACGGTGTCTGGATCGGGAATGCCATCATTCCGATCAGCGATAGAACCTAACCCTATGCTAAGGTTCATAAGGTAAAGTTGAACACGCTGGATTCATACGTGTCCTGATGTGTCCCTCACTTTCTGGCCGCTTCCAGTCCCACAGCCCAAGAGTTATCTGGCTCGAGACGTTCTAAACCTCTGCACACTGTCCTTCTCTTCTCTATCGTCAGTGTATCTTCCGCAACAATGTCGTTCATGGACGAAATTCGTAAGATACCACCCGTAACGCGGTTCCTGTGCGGGTCGTCTCTTGCAGTTTCGCTGCCAGTGATGCTGCAGCTCGTTTCTCCATACAAAGTCATATTCGTGAAGGAGTTGGTGACGCGGAGATTCGAGGTGTGTTTGCACGCCCTTCTTGGGGAGAATATGCTCCTGACTGTATGTGAAGGTCTGGAGAGTATTCACTAGCTTCTTCCTGGGAGGTATGCAGCTTGCCGACATAGGGTGCAACTCTTGCTAAGATTGATTTCAGGCTCCGGACTGAACTATCTATTTGACTTTATCATGCTCTAGTACGTGTTCCGTCATCGGCATCGTTAGATATGATTATGACCTCTCAGCTCAGCCGAGGCTCTGATCAGTTAGAGTCTTCGGTAACCTATCAAGCCCGCTCATCAGACTACGGGTGGCAGCTGCTAGCTGCGTCTGTAGCCATTCTCGTACGTATACTACATATGTCCGTCTCCCTTGTGTTCTGAAACGCTGCGCAGACTATGAATATTCCCCTCGGCACCTTCGTGCATACACGCCCATTACTTGTGTGCCTCACTTATCTTTCCTCACGCCTTGCACCTGCGGGCACGAAGACCTCGCTGTTTGGTCTCATCACCATCCCAGTCGTCTACTTCCCTTATGCGCTCATCGCCCTCGATCTGATCATGGCTGGTCCGCAGGCGGCTGCCGCAAGCGTGACCGGAGCCGTGGTTGGACACATATGGTGGTGGGGCGTTCACGATACTCGTGCATTGCGCTCGTGGGCTACTGCGCCTACTTGGTTCAGGAATCTGGTCGATGGACCTGGACAGCCGGGTGGGAGCGCAACTGGTGGAAGCAGTGGTGTACATGTTATTCCTCCTAGGAGGCGTGATGAGCCTGTAGCCACTTCGACTGGTTACAGGTGGGGTACCGGTCAGAGGCTAGGTAACGACTAATGTGTTCTCTACTCCTTTGCGTGCGCACTTCTGTAACAAGAGCATAGCACTTTCTGGTCTCGTATTGCGTAACGGCTCGTAGGGCCTTTGAAAATATACACTCCAAAGTTCGGATGTGCAGCTACCTCCCGAAAACGGACTTCTCAACCGTTCTGAAGCACAAGTACAGAATAAATGCAACACCCGACCCAGCGAGAATCCCAATGTCACCTGTGCCTAAGTTTGCAATCGGGCCGGTGTACCAGGCCTGTGACATGCAGGGTATAATTACACCGAAAGCACACAGGAAGGCTAGCAGCGCAGCAAGGCCTGGTGGCAGACGAGACGAACGGTTCCAGATCTCAAGATTATAGGGCTCGTAGCTGCCGCGGCGGAAGACGAAGTGCTCGGTGAGGATGGTGACAGCGAAGACACAGGACCAGTAGCCGATGATATCTGTCTTCGTTCTCAGCGAAAGACACGGATGACGAAGAGATAGCCAAACTCACTTAGAATATCTACGAAGGTATCATAGAAGTGAGTGGCCCCCACGATGGCAACAGGAATTAATCTAGCAACGAACTTGTCACTAGTTGTCCGATGCGCGAAGATGAGCTAAGGGGACCCACATCCCTTCCGAGACGACGACATACACCCATCTCGGAATCTTCGCAAACATCCCGGCTATAGTCATAAAGCTGCTGGCAAAGGTGTACATCGTGGGCGCGCATGCGCTGGGGATCGACAGGGCCAGTAGCACAGTAAGGAACTTGCCGAAGCCACCCAGAGGAGAGAGAACGGCTTGGATGAGGCCGCCGACGCTGTTGCCATTGTCAAATCCAGCTTCCCAAGACGGTACTGGGATCGCGGACGCCGCGAAGATTGCACCAATGTAGTGAGCAGTCAACTGCTCTTAACTGTTAGATAAAATGGGGGCATGGCAGACGAGTACGCACGCTAGCTGTAAAGAAGCCCAGATACGTATAGACGAATATTCGCTTGCTGTGCGGCATCGTATGAGCTCTTGAAGAAATCGTACTATGAAATGCTGTGCTATATACAGTACCTTGAGGCCTTTTGATTGTGATATACTCCATAGTCCGGGGTCATTGTGCACCAGCTGATGACACTGGACGCGGTTGTCGTCGCGAAAGTGATGATGGACGATGCGGTGACGGGCCCGGTAGCGGGAGCGTTGGTCAAATGTCTGCCACCAACACCGAGCATGATGGCGAAGGTGATAACGTTCGGTATCCATGCAACACTTTCGTACCAGTGGATCACCCGATAGCCGCAGAAAGTCACCTGAGAATCATTATGGTCAATTCGATGGAGTGGGGTATCAGGAAGAAATGCGCACTGCAAGAGAGATCAGCCCAATGATGACGATGCCTAGGGTATCATTCAAATGGTCTGAGACACTCGCGAGGGTCTGCCCTCCGATGATACAATTCAGGATTAGGAAGCCCTGCATCGAGAATACGTTTAATGCTGCGGGAAGCATCGCCGGATAGTACCTAGAAGTACAGTCAATGAATGCAAGAAGCCGAAGAAAATCACCCACCCCCAAGAGTATCGCGCCTGCACCATCGAACGCATACCGAGTTTAGGGCCGAACACCGCGAAGTACGCGGGGACAGCGCACGCACTATTTGTTTCATGTTCAGAATCAAAATATGAAGCAGGGCATGTACGCAGATACATACATTATGTCAACAACTAGTAGAGTGATCAGTGACTGCTTCACACCGAGGCCGAAGAACGCTGGCCCAGCGCTACCGGTGCCCAGCCTGAATAAGAGGACAGAACATTGAACAACCTCACTTCTGTATATTTACGCATGTCTGCGTACCCTAAGACGTTCATATTCGCGGAGAACCACACAAAGAACATCTGGAACAGCCGATTATCTGTCCGGGACTCCGCAGGTATCGGGTCAATTCTGACGGTCTCATAAATTCGGGGGAGAATATGCAAAAGAAAGATCGCTACTCGCACCCAGTCGTCTCGACACCATACCGGGTGAGGAGATATGTCATCCCCTCGAACAGAGAGAAAGTGCTTGCTCGAGGTTTGGCCGCATCGTCTACCGGATCCGATCCCGGTGGAATTTTGTCCAGCGCTGGCACCCAGATCTTCTCCTCGTCGTGCACATCCGTACGGACTGCGTTCTTGTCGTTATGCATCGCTTATCCCTAGGAGATACGCGACCTGAGTTCTGCTGGAATAGTGGGAGTAAGAGCCGGCCGCAGGAAGATTGGATTCATGGTGCGGCATAAATACGTCCCGTCTGCGTCACGTGGGATAAGAGGAGTCAGCAAAGAAAAAAGTCGAACGTGGACTTTGCATGATGAACCCTTGAGATCATTCGCGGGCTCACAGGAGCACCGATAGGTGGCGCACACCTGACGCTATCTCCGATGGATTGCTTCCGACTGATGGCAGAGGCGAAAGGGTTTGATCGGCTGGCGTCCTAGCTAAAGCCAGCCTTATCTACCTAAGCTAGACTACTCGTCAACAGCGGCGCGACGGCGAACGGTATCGTGTTCGGATATTACCTGTTGTCGACATGAATGCAATTAGCGAACAGTACGCGTAGCATGAGAGGTGCTTCTCGCAAGGCATCGGCAAGGCTCACCTTCCGGAATTGGTCAGGATCCCATTTTACATCTGCCTTTTCCACCTCCTTTTGAGGTAGCCACCATTCCAAAAACGCGAAGAACAGACAGTCCACCAGTAAGATAATGGTAACGATAGGGCCAAAGTAGCGACCAAGACTCATATTTCTACTCGACTTGCATTCAGAGTCACAGCCTCACTGAGCTCGCTTGCAGCGTACCTGTCGACCCTTGTCCAAAAATCGTGGGGCTCGGTTGCCATCGCATCGGCATAGACGCGTTCAGTCCGCTCCGTAACGTCTTCCCAGCTGTAAAAGCCCCTGGCACGCTCATGCGCTTTTAGTGGGGAATGGGATCCCGAAAGAACATGCCGAATAGCGTGGGATGTCGCGCGGATCAGCTCTGTTGTGCACATAGTTCAGCATTGCCCAGATACAAGAGACTCAAACATAAGCGTACCATCTTCCTCTGGCGCAGCGAACATAATCATTCCCTCTTCGCCGTAGGCCCTGTCTTCGCGATCCTCCAATTCCACAATCTTACGTTTCATGTCTCCAAGAGGTAGAACCTCAGGTACACCGCCAACTCGAGTACTCACGACGTACAAGCCTGCACACGCCGCTTCCAAGATGGCAATACCGAAGGATTCGGTCAGCGACGTGTTCAGGAATATATGGCCCTGAGTTAATACCTAACATACCATAGATCAGCTGTCGGCGATATAACTTCAGACGCTGTGACGGCATACATTTCCAACGTTGGTTGGCTTGATACTACCAAGAAGCTCGATTCTGTCTTGAAGCGAATGCTTCTCTCGCATTTGAAGGAGATCAATCATTTTCGGACCATCACCACCTGACGAAGATATAAGCAAGCAAGAAGTGTAGACATGCAGAGCTCACAAACCAACAAGAAACCTAACGTTGGGGAATAGTTTACAAATGCGAGGTGCGACCGCGACAAGGAGGTCGACACCCTTGCGATATGCCAGGCGCGAGACAACGACGATGGTGACTGCATTGCTGATCAGTCGATCTTGTGCATCTCATATTCTAGATGTCTACTTACTGATATCCTTCGGTAACTCTTGCTCGGCAGGCTTAAACTGGTCTGCAACGATCGCGTTTGGGATGACATACGTCGTTTCCGGCAGCAGCCTCGCGCGCAGTACGGTGTTCTCGCGTCCGGTGTGCGACACACATATTACCCTATCTACATTGCGTAACGCTGCCTCGAGCAACTTGTTCGTCAGAATTGACGCAGCGTCGTCAAACCCGAACAGGCTGTGATCCGTGAACACCGTTCGCACGCCCATGTGATGAGCGTGTAGAATACCTTCGTGGGCCATACTCGAGAGAGATGCATGAGCGTGTATAAGTTGTACACTCTCCCTTATTATGATAGTTCGGAAGTATGGGAGGCAGCAGAGGAAATTTGGCAGCGTGGCGGAGGATGCGATTGTCCGCAGAGGTATGTGGTATACCTTGAGGCCAGGCACTAGCCAGCGTATGCCCACTCGGGATGGCGGGTGAGAGTGAGTTATCACTATAACCTGCATATATTAGGAAGATTGCTCAGGAGTTCGATGGGGTGCATACTTTGTGACCGCGTCGGATGAGATTTGCGGACAGCATGTAGACGTGATTCTCCACCCCTCCAACATTTGGGTGGAAGAAATCGCACACCATTCTACATCTCCAACCATGAGTCTTGTGGGTAGCTATAGTATCTATGAATCACGTACGCTATGGTGAGACGTTCCATTGTACAAGTAAACTTATGACATGGTTGTCCTGGGCTAACTATCCCGGTGAGCGCCAACAGCGCTCGGAGGGAACGGGGTCTGGATAGTGTTAACGCTTTGCATGTATTGGGGTCCCACTCAAAGATTATGCATCGCTATGTCGGGTTAGGGTCAAAGTGACCATTGGTCTAACCACGACCTCCCTACCCTCTTCCTTCAGTCGCCACTATCCCTGTCACCATGTCCGACATCGAGGAGGATCCTGTGATGAACCAAGAGGAGAATAACGAAGAAGAATATGGCGAGGAGGCTCCACGGCAGAGCAAGTCCAAGGACAAGCGCAGGGACTATGATGACGAAGAGGATGAGGATGAGGAGGAAGATGAGGAGGACGAAGAGGACGAGGAAGACGAGGAAGACGAAGAGGAGGATCCTGGTACAGAGCGCGGGAAGAAAAGAGCTAAGGTTCGCCCTTACCCATTCGCCACTGTACTAAGTTGACCGCGCTCTGCAGCACCGTCATAAACGACCTGCTGTCAACCGTTTCCTTGACGTAGAAGCCGAGGTTGACGAAGACGAGGAGGAGGACGAAGATGAGGATGAGTATGGCCGTGGTTCGCCTTTTTATTTACTCGCTATAGACGCGTCCTAACATCTTGCATCACCAGACGAGTTCATTGCCGAAGGTGTGGAAGGCGAAGAGGGCGACTTTGCGCCCCGTGCTGCAGTGAATGCCAGGTTGAATCTTGAGCGCGAGCTCAACGATCAGGACTTGCAGAAGATAGCAGCAGGCTTCAGTGAACGGTATCGGCAGCGGAATGTTCGTTATACGGGAGACATGAACGAAGTGCCACAGCGGCTGCTCATGCCTTCCGTGCACGACGCCAACCTCTGGCAAGTGCGATGCAAGGTACTTCCTCTACCACTTGTGATCGTATCTAGTAGTTACTGACCCTCGCGTCTTTCTAGCCTGGGAAGGAACGAGACCTTGTGTTCAGCCTCATGCGAAAATCACTCGACCTCGAATTCACGAATCGGCCGCTACAGATATTGTCCGCTTTTCAGCGCGACTCGCTACCCGGTATGATATATGTAGAAGCTCGCAGCGCGAAGATGGTTCAGGAGGCATGCAATGGGCTGGTCGGCATCTTCCCTAGCAGAGGCATCAACCTTGTACCCATTGAGGAGATGTCCAGTCTACTGCAAATAAAGAAGCAAGACGTCACCGTCGCCCCCGGAAGCTGGGTCCGTATCAGGCGTGGCAAGTACCAGGGAGACCTGGCGCAAGTCATGGACATAACGGAGAATGGGGAAGAGGTTGGCTTGAAGTTCATTCCTCGCATCGACCTCAACCCCAAGGATGAGCCTATGGGCTTGGATAAGAAGCGGAAGAAACCTGTTCCAGGTTCCTCGGGTTTCTCCATGCGACCGCCCCAACGTTTCTTCAACTACGAGGAAGCTGTCAGGGTGTATGGCAGGAAGGCGGTATCTAAGCGTAACCAAGTCTACGTCTTCCAAAATGACACGTATAAGGACGGCTTCATCGAGAAGGACTTCAAGATTTCTGCCCTTCAGTTGGACGATGTCAACCCCACACTTGACGAGATCACCCAGTTCACGCGCGGGCAAGACGGTGCGGACAACGACGCAAACGTAGATCTCTCCATCATCGCCGAAGCTTCGAAGAAGGCCGCTATCGCCGTCTTGCAGCCTGGCGACCATATTGAAGTTTTCGAGGGCGAGCAGGCCGGTGTCCACGGTACAGTGCATGCCGTGGAACAGGATGTCGTCACGATTCAACCTGTTGGAGTGGAGTTCGACGGCCAGAAGATACAAATCCCTGCGCGCAGCGTGCGCAAGCGCTTCAAAGCTGGCGACCACGTTAAAGTCATGACTGGTCAGAACGCCGACGAGACAGGTCTTGTAGTCTCGGTCATGGACAACGTCGTTACTTTCCTTTCCGACATGACCATGCAAGAGGTGCGCACCTCAGCATTTTGAGAAGGTAAATCGCGGTGCTTATGCTGCCTAGGTCTCTTGTTTCTCGAAAGATCTTCGAGAGGCGGCGGAGGTTGGCACAGGTACCAACACCGTTGGTAATTACGAACTGCATGACCTTGTTCAGCTTGAGTGAGCACTCATACAGGCTACATCTGCGCCTCATTTGCTCACATGATACTCTTTCTAGCCTCCAAACCGTGGGAGTTATCTTTAAGACTGAGCGCGACTCGTTCCGGGTGCTGGACCAGAATGGTCAAGTTCGTCTCGTTAAGCCTCACCAGATTTCAATGCGTCGTGATACGCATCGTGCCATTGCGGTCGACTCCGAAGGGCATGAGATTCGCGTACACGACAATGTTAAGGAGGTTGAGGGCGAGGTGAGGGCTTAAATCTACTATGGCTAAAGGGCACATACTAATTCTCATACAGGGCCGCAAAGGGCGTGTGCTGCACACTTATCAAGCATTCTACGCTTGGTTGTTCAACCGTGATGTAGCCGAAAATGGGGGCGTCTTCGTCACTCGTGCCCGTTCGCTCGCGCCAGTGACCCCACGGGGTCTGAAGTTGGGCTCTACTGACCTCTCGAAGATGAATCCGGCACTCAGTGGCGGTGCTCAAGGAGGGATGGTCGGCGGAGACATGGGTCGGGGACCGCGGGATCGACTCATTGGAGCGACGGTCCAAGTCATCCAGGGGCCGCAGAAAGGTATTGTTGGTATTGTGAAAGACACAAACGGTAACATCGCCCGTGTCGAGCTCAGCACTGGCAACAAGATCATTATGATCCCGAAGGATAAATTAAAACGGAGAAAGTGAGTGCTTTCTTCCGTCTTCGTGGCGTTAATAATTAAGTGGCTTGCAGCATTGACGGTTCTCTCGAAATGATCGATGTACCCCGGATTCCCTTAGGTCTGCCCAATATCCCCCTAGGCCTACCCAAAATTCCTGGCATGTCTGCCTGGGGAGCTAGTCCTGGGGGCGGCAGGACACCCAACCCTTACCAGGGCGGTGGTCGTACAGCGAATCCATACTCTGGTTCCCAGACGCCGGCTTGGGGCGGGGGCATGGACTCGCGCACACCTAATCCACATCATCCTGCGAAGACCCCAGCGTGGAGCGCGAGTGCTAAAACGCCGAATCCGTATGCAGATGGCAAGACCCCGGCATGGAGCGCATCGTCTCGCACGCCAAACCCGTATGCCTCAACTGGTGGGTGGGGAGGCTCGACGCCGAAACCATCATCTTGGGGCGGCGCGACGCCCGCGCCGAACGGTGCCTCGTCCTCATGGGGAGGTGCAACTCCGGCAAGACCTGGATGGGGCGGCGCGACACCCAGGGCCGATTGGGGGGAGTCGTCTTCGTCATGGGTTCGTACTTCTCAAACGAAGTTTAAGTTCATACTAACATTTGTTTTGGTTCAGAGTGCGCCTACCCCATCTGCATGGAGTGCACCAACACCAGGAATCTCTGCGCCGACACCTGGCGCCTGGACCGGTGGTGCCTACGGCGCCCCTACGCCTGGGGTATCATCTTCCTACGATGACGTCCGCACACCAGCTGCGTTCGGCTTGAATGGAGGGCAGCCTTCGAGATCCTCGGAAGAAAGTAAGTAGCATTTCATGTTTGCGACGATACCATACTCTAATCCTTCGTTCAGTCATCACAGAGAAGTGGTTGTTGTGGTCAGGCTTGTCGGACAAGTCGGGCCTGGTCTGCCGGATACAAGACTCCTACGCTCGCGGCGACGAACCTGGCTGGATGAACGGCGACCACGAAGGCGATGCAGTCTTCGTACTCTCCACTTTCGACGCTAACAACGAGAGGTACACGTCTCGAGCACGCATCAAGTTCGCTGAGAAGTCCAACTCTGCACAAGTGCCGGAGATCCCTGTCAAATACCTGCGGCCTGTCCACCCGGAAAATGTCGGCGACGACGTTGTGTTCTTGTTCGGCGATGATAGAGGCCGCGACGCGAAGGTCAAAGATATCTCGGAATCTCGTGCCACGATCTCCCTCGCCGGCAGCTTTCTGATTGTTGAGGCACCATTGAAGCAGCTTTGCAAGCGTTCATTGGCCGTTAGCGATCAACAATGAACGCGTCCGTCTTCTCCTGGATTCATGTCTTGACGTACTGGGTGTGTCGGGCCATGCGTTGCGCCTCCCGGCCCCGTTACAACGCCTTTTGGCACTGTAGCGCCCGGCGGTTATTGTATCTGCCTATGTATATGCTACCGCATTTTGGACTGCACTTGCTATAACGAAACGGTTGTGTTCTTTGTTTATTCTCGTAGACGTAAGTGTTGAGCTGGTTCTGCCAGGGGACCAGCGCTGGTCCTTATTTTTCCATGGCGAACCGCAAGTTCCTCGAGCGAAGCGCCAACATTGTGGCGTTTCGAGATGATGGCGGCGGTCTGTCCTGGTCGCTCCCAACTCTCGATGGCTCCAGCTCACCCGTGCCAGACAGCTTCTGATCTCAGGCTGCTTTCATCTCACATGCCTGCGTGATGTCTGGCGACATAGTTTTACAAGCGTCAGCTTCATTATCTGCAATATCTGGTGGCTCTACTGATGCGACGTCTGACCGCCTAGCTACGACCGCGTGCCACGATTTTCGCTGGCCCTCTGATCGCACGCCAAGCCAATGCAACGACCCGGAGACCCTAGTTGGGGAACAATAAACTAGTTCTCAAGGTCGAGGAATTACGTGTCTTGAGATGCAGGTCACGTTAAGGTTATAACTATAGCTTCGTTGTCAACACGAGGAGGAGCGAATGTACGAAGGTGTCATTCTTGCCTTTATCGATCACGGAACATCGCTTCGTTGAACAGATAAACCCTAAAGGTATGAAGGCAGGCGCGTATATAAACAATAAGCTGATCAATAGAGTTTGCCAGGAACGCTCTGGTACAGCACATTTAACGGACACATTGTATGCTGCCCACCCTCACACCCAAGGTGCCACCGCTCCCACTTTCTTCTACTCCCACTTGGTAGGCCCTGCAAGATAGAATGTCGACTGCTCAGGGCAACATACCCAACAAGGCAAAAGGCAAGGGCAAGGGCAAGAAAGGTCAAGCAGCGTCCATCCCCTCTTCAGGTCCCGTGCTTGACCAGCCGCCCATCCCCGCCGATGTTGCTAAGAACCCAGAAGAGCTCATGAAGCTGGCGTTTAAGCGTGCAATGATCAGCGGAAATTTCTTGGACACCAAGTTCTATGCTTATTCGCGGAGGAAGCCATCTGGTGTCGTCTACGCTCCGATAGCCATCCACGCTAATAGTTATATTCTGCGGGCAAAGGAGCCCCAGTACTTTGAACCCCGTATGTCACCATCTTTTAGTATTGTGGGCTACCTGTTAATGCAGTCCTGCCTCCCGTTTATAGTGCTACGAGGAGGTTATGATGGGTATTGCATCACCGGACCGTTGGATGGGCCTTTCCCAGATGAGTTTCCGGCTGAGATTGGCGCAGACGGATACGAGTCGGACAGCGACCTCGAGGACGACGAAGAAAAAGCGCAGAGTGCTGGAACATCTCTTACCGGCAGCTCTAGCTCGTCAGAGCCTGTGATTCTTGATCCTGATTTCTCACTTGGGGACTCTGACGTAGAAAGAGTTAGCTCTAGTGGTTTATCTGATCCCGCCACCATCTAATGTGTTATCCTGTCTAGAAACATGAAACAGACGAGACCAATGAAGGGCACGTAGACCGTGAGGAAGATCCAGTGGTTGGTGGCACGGGACGCGTCCGGCTAATCCGCACTTTCGCTTTCCCTACGTAAGTTCTTGCCTGATCTTTTTGCTCAAATCGGGTTGTTAATATACTAGAACAGCTGGCGAGCATTCATCTTCTACATCACCACTGGCGAGATCTCATTCTCACGACTTAAGAGCCAGTCAAGGATTCCTGGGTCTTCCGAAACGTCTAAGAAGGCTAAGAAGTCAGGTGCTTCACACCCGGCTTCTCCGAAGTCTATGTACACGCTCTCAGATGAGGTCCGTATCAAGAAACCGCCTCGGTGCCTCGCTGACTCCTCCCTCAGCTCGGGCTCGACAAATTGAAAGAGCTCGCGAAGAAGGATATCGAGTCCAAGCTCTCTGCTGACAACATCCTTGCGGAGCTGTTTTCGTCGTTTACAGCGAAGTAAGCTGAATCTTCGTTCGGGGTTGAATCCTCGTCTTATGATTGCGTCACCGCAGATACGACGCTATCCAAGAACTAGAGGTCGACTATGCATGCAATAATGCGAAGGAGGTCGTCGCCAAGGGCCTGTACGAGTGGATGGATAGTATCTCTCCGGAGGACCTGAAGCGCAACGCCGGCGTGCTTGCGCGGCTCTTTCAGAAGATGGCCGTTGGTCCCTCCAATCCCGCTACCAGCAGACCGACTTCGTGTCCCAGCTGTCGAGCTGGTACAAAGGGCTACAGCAGCTTCTATTCCATATGCGGCAATTGTAATAATAACGTGTAGCTATGTAACTACCGACCTTGTCTGCACGATAAAATCCAGTCCAGCTGTACATAAGGCTAACAATGACAAAGGAATGCATGTCTAAGAAGATTCGTTGTAAAGATTCGTTCCTGCCTGCTTACTCCCTCGTTATGCGGGCTATCTCCGAGTATTAGACTGTGCTCGTGACGAAGAATAGGCGTAGGAACGCTGAGATTGCGGAGAACTAATTTCGTCGCCGACCACGAAGCGCGTTCTAAGCGAGGTCGTCGCTTCATTGGCGAGTGAGCGCCAGAAATGCTACTTCGGCGCGTCACAACTCCCCTGCGATTTCTGTTTTTGAGGCCTTTTTCATGTGGTATCAGCAAATCGGAACTGTCTTAGCAGGATAGACAAACATTTGGTCTTATTCTAAGGTGCATCGCGGCGTAGTATCCTGGGACGGTGAGGCGGTGTTTGACCGGAGCTCCCACCGGACTCTCGACGATAGCCCTTCCAAGTTGGACTAGTTGCTGGACTGCCCATGATTTGATTTTTGACGAGGTCGTCTTGCTTGCTGGTGTGACGTTGATGTACCAACCACGGCCACCGCATGGTATGACAGCTTTCGTCGACTCATGCTAGTACTTGGACGCTACACAACTTCGGCATGGATTTTTCTCAAAGGTACGCAGATCGAACGAGGTGGGCCAGAGATCTAGGACTTACTCTGTTATCCGGTGGGCGTTCAAACTTACTACTCCTTTCCTGATATAGCCTCGAGGTAGCCCTCTACAACTCGGACACGTGACCGCGTCAGTGCGGTATTATGAAAGGAGCCCCACTTCTCTCCCTCCCCCCTCTTTGCTTTCTCTCTTTTTCTGACCCACTGCGAATATGTCCAGTAGGACCTCCAAACCCGATGTTGGCAGTGTTAGGAACACCGCGAAGGATGATGCTGCCCCGGATCTCCCCCCTATCCCTGCCAATGTTGTGAAGAACCTCACTTCCGAACAGCTCATGAAACTCACCTTCAGATTGATGATGGACACGGGCAATTACGTCGATACGAAGTTCTACGCGTATTCATGCAGGAAAGCAACAGGTGCCGTCTACGCTCCGAAGGCGGTCTACGCGAACAGTTACCTTTTGAGGGCTAGAGCGCCGGAATACTTTGAACCGAGTATGTCAGGAGTCATCTTGGTGCATCGCGTTGCTAACATATCACGCCATACAGCATTTCATGGCCAGTATGACGGCTACTCCATCGTCGAGCCCTTGAACACAGGATTCCCCGCCAAGTTTCCCGGCGAGATGGACGGGAGTGGTTTCGAGTCAGATAGCGACATTGAGGACGATGATGATCAAGAGGTAGCTGCTCCGTCTAGTGACAAAGGCTCACAGATGGTGAAGAATTTAATCTTGCGTTGTTGGTCGCGACGGTTGCTTATCTTCCTTCTCAGAGGCTTGGAGCAGCGGCGAGCTCTGATGAGAAAGAGGATACCAAAGATACCTTGGCGTCTGGGAATGTGGGGCGCGTTCGACTAGTACCGACATTCGCTTATTCTACGTACGAATAGTCATATCGCTCTCTTGTCCTTCAAGCTCACCCGTCTGCCACAGCTGGCGTGCATTTATATTCTACGTGGCCACAGGCGATATCTCTTTCGCCCCCCTACGAAGTCAGAAGCAACCTCTATCGTCCAGTAAAGTATCAAGCGTTGCTGTGAATGCCCCGACCTGTTCTCCGAAGTCCATCTACCGGCTTGCCGAGGAGGTATGCTAAGGGGGCTCTCATGTCCGTAGTTCTGACTTATACCATCGTAGATTGGCCTCGATGATCTAAAAGAGCTTGCGAAGAAGGACATAGAATCCAAGATTTCCGATGAAAATATCATCGTAGAGTTATTCTCTTCGTTCACGGCAAAGTAAGCGCTATCGCCATGACTTTCGAAGTGCGGTCGCGTCCAAGCTTATTCGTTTGACCAGCCACGATGAGATCCGAGACCTGCAGCTGGATTTGGCCTGCTCAAAGGCGAGGAACGCAGTGTCCCAGGGTTTCTTCGAAGTCTTGAAGAATACTCCTGCAGACTCCATGAAGCGCGCAGAGATCGTCATTGCCGGCTTGGTCCAGAAGCTGGCGATGGCAAAACCTAGGCCGACTGGCTGCAGAAGCTGCGGGTTCCACGAGAAGAATGGTAATTTTACTCTGGTATGCGGCCACTGTCGTAACCAAAACTGGTTTGTAACATAAAGGAACGTCTCATACGATTCGTGTAGCGATTACATTGACTCGTACTGTTGAGGATGAGCTGGCTCTTATCTGAAATACGCGCTGCTATCGAGTGCGCGGTGAGCACCCATATTATTTGAACTTGATCGGCTTCGAGAACTTGAAGCCCATGTCATCATGAACAAACTACAAATCCTGCAATATCTTGTTCAGACTGAAGGCTAAGATTATCGGTATGTTGTGACCTCGTCTTAATTTGATGTGCCCCTTTCCGCGATCATCTACTCTGAATATATGAACCATTGTGCACGTGTCGATAAGCCCGGACATGGGTCTTCATCGATGTCATCGTCTCATGCACATTATGTAGTACCGTGGGAGTATGTGGATGATGCTGCTCGATATATGAGCTTACCATTGCAGGCACGAATGGTTGCTTCCAATCAACCACCACGACTTCAATCAAGTTCAATGTACAGGCCATCCACGTCCCAGGCTGCTGTCTTCGCTGCGACGCCCGCTGTGACGTATGGCGTGCCTAGTGCATCGCCGGGCTGGGTGTCGGGCCCTATCGAGGAGGCTGAAGCTGAAGCTCCCCTTCCAGCAGCCGAAGCCGTTCAGGAGGGGGCTTGGGAGGGGGTCTGGGAGTGCGAAGTTCCTACTGCCCCGGGCAAGTTCTGCGATTCTAGGCACCTTTAATGGACCTCTTTTTCACGTTCTTCACAGATTCGGAACCTCAGGAGACGATTGGAGATGCTTCAGCTGAAGCTGATGCAGTACTCCTGGCTTGCATGCTCTCTCTTGATACCGGTGCATTCATTGACACCAAGTTTTACACCTTCAGTCGCAGGACCAAAGATGGTAACATCTATGCTCCAAGGCCAATTTTTGCCAGCAGCTGGGTGCTTGAACAAACAGTGCCCCAGTATATGAAAAACCGTAAGCGAAAGTCAATCATATATGTCGACTCACATATGCATGCCATTAGTGTGTTTAGTCCTATCCGGGGATTACGGAGGTAACCTAACAGAGGGGCCGCTCGGCGCATCGTTTCCGGGAGAGCAAGACATCCTGAACGCAGTCGACAGCACTGGATACGATTCCGATAGTGATATAGAAGATGATGACGATACGGCCGAATCCGATTGTGGTTCCAAGCTGGTGAGCGCATCTTGTCTGCTATCGCATCGAGTTGATTGAATGCCGTGTATCTATCAGATAAAGAGGGAAGTCCAGGACGAGCCTGCCGGACAACAGGGCACCGGGAAAATCATCGTCCTTCGCAATTTCGCTTATCCTACGTATGGCCCCGATCCATGTTCTCTGGCAGGACTCTGCTCAACGTTATTCTCAGCTGGAAGTCCCTGATTTACTACCTGTATTCGGGCAAGATCACGTTTGCTCGCCTGAGGTCCTTGAATTCTCAGAACGCCGGTTCCGAGGATGCGGGTGCTCAGGCGAGCACTGGCCCGAGGGCGCCTACGTGCTCTCCAAAGTCTATGTACAAGCTCGCAGATGAGGTTGGTGATCCAGTGAGCTATGCCCGCTGTTGTAGCGGCTTATGTACGTACAATGTAGCTTGACATCAAGGGTCTCAAGGAGCTTGCAAAGAAAAACATCGAGTCCCAGCTCTCTGCTGAGAACATCCTGACAGAACTGATGTCATCCTTTACTTCTCGGTGGGTCATACTCGCCCTTCGCAACCCACTACCTGACCGCGGAGTCCACGATTAGCTACGACGAAATTTGCGAGATGGAAGTCGCATTTGCATGTGGCAAGGCGAGGACCGCGTTCACAAGGCCCGATGCACCCCTGCTGGAGGGCATTCCGGCGGACGTCTTGGTACGCAACGCTGGCGTTGTCTCCCGTCTCCTGCGGCAGCTAGCACTAGTAGGCGCACCGAGTAGATCAGCTTTTCCCGGATCTTGTAGTAATTGCGGCGCTAGTGGGGATGCCTGGATGACCTGCAGCTCGTGTGGATTCTTCCCAGGCACCGGACAGCAGGGCACCAGCGGGAATATGGTGACTACAGCATGGCGTCTTCGATGATAAGGACGAAAGCCTCCAATGACAGACAGTTTATGACCAAGATGCAGGAACTACGAAGTGCTGTTGTGCCTAGGCCTGGGTCAAGCCGCGCCATCTGGTGTGAAGGGGTATCGTATTCGCGTTGTCTAAATGTACTATTACAGCGCAGGGATGGTAGAATAGTATAGCAAGGATAGTGGATACATAACCAATGTGCATGTGAGAGTTCCGCATGAGAGCACAAGTTATAGCGATGAGAAGTAACGAAAGCAATTAACGACAAAATAAATAGAACCGCTTACGACAACGGCGGACCATTGCTCAGCTCGACGCCGACTTTCTGCACGAGTTGTATACCCAGCGGTTCAAGGGCTTCCTTCCAGACCTGAACGCGCCTACGGCCATTGAAGATCGCCATCGAGCGCTCGCCAACCTCGCCCTCGGGGCCAAAGACATAAACCTTGTCCTCGGCCCAAGGCGCATCGCCATGCGCGAACGCGAACCAGCGGCTTTGGACGGCATCGCGCACGCGCGCATACGTCCACTCGTCGACGATGGGCACGCTCCAGCCGTCATCCTCGCCGTCGGGGCTGTTGAATCCGAACCCGAAGTCGACGCCGTCCGAGTCCGTGTCGCTACCGTAAAACATGTCGGGGGTGTCTGGCCGCGAGGGCCCAGGGGACGCGGAAGGGGACAGTCCCGGCGAGAACGCGTCTGGCGGCGACACCGCCGGCGGAACCACCAGCGGGACGTTGTCGAAGAGGTACAGCAAGTCGACAGCATGGTGCGGCACACCACGTGATGGACTCTCCTGGTCGAAGACGTACCGCCAAACGCCGTGCCCGCCGCGCACACGCTTCTCGCTCGACGCGATGCACTCGGTCGGCCAGGCGAAGCGCGCGTCGTTGATGAGGTCCAGAACATGTTCGGGCAGCTCGTCGGGCGGGGTGTGCGCCGAGATGTCGTAGGCGCGCAGTAGGGCCGAGGACTTGGAAAGCGACTGGCAAATCGCACGAAGGCGCCGAACGACACCCGGCGCGCTCCAGAGCGAGGCTGGGAGCGACCACAAGAGTGACTCGGCACCGCAGTCACCAATCACGAGCGGTTGGAGGTGGGGTGGGTGGTGGTAATGGTTCGTACCAAGTGTGTGCCGCACACGAGAGCGCGACCGTGAGCGCGACCGTGAGCGAGAGTGCAGGCGGCTATGCGGGGACTTCAAGCAGTGTGAGAGAGCTTGGAGCTCCGGCACTTTCTCGTGCAAAGCCTTTTCGTGTAGGAGTATATCTTCGCTTTTTTCTGGGTATAGGTAGTCTTTCCATCCATGAGCAAAGAAGACGCCGTCGTCGACAGCCCGGACCACCGGAGCGATCACCGCGAGCCTGTCCGCGGGAACTATGCGTAGCTCATCGATGGTCGGTGCGTGAAGAGCCGATGTGAGACGAGAGAACTGCCAGCCGGCGCTGGAGACGTTTGGTATGTCCGAGGGCATCTCAGCGCTTTGGATGATCGCCCGCTGGAATAACGGCCGAAGCTCATTCGCAGAAGAGTGCAGGTGACAGAGTATGTCCGCTGCGCCCGACGCTGAGCCGAAAAGGGTGATATTGTTCGAGTCGCCTCCAAAGTCGGAGACGAAGCTGTACACCCACTCGAGGGCCTTGCGCTGGTCACGAAGACCGTAGTTGCCCACGCCCTCTTCGCCAGCGGCAATGTTGTCCTCGCGCAGCGCATTGCTTGCGGCAAAACCGAAGAGACCGAGGCGATAACTGCAACGTGTCAGATATGCCCATATATGGAGCGCTTCGCGAACCACTTACTTCACGGTCACCAGGATGACGGGTCTTCCCACCATCATGCTTCGCTGCACGAGGCAACCACCGTCGTACAGCCAGCTGGAACCTGAACCACGGTTTCCACCGCTGATAACACTTCAATACGGGTACAAGCGCTACTATATGGAGAAACTTACCCATGAATGAAAAACATGACTGGCAGGCGGCTCCCAGGGAGGGCATTAGCCGGGCAGGTGATGTTCAAGTTCAAACACTCGAACTCGTTCTGTTTTAGGGCCTGCGTGGGGATGACGTCTTCGGTAAGCCCGAAGAGCTCTGCTTCATAGTCCTTGCTTTGGGGCTGCGGACAAACGAATCTGCAAACCGTTAATTTCAAAAGAGCTCATAAGGCCACGGCGGAACTCACCCATGACGACTTGCGTCTGTCACCGGCGGATACGCAGTGTGCAGCTTCGACTGGCGGAAGCGCGCCAGAACTGAGGCGTATTTGATTCCGAGGTACTGGTGCACAACGGCATCCTCAGTCGAGATGGGGTGAACAAGACCAGTGAAGGTCGTGTGCAGCTTCTGGTGCAAGACAACGGGCTCGCTTTGAAGTCCAGTCGAAAGTTTTGAGATCATTTTGGGAGGGGGGATCCGATGGGGGTTAGGGACAAAATGAGCTGGCTAGGCTCGAGAGGATTGTTTCGCGGAGGTTAGCGTATGACGAGGCCACGGGGGGCAACGCTGTGTGCGGGATGCGTAAGGTGATGAGAGCGGGGGGATGGGAGGCTCTGGATCGTTGGCCGTCCATGGTCTTGTATGCGCAGATAGGAGTCGTCGATCGAGAGCCATTTCGAGGACGGCATGGTCGAAAACTTGGTAAGTGAGCCCAAAGCGGCAGGATCCACCTCAAGCGCCCGCGAGGCGCCGCGTTCGATGTTCCAGGTCTCTCCCGGGCAGTTCCGAGTCTGCATGCACAGGAGGCGCAACAGGGACAAACAGCGGCGCACGCGTACGCCGGGACTGCAGAGACCGACACGAGACTCGACACGGGACCAGGCCCTCGAGTTGGTCAAGCGGAGAGCATCAAAGAGGCCACCACTGACATCAGCGGGACTCAGACGATTCAGCTATGGAGCGCCCCCATGGGCAGCTGAGTGCTGGGAGATCCGAAGACATCCTCCTCCAAATACGCCAAGAGAGGAAAGGGGAGGATCTAGACGTCTGATACCGGTGACATGGAGTCAGATCAGGGAGCTGCTGAAAGGAGGTTATTGACGTACAATACGGGCGTATCGCCGGTCCAGCGGATGATAGTCGGCCAGACCGAGGCAAAAACACAGCCCGCGAATAGACTCAATGAATAGAGCTGTGCGTAAATCGATAACAGAAAGTCAGCGTTCTTGTGGGTAACATTTGGGCTGTGCATACGTAACAACATTATTATTACCGGCCAACGTTTCTAAATCTTCGCGTTGATTGGGTTTCGCTGCGGACGGGCAACGCTAGACATCTTCGCACGGACATGTGCGATGGGAGGGACGAGCAAGGGAGATGAATTCCATCAGAGTTCTCACCCGCGCCGAAACACCATGTACGGCGGCCTGCCAGGGATGTCGAGTGGCGGGGCGACCATTACACGTACAAGGAAGCTCTCGACTATTAATCTAGAGCGACGGTTGTGAACACCAATACGAAAAGGAAGAGTAAATAACACACCCAGAATATCGGACCGGCGGACAAAGACCTGCTCATCTAAGATTCAAATTGTCGCTGTCAGGGCGTTGCTCATTTCTTGGTCACCGGGAACAGCACGGACCAGACCACGTTCTCGAGCGGACGCATACCCGTCTGAACCCCCGAGACACGTATGCGCCTAATTTGGCCCACGCTGAAAGATTTTGACACCAGGATAACCATGGAGTCGGTCGACGATGTATTCTCTAGACTTCGACGATAGACCACTGCTAGATGGGGGCACAACGTGCAGTTAACACGTGAACCCCCATCTACCATTGGTCACCAGAAGGCCAACAATTCCAAGTGACGGCCTTGCAAGGACGGACCCGACGATGTCGAGGCCGATGGCTTTGCATCGCGGGCGCTGCAACGTTCGGAGATCAGCTACGATCAGTTCGTTTCGTGTATGAATGTGTGGCACATCTCTAGCAAAGCGTCGAGAGTCCAGGCCCAGAACTGCAAGTGTGTTTACGCCTCAGCGACAACGCCCCAGGCGGGCGATGGGCCGAGACTCAATGATCGCAGGGATCCGGCTGAGAACCAGAGGTGTTCTTGGACAATGCGATATACGCATGGCTTCGCACGCAAGAAGGATCCACCCTGTATTCAAAGTCGCAGCCACAAAGCACAAGCCTGTCCACTCACCACGCCACAGGCTGGGCTGGGGGAACTTGAGCGCATTCGCACCCCGGCATCTGTCGAGCAGTCCTGCCTGCCCGTGCTTATATCCTGTCCTAGGCGGCACTCAGTGCACCCCCGAGCGCGTTGTAGCGGAAAGAGGGTAGTGATTTGAGCTTCATAGTGGCCTGATATGAAGATAATCGTACGGCAGGTGGAGCGGCCTCCGCTTCGGAGGTGGGCATGTGAGATGGCCGCTGATCAGAATACGGCACGTTTGGAAGGGGCACGAACATTTGCAGGGACGTCGCTTGGAGGAGGTCTGTGCCGCGCTTGGTTGGGTGGAATTGTGGCGCTACGCAGCTGGCAGTTCGCCAGCTTGCTTGCACACGATGCATAACTTCTGGGCATCCACGGGGCTCGAGCGTACGCTGTAGATAGACAGGATGGTGGTGGGAGAGGTCAAGATGTGCGAGGATGCAGACCTGACTCGGTATCGACATATCGATGGGATCTAACAAGATCAGCTGTGGTTTGGTTTACTTGATCCTATCAAGAGAACCAAACTTAAGCTCACTCACCCATGTCCCTTAACGCCGTCGTAAGTCTTATAGTCCCCCCTCGTCGCCTCGCTTCACCTCTGAACTATCCTTCCAAGCAGCGTTCCAACTTCAGTACCCGACCTTATCCAGTCTCCTAAGTCTGAACTGCCAGCATCCTGGCTGTAGATGCTGTCACCTAGAGCGCTATCTTACTAGGATCACTGTGCACAGAGCCCATCCTCCGTTACCACCGATGTCCGCTTACCTGCGATATGTGCCTTGCATCTTCGGTCATGTAATTTCAGAGGAGCACCTCGAGCTGCCGACTTGATGGCTCAGCCACGCGAGATCGTGCCAGCCAGGAACCCTATGTGCACGACCCTCGCGATGCGGTTCAATCTCAACACCAGGACGGGCGAATACGAGACGTACGACTTCCGTCGTTGGACCGGTTCCGGGAGTTGCTGGGTATCACAACGGAGCCCCGCCGATATCGGTTGTACGGCGAGGAGCGGTAGGGCTGCTGCCGGTTGGCCATGCCGTTCATATCTTGGATGTATCATTATTCTATCGTGTCCGATTTCACAGAACGCGAGATCAGCCTCCTCACTGTGGCAAGCAGCTAGGCTCGCCGGCCATGGTCTAGTCGCTGCGCTCTGTGGAGGCTACATGCGTCTTGCACCCCGCTTGGGCTCGGGGTGCGACGCGAGCTTGCAAGCGGACTGGTCCTATCCGCTGTTGTTATTGAAACCACGGCAAGTCCACAGGAGAAAGATCTCGAGCATGTAAGATTCTGTGACATGTACAGTACAACGATTCTTAAGCCATCTGAAGCGTGGCGCCCTGAGTTACGTCATGTAGCGTAGTCAGCTCTGTAAACTGTAAACCGTGTGGTACTCTGGCAGGACGGTCACCTTCGATATCGCGCAATCCCTATAGTGAACCTCACAGAATCTCCGGGTTGGCTGTGTACGTGTAGGACTGGAATCGCCCGCTAATGAAAAGACTGATCTAACTGCTTTTGTTCGTGGGATATCTCACGGGTAATCAGCTTGTGCTTGGCGAGTTGAAGTGGTGGCAGTTGCGCTGCGCATTTCGCTTTACAGCTTCTTTTGCTCTGCCACGTTCTTATTCTGCACAGCTCTCATCTTTCTCTTCTCTTGATCCCCGCGGGCTGTTGCTTTTACCATCTTTTCTCTTTTTATATACTCCATAATTGCGGCTGTCCTAGCCGCGCTAATACGCCCCCATCCGCACAGACGACTTTGATCAACCACCATGTCCACCCCGAACGACGAGATCGACACCTCCGAGCCTCCCGTCTCTGTGCCCGACACGGGCGATGCGGGCGACAGTGGCAAGCTCAAGATGATTGTCTCACTCGTCAAGAAGTGCTTTGGAGTGAAGGATATCGCGTCAATGTACGTACTCAACGTCACAGACTTTGCCGACAACCCTACCATCTCCGATGCGAAGATATTCGTCACGATTCGTAGACGGAGACTATCATGGTACCATGCGCTGCGTCCATGGTCGAGAGAGTCACCACCCTTTCTTGCTCGCGTTCATAGCAACCGCCTGCGAGCAATTATGCTGACTTGATCACTTAGGCGACTGTCCCTTCCTGCATCGCTCCTCGAACCTATTCCGAATCTCGAGTATTGGCATTATCTAGACAGGCCGGACCTGTTTGCTGCGTACGTGTACACACACTCAGGCGGGGAGCCCAAGGCTGACCCAGACAATCATCATCCGCCGCTGCGCCCTCTCTGCGACGCTTCCTGATCGCTTGGCGAACCGCGCACGTTCCTCATCTTGTTCGATCATCCGACATATTCTGCAACAGTATCAATGACTCGGACGACGCGTTTGAACGCATGATTGCCGTCCTTCGATTCGCATTCTCCAAGGACCTCAAGTTCATTGTATGTGTTTCGTCTTTGACGTATCACTGGGGCTCACCATGGTTTCAGCATGGCAAAGTCTGCAAACCATACAACTCTGTCATCGGGGAACACTTCCGCGCACACTGGGACGTCTTACCAGTGTCGTACCCAGAGGGTAGCCGGCTACAGATGCCAGTGCAACGCCTCTACCTCGCACCCGCAGCGGCCGAAAGCGTGTACTCGACAGCCGACTCAAGTAGTGTGAAGAGTGGTACCAGCGGAACCAGCGGACTCAGTCGGAAAACCGGCAGCCCAAGGAGCGCGAATGGACGCTTGTCGAACTCCACGGTATCAGGTGTCGGCACGCCAACGAACAGTACGCCTGCGACATCCGCCATCGAGGAGCAGATCGAAGCTGAGCTCGAGCAGCTCACGCTCGACCCGAACGCGCCGCAGAAGATCCTGTCCGCGTCGGAGCGCGAGAGGCTGAAGGGCCTTCCCGGCAACGTGTCGACCTCGTCTGTGCAGCTCATCGAGGAGGACTCGCCCGTGACGTCTCCGATGATCACAGACGGCGAACCACGGCGATTACGCACATTGTATCTGACGGAGCAGATCTCACATCACCCGCCTGTGTCCGCTTACCATGCTGTGTGCCCTACTCGGCGGGTGAGCATGTGCGGCATCGACCAGATCAGCGCTAAGGTCAGCGGGACAACCGTGCGCGTCGCTCCGGGCACACACAACAAGGGTATCTTCCTGCGAGTTGAGGACCGCATCAGCGAAGACGGGAAGCCGGAGCGTTACCACATGTCGCACCCGCCTGCGCACGTGAACGGCATTCTGCGCGGGAGCTTTTACATCACCGTCAGCGAGAGCACATACGTGACGTGCACGGACGGCCCCGGCTGGATCGTGCCGGGCGGGAAGGACAAGGGCAAGCGTGTCGGTCTGCGCTCCATCATCGATTACAGGGAGGAGAGCTGGATCGGCAAGGCCAACTTCGCACTCGACGCCGTCGTGCACACGTACGACCTCGACAACCTTGAGGAGGCGCAGGCCTGGACGAAGGTTAAGCATGTGTCCAAGGAGCGCATCGTGGCGACGTTCGTCGGCAGCTGGCGGCATCTGATCAGGTACAAACTCAACTCGGCATTCTTCCCCGCCAAGTCGGGATCGACGCTCAGCCTACCTGCGGATGAATGGGTGCCACTTATCGACCTGTCGATGTTGTATCCGATCCCGAAGCTTGTACGTGATCTTGACAAGCAGGAGGAGAAGGAGAGCCGGCGGATGTGGCAGAACGTCACCGACCGGCTGCTGCGGAAGGAGTATAGCGAGGCGAACAAGTTCAAGCAGGCCATTGAACAACGGCAGCGGGAGGAGGAAGCAGGAAGGAAGCAGCGGGGTGAGAAGTGAGTATATGTTCGCGTCTTTTGCTACGTGTTGCTGACTTGGGATAGGTATGTGCCGAAATATTTCATCTGGGATGTTGAGTCCGGGATGCCCGCCCTCACGGAGGCAGGCGAGAAGGCGCTAGCAGAGGAGATGACGGAGCAGGCTATTCACTCGCTAGAGTAATGCCCCTAGTCTCCTGGCATTCTGCGCTTGCTACCTGACCCGGCGATGTTGGTAATGTGTAATGTAGCTGACCTTAGATCGGAGGATGTAGACGAGGCAGAGGAAGGAACTTTGGAATCATCTAATACACAAGAATGTCATCTAGTTCGCACTGCACGCAGTAATGGTAATATAACGACACCGGACAGTTTGGAATGAATCGGTAGCCAATATATAGTCCTCACGTTAGTCACACTCATCTCAGCACGAGCGAGTCGAGAAGTACATGATCGGTCGCCTCTATGATACATCCTACAGTGCCTCAAGCTATGTCGTGGCTATAACGCTTTGCTACAAAATAACGCTTGCTTTGCAACGTCATAGCACTGAGGCGCAAGCGTTGCCCGTGCTATATCGATACAGGCCGAAAGGCTTGCAGTGTAGAAAACTGGGAAGATCAATAGTGGCCTCCAAATCTCTGGATGATCTGAGCTATAACGCCTGCGTTGTGCTTCAGCCCATCCGGAGGTATAGAGCTCATCCATTCGTAGATCCCACGCGTTACGGCACCCCTTGCGCTGTCATGAGCGTAAGCGACCTCCATGTCTCGGATTTCGTCATATCTATCGGCGCATTGGGGATTAGCAAGCATGAATATAGGCCCACCACGTCTTACCTGGCCGTGAAGGACGAAAAGAGTTCCACCAGGATATTCTGCTCAGAAATCTTAGATTCTATATCCCTTCGTGCCCTGTCTTTCAGGTCTTTCAAGCCCAGCTGACATAAAGCATCAGACAAGCTGGGAAAGGATAAACAAATGGAATGCCTACTTCGTCAGCAAGTCTGTACATTGACTTTGGAGAGCAAAGCGGGGGGGAGGGCGTGAAGTTCTCGCGTCTCGCTACATCCGACGAGTTGGGCTTCGTCCGCACTTCGCTCTTCAATGGTGCAAATGCGATGTCTCCTGTGTAGAGATAGAAAATGAAGGCTTTCCACCTGGCGGAAAGACAGTGATCAGGGGAAGATTTACCATGGACTGTGAGTAGGCAACTACTACGCACGTAGGATATGCGAAGTCACGCATCAAGCGAATGCGGCCGACATTTCCTGTAACGATATCATGTTTATCGTCTGTATCGCCAGAATCATCATCGGTGCCTTTCTACGATGGCAAGAGTATAACAGCACGGCGTCAGTAGTGCGAGGAAAAATCAGCAAGCAACAATAACGTCCCACCTTCTTGTCCTCAGCAGGGGGGCTAGTGGTGGACGAGAGCGAAAACGATATCGTACTTGTCAGTCCAGAGCCTGCGGATCCATCAGACTCTTGCTCGTCGTCTTCGATATCACTGTCCGACTCGTGACCACATCCGCTGGCTTCAACAGGAAACTCATCCGGGAATGGCCCGTTCAGAGGAGCAATGATACAATCCCCGCCATAACCCTGCAGCAATACTGATAACAATCAGAGACAGCCGACGCAAGTCAGGCATTGGGAAGCAGCTCACGAGGTTCAAAATACTCCGGCGCTCTCGCCCGTAACAGGTAGCTGTTGGCGTAAATCGGCTGAGGGGCGTAGACCTCACTGGAGCTTTTTCTGCGAGTGTATGCATAGAACTTAGTGTCGATGAAATCGCCGCTAGTCAACGACAGCTTGCAGGACAATTTGAGCAGCGATTCTGGATCCCGATTGACATCAGCGGGGATGGGCACAGGCTCCGGAACGTCGTGAAGCTGGGCCTTCCCGGAGAGGGCCTTGGTCTTGGACTTCGACATTACTAACGGTGTGAAGGGGAAGAGAGGGTACAAGTCCTACGATGGCGACGCGCCGTAGACCCTGTTAAATCTGTCCCTTATCATACCTCGAGCTTTACTGAGGCGGTCGAGATTGCGTCTGAACATGCGGTTTGCGCGTGGAACTATCCTCTCGCAAATGAGAATGATAGAGCTGTTGCTCTATGCACTTTATCGATGCACGTGGCCCAGATGACAATGCGGCGAGTAGCAAGGGTCGTCGAGTCGCCTGTCAGACGCAACTCTAATTAGGTCTCACGCAGACTTGCCTGGGAAGAAGTCAGCATGGTGGCTGCAGTGGTAATACCAGATTGCACCTGGTGAGTTTGTGTAATTTAGCAAATGGCTACTTGTAGTTGCACGTCGAAGAGGCCTGAAGAATCTAAGAGCTGACTATAACGCTTTGCAGTAGGATAATTATCTTCATGTTGTACCAATGAACGTAGTAGAAGAAAGAACCAGAGACGACGGGTCTCCGGCAGGATGTCCCACCATCATTTCTTGCACATCCTCACCCTCGCCTTCGTTGTCTTCTCCAATCGCAGGGTCTTGCTGTCCTAGGCGCGCCTTCTCCAGGAGCTTGGACGAGGAGGAAGGGGATGCTTTGACGAGCTTGAATCGCTTCTTCACCCTCAAGGTGCGCTTCTTGATCTTCTCCTTGCACCGCTCGCATATCGTACCAATGTCCGCAGCAGATAGCGTACGATTGCAAAGCTTATTGCCGCACTGAGGTAGAATTTGGGTCAGGATTCAGCAAACTCACGGGCTGCGACAGAACTCACAGGCCGGGTAAGCTGAGACTCGTTCGACTGTGGAGGAGATTCGCTAGCGCGCGGTAGAACGACAGCCGAAGCGGCCGCATTTACGGGTGCCGGTGTAACAGGCAATACGGGCTGGATGTTCGGTGTAGAGGTAGGCATAGCTTGGCTCTGGATGATTCCATTACCAGATTGGACTTGCACATCAGCCTGAGCCGAGCTCTGCCCAGCCTGTACCCTCTCTTCCTCCCGGCGTTTCAGGTACGCTTCCACAGCCGCCATATCAGCTTTCCTCCGTTTACGCTTCTCCGGTGGCTTGTCCACGAAAATCACCTCGGTTTGCTTGTGCTTCTCACTCACCGACATCGTGATCATCGTCGCTGGCGGTGGATGCACGAGCAATCCAGCAGTGGCTGGGTCGGAGATGGTGCCTTCGGCGGATCTGGATGTGTCCACGAGCCGGACAGGGAACATAGAATACATAATGGATGGGTCTGCCGGTGGTGACGGGCGCCACGGAGACGACGCCGGTGTTGGAGCAGGTGCACTTGCCGCGTTGTTACCGGAGGTGGCAACCGCTGAGGGAACACTCGGCTGGTTTGTGCTCGTTGTTGGATCAATGCTGATAGATTCATTCGCATCAGGTGCCTGTGGATGTGGCGGTAGAGGTTGAATCCCCGGTGCTAAAGGAGGCGGAGGTGGGAGGTAAGGATACGGGTGAGGGTAATAACCGTACGGCGGAGGATATGGCAGTGGGTAACCTGCATAGCCTGCGTAGGGTGGCTGAAACATCGGCGATGGCGCAAAACCGTCGCGGGGGAAGGCGGGCGGAAGGTGCTGCGGAGGGGGTGGCGCCGCAAAAGGATAAGGTGCGCCTGGTGGCGGGTACGGTACACCATACCCGGGCGGAGGCATGTAACAAGGTACACCATATGGCGCAGGAGGTAGTGGTTGTTGCGCCGGAGTTCCTGCAGCCGTCAGAGAATGCAACGTAGGGGAACTCGCGGTTGTTGTCAGTGTAACCGAAGCCGACGCTTGGGGTTGGATCACCTCAGTCACGGCTGCCGTAGCTGTTGTGGCGCTGGGTAGCTTGTTAGTATCTTTCTTAGTCTTCTTCTTTGACGTAACAGGTGTTGGTTCTACTTGTGCTGGAGTAAGTACGAGAGATAAGCCGTGTGTTTGTTCGACTGCTCTTTCCTGTTGGACAGGTTCGGAAGGTTCAGAGATATTGCCCTCTTGGTCGGCCATGACGAAGGAAATTTCAGCATTGGCGCACAGGGCAGACTGCACATGAGTGTTTCATAAGATGCAAGTGTAAAAAATCAGAAATGAACCGACCTCGGTCGCGCCTGTGTTTTCACTGAGTAGCACCGGATTTATGAAAACGAGACTGGAGCCGTCACCATCCTCATCATTGGGCTCAGGTGACACGCTGCGGGAAGAATGCTCTCCATCTCCGTTCATATCATTCGTGCTCCTCGTTGCCTGCTTCTCCTTCGACTGCTTCTCCTTCCGCTCCCTTGGCGGCATCCGCGGGGGCAAGGGGTCAACCATCATGCCACTCTCGCGGAGTGCTCTAATTTTTCGAACCGTCCGCTCGTGCGCACGGCAATCGTCGCACATCTTCCACGGAGTAGAGGGAGAGAGCAGGTTGTGGCAGCCTTTGATGGTACAGACATGATTCGTACGGCGAACTCCACGAGCAGCAGGTGGCACTCCGAAAATGATGACCTAACATACAGTCAGATCAAGACTACATACAGCACCAGATCGCGCACCTGAGGTTCGACTATCTTGACATTCGCATTCGAAACAGAAGCGTGTTGCTGCTCTTCCATTCCGAGCACGTCACCCGTAGACCCCCCAGGACCCTGTTCGCTACCGGAACCTTCCGAGAGAGTGTTCGTTTCTGGAGGTTCGTACGGCTGTGTGGCCTGGTACACCATTTGTGAACTGGATGCGGCAGAGCCAGCAAGAGTCGCAAACCATCCCTCGAGTGCTAGTGCTTTCGCATCCTTGTCACGAACGCGCTTCAGCTTGCTGTGGTGTCGATTTTGAATGCGATGTCGTTCGCAGCGGAGGTACTCGTACCCGACAGGCAGAATCTCGCGACAGTGAGATACAGTACACATTCGCGGGATACTAGTGTTGACTGCGCGTTCTGCCATGTTATCTTCAGGCCAAGCTAATGTATTGACGGCAGGTAAAGGCTGGGAAGAGCTCATGATAAGCATATATACCAGCTCGAGATGATGTATCGGCTCACAGGTAGGCCCTGCTCTGCTCGGACTCTGTTCTGCTCCTCGCGCTGTCGCTCCATCTCCGCAATAGCCTTGGCCTTCTCCTCTTTCCACTTCTTGCGCTTCGTGTTACCGTAGGTCTTGTACTTGCTCCGGCAGGTCTCGCACATCTTGAATAGGGAATTCCCGTCCATTACAGTCTTGCAGCCCTTAATGGAACAGAAACGCGGGGGAAGCGACCCATCGGGCTGGATAGCAGCGACCTCAGATATACTTTGCACAGAGATTTCGCCTTTATGCTGTTGCGGTGTGTGCGCTCTGGACTGCTGAAATGGAGGGCACACAATATTGCCGGACGCATCAGGACATCCGGTGTCAGGAGGAACGCTGGTGCTAGGGTGCAGGGCAGGTACCTGAGGCTGAGTAGGTGATCTGGGCCGTGAAGTCGTAGGAACAGGCAGGGTTAATGCCCCCGCAAGCTCGGAGGAAGAACTAGCGACTGATTGAAACAATCGCGGGTCGAGGGTCGGGTCCCAAGATGTGCTCCCGGAGTAGACAAAAGATTGGGATGCTTGCTCGGGAGAAGTAGGCTAATGGCATGTTTACGACAAAATGATAGCTCAGAGAATGAAAACATACCTCCGGCTCTGGTGATGCGTTTACAGGATCACGGTCGTCTCCAGGAACCCAGCCATTCTGTAGACCCAGTGCTGCTTTCTCCATCTTACGCTTCGCCCGCTTCGTGCTAGCATATATTCGGTGTCGTCCCCTACACACGTCGCACATTTTGTTTCCATAATTGAGCGGCAAGACCGACGTGCAGCCCCTCACGGAGCAGTAGCGCGTCGGGCCGTTCCTTTGATCACTGTCCTCATGCTCATGTGTACGCTGGCTGCTACCGCTCGCGACGGGCGGAGAGAAGATGGGACTTGCACGTTCCTGTTGGAAGGAGGAATCGCGGTAATACGAGCCCATCCCCGCGTCCGCGTCCTAGTCTCGGTCCAGTCGTCGCTGGCAAGATAGGAAGGTGGAGGTGATGGAGAGAGATGCTCAGCGGAGCTGTAATTCTGACCTCCAACCGGTTTCGGCAGCATACTGCCGGGCAGAACTGACTACCACAAAATATTCGGATGTACCGCTCTTGGGCCTATTGAACTCTCATTCGACCTATTAACTAGCTATGGAACCCTTCGAATCGCCAAGTAACTGCAAGAATGCTGTAAAAGACCTTCTTAAGACGGCGAATTGGCAGGCGGCGCTCAAGTCCAGACCGGCTAGTCTACCGGCGCCCCCAGGCAAGACAGCTGAGGCATAATATATAATATCTCGTACTGTCTCTCGCTGGATCAAGGGTTCGTGCAAAGTGCACGCCAGGGATGCGGCAGCAACTTCCCATGTAGTGCATCCCCGACTGAATTCTCCAAAGTATATCCAAAATTCCGAGATTATATTACACTTCCAGGTCTAAATACATACGGGTATTAGTGGCACTGGTACCCCGAACCAACAAACATGTAAGTAAAGCAGAAGAGATGTGAGAAGTAAACAAACACGACGGAGCGTAGGGACCTAACAGCATGCCTGCTTCCCTTCGTCCTGTAGCTGTTTCAAAGACCTGAAGGCAGCGTTGATCCCTTCCCGCACTTCGTCGCGTTCTTCCTCTTGCACCCGCGAGATAAGCGCAGACATCTTGTCAGGATGCCATCGCAAAAGTGAGGAGCGTATGCGCTCCCTGTGCGACCCTGTGGCTCCTCGAACTTTGAGGGTAGACAATATGAATTCGGACACTGCTTCGTGCGTGAGGTCGCTGGACGAATTTGGAGGGATGCTAGAGGGCCAAGGTATGTCTCCCCATGTGACAGGGCCTCTTGACGCGTTGAGGGCCTTCCAACGCAGCTCATATGCGTTCCATTGATCCATAATTCTCTTCTCCTCGTCCTGCAGGCGAATCTCCTCCTGCATCCATACAGTGCGAACCTTATCCCTGCGACCACGCGCATCGCGCAAGATACCACCTGAGCGAACCCAAGCGAGCTCTGAGAGGTATGCTTCGTGACGTTCTTGCTGCTGGCGTTGCTTGCGTTTTTCTTCGAGCTGGGCGTGTCGCTGCCGCTCCTTGGACTTGGCATGTTTGTCTTCGTCATTCTGACGCGTATTTCCTACGGAGGGGGCCTGAGATGGCTGATCCATGTTCTCCGCAGAGGACGAGGATAAAGGCAAACGCGTTCGCTCCGCCTGCGGAGGAAAGGCAAAATAGCCAGGTAGGTAGCTCACTACAACAAGCATGGTTAATGCGCGTCACAACCAGTGGCAAAATTTAAACAGACTTTTGGACGTGGGTGTAGGTTGAGATAACTGGTTTGTACGCGGACGGCGAGAATAAGTGTGGGTGAAGCTCGGAGGTTCGAACAGCGTGGTTTCATGCTTAACCCTAACCCTCGCACGCCTTACGTCAGCATACTAGCGCTTAGGTATGGTCGGTCCGCCCTCTCCTTGACACAGGCATTGATGGTTTAGGATGTCTACTCGACATCGCATGTACCTCTTCCACCTAGAATAATGGACCGCTTCTCCGCATTACCAGTAGATCTGCTGCCCAATATTCTACAGGAAATCATTCCCCCAAACCATTTGGCGAGTGTCTGCTTGGTAAATAGCACATTTCATGCGTTTGGCGTACAATTTCTGTACCGCCGAATCTTCATATACTCCTGGCATAAGGAGGCGAAAGTCAAGGTGATATTCCATGTCTTCATACTATTCCGGGAACTGAATATTTGCATAGGTTCGTCAACTGCTCCGCACACTCGCCAACTGTCCCCACTTGGCGAAGCATGTCGTTCAGCTCAGTACGCACTAGTAAATTGGGTCGAAATGGATTCAGCTCATGGAGTTGTCTTTGTTCCTAGCTCTGCGAGACTTCCCACGAGCGATGATCGCCTCGACGGAGCGGGAGCAACTCATGACACTCTCGCTTCAAGCAATTCGCAGCTGCGTCAATCTACGCTCTTGCACATTGACGAGAGACGGGTCCCTCTCAAACGATATTATTTTGACCCTGCAGCAAGCCCAACATCTAGCTGAGCTAGAGATCAATGGACACAACTTCTTCTACTTCAAACCAGGACTCTTGCCCGATTTCAAACACCTCCGCAAGATCTCCTTGATCATGCCTAGTCCTGAGGTGTTGAATATTCTCTCAATATGGGTGCAAAATACTGCGCCGACTCTGCAGCATCTAACGCTACTCTGTCAGGTGAATACGTCATCCAGTGCATCTCCGCCTGTGCTGACGCATATTCAACTAGTCTTCGAACGCTGTTACAGACGAGTTACTCGAGACGCTGTCAGAATACATGGTCAATCTCGAGTATTTGTACCTCGTTGGTTGTCCGAAGGTCACACATGTTGGAGTGTGGGCCATTATTTCGAAGTCTGAAGTCGGCTTGAGAGGGCTTGGCCTAGAAGACGTTTCTCCATCCTTCGTCAGTCGGCTTCCTTGCGCTCTCTTGCGCTCTCTTTCCTCATTCCACCAATCCACAGGACATCCACCGCCTTAGCGAACTCTGCGCCGTTTCTCAGTCCTTGCGACGCCTGAAGTCTATCACCCTGACCGTTGAAAGCCGCTCGTCTACTTCACAGAGCCCATGGACTTGGGGAGTCACCAGCTTGCTCGCTGCCTCGCCTCTCGAATTCTTCCACGTGTCTTCTCTTGGCGGGGACCTCAAAGCGGCGGGACTTGACGATCGGTTCTGCCACAACATTGTCGCAGCACACGGCGAGCGCTTGCGCAGGTTCTCTGTGCACCGCCTGCGCATGAGCCTCGACGCTGTGAGGGACATATGCGCGAGATGCCCGAAGCTCGAGCAGTTGTTCGTAGTACTGGATCGTACGGATCTTGTAAGTTCATTCACATCGCGTCACTCACCGAGACCATTCATAATATATCTTAGAACGAATTAGGGCTCTGTTTATCGGTAGCAAAGTCGCTGCGCGCGGTCCATGTCAACCGTCCGATAGGACCCGAGTCCGACTCTGAGAGTATACCTGTTGTTCCCAGAGAGCTAGTTCTGTCGATTCTCAGACAGAGTGGCCTCCCGGCTTTGAAGCAAATTGGTTTCAACACGAGGGTTAATCAGGTCTGTTGACGTGTTTTCGTTCAGCGACTGTTACTAACATTCTTCATAGGTGGAAAGATTGCCCAGAGTTAACGAGAACGGGGAGGTCGAGATGGAGTTGCAACTAGGACCATACGAAAGCCCAGAAATTCCGGAGCAGTTCCTGGTGGTTCGCACCAGCTAACGAGGAGCGATTGCACTAGCTTCGCTCTTGCGTGCGCGCCACGGATCACCGTCGGTCCGTTTTACAGTATGGTAAAGAGAAATAAGAGATATATATCCCGGCGAGAAACAACACCAACGAGAAGAGTAGCTGGCCATGCAGTAAATGGCAATATGCACGAGATGTAACGAGTATAATAGTCACTACAAAACTCTTACGTCTCTGCCTCTACCTCGGGGTTTTCCTCCTCAGCAGCAGGCTCCACATGTGATTCTTCATGAGTAGGTGGCTCGCTCACGGCAACCTCAACGTACGAAGCGTGTTCTTCCACAATCTCGCGTTTGTCCTCTTCCTGAGTTTCAGCTGTTGGCTCTTCGGCTGGCTCGGTAGCAATGTCGGCCTCCGGTTCTTCGGGAGCAGCAGGCTCAGTGGGCTGCTCTGCTTCTGCAGGGGATTCGGGCTCGCCGCCTTCAGTGACGTCGACTTCCTCCTGAGTGCTCTCAACCGAAAGCTCTACCTCGTGCCCTTCGTCCTCCTCAGCTACTGCCTTCTCTTCCCCTGCTGGTACCTCAGCGGGTGCTAGCTGAAGAGACTCCGACTGTGCCTCTTCGGTTGCAGACACCGAAGCCTCCGCGACATCAGTGGCCGAAACCTCATGTGCTTCCGGCTGTTCTGATGTCGCCTCCTGAGGCGCCTCTACCGGCACCTCCTCTGCTGCGGCCAGTGGCTCCTCGGTGGACAATATACGCTCCTGCGCTACGGCGCTGTCTAGTTCCACCTCCGAGAATCCCCGACTCTTGGCGAGCTCTTCCGCAACATTGACAGACTCGCTGTAGACCATTGTGTCTGTACGGCTACGTCCTTTGCGCGGGCTCGCATTGCGCGCGTCGTCCGTTATGCCGGGCGAGCTAATGCCTCTATCCTTGCCGGTGAGGATGCCAGACGGTTGCAACAGCCATCCGCGCTCCTGGCTAGGGATGCGGCGCGCTGTATTCATGTAGTCCTCGCGACTGATGTCGGACGCGTCTGACGGTTCTTCTTCTTCAGGGCTGTTGTCTTCGCCGTCACCGTCCTCCTCTTCGTCTCGCGAGCTCGTGTGAATGCTCATGCGGGGAGGTATCACGAGGAAATCGGTCGATACCAGTGCGAACTTTGAGGTAAGAGCAAGAAAGCGCGCATATAGCGAGGATTCGGCCTCTGCTTGCTCGAATGCTTCGCGGTGGTGGTAGTAAGCATGCGCGAAGATGCGCCCCAGTCGACGCGCGAGGGAAGAGAAGTGGCGTGTTGATGCTGGGGGTATGGATAAACTGCACCAATGAGAGTAAGGACACCTATGACTACAGAGACATCCGACTATACGAACCGAGATGGAAAAGCGCGTGGCGAGTTGAGCAATGCCGTGGCGCTATCGAGTGTATGCAATATGTAGTCAATGGCGCAACATTGCTACGGAGCGCAGTTAGAGGCTGCTGGGGAGCATGAGCGTGTAACGAACCTCCATGGCACCTTCATTCCCGTGAGCAACACAAAGGTACAGCCATTCGCCGGCTTTCATCTCGGGACATGTCTGACGAGTACACTCTTGCTGCAAAGTGGTAATCAGGGGATGGGACAAGTCCTGTGCAAGTCGTCTACATCCCCAAGAACGCGTTAATGGCCAAGTAAGACGCGCAAGACGCCAACACGCACCGAAGCTGCTCGTATATCCAGCACGACTCATCTACTGTAACCTCACTCTTTCCCTCCTTGTCGGCTGGGCTTTCGGAGCCGTCGCTCGAGTCTCGGTCGTGCGAACTACTCTTTCCCGGGAGCGATACGATTGTGTCGACGTCGTGTACATTGAGGCGGATCAACAGCGAGATGTACTCTTGCAGCTGGAATGCGCTGTCAAGCGATGTTAGAGGCGGCAGCTCATGCACCGGATAGAACGAAGAGATGCGTGAGCCTTTCACAGGTCGTTGTATCGTTACCATAGCTGGTCGTTTTGGAGGTAGTGGCAGGTCAGGTTGTCGGTTCGCCGTGTCTGCTCGGCGTCCTCGAAGACAAGTAATCGGGGTCCACCAGGCACTCTGGCACCACATCTAACCTCGGGGTCTCCCTGAGTCTGAATTCTGAACTGGACCCATGACTTCGAAAGCTTGGCTGGACATTTACATCGGCGACTGCGACGCATATGCCAGAGAGAAGGCTGCTTATGATGCCACAAACCTTTTGCTGCAAAAGAGCTGTACTATGTATGGCTTTCCATCCACTCTCGAAGAGCTCTCGGAGGAACAGCAGGACATACTGAAGGAACTTGATGTGCATTGAACCTATCTGTACGCTTTGGACGACATCAACTTCTTACGTCGATTTCTCTAGAGCTCCTTGGAGATGCATTTTGCTCCTCCTCGTCCGCTTTGCGCCGGTAGACTAGTGTTCAAGCTGGACGATGCTCATGGGCTCGCGAAGACGCGGGCTAACTTCCTGGCACTTTGTACGGGGGAGAATGGCATGTGCAAAAATGCTCCGAACAAAAAACTGCATTACGTCGGCTGCCCAATGCACAGGGTTATCAAAGGATTTGTCGTTCAAGGTGGAGACATCACAAGGGGAGATGGATCTGGTGGCGAGGTACATCCTCCCGGTTTACTCTTACTGCGGTACTGACTACTGACTTGTCTACAGTCGATATATGGCGGTAAATTCAACGACGATAAAGACGGCTTGAGGCGTAAGGTACAGCGAGGATCTCTCGCCATGGCCAACTCGGGGAAGAACACCAATTCGTCCCAGTTCTTTGTTGTCCTCACCGATGACAACGCCAAGCTGAACAAAATGAATGGAAAGTATGTCGTATTCGGCGACGTAGAGTCTGGATGGGAAGTTTTGGATACACTAGACCAAGTGGCTGGGGGAGCAGACGGAAAGAGTACAAAGCCAGTATGGATCGGTGATTGTGGCGTATGTTAAGTGCGTACGACTCGCGCCGCTCCCAACCCTCCCTGATGACCCTGCTATCGATTTTATCTACTTCAAAACGCGTATCTCTTAACAAACTCGGGTTGTTCCCTTACTCCATGTGCACTCAGCCTGATAAGCCATTCGTGGGACTCTGAGAGTTCGCCGTTCTCCTGTGATCTTCCGTCGGCTTTTAAGTGTACTGCCTTGTCCTCAGCTCCTAGGCTGACGTTCTTGCTTTGTCCTGCTGTGCCGCTTATTCACTTATCGATATGCTTCGCATCGGTGTCGACGTCGGAGGTATGTAACTATGCCGCCGTCCTAAGACTGTTAGACATTGATTTACCTCCCTACTGCAGGCACAAACACAGATGGTGTCCTGATAGACATTACTCGGGTGTCAGAGCCTAACCGTGGCGTGTTGGCTCACTTCAAAGCACCCACGACGCTCAATGTTTCCGACGGCATCGAGGCTGCCATCCACGAACTCTTGAAGGCAGCAAACGTATCGCCCTCGGCTGTGTCCTGTGTTAGCATAGGTACAACAGCTTTCATCAATGCTGTTCTGGAGCAGGACGCCCGTAGGCTATCAAAAGTTGCCGTCATACGCATTTGTGGCCCGTACACGAGACAGTGTCCACCATTCATTGATTTCCCTCCGCAACTCAGGCGAATAATGGACGGGCATGTTGGCTATGTAGATGGTGGTTTGGAGAGTAAGTCTATGCGTCATGACTAGGCGTAAGGCTCACCGACGTCTAGTCGATGGACGTGAAATTGTTCCTATGCAGGAAAGCCAGATCGTTGAACAGTGCCAAATTATCAAGTCCAAAGGCCTCAATAATGTCAGCGACGCTTTCGCGTCTTCTACCGCCGATCGTCTAAATGTGTTGTGATTCAGGTCGTTATGTCTGGTGTCTTCTCCCCCTTGGATAACGAAGGCGTTCAAGAAGATGCTGCCGCGAAGATTGTGCGTCGTGAGGTCGGTCTTGGTGTCAATGTCGTTTGCTCTAGAGAAGGTACGTTCTCCACTTTACCCAGCTGCTGGAGAGACCTGAACCTGCAGACAGTCGGCCAAGTCGGTCTATTGGAGCGGGAGAACGCATCCATTCTCAACGCCTCTATTCTCACCTTTGCCCAGAGGACTATTCGTCACTTCAAGAAAGCTATTCGAGCCCTCAACCTCAATTGCCCGCTCTTCCTGACGCAGAACGATGGCACGCTGACATCTGCAACTCAGGCCTCCAGGCTACCTATCCGGACCTTTGCATCTGGTCCCACGAATTCGATGCGCGGTGCGGCATTCCTTGCACGCATGGACGGTTCTTCGGAGTTCACTTCACACCAAGGGAAATCCACCATAGTAGTCGACATCGGCGGCACCACGACAGATGCTGGCGTTCTACTTCCTTCCGGATTTCCACGGCAAGCAGCCGCTTTCATTGAGATTGGTGGAGTTCGCACAAACTTCTCGATGGCTGACGTGCAGTCTATCGGACTTGGCGGAGGCTCTCGGGTCAAGATTCACCAGACTGAGACAGGCGATGCCGTTACGGTCGGTCCTGACTCTGTCGGACATAACCTGACACGAGACGCAAAAGTGTTTGGCGGCGACGTCCTCACCGCGACTGACGTCGTAGTTGCTGACGGTACGGTGGAAATAGGCGAGAATGTACGAGTCGCAGATATCTCTTCGGACGTTATACAGAAGTCCAGGGACGCCATCAAGCGGCTCCTCGAACGTATTGTTGATAAGTACGTTTCTTTGCTGTCCTCCTAGTAGCTTGTGCGCTAATAGATTTGGACAGAATGAAAACTTCTCCAGAAGATGCAACGCTGCTCTTAGTCGGCGGTGGAAGTATCATCGCTCCTGACACATTGAATGGTGTCTCGCAGATTATTCGCCCACCGTTCTTCGACGTTGCAAATGCCGCCGGTGCAGCAATGGCCAAAGGTTAGCTTGGCCTCAGAATTTGGACCTCGGCTCACGTTGCTATGTTAGTCGCGGGAGAGATAGATACTATAGAGATTTTGCAGGACCGGAACATTGACGACGTCATAGAAGCCATCAAAGCTCAAGCAATAGACAAGGCAATCCGTTATGGCGCAAAGCCTGGTAAGTCTCTGCATAATCGTTGTTGATATAATTAGGTATGAAGCATCCTTAGAAACAATTAAGATCATCGAAGTCACCAATTTACCTGTTCAAGTCAGTGATAAGAAGTTGCATGGCTAATTTGCTGAAGCTTGGCCATAGTACGTCACGAACCAAGCAACAAGGATAATGGTCAAGGCCGCCGGAGAATTATCCTCGCAAGTCTCGCGAGGCGCCGTGAATGAAGACGACACAAACTATGCAGACTTCGAGGACATCAAAGAGCTTGACAAACAGGTGTTGCGTCTGGAAGATGAAGGGGTGATACGATCAGTGAATATTGAGGCCTATATCCCACATATCACCAATGGCCGCGAATGGCTGTTGAGCGAACTGGATCTCGGTACGACATCACTTGTCATGCGAAGCCGGGCATAAGCTCAAGCATGCCCTGCAGAGTGGATAGCCGAAGGATGCGGTGTGCTTGGTACGGGAGGCGGCGGGTCTCCTTACCCACCTTTCCTTGTGGCCCGTCAAATGCTGCGGGAAGGAAAAGTTATTAAGGCCGGTACCCGCTGCATACAGTATGCCACGCACAAAGTGACTAAATTTGTACCTTTAGGTCGTTGACCCTGGTGACGTCCAAGAAGATGCCATCTTTATGCGATGCATGTTCATGGTACGTACAATAGACACAACTAGGTGTGATAGCACTCTTAAACTTTCCATAGGGTTCGCCCAGCGTCTCAGTACGTTCTCAATGTGGCCGGATTTCAGATATACCGATGCTTCGAGCTGTAGATAGAAAGACTCCAGGGCGGAACCGAAATTCTCGCGTCGGCTCGGGCTCTAATGAAGTACTTGGGGATGGCTGACTTCGAAGGTGCCATCTCGGACGAGATCGGTGGTGGTAACGGTATACAGCCTATGATTGTGGCCGCAGAGATGGGCAAGTCGGTGTTAGATGCTGACCTCATGGGTAGAGCATATCCAAACGTGAGTTCTCTACCAATTACACCTCAATAAAACTCGCATACTGTATTTCAGATGTATCAAAGGTGAGCAGAAATAGCCTAATGTTACGCACGCATGTTTGTCAGCTTCGATGTAGCCTACCAGGAGCCTACAACATTGAGGGTGGTCTCTGGCCCTGCGCTATTTCTGACGGTATCGGTAACACTGTGGTACGCGGGTCCTTCTCAAGGTGTCACTCTGCGCAGCTCATTCTTTGTCAGATTCTACCATCAGCAAGCAACCCGCATGCCGTCGAGACGATTCTTCGCACAGTCACCACTGAGATGGGGTCAAGGAGTGGCGTTAGCATGGCGCCATTGACAAGAAAGACGTGCCAGGAGTACGGTGTGTCTCGCGTCAATACCTCAAGATTTTAGTTTGAGATCGCCAATTCTTGCTTCGCCAGGGGTTATCACAAGCGTCTCCCAAGCTTGGCGGATTGGACGCGCCATCGCTCTGTGCAGAAAGCGGAACGAGATTAGCCATATACCGAAGGCCGTACTTGAACTTCAAAATGGGGCCTGTCTCTTCGTAGGGAAGATCATAAACGTTAACCGAGTGCGTCATCCAACTCTGTTCATACTAAATGGACTCAAGGGCTTTCAATTGTAAGGAAGTACGGAAGGGATTTACGTGGGGCTCTGTCACTATCGTGCCTCTTCAAGCGGACGAAGAGGAGGATACCGGAGTTGTAGACAGAAGCACCCGCTCCTGGGGCCCTGAAGACCGTATGCGGATCCCGTTCCAGAACGAGAATCTCTATGTCATCCGAGAGTGTCCAGGGCGTCCGGATGAGGTACGACCCTCCCTTCGCACCGATTTTTTTGATGCAGATAATTCCTCAGATAGTCGTCACGGTCCCAGATCTAATAACCATACTCGACTCGCAGTCAGGATCCTCTATCGGCACTCAAGAGTACCGGTAGGTTGTTCGTCACCCGAGTCTTAGATTCAGCATTCATGCTTGAATAGTTACGGTCTACGTGTCACTGTTCTCGCGCTGGCAGGCAATCCCAAGTGGACAAAGACCCCAGAAGGCTTGGCTTGCGGAGGTCCTAGTGCGTTCGGGTATGCATTGTTCCTCATGCCGCCTGTGTGTAGAATTGATATTCGTGGAAACCAGACTGAAAGACGTCCAATTTACGCCGATAGCGGAGTATCGCGAACCTTTCAGCGTCATCGAAGAGTTCTCGAACCAGCAGCCTGCCACCTGATGCGCTCTTCTCTCAGTCGCGACAAGGTCATAAAGGAGAAAATGAAGGGAAAACAAGCTCATGACCAACGTAGTGGTATTACAACACAAAGCGCACATGCTGGGTCTAAATGATTATATGTCCATCTTATCGTCCCGCTCGTAGCCCGGATTCTTCTGCAAGATGACGAAGTTCTCCAAGACATTTGAGAACGGAATGTATTCCTCCGTTGCGAGCTCTGCGCGTTCTGTCGTACCGAGACGCACTGGTGTCGAATGCGTCTGGAAGCCGGAGATTGTTCTTGGCTTGCCGGCCTGGCCAACGACGTCCACGGCCTTGGCGACATTAGTGAGCCTCACGATACGAGAAAATTACTAATGACACTTACCTGGCCTACACGGACAGTGACAGGGAAGTTTTCGAGCTGGTCGTTGAGCGTGATGAGGAATCTGGGGTACATCGCAGGTGTTAAGAAGTACAGCATCCAGTGGTACTTGTCCAGGATAACTACGGAACTGTCAGAAACATGGTTTCCATAGAGTAAGCACAACTTACATCCCCGGGCGTCCGTAAACGCCAGTAGAACGGACAACAAGCTTGCGATAGCGGTCCTGCTCATGATCTGGCGGTCGTGGAAGAAAGGGTTGATTGTAATCGTGCCTTTGCCCATGTTCACCAGTCCCTGCGCTATCCGCACCATAAACAGGCAGTCTGGCTCTTTGTAGTAGTAGCCAGCCAGTTGTCGGAGCATCTGTGCCAGCCGTGCGTTGTTTGTACCGGCACCGACGAGGCCCATGGCAAAGATGGCGTTGAGTGCGACGGCAAGGTCGTTGTCGTGGCTATATTTCGAAAGGATATCAAGGATAGGGAGTTGAGGGTTTGAGGCGCTAACGAGACCCAATGCTAGTGGAATGGCTTTACGGATGACAGGGCCGCCATATGCCATCTACACGGATCGAGATTGTTAGTACAGTATTGCCGACAACTCGGTCTGAAATTCACCAGGTGATTGAACTGCCTCAATGTCATCTCCGCGCCGATCTCCTCGCCCATGGCGACGAGTGAGATACCGATGACAGCAAGAGCCTGGAAGGTGTCGTCTTTCTGCGGCTTCTCCTCTTTCTCCTCATCTTCCTTCTTCTCGTCCTTGTCTTCGTCTTTCTTGGAGGCATTATAGTGCTCGTCACAGAGATGTAGGAACTGCTGGACCTTCAGCACGTTGCCCGTGCCGGCATACGCACACATGTCGACAAGAACCTGCGCTTGGCTAGAGATGCCTTCGTGCTCAATGGCCTGAAGAGCGCTGATGATAGCGTCGGTGGCATCTTGATGACCTGCGTATGCATTTATTCAGTCAAGTGAAACGAATATCGGAAGCTCGGAAAGAGCACGAACCGACGTAGAGCAATGCCAGACCGAGGGCCATATATCGAGCCCACCTCTCGTCGAGCTGCTTAGTATCCCTCTCCATAAGCGTTTGCAGGATTGTACTGCTGATGTCGCCGTCACCGCTGCCAACGTAGATGAAGCCCAATGAGAGCGCAGCTAAGCTGGCAATCTCCATCGAAACACCGTCCTCGCCGACCAGAGGCAGCAACAATGCCTGCAAGTCTTCCCTTGCGGAGCCGGCGTACGCGAGTCCGAGACCTACAATGGCACTGATCTTGAGGGGAACGGATTTGTTGTCGACGTACTCAGCCAACAGCGCCATCGCGGCATCAGCTTCAGTGCGGACGCCAGTGTTCAGGATACCTGTGGCGAGGAGGGCACCAGCCTGAAAAAAAAACGTTCATAAGAGGCTAGAGTGCTTATAACGAGGTAGACAGACCTTGATGTGCTCCTCAGAGGAGTACGTATACTTATCGACGTGGCTAAGGCCGACATCGGTATCCCACAGCAAGCTCAGACCAAGACTTGCCGCAGCACTCATCATACCTATGACAAAGATGAGCGGTGTGAGCTTTCAATTGCATATCAGCAGACTGACCGTGGTCTTTGTTCTTGTATATCCAGCTGCTGCCTTCCTCGGCCTCCACCATGAGTTTGTCGTTTCCGAAGCCAGCGTTGACGAAAGCATTAACAAACGTGCTCGCGAGGTTCGCTCTCGCAGAGTCGACATTAGCCGTTGTCGTCTCTGGAAACGCAGTTAGAAGGGTATACCCTTGACCCACACGTCAACACGTACTGGTATTCTCTAAATGTGACTTGTAGACGTCTTCCAAGCTCTTGGGTTCGAGGACACCGAGTTCTTTGCCAAAATCCTTGAAGTATTGACTGAGCCTAGTGCTGCTCAGACAATCCAAGAGATCCTCCGGAATCTCCTCACTCTCGTCTGGGAAGACCCACTCCTTGGGTATCTGCGCACGCGCGAGCAAGAATGCGAGTTGGCGCTGCATAAGCGGGTTCGCAGGCGCGTGGAAGTCCTGTTTAATCAGTTCGCGGTCATTCAGGCGAATCGCGATGGTGAGGGCTTCGGGGAACCTCGAGAACTTGACGTAGATTGCATGAGCCGTGCGGAGGAACACCGTGTCGTCGGGCTGCGGCAGTAGCGATACGCAAGCAAGCATATACTGACATACGCGTCCGAAGGTGTTTTCATCGACCAGTTGAGTGATCTGGTCCACGATTTCGAGCTCTTCGAGCAGGTCGACCGCGTCTGGCTCTGCGTTATGGCGCAGCAAGAACGTCGCGCACTCCAGCGCCAGAGCGCGCAATTCCTCAATCGTGCCAATGGGCTCGACCTTGGGCTTCTTCTCTTCCTGCTTCTTCTCCTCGGGCTTTGGCTCACCCTCTACTGCTTGGGGCTGCTCTGGGAGCTCTTCCTCTTCTTCTCCGAGCTCGCGCACGCGATATTCTTCTCCGAGCTCCGCTGCAAGGTGGCGCACGTATTCGTGTCCCCAGAGGCCAGGTTCGGAGATGTGCTTCGAGTCTGGGAGAAGAGCGGCAGACAGCAGGCGGTATCGCAGCGTGCCGCGCGGCTGGGTATCGGAGTACGTCATGGCAAGGACAGAGAGAATGTCTGCAAACAATGCCTGTGACGGGGTGAGCGCATGATTGCCTGGAGGCATAGTACGTCCTACCTTGTTCTCCGATGGAGGCCAGGTCTCGTACAGTGTTTGCAGCGCAGGGTAATGTGAGTGGAGGAACTTGAGAGGTTTGGGAACAGAGGTCATGGACGATGTCGAGGTTCTAATGAGGGTGCGTAAGGTCTCGAGAGCCGGACGGTAGAGGTCGGTGTCCGGCTCCTGGTAAGGTACTCATGAGTTCGCGGAGGCTCTTGGGATGTAGACGAGTACACGTACCTTTAACCGCTCTACGAGCATCTCCAGCTCGTTCTTGAGCTCCTGGTCTTCTTGCGACTACTCTGAGTCAACAACTGCTACATGTAACGCCGGAAGAGGACTCTACGCACCAGGTCCTCGCCATCCTTCTCCTTCTCGTCGGGCTTCGGCTTTCCGTCCTTCTCTGCCTTGTCTTCAGGCTTGTCTTCAGGCTTCTTGGGGTCCTTTGCAGGGACTTGAATGGCGATTGTGTTGTCGGCGTCCATGGCGGAAAGCAAACAGAAGGTAGCGTAAGCGTAAGTGAAATGCAGCGCGAGTAGCTCGCGCGACGCGTACACACTGGATACTCCAAGGTTAGGGTTTATCCACGTGGGAATGGCGCTAATCGAATGAGCGTGCTCTGCCTCGGGTCGCGTCGGTAGACTCGATACCTCATAAGCAGATACTCTTTGCGTATTCTCGCCACCAATCTGATATATACGCCACACGTATTTTTGTAGTACGGGGAGCACGTGCTTACTCTCTTTTCCTTGATGATACTGTGTTACATGAACATGCAACTTCAGTATTCCAATGCTCGTCTCGAGCCACCCATTGATCTCAAGCTTGTCTCCGACCCAAACATGATAACACACGCAACACGAACACCAGCCTACAACCGTCATCTTCTTCGCCTCGAGCATTATGACGGACGTTTTAGCTCTCTCACTTTTCGCCGCGACTCCTGAGCAAGTCATCGAGTCCCGTAAGCGCACGCATATGGAATGGGCTCGCGGACTGAGCATGGAGGAGTACCTCAAACGTGACGAAATCATGGACTTCCAGGAGCATGCTGCGAATGGCAAGCTTATGACGTGGTACGCATCCTCATCAGCTCACTTGTGGGAGTACCGCGTTGACAGAAGACAGGGTCCTGGCTTCCAGGAGTGACCCTACCACCCTGGACTTCAAGTGTAGCTGCGAGACGTACGCCTTCCTTCCGCTCGCAACGTTCCTATGGATCTTGATCGGCCGCACAGGTACCGTCGTCCTGTGATACTAGCCACGCCGACCTCCTCGATCACAACCGAAGCCCTTGGCTATGAGATTGCCTCTGTCTACACGCCACCGCGAAACAGAGGCAAGGGCTATGCCACACACATGATGCGCCTCCTGCATTGGGTCTTGGCTCCTCGTTCGTTTTTGCCTGAGTTCCCATCCCAATGGGGTACAATGCCTGAATCACCCTTGCAGGACGCTCTCTTCAGCGTCTTGTACAGCGACGTCGGCAGAGAGTTCTATTTCAGAGCTGGCCCCAGGCCAGGCCAGCCTGGTTGGTCGGTTTGCGGCGTGCTAAGCACGCACTGGGACGTTCCTCCGCAATCTGACGCGTCCGTAGACCGGAACCAGTGGAGGTGGCTCAGCCGCTCTGACTGTATCGACATTTGGGAGCAAGACGCGGAATTGATGAAGTCCGACGCAGCAGCGCTTGCGCAGAAGCAACACAAGACCGTGTTCACCTTCCTGCCGGACAATGGCATTGGACAGTTCAGCATGCACAGGCTCATAACCATTGACACGTGGCTTAGGCATGTGTACCCGCCAGAGCCTTGGGGCGTGCAGCTAGTGTCTAGTAGGGGCCTCACGTTCGCGACATGGACGTTTGAACCGGAGACAAGAGTTATGGTGCTGACCCGTTTGCGCTCCACTGCAGAAGACTTCCCCGCGCTTCTGGAAGCGCTGCAGTTCAAAGCGCAGGAGATCGGCTTGGACACAATTGAGACCTGGAACATCCCGGAGGACCTAAAGGGGGTCGGTGACCAATTAGGAGCAAGGACACTTGAGAGAAGCGAACACTTGTCTGCGGCTAAATGGTACGGGTCGGAGCCAGAGGAGCAAGTCGAGTGGGTTTTCAACGAGAAGTAGGTGACTGCACCGATCTTGAGTAGGTGTATGCTGACCACACTCTGCGGACTAGGTTTTGCTGGTGTTAGAATTGTCTATATATTATTGTAGTCTGTTGTACAGCTTGATACAGGCAGCATAATCCACGAGAGTTTAGCATTAAGAACGATGTGTCGCCTTTGAGAAAGTACCAGCTAGTCCATTTCCACGTCCTCGTCCTGTGTCGGGTAATCTTCCACGTCGCTATAGCTGAAGACTTCATCCATGTTGAGACCTTCAAGCAACTCGCGCTCGACCGCTAACCGCGCGAGTTCTTCATCATCGAGCTCTTCTTCGTCGGGGAGCACGTTGGTACGTACTTCCTCTACTGAGATGCAAAATGGTAAGTATAGGCGTGGTGTTTAGGCGGAGAAACATACCATGGGTGTTGTTCACCCACTCGTCGATGTTTTCCATGTCAGGATCGAACGAATCTCCAACATCATACGCGTATGACACGCGATACGAGTGCTTTTCCTTGCTCTTGAGATTCGCCACTATCCGTTGGAAGAACTGGAGTATGTCTTCTGTTAGCAGTCTGCAGACTCCGGACCAGGACGTCAGAACGTACGGGGTCGTCCAGAACAGTACCGTCGTCCTCTTCGTCGTCCATGAGGTCGTCTATACCGTCACTGCTGAGATTCAGGCCCCTCCTCTTCTCGTTTATCCTGCGTTCTCTGTCCTGGTTCGCTCGCTCTATGCACCGTGCCTTGAAACGCTCCCGAAGCATTGTCGTCCGCGTCGGCTCTTGGCTGGGTCCTGCTTGCGCGTTTGGAGACAGAGCAAATGGTATAGTGCCTGTCGTGACGCGTCGTGATGCACGCCTGCGGTTCTGGGTAGGAGAGTCGATGTCACCGCGTGCCTTGTATTGCGAGCGACGACGTTCGGACGCGTGAATGGACGGCGACTGTGTCGGTGACGAGCCACATCCGTCAGATGATGCAAGTGGCGACGAGTTCGTCGGTATGTGCGCAAAGGCGTGGTCGTGGCTGTGGTGCGATGACGGGGTCGAAGGCGACGAAAGTATTGTCGAAGCCATTAGTAGTGATGGAAATATGTAAGGGTGGCCAAAAGTCGCTCAAGTGCTATCTTTGTCTGCTTCAGAGCAAATATAGGGCTGTGTGACACGACAATAGCTACACAGTCGGCGCGTTTGAAGCGACCGCAGGATGGCCCAAGAATGTCCTGGGGCTCAGAGCTGAGAGAACAAGAGCCGTTTACTCGATGATTTGGCCCCTTGGCGTCTATTTTGACGTCCGGACTCCTTCCTAGACTGATTGGAGGGGGCTGCCACGAAACGACTGGGATCAATGAGTCTCTGTGGCGTCTACTGTACTCCTAGGAGCAGAATATTCTCTTGTTCCAGTACTCACAAACTACATCGATGACTGGATGTCCGAGAAGGCAGCTTGTATATCTTCCAGGTCGCTGGAGCTTATAATTCTAGCTTACGCTAGCTGCCAGACTCATCGGCAGGGACGGACCGGCTGTCTAATTGCTGCCGCGTTACGACTCAATTTATCGAGAGCTCGAGTATTTCATATGCAGCCTCTGCGGCGGCGAATCAGAACGCAGCGTGTCAACTTCGAGCGCAACTCATTACTGTAGTCAGCCAGCCAGTGACTAGTGACTCGTCATGCCAGCCGAACTTATTAGAAGCCTTTCTCAATTTTGCAATTACGCGACCTTTGGTCGTCTCTGCTTCGAGGCGAAACATCATACACCCATTCCGGATGTACGTTGTCCAACTGGTCTCAAGCGAGAACGTACGCTTACTCGCTGTTCACCCTTTCATTCAAACATCCAAATATCCAAGAATCAAGGTAACACCGTGTGGGGCGGAACATCGCCGATCAGCGCTCAGCGCGTACGCGTCTACTCATTGTACCTGATGGAATTCCCTTTTCTTGCTTTCGCCGCGCGGGTGAGCCTCCCCCTTTCCCTCTGCTCACAGCGTCCTCAATCACTGACGATCCTTCGGATATATATTCCTAATTAATTGGACGACTACAAAAGCAGTAGAGGTGAGGAGGCACGGAGGTGAACAGTACCCCATCTTCGATCTGTGGCTCAGATCGGACAGGCTGACTGCTTCCAGCCCTCCATTCCAACATGCTAATCCTTTCTTGCAATGCTCCAGGACGCTGGTCACCGATCCTTTCTAGTACATATACCGTCACCCAAGTCTCTGAAACTTACCGCTCCTTCCGAGATGTTCTCGCTCTCCAGCGCAGACCACACAGCTGCCTGGTATGTATCTTACTCCTGTGTCACCCGCTCACTCACAAAAAGCTACGAGCAGCGCGCGAAAGCAGCAAGCTATTGCTGACCTCCTCACCCGCTACGCGCCCCTGTATGATAAGCCGATCACAAAGAAGGACGCAGACCTTCTTAGATTATCTCTCGTGGACCTGGCTGAGAGTTGTACGAATGGCGAGCTATCGCCTTCGGACGTTCTCGATACATATGGGAAGAAGTGCCTAGCCGCACATACCAAAACAAACTGTCTCACAGATCTCATGTTCGGTGAGGCGCTTCTTTCATACGCCCCTAATCGTCCATTGTCGGGCGTTCCGGTCAGCTTGAAGGATGTTGTCGACATCGAAGGACATGACACCACCGTCGGTTTCTCTTCCAAGGCCAACCGGCCGGTCTCATCTTCAGCACCAATCGTTCAACTACTCAAGGACGCAGGTGCCCTTGTTCACGTTAAGACGACGGTACCTACAGGCCTCCTTTCCTTCGAATGCGCATCCAATCTCTTTGGCACCACGACAAACCCATACAATGCGCACTTTTCGCCCGGTGCTTCGACCGGCGGCGGCGGCGCTTTGCTCGCATGCGGTGGGAGCAAGGTCGAGATCGCCAGCGATATTGGCGGAAGCGCCAGACTCCCTTCAGCGTACTGCGGCGTATACGGCATGAAGGCTTCTTCAGGACGTTTCCCAACGCTAGGCGTCCAGACATGCGCGCCCGGACTTGATCGCATACAGACTGCATCCCCAATGGCGAAGAGTCTCGACGATCTCCAAGCGTTCTGGGAGCGAGTGGTGAAAATGAAACCCTGGGAATATGACCACACGGTGCGATCCTTTCAGGGGAACTGCCCTGAATTCTGTCAAGACTGACGTATCATTTCCTCACAGTGTGTTCCAATCCCGTGGCGATCCGTAGACTTCGTATCTGAAGGCCGGAAACCGAAGTGGGGCGTCATATGGAACGATGGTGGGTACGAATGGCTCACAGGTGACGTCGCTTAGGACATGCCACACTCAGGGCTCATTACACCCACTCCTGCGTGTAAACGTGCTCTCCAGCTCGCCGTGGATGCGTTACGACAGCAGGGACATGAGGTCGTTGACTTGTAAGCATACCGTTCCTAGTACTATCAATAATGCTAAGTTTCTCCAGTGAGGGACCGGACCCGCTCGAAGGTCTGACAATAGGCTTTCCTCTCACACTTGCAGACGGAGGTAACGGCACTTTCTTGGTCATGCGAGATAGTCTTACTGAGTACTTCTTTCAGGCAGCTCTGTGACGTTTCCCATCTCATCTGGAGAAACCATAAATCCTGCGATCTCGGCTCTCCTTACTACTGCCAAACTCCCTTCCCTCGTCAAGCGACTCGTTGTGAACTGCCTCCGCTGGTTCTCCTCACCGCCTGGGCGGAATGATGCATATGCGAGGCTCATAGAGTGCTTGCACCCCTGCTCTATCGCAGATGAGCGAAAGCTTAGCATCCTCGTTGAAGAGTACCGAACAAGATGGGCGGGTGCCATGACAGAGCAGGGCGTCGACTTCATCCTGACGGTACCGCATGCGCTACCACCCATGCCCAAGGATGGTACAGGCACCGCTACTCTACTTTCTGCCAACTACTGCTTCCTCTATAACATTGTAAGTCGCGACCAGCAATCTCAGCTTGATTACATTGACGTCCCCAGCTCGATTACCCTGCTGGAGTCGTCCCGACGACCTTCGTGGACGACAAGCTAGACGTGCTGCCTCCAAATTTTATAAGCAGCAAAACGTACGCGCGCTTCAACGATGCTGAACGAGCGATATACTCGCTATATGACCCACAATCGATGCACGGTCTCCCTCTCGCGGTGCAAATCGTGGGCAAACGCTTCGAGGAAGAGAAGGTGCTAGAAGGCATGCAAGTCGTCGAACGTGCTCTCAAGGCTTCTGGCAAGCCTTTTATACAGAAGGACTTTTGATCAGCAGCTGTGTTGCAAGGTCTAAGTTCTCGTACTCTATGAAAACTGCCACTTCACGGTCGATCTTTTTCTTGGAATTGGATGGTTGCTACGCCTCGTTGGCACTAATCTTCGGCTACTGTTGCAGTCTCCTTTCTGTCTCTACGCCCTCCTACATTATATACATTATATAGCATATTTATTTCCCAGTACATATCATACCCTTAAGCAGCAATAGCATACATCTCTTCTCGCTTGGTCGTAGCTCAAAAGTTCAATTCAACGCAGAATTCGTAGTGCTATATTACGGCGTCTAAGGACCGGAGAACTGATGGCGGGGGACGACGGCGTGATGGCGGCCTAAGCAGCGCCCAGAGCGCCACGCCCGCCGCACGCCTTCACCAGACTCCTTTGCCGGTGTCCACCACCACTACACACATCAACCTCTCACCAAACTCTCCTTGTCGCTCGTTATCCACCCACCACGATGGCCTCCGCCTACTACGAATTTTACCGCGGTTCTTCGTACGTCTAGCCTCGCTAGCTTAACCCCACCCCGCAGCACTCACCTGCGACCCGCTCCTCTTTTATGCAGGATCGGCATGGCGCTCACAGACTCTCTGGATGAGCTGATTACGAATGGGTCGATCACGCCGCAGCTGGCGATGAAAGTGCTTCAGCAGGTGTGTGACCCCGAGATGGACTGCGTTCCCGGGGACTCATTGCGGCGCAGTTCGACAAGTCGCTTGCGGACACGATGGTCAAGCAGGTGAAGACCAAGACTACGCTCAAGGTGAGTTCCGAAGTTCATGAAGGTGAGCGGGCGCTGTACGACTCGCGTCACTAGGGTCACCTGCACACCTACCGCCTGTGCGACGACGTCTGGACGTTCATTGTTAAGAATGCCTCCTTCAAGATGGAGTCGAACGAAATGGTAGCCACGCCCAAGATTAAGATCGTGGCGTGTAAGAACGGCGACGCCATTGAGCCTGGGAAGAAGTAATCTCACCCGCGTGAATTTGGTTTTCCTTGAACGACGACGGCACCCAGGATCGTGTTTGGTTTCGGTGTATCATTATTTTCCACCATGCGCAATTCCTATCCATCTTGTCATGTACAGTATCGCACATATAGATGCCAATAGGTTTTATTCTGCGATGAACCGAACCCAAGCACTAGGCCATAAGTAGTAATACAACAATAGTAAGTTACAGCAATATCTAGTAGATTCTCCAAGAAGATTCAAGACAAAGCGAATATTGAGCTACAAAGGTATGATAAAACACGAACGTCCCGCTCAGGAGATTCAGATAAACAAAACAGCGGTGAGGGATCACAAATACTGGAAAGACGGGCTGCGCAGACCCGTACTGCCACAGGGGTTCAGCAAAGACTTCGGAAGTCGAAGTTTGGTACTCACGGGTCATACGGAGGGTCAGTACAGCGTACCTCAGGTATCCTGCTTTTCAGCCACTTCATCACATCGAGGCCGAGCGCTGCGCAGTCGTGCAGCTCGAGATGTCGCAGCTTCACCGGCGAGACGCCTCCCGCCGTGACTGGCACCGCGCCGTTCGACGGGTCCGGGTTACGTGCTTCCACAGTTTGGACGAGCTTCGCGACACCGTCAGTGTGCGATGGACGGCACGCCTTCAACAACAGGGACGTGAGATTAGGACAGTACCACTGGTCCTGACCGTCGTCTTCGGGCGTGCCGAGGATGGCAACGAGCGGCTCAAAGGGCGCGCTCCCGACCTGCAGCGTCCGCAGCCCATCAAGCTCGTTAAGGAAGTTCCAAGACGTGACCGCCGAGCCGCCGTGATAGTAGATGCCCGAGGTCGTGGTATTCAAGCCATACGAGATTGAGAGCCATGTAACGGGCGGGTGATTAGAGCGGAGGAGCAGCTGCGAGAGTGTCTCCTCGATTGGGTCCCGAGCGTCGATGTCAATCGTCAAGGATCCGAGAACCGGCAAGGCCAAGCAGTCAACGAGGGCTGCCAGGAGGAAATGTCCGCCGACGCTGAAGGTCTTTAGGTGTTCCATGGCCGTCTGTGACGTTGGCAACACAGCAGGATTGGCAGATGAGACGTGTAGGGATAGGCTTTCTAGGTTCGGATTAGATGATAGGATGTACAGGATGCGATCAACGGCAAAAGATGCCCCCGGCAGCGTGCGCACACAGAGGGAGCGCAGATTGCGGAAGATCGGAGAGGACCATCTGAATGGGACATATTGCAGCGTTAACGACGTCAGCATCGGGAGGTTTGTCGAAGTTGTCGGCCTCGCGCTAGGAATCCAGGACCAGTCGTTGAACAGGGCAGGTTCCGCCCCGGTGACTTCGAACTCGCGGAGCAATGGTGCGTCACCTGTATGTTGTTCAGAAAGGAACGCACGCCAGCTGACAGCACATGACGTACCCATCATCGTCTTCAGCGCGTTGATGGACGCAAACTGACGGTCAAAGCGGAAAACAAAGCGTTCCCAGCGGTGCATCTGTTGCATCAGGTAGTAGAAGGTGATGTAGCCCCAATGCATCCCGCTCGAAGGCCTGGATGTTTGCGATACCTGCCGCCAACTTGGGACATGGAGGACTTCGTGGTAGATTGGCGTCGCTCCGCCATGAACATGGTGGTGTAGGGGTGGGCTGGGAGGTAACGCGGTGGCAGGAACAAAATGTGGCGGCCCGTTAGGAGGTATGTGCAGATAGCCCGGTCCAGTGCCATGGGCAGGGGTGTCAGGCGCAGGAGTCGCGCCAGGCAGATCGTTCTCCCACCACGAGGCATCCCATGCGCTGACCGTGGAAAGTGTAGATGTAGACGACCGGCGGTGGTGGTGGTGACTAGAGGCTTCGCGTGGTGTGTGCAAGAATATCTCGATGTCGAGGGGAACCTTGTTGCCAGACCGTTCAAGCCAGAGGCGAACGGTATCCGGCGATGAATTTTGTGTAGTCACAAGGCGTATCTGAGCTGTGGCGTTAATATAACAGATAACACGCTGGTGCAGAGTGGGAGTGGCTATGGCGAAGCTCAGTGCGATAGTTCACTAAGCTATGTTCCAGCACACACTCTTAATCTGCAAACCAGAACATACAACTGAACAGGCACACACCTTGGACCACAACCTCGGCATCGAGAGGACCTGCCTCCGCCAAAGCGAGCACACGGCTGCTAGCACCCAAGCACAGCATGGATAATCCTCGAAGATAAACGTGAATATATGTCCCAGCAACTCATGCGGCAACCTTCGTATGTGAGCTAAATACGCTAGGGTTTGCGACATCCGGTCTTCGAGGGCTGAACGTTCCTTTTGCATCTCTTGGATGGCATTTCTTCGGGCCTTCACGATACGATCCAAGTCGTCCTCCGCTGCCTGGATCTGCGCTGAGATCTGCTGTACTGCGCTGCGCTGTTTCTCGAGTTGTTTGCGCGCATCTTCTAGCGTGGAGCGAGTGGGGGGCTCGGGAAAGCTGCACGACGACATGGCGGACATGAAGGTGAGAGCTACTCAACTAAACCTGACAATAATTGCCTGATCAGGTTGGTTCGACTGCCTCCGATCGCACCCATCTCCGCTCGAATACAAGCTGAACCACACAGCCCCAGCTAATGCTGTTCGAGAATTGGTATCGAGGCTGCTCCATACCACGGAGCAAAAGACATGCTATCGCAATCTGAAAAACCGTAGTTGCATGAGGAACGATTCGAATACACCAGCTTGAACTACCGATTCAAGAATTAAGCTCAGGCCAAAGCATAAATTCCGGCCTGTGAACGTGGTAACGCAGAACTGGAGTGGTCATTTGAAATTTTTTTAGTCCGGGACTGGTAGTCTTCACACAAGCTGGGATGGCGAAGGTCACTCTCAGAACAGAAATTTGGTCATGTGGGCCGATTGCCTGTCCTCAGGCATCCGTCGCCCGTTCTCGTAGCTGTTTGCAGGACCCCTGACATTAGGCGAAGGGGCCTGAGGACAATCCGCATCCAAAATAGGGTCTCGGGACCCCCCATGCCTGAGGCAATCCGCATCTAAAACTGGGCTTGGACCCGGGGATGCTGGAGGAATAATCCGTACCGCGCCAGCGGCCGCTCTACAAGGCCTAAGGACCGTCCGTATACGGATTTTTGGGGCATGTTGGTAGCCCCATTTGGCTGATGCCCAAGGTCTAAAAATCTTTCGAATCACTTTTCTTGTCAACATCGGTAGCCTTTAGCGCAGTATTTAATACAAGGTGTGCCTCAATTGGGAATCGTTCTCGTGGCTATTCAGACCGCACCGCTGTCCACATTCGTCTACGGTCGGCAAGTAAGAGCCAAGAATGCAAGCGAGGGCGCAAATAAAAAATATTATTCTTGTGTCTATACAACCGTATGCTACTCGACGTCTACTGTCCAATATGGTTGTGCAGACAAGCCCTCGGGCCCAATCAGTTTCGTGCCGTTCATCAGCGCGTTATGTCTTTGCAGACGCTCTTGTTGCTTCACGCTCCATCCGATCATTTGTTGTGCATCCTTCCTGGTGAAGTCAACATCGCATACAAAGTGTTCCTTGAGCTAAACGCTACCCTCTACCATCCCAAGGCCATCAAAGCTGCCGTGAAGGCTCTCGACACTTCCCGGAAGTGAGGGGAGAAGAGAGCGACGGCGGCGGCGGCAGCGGAAGATGGTGGCAAAGGCGAGGCAGGAACTTAGTTTATTGTACATAGAGATGTTACTTGCACTACAGGTGTGCCTATGGACGCAAAACGGCGCGAGTTATTGAAGGTGTAGAGGCTTGGTGCCTAATCCGCATCCAAACCCGGCCGCCAGGCCGGGGCCGGAGGAAAATCCGTACTTTTTTGAGCCAGAGGGCCAAATTTTTGTGCGGATAAAAAGGTCGGGTCAGGCGAAAGTCAGGATCAGGCCTCTCCGCCCAATGTCAGGGGTCCTCTGTTTGCCCTCCTTTTGGTCTCCGGAGTATCTCTCGAAGGCAAAAATAGATGGGCTCGCAGCTTAAGTGTACTATTCAATATTCAGATCTCAGATGCGGCCCTCCAAAGGAGCCGACCGCCATCAGTCCAGACGCGGCGAGTGTCATTGTGCCATAAGATAACTTCAGCGTCGCGCATTGGTCCATAACCATGATTCGGGACCAAATCCAACAGACCCGGAGATGCACACGCACATGCGTCGCGTTCTGCTGGAATATCTTGATAGCCACGAGACTGGGTGCGTCGCTCTGGCTGGAGCGGCCGCAGTGGAGCCAGTGAGACTAGAGTGCCAGTGTTGTAGAGATTGCAGCAGCAACACTACTGTGCGTCGTGCGTGACTATCGTTGCTCACTGTTTAACTGCTCACTGTGTGAAACTGGCTGCGTCACCGGCGAACTGGCCGCAGCCAAACCGCGTCGAAGTTGCATTAGTTGCAAATTTTCGTGCGCGGTCCACAGACCGGGTACAAATTACCGTGCGACACATTTCCGTACGCAGTGTCTGTAGAAATTTTTGGTAGGCGGAGGATGATATTGCATGCATAGCCCCGCCGACTATGACATCCAGAGGTTTTCCCGATTCTTGGCGCCACAGCAGTTTGGTACCGGTGCTCTGATCACAAGTACGTCCTCGCGGGTCTGGCCTGTGATGCGAAGGGCAGTAATGCAGCTCTCAAGAGAACAAAACTAACCGTGCGCTAGGACAGAAGGCCAATTTGACGGTGATCGTGCGGGTGCTTGTCTTTTTCAGGGACCGCGGCGTAGACAGTGGGAAAATTAGACCCTTCGACTGTCTTCCATCATGTTCACGGCAGCATTCTGTATAGAGAAGTAATCAAGGGCATCTTGAGCGTAGTATCAGAAGTACAGCGCAATGCAGAGCGTGCCTCAGTGCAAGTGGTATTGTGGCTATGATAACTGGCGCCTGAACTAATTAGGATCGGAGTTTGATGAGGTCGAGAGCGGCTGTTGCTCGACAAAGTTCTCACTAATACATATATAATACGACTAGATCACGGGGATATATATTCGGTTTCGTGTCCTCTCTTCGCTCCCGACAGCGATGGGCTTTGTGAGGCAGTCTCTGGTCGTGCTCTTCCTCACATTGCGGGATGACGATCAGGAGTCAAGGTGCGTGCCCACTCAGGCAGCGCCGGGCGCGTTTGTGCGACTGACCATCATATACAGGCTTTGGTTCGACGAACGAGTCTTTCCATCTTATGTTGCCGCAATTTCGCTTCTAGCTCTCTTAACACATGCCATATGGGCCTCTAGACTAGTCCGAAACTTGGGCAGAAGAAATGCACCCGAACAACCGCTCGCGGAAGGATCCGTCAACTGCAGGGGCGAAACGGTCATATCTCTCTTTAAACTGGCTCGTCTATCAGGTGTGCTGGCATTGTTTGGTTTAGCTGTTCTGTCTCTGTGGTGTTCTGAGAAGAAGAAAAATGAGTGGATTGACAGCACACAGGTCGCGGCCCAGGTAAGCAGCACATTCATCATGAAATCAACGGGAACTAAGGTGTAACCGTATCATCAGGGCTATGCATTGATGTTAGCTGTCCTTAACACCTTATGCAACACAAGGCAGAGCTTAAAATACTCGTTGCACTTATCTCTTGTCACCAGCACTTTCTTGATGGTGTATGCCTACCGTGACATATGGCCGTTAATGACATTTACGCTACAACCGAAGGATCGCGACGAGGGGAGCCTCTTATGGGCCAAGGTTGCGCTTGCCACACTTGTTGGTGCTGTTGAACCCATCCTGGAGCCATATCCATGCGTTTCGTATCATTCGACCGTGAGTATACATCACGCCGGATGCTTGCATGACGAGGTTCACTGATACGTATATAGCAACCTCGAGAGCCGGGTCCCGAGCAAACGGCGTCCTTATTTTCTTATTTAACCTTCATATGGCTTGAGCCTACGATCTGGCGTGCCTATCGCGCTTCTCATCTCCCGGCAGATGAATTACCCCCGCTGAACGATTACGACAAGACAAAGAACCTGATTAAGCGGGCCTACCCAGTAAGACGAGTTTTTCTCTCATGTATCTGCTCGTATCCATATTATGCAGATGGCTGATCATAACTCGGCAGATCTTAGATCCGTTTTCTGGAGCCAAAAAGCAGCACCTCTTTTGGGGACTTATTAAGATCTTCCGCTGGTCGTTCATCATTCAAGCTACCATGCTGGTCCTCTATGTACGCCCAAATTAATCAGTGTATGCGCATGTCTATTTAATGCATACTACTTGCTAGGCCCTTGCCAATATCGCCGTACCTATCGGCACCAACAGGTTGCTGAAGTAGGTCGCGCCACCAGCATTTTAACGAGATACTGACCATCGGGTAGCTATCTCGAGAGCGGAGGACAGGGTGCGGTGGTAAAGCCCTGGGTCTGGATTCTTTGGATAGGTGGCGGGCCCATTATCCAAAGTCTTGTTTTCCAATGCTATCTCTTCCTCGCGGTAGGCATAGAACGATCCAGCTCGACATGCGCTAATGATACACATTAGACTCGTTCGCTCGTCCACGTTGAATCTATCATTACTTCGCTCGTTTTCGACCATGCGCTTCGCATCCGTCTCAAGGCGGAGACAAGCGAGAAAAAGTCTAGCGCCAAAGCCCCCACGCCCATCCCGGCTGGGGTTGATAGTGAGGGCTCTGATGCTCCTGAAAGAGCTTCAGAGAGTGGTGATGGCGACGATGAGACCGTGCACTCCCGTGCATCGACGAGTGCATCGACGGCAACTGCCGGTGTAGCCTCCACTATGACCACCGCCACAGCTGTTGCCCCTGGCGCGAGCCCGCAGAGCAAGGGAAAGGACGACAAAAAAGATATCTTCAAGAGGGGCGGAGGCGGCAGCTTGATCGGAAAAATCAACAATTTAGTCACAAGCGACTTAGATAATATCAACAACGGTCGCAATTTATTATTCATCATCCTCTCGGCGCCGTTGCAGTTCTCGTTTGGCGCGATATTCTTGTACCAAGTCCTCGGATGGAGCTCGTTTGTTGGTCTTGTAGTCATGATCATCCTCCTGCCCGTACCGACGTGGGTTGCTACACGCATGCAAGGAGTTCAAGTAGAGAAGATGATGGCTGTTAGTGCAATTCCGTTTATTGTATCTAACGTTCATTGGCTAACATGCAGCTACTCTTCAGACTGATGCCCGCGTGCAGAAGGCTACTGAAGGTAGGTCTGAGTTTCTGCCACAGGAGGTGTCCTAGTCAATTCCTTTCTAGCCATGAGCGTCCTGCGCATGATTAAACTCTTCGGCTGGGAACCCCGAGTCAAGGAGACTATCGCGGAGTCGCGAGAGAACGAGCTCAAGTACGTCTGGAAGAGCAAGATCCTCGGCTTGGCGACCGGTTGTGTCAAGTAAGCTGCTGTCTAGACTTCTAGGAGCGTGCCCTGATTGCTGGTTCTCTGAAGCCATGTTATTCCCCTGATGCACATGATTGTCACCTACGCAGTTTATGTGAGTAGACCTCAATATACCATGCAAACGGCCTGACGTTGTCCTAGACTGTAGTTATGAAACGCAAATTGACCGGCAAGTGATAGCCCTATCCGTATTAATGTACCTGCTTATACACATTTTCTAGCTTCAATCGTCTTCTCCTCCATGACTGCCTTCAATATGATCCGGGGGCAGATCTTCAGAGTCACCTTTATGCTTCCCACGTTTATCAACGGTGAGTCGACCAGAGTCTCAACAATATGCGGCTAAAGGTATTCCATACCAGCTAATGTGTCCTTGGGTCGTGTCGCCGATTTCCTACGCGTCGTGCGTTGCTCATGATCATGTGGCGGCCTCATTTTCCTAATATAGTCTTCCCAGACTGAGCTACTGGACAATTACACTGAAATATCTTCCAGCGAGGTGGCAATCGACGCCTCCGAAGCGCACAAGGATGACATCGGATTCGGGCGCGTCAATTTCTCCTGGACTAACGAGAGTGACGACGGCACATTGACACCCTCGCGCCAGACATTCCGCTTGCGCATTGACGACGAGGTACACTTCAAGAAAGGCGCATTCAACCTCATTATCGGACCCACCGGCTCAGGCAAGACGTCCGTCCTCATGGCCCTCCTCGGAGAGATGCACTACATCCCACTCGGCCCTGACTCGTGGGTCAGCCTCCCACGCGGAGGTGGTATCGCATATGCCGCACAAGAGTCGTGGGTGCAGAATGAAACCATCAAGGAGAACATCCTGTTTGGCGCACCATACGACGAGGAGCGATACAAGAAGGTGATCTACCAATGCGGCTTGACACGCGATCTGAGTCTGTTCGACGCTGGAGACGCGACTGAGGTCGGTGAGAAGGGCTTGACGCTGAGTGGTGGGCAGAAGGCACGGATCACGCTTGCACGAGCGGTGTACTCGTCTGCGGAGACGCTATTGCTGGACGATGTGCTTGCTGCGCTGGATGTGCACACATCTCGGTGGATCGTGAACAAGTGCTTTAAGGGCGATCTTATTCGGGGCCGGACTGTACTGTTAGTGGTACGTAGGATTTACTCTCATGCCCTGCAGTTAGTGACATCATCTCTGCAGACACATAATGTAGCCATGGTCAGTCCGCTTGCAGAGTTCGTGGTGTCATTGCAAGACGGGCACATCGTCAGCCAAGGCTCGGTTGGCGACGCGCTGAAGAAGGATGTACAGCTCGAAGAAGAGCTCAAGCACGAGGAGGAGGTTATCGAGCTCGATGAAGCTGAAGAAGCCACGGCCGATTCCGCAGATCCTGCCAACCCCGGTGCTCCCGGCAAGAAAGACGGAAAGCTCGTTGTTGCCGAGGAGATCGCAGTTGGTCATGTTGGCTGGGCTGCATGTGCGTGTGCTTTACGGTACCCGGACTGGAAAGTGCTAATGTCTCTTTTGTTCAGTCAAGCTCTTCCTCGGGGAGCTCGGTGGCAAATATCCGTTCCTGTTCTGGTTACAATTCATGTTCGGCGAATGCGGTGCAGAGTTCTTCAACGTCCTCGAGCTGTGGTGGCTCGGCTACTGGGCGCAACAGTACGCGTTGCATGATCCCAGTGATGTCCGCGCTGGCTTGTAAGCTCCGGAGTCGTATTCATCACCGCCCCTGCTGATCATTCTTCGCAGCTACCTCGGGATATACTGCGCTTTCGTTGGTGTCGTCATTCTCATGAATGCACTCTCTCAAATTGTCTACACTGTTGCCACGCTACGCGCCTCGCGCTCCATCCACGCCAAACTGATCAAGTCGCTCCTGGGTAGCACTTTCAGATGGTTGGACGTCACGCCTACTGAGCGCGTAGCGACTCGATGTACAAAGGATATCCAATCCGGTACGTTCTCGGAGCTGCTGGGCGAGGCCTTAGAATATTAAAACGTGATGATAGTCGACTTAACTGTCCCTATGTGTCTCCATTCCGTCTGTAAGTCATCCATCTGGTACCCTACACTGTCCAGATTCTTATCGTTGTGTAGTCTCAATGGCACTTTCTTGTGCAGTCAAACTTGTTGTCGTGGTCACGTTCACGCCTTTCTTCCTCCTGCCAGCTGTCTTCGTCTTAGCGTCCGGCGGCTTCTTGGGCCAAGTGTATCTCAAGGCTCAGCTGTCAGTCAAGCGCGAGATGTCGAACGCCAAAGCTCCAGTTCTTGGAGCGTTCGGCGGCGCCATCGTGGGCCTCGGTAAGTGACAGTCAGCTACTTCTTACTTCCGAAATTTTACTAACGGGCGAAATGAAGCATCCATTCGGGCGTATCAAGCTCAGGACGCTTTCAGAAACATGCTCCATCAGCGCATCGACCGATACGTCCGTGCCGCCAGGTCCTTCTACAACATCTATCGGTGCGTTCCCGGCTGTCCTGTTTACAGATGGTGCACCTTCTAACGCGAGTTCGAAGGTGGATTGGGATTCGCCTCGATGTGCTCGGCCAGGTCTTCTCGGCGTCTCTCGCGTTCTACCTCGTGTACGGCCCGCTCTCCGCAAACCCGTCGGTCGTCGGCTTCACCCTGAGCCAAGCTGGTACGTCGCGCACCCCTTTTCAAACGAAGCTCTCCGCTGAGCAGCCGCACAGCGGGCTTCAGCGACCTGATCCTGTGGTTCATGTACCTCTACAACGAGTTTGAAGGTGCGTTTCCCCCCCTTTTTGTACATTTCTGCGTCTTATGTGGATGTTGATGTCCGCCAGTGAACGGAAACAGCCTGGAACGGATCAAGCAGTACATCGACATTGACCACGAGCCCGAGCCCAGACCCGAGGGCGTGCCTCCGGCGTACTGGCCCGCGAGCGGTGACCTCCGGGTCGAGAAGCTCTCTGCTCGTTACTCGCTGGACGGTCCGAAGATCCTGGAAGACGTTTCCTTCCACGCTAAAGCCGGAGAACGCGTCGGCGTCGGTGTGTCTTAGCATGTCACGATAGCTGAAGTGCCTGACTGACGCCGTCTCCGCGCGCAGTCGGTCGCACGGGCTCTGGCAAGTCCACCCTGACGCTCGCCCTTCTGCGATGCATCTTTACAGAGGGGACGGTCGTCTACGACGGCATCGACACCAAGATCATCAACCTGGACGCCCTGCGCTCGAACGTCACTATCATCCCACAAGTGGTCAGTACATGCGCCTTGTCTGGGTCAAAGGTCCACGTCTCACGCAAATCCGAATGTTTGTAGCCCGAGCTCCTGAGTGGGTCCCTCCGCCACAACCTCGACGTGTTCGGCCAGTACGACGACGCGACGCTGAACGACGCGCTCCGTGCTGCAGGGCTGTTTTCTCTCCAGAAGCTCTCCGACGAGAGCAGGATCACGCTCGACAGTGAGATCGCAAGCGGCGGCGGGAACCTGTCAGTCGGGCAGAGGCAGATTATCGCGCTCGCGCGGGCGATTGTGCGCCAGAGCAAGCTGCTCATTCTCGATGAGGCGACGTCGGCCATCGGTACGCCCGCACGTCCTCCTGATGCTGACGACTTGTTGCTGACGATCCCGAGCAGATTATGAGACCGATGCGATCATCCAGTCCTCGCTGCGCACGGAGCTGAAGAGCGACGTGACGGTCATCACTGTCGCGCATCGTCTCCAGACGATCATGGACTACGACAAAATCGTGAGTTACGGGTTCTGCCTCGACATTTGTAAATGCTGAGCGGCCACATATAGATGGTGCTCGATGCTGGTCGCCTCGTCGAGTTCGACACGCCGAGGGCGCTGCTGCAGAAGGAGGGCGGCCGCTTGCGTGCACTCGTGGATGAAAGCGCAGATAGGGAAGAGCTGTACGCTATGGCGAGGGGCGAGGTAAAGCCTTGAGTGTATGCGCTGACTCGGCGAATCGTTTCGCTCTCGATATGTCTCCTTTTCTGGGTAGAAAAACTAGCGCGTGTGTTATCCAGCATCTTTAGATGCGATGCTGCTTCTGAGTGGCCTTTCACAACCCGCGATAGGTACAACGTGGTGGTGTACGCTTCAAATCAAACAAGCTGCGATCTCCGGCTGCGTCAGCAGTGCTTCGCGCGTATCACTAGCGAGACATTTCAGCGTCGAGTCGCAGACGCCGCGACAGCATCCCATCGTTGTGGCCCCGCGTGCTATCTACATAGAACCAGACGCCAGCGGACATGCCCAATGCGGTGTCCCCCCCCCCCACGCAAAACCGCAAAGAACGCGACTGTCTCGCGCACAGCGATGTGCATCCGCATCGCGCGCCCTGGTCCACGCGCAGTCAGTCCGCCGCGAGGCAGAGCGACGATCATGCCTCGCAATGCATGCTTCCAGGGTGCACTCATACGATCGGCGGACGTCGCAGAATGAAGTCGGCGGCCAGTCCGAAGCAGTGAGGAGCGGACCTTCGTCGGACTCGCGTTCCAAAGCCTGTCGGGCAGCTGTGCGACCACATCAAGCGGCTTATCTCTGCATAATGCTCGCGCAGTGCTCACACGAGCTTCACTTGGGCTAGAGTTCGAGTTTGAAAGGATATTAATTGCAGCGCGGGGTGCCAGCTCGTGGAGGGTGCTGGTGCAAGGGTGTTATTTATTATTGGGCCGTTAATGAACGCATTGACGCGTGTTTGCTGGAGGCGGCGGCAGCTTTGTGGCTTTGGTTTATCTTTTAACCTTTGATGATCAGTAAACTGTGTTTTTTGCTCAGCCTGAATGGAAGCCGATAGCAGGTTCACGGCACAAGATTTCTGTGAGAGCCACCACTGAGCTGCCAACAGTCCGAGTAAGATTAATTGCCTTCTGATGGCGTTCCACATACACGATGAACAGTTTTGTAAGAGATGCAAGACCCGTCAGCACGACAATGAGCCATATTAGACATGCATTGCGAAATGACTGACAGCGGGCCGCCGGAGGAATAAACGCTGTGGCTGCCTTTTCTGGATTGGGGCCATGTCAAGTTATTAGATGGCGTGATCTGTGATCGCATCGAGATTCAGGCCCTCAGGTCCTACCGGACGCAGCGGCGTCATCGCGTCGGCGCGCTGCTCGCCGCTGAGCAAGACTGGCTTGGTCATTCCTTGTGCCAAGGCCGACGAGGACCGCACACATCACTGCAGCTGGCGGCGCTGCTCTGCCAGGTCAGTGGCGCATGCTTCCGCCGTCGGACACCGCAGTCGACGAGCCCTGTTAATTTTGGCACGAAGGCCAAGAGGCATGCCGGCAACGCGCTGTGCGCGTGGCCAACTGAATGGCCCCACGGACACAGCACGGTCGGCAGAGGCGGGTCCCGCTCGGTACGCTATCTCTGAATCAAGCTTCTGCCTCGCAGCACGGGCCCAGCGGTCGGGAAACTTTGTGCGCTGCAGCCCTGAGACAGAGTCAGCTGGCCACGGTGCCTCGCTTCGTGATTTCTCCCTGACGAAGGTTGCCGTGGAGCAATCTCTTGCGCGCCCACCGCAGCGTGTCCAGGGCAGAGGCTTCCTCTGCATGTCCCTGTCCTACGTGAGTCCGTTCTAGCCCCGCAGCGGACACTGGCGACGTTCCTCGGTGCGCTGTCAGTACGCGGGCAGAGGGTGCATAGCAGGTATTCCTGTGCCAAGAAATGAAAAGCGGAAGCCGGCTGTGCTGTTGGCGCTGCGGCGTCTTGGCCCTCGGCTAACTGGTGTGGCGGCGGTCGTCGGTGGCAACATCGTGCGGTTGATCTCACACGCTTACGATACGCTGCGGCAGCTAGTGGCCAACTCCACACGCCGCCTTGAGATCCGGCACTGGCTCAATCTCGTGAGAGCGGGTAGTGCGTTTCCAGCTTAGCACTGAAGCCTGCGCAGGTGAGGGTGCGCCAGCGAGACGCGGAGCAGGGCCGTACGTGGAGGACGAGGCACGAGCTAGCCGACGCCCGAGGACGTTCTCGATGAAATGTCTGGATGTCCTGATCGAGTGAATGAGATCGATTTTGAATTTGAAGATTAACTTGGACATGTCGCGTCGGACGAGATCCCACGGGTCGCGGCCGAGAGATTCTGAGGCGTCTACAGCTGTCGTGTTTCCTGGGCGGCGTAAGAGCGGGAAGCACGGCCAAGTAATCAGCAATCCGAATAATAGCTGCATGCACAGTCCCAGCGTATGTATATATACGCGCACCGAGAGTCTGTGTTGCGATGACCATCTACTTCCCTCTGCCTCTGAATCTGCGCAAGCTGTGATCATCGGGACCGTGGCACGTTCGTTTCCAGACATGCCGGGTTTGGTAAAGTCATCACAATTATCACATGAAGCGCCCGCCCCGCTGAGCAGCGACGTCGTGCGGGCAAAGCCGAGGTGAGAGATAAGTACCGGCCGCGACCCTTCTTGCTCTCTAACCACCACCATCTTGGCCCAAAGTGTCGCCTCTCTCCTCGCTGCACTCGCTCGCGAACGCAACTCGCCGCTGTCAAGCACGCCTCCCTGGGCAACGGCTGCGCACCAAAAGTCGGCCAGCTCCCACTGCTCCGTGCTTCGCGAAGCCATGACCAACCACGGTACCCATCTCCAGACCGACGCGGTTGTGAACCGAGATACTGACACCACCAAGAAGTTACCCCCGGTGTGGAGCTGGGAGGTAGAACATCAAGACAGGAGGAGGGAGGCCCAAGCAGATGCGGCGGTGCATGGCGCGCCGCCATTCCAGGTCGACAGGAAACTGTTGAAGGACATTGTCCAGGAGAAGATGAGGAGAGATGTCGCTCGGATCCAGTTCCTTGGTGCAGGTAAGTGTCACTATTCCCGTTTGCCACGCATATAATCGACTAAGACATCCTGTTTGCTCTAGGTACCTTCCACAAGGCAAGTTCATTAGCTACGTGCTAGCGAATTTTATCCTGATGTCGTGTAGGGATACCTAATAACTCTTGTTGACGGCTTCGAGGTCGTCGCTCGTGTCGCTCGGCGATTCATGCCAGGACTCAAGACTGAATCAGAAGTTGCTACCATGCGCTACCTTCGCGAGCGGGCAAACATTCCAGTGCCCGACATCTATCATTACGATGCCAACCCCTTCAATCGTCTCGGCGGCGAGTACATCTTGATGTCAAAGGTGTGTGGATTGCCTCCTCTCAAATCAGGTGAACCCGCCGATTGCTCACGTGATCCGTTCTCGCGTTTTATACGCGATTTCAGGCAGTTGGCGTGCCATTATCGCGCGTATTTCATTCGATGTCGTACACAGAACTCATGAACCTCATGGAGAACCTGGCGCTGCTCATCCTTCCTCTCTACGCGCATCGCTTCCCCAAGATCGGCTCTCTCTATCTCGGGCCGGACCCACAGCCACTGGCACAGTCGTCCTCATCGGCGCCGACGCCAACATTGACAAATCACATGGTGCGGACACTCAGCATGACACCTCTTGCACCTCAGAATGGGCAAGCTGCCCCAGCGCCTCAGACCGAGTTTCACGTCGGCCCCATCATCTCATGGCCCTTCTTCGGCTCCAACAGAGGCGAGCTCGTACACCCGACGGAGATCAACAGAGGGCCGTGGCAGTCCACGCAGTCTTACATGCAGTCTTGCGCGGAGCGCGAGATTACGGGCGTCAAGCTCGAGAACGAGGGCAAGACGGCGCCCCACCGGCTGCACCTCGATCCCGACGAGATTATCTCGTCCCGCCATCACAAGGTCAACGCGCTCGCGGGAGACGTCTCCGACCAGAGCGACGAGTGGGATTGGGAGGAGAGCGAGGCCGAGTGGGACGGCCCTGGCTACACGATGTACCAGGATTATCGCCGCATGCAGCGCACGACCTTCCTCGTCGCCCATCTTCAGCAGCGCGAAGAGAAGGTCAAGGAGGAGATGGACCGCTTCGTTCGGATGATGGAGCGCCTGGGCGCGTGCAAACGTGAGCAGGCTGACCAAGGCGAGCCGGAGGAGTTCACGCTGGACTGCCACGATCTCAACCTCGAGAACGTGTTCGTTGATGAGCACGACGTGTCCAAGATTGTAAGTCTCAGTTGGCTGCCGTCCGCCTGATGAACAATACTAAGACATGTTTCCATCGCAGACTTGCATCATCGACTGGGAATCTACCACGACCCGGCCGCTCTGGGCGGCAGCACATGCCCCCGCGTTCCTGCAGACCAGCCCGTTCACGTCAAAGCTCTTCCGTGCGACGATGGAGAAGCTTGCTTCGCAGCGGCGCACAGTCCTGGTCGACGGACAACCCCGCGATTTCGGCGCGATCGTGGCCGAGTGGCTGGAGCATGAGGCCGCAGGCACGCGCCTGCGGATGGCGCACCGCTGCATCGAGTGGGACGGCTGGGAGGAGGGTCTCGTCGAGAGCATCCTCGGGCCCGAAGAGCAAGAGGGCGACTGGTTCCGGGCGTGGGAGGACGAGAACACCCCGCCCGAGAGCATAGATTGCATCGCCGAGGACGCGTTGTCCGACCCGTCCCCGCAGAGTCCTCTCACGTCCACGAGCCCAACGCTGACGGAGCAAGCGAGCGACGGCGAGGACAGCAGCGGCAAGCGGCGCGGCTCGACGAGTTCCCAAGCGGCCGGCACGAAGAAGAGCCCACGTGGTGCTGCGCCTGTTGCCGCCGCCACCACCATCACTACCGCCGCCGCCGCCGCCGCCGCCGCAGTCGCGGCACAGCCGGTGAAGGTCGTCGCGGTCGAGAAGGAGAAGGAGCGGATCCTCGACGAGCGCGGCGACTTTTGTGGCGGGCGCGGGGGCGAGCTTGGACGTCGGCTCGAGGCGTGGCTCGTCGTGAACGGTGACGCCGAGGGCCGCGTCGGGCTCCCGCGCCGCTGGGAGAGTGACGACGCGATCGGCGGCGACGAGTCGCCGACGTGAGTCCGCGCGCCCGTGTACTTCTCGTCTTCGTCTCAGGCCTGCCAGTCCTTCCATTTTTGGGTTTGTTACGTTCGCCTTTTCCTGGATCCGCACGCCCCTGGACTGTCGGAATACCCCGCTCTTCCTGCACTTTTCTTTTTGTTTCTCGTTCAAGCCAGCTGTGTATCATTACGCGATCTTATACCAACACCACCACCGACCCGTTCCCAACCCATTCGTATATGTCAAGACCCGCTCTCGCTCCCGTTCAAGCCGTATAATTCGTAAAATATCTGCTCTCTCATGTACAGCATCTTATTACTACAATCATCCGCCTGCGGGTTCCCCCCGCGCCCTGTCCATATGTGTATCACTTAACAGCATCGAGCATGCACCGGAGTACAAAGTGTAATTATTTCGTTCCAATTTTTTTTTTGGTCAATATATTGTTGGCATTGTCGGACACGTGTTGCGCAGAGCTGAGTGTCGCTGCTCTCGGCGGAAATGTGGCAGGGGCTAGGTCCGACCAACGTGTCCGACAACAGCGCTAGTAGCGCCGCGTGCCGGGCAACTGCGGCGAGCTGGAAATTCGAACATTTGCATTTCTGGGTTGTTTTTGGCATTCGCGAGCCGGTGGACGGCGGACACGTACCGCTTCGAGATGCTCGGGGGAAGGAAGGTTCGGATCGTGCGCACGCGCGTGGACGTGCAATGCAACCTTGAACCCCAGCACCTTTTTTTTGGCCGATTCGGACTCGACTCGGACACACCGGTTTTCAATGGACAGCCCGATCGCGGTGCTGAAACTCGGAGTGTGCACACCGAGGGAGCTGCGGCACGTTCGTCCTGCTGCTGTCGTGGCGTGTTCGCCGTGAGCGTGGTCGCGGTGTTGAAAGCGCCAGGCTCCATTGGACAAGAGCACGTTCGGGCGTGGCGCCCACTGCGGGCTTCGATAATGGAGAACACAACATGATATCACAAGCAGATACAGTTACGACCTGACAGGATGGATGGAATAGTGCGGAATATGAAAAAGATAGTATAAAGTTAAGACTCTGCCTTGCCTTCCGCCATCGCGTACAGCGCTTCCTTGTCTGCGCTCTCGTCCACGAGCGCGCGGAGGAGGCTTCCCTCCTTTTGTAGCAGCGCCTTGGGCGCGTCGTACTCGACAAGGCAGCCGGCATCGAGGACCATCTGCATGTGGCTGCTCAGTGACCGCAAGCATCGAGGTGATAGCAGCAACTCACGATTTTGTCGTAGTCCATGATCGTCTGGAGACGATGTGCGACGGTGATGACCGTCACGTCGCTCTTCAGCTCCGTGCGCAGCGAGGACTGGATGATCGCATCGGTCTCATAATCTGCTCAAAATCATCAGCAACAAGTCGTCAGCATCAGGAGTATGTGCGGGCGTACCGATGGCCGACGTCGCCTCATCGAGAATGAGCAGCTTGCTCTGGCGCACAATCGCCCGCGCGAGCGCGATAATCTGCCTCTGCCCGACTGACAGGTTCCCGCCGCCGCTCGCGATCTCGGTGTCGAGCGTGAGCCTGTTCTCGTCAGAGAGTTTTTGGAGAGAAAACAGCCCGGCGGCACGGAGTGCATCGTTCAACGTCACATCGCCGTACTGGCCGAACACGTCGAGGTTGTGGCGGAGAGACCCGCTCAAAAGCTCGGGCTGTATACATGTAAGAATTTGTGTCAGGGAATATTCAAATCAATTACGCATAGCTACTGACCACTTGCGGAATGATAGTGATGTTCAAGCGCAAGGCATCCAGGTTGATGTTTTTCGTGTCGATGCCGTCGTAGATGACCGTACCCTCTGTAAAGATGCATCGCAGAAGGGCGAGTGTCAAGGTGGACTTGCCAGACCCCGTGCGGCCGACTGTGAAGCCAGCATCAGTGAAGCTCTTGCAATTCCGTGAGAGAACGGAACGCACCAATCCCGACTCGTTCGCCAGGCTTGGCATGGAACGAGACGTCCTGCAGTACCTTTGGACCGTCCGGCGAGTACCGTGCGGAGAGCTTCTCGACCTGGAGGTCACCACTCGAGGGCCAATATGCCGGGGGTACGCCTTCGGGCTTGGGCTCAAGCTCATGGTCAATGTCGATGTACTGCTGTATACGCTCTAGACTGTTCCCATTAACTGTAAGAGAACGTCAGTAGTGACATGTCGCTAGAATCATATCAGTGCTTGCCTTCAAATTCGTTGTAGAGACGAATAAGCCACAGGATAAGTTCACTGAAGCCCGCTATAGTCAATCAGATTAGCAGCACATAGGTCGCCATTGAGCGTAGAAGTGTACCAGCTTGGCTGATGACGAACCCGACTAACGACGGGTTTGAGGACAGTGGTCCATAAACAAGGTAGAATGCGAGAGAAGCTGTGAAAAGCTGTCCGAGCGAATCGAGACGAATTCCGACCCATCTATCCGAGCGTCTATCAGTACCATAGGCTACGGGCAGGACAGAGTGCAGCGCACCGATTGACGTTGTAGAATGACCTTGCGGCACGGACATAACGGTCCACGCGCTGGTGGATCATGTTCCTGAAAGTCTGCTGGGCGTGATAAGCCCGAATAGAAGCTTGACACGATTGTCAGCGCAATTAAAATGAACGGGCGACCAGATACTCACCGAGGCCGGCCATAGCACTCCCGAATACGCCGAGGACCGGAGCTTTGGCGGTCGACATCTCACGCTTCACTGACAGCTGGGCCTTCATGTACACCTGACCCAGGAAACCCCCGAAACCGGCGATAAAGACAGCTGGCAAGAGGAAGTAGGGCGTGAAGATGACGACGGCGCCGATCTTGATGAAGCAAGCCAATGTAATTTGCACTGCATGCTGTCAGTAACGAGAGTAGCGTACGGCAGTGAAAGCGAAACTCACACACGACATCAAGGGACTGTGGAACCGCTGCGTCGACTAGCTGCCCGCATGAGCGTCCTGGTGCCGCTAACATAGTTCAGATCACGTACTTGCTTGGATATCCTGGGTGCAGCGAGTGATCACACGCGACGTCGGTGTGACATCCAACCATCTGAAAGTGCCGCTCAACAAAGATTTGACGAGCTGAGCATGGATAGTGCGCGAAGCGCGGAGGCTCGCGATGGTGTAGACCAGCTCAGAGCATACGTGCGTGAGCACCATCACACTGACGCAAGCACAGTAGATGCCGAGATAACTGCGAACACAAGTCAGGAAACGGAAACGAGATTTCAGTCGCAGAACTCACAAGCCGACGTCAATATCGCTTGGATCCCGCAATGCATATTGCCGAGCCCAGTAGCCCAGCCACCACATGTCGACCACGCCGAACACCTCGCACAGAAAAGCAGTGAGTAGATATTGCACCCAGAACAGGAACGGGAATCTGCCTCCGAGTCCAACCAAGAACAGCTTGACTAGCCACGTCGAGTCAGCAGCTGACGATAAACCGATCTGGAAAATGTAAACGTACATGCTACCCAGCTGACATGACCAACAGCAATCTCCTCGGCGACAACAAGTTTGCCGTCTTTCTTCATTTCGGGAGCGCCGGGATCGGCAGGATCCGGAGAATCGATTGCTGCATCTTCAACCTCGTCGAGCTCGATGGCCTCTTCTTCATGCTTGAGCTCTTCCTCCAGCTGAACACCCTTCAGCGCGTCACTCACTGAACCTTGACCAACGATATGTCCGTCTTGCAATGACACCACGAACTCTGCGAGCGGACTGGCCATGGCCACATTGTGTGTCTGCGGAGACGACGTCACTGACCGCACGCCATGAGAGTAAATCCTACGTACCACTAACAGTACAGTCCGGCCCCGAATAAGATCGCCCTTAAAGCACTTGTTCACGATCCACCGAGATGTGTGCACATCCAGCGCAGCAAGCACATCGTCCAGCAATAGCGTCTCCGCAGACGAGTACACCGCTCGTGCAAGCGTGATCCGTGCCTTCTGCCCACCACTCAGCGTTAAGCCCTTTTCGCCGACCTCAGTCGCGTCTCCAGCGTCGAATAGACTCAGATCGCGTGTCAAGCCGCATTGGTAGATCACCTTCTTGTATCGCTCCTCGTCGTATGGTGCGCCAAACAGGATGTTCTCCTTGATGGTTTCATTCTGCACCCATGACTCTTGTGCGGCATATGCGATACCACCTCCGCGTGGGAGGCTGACCCACGAGTCAGGGCCGAGTGGGATGTAGTGCATCTCTCCGAGGAGGGCCATGAGGACGGACGTCTTGCCTGAGCCGGTGGGTCCGATAATGAGGTTGAATGCGCCTTTCTTGAAGTGTACCTCGTCGTCAATGCGCAAGCGGAATGTCTGGCGCGAGGGTGTCAATGTGCCGTCGTCCCTCTCGTTAGTCCAAGAGAAGTTAGAGCGCCCAAATCCAATATCGTCCTTGTGCGCTTCGGATGCGTCGGTCACGACCTCTTCTGCGGAAGTCTCGGTAAAAGCATCGAGCAGCTCCGTCTAAAAGATAAGAATAAGGAACGGTAGAGTATGTATCGCAAAACACCACGTACGGTACGCAAGAAGTCTGTGACACGACCCAGAGAGACATTGGCTGTGATGTAAATGCGCCAGTAAGACCACCGATGCAGAACGCTCTGTTTGTTGCTCACCAGTGATCAGCTGAGGAATCATGTAGACGAGTCTGAAGATCTGGCCACGCATCATTTCGAATGCGGTCATCGAGGAGAAAACAACCGATGCTGAAACAGAGAGTAAATCGTCTGCGCCTCACGATAGACGGCCAGCTGGCGTACCAGTCAAGTTGCGCTTCATGACTAGGGTCTGTAGTACTGTCAACTACCACGACGGGGACAGAGCACGAGGTTTTGCTCACATAGACAGCATAAGTAACAACCATATGAATCAGCGGGATGCAATGGCTGCGATGGCATTTTCAGAGACTGCCAGCATAACCTTTGAAGTGAGAGCTTACTTAACGCAGTTGTTCGTCAAGCCGAGCATTCTGCGCTTCCAGATGTACTTGAGTTCGTTCTCCCGGGTCTCTGCAATAGTCTCGTTGACGCGCGGCTCCCACCCAAAGAGTTTGACCATGCGCAGAACACTCATGACTTCGACGGCGTCAGCTATATATGTGGAGATGAATGACATCAACTCACTTTCAGAGACACTCTGTACACGAGCATCCGTCTACAGAATGCAATACTGTGAGTATCAAGACGGTACGGCACAAGGCTGATCTTACAGCTTTCATCTTCTGCTTCTGCACCCCTTGCATGAGCGATGCAACCCATGTCGGTACAGGCAGAAGCGCAATCATCACCGCCAGACCAACAAACGAGCTCCAGCCGAGAACTTGGTACAGGAATACCATCCCGAGTGAGAACATCAGCGGTGCGGACACCACGATGAACAGGAAGTCGCGGCCGCTCGTGATGTTGTCGAGGTCACTTGTCACAAGGTTGTTGATTTTGCCCGCCAGGTTCCCACCCTTCTTATCGTCATCCTTGCTGTCCTTCTTGTCCTCCTTCTTGCCTTTCTTATCGTCCTTCTGGCCGTCCTGACTCTTGCCCGGCGCCGGCGCGACCGCGGTCGCGGTGGTCGCGGTGGAACTCGTACCAGCCGTCGCAGTCGACGTGCCCGTCTCTGTGCGTGAGTGAACGGTCTCGTCGTCGCCTCCTTCGGAAGTGTTGTCGGGGGTAGTAGATCCCGCCGGGTCGCTGCTGGTGGGGCTAGCTGGCGCGGACGTCTCGCCCTCGGTCTTTTTGTCACCCGTCTCAGCCTTGAGCCTGATACGGAGAGCATGGTCAAAGACCAGGGAGGTGATGATTGCTTCCACGCGAACAAGGCTGCCGGTCTAACGGAGGAGTTAGAGGCGTCTTAAAAGCGAGACTGTATACGTACCGAGAGGAAGATGTAGTATTGGAAGACGATTGCCTGTATAAGAGGCCCACCGCCCAGCCACAAGATCCAGACCCAAGGCTTGATGGCTGCACCTTCACCGCCGCTCTCGAGGTAACTGCCCAAAAGTCAAGAGCTGATCCCTACATGGCTAAGATGACTCACGCTAGCAGCCGGTTAGTGCCAATAGGCACAGCAATGGTGGCGAAAGCCTAGTAGGTGATCTGGGTCAATGATGCCGCGCACGTACAAGCTCAGAAAGAACGTACAAAGATGATCAACAAGACGCTTTGGAGGATGAGCGACCGGCGGAAGATCTTGATGAGGCCCCAAAAGAGATGCCGCTTCTTGGCTCCGGAGAATGTATCCAAACACTGTGTTGGCATAATTAGCGATGTAAGTGTAACAAGGTGGGCGTGAGGTCTCCTACTGGATAGGCGCGTTTGATTAAGTTTTTAGCCTCGTCATAATCACACAACGGAGGCAACTCATCCGCTGGTAGATGAGGAACGCGGTAGGCATGCCAGATCGTAGGTTCGAGCCAGATGTATGTCAGGAAGGTGAAAAGCGAGGCAGTTTGTTCTGGACTGGGTATCCAAGGTTGCTAAGTGGCTATCAGTGCCCGTCTTTGAGCCTTGCTCTGTACGTCCACTCACAGCTGGATTGTACGGAACGTACGGATAAGGTTCAAATATTGGCTCCACCGCGCCCACAAATGCAGCAAGTGCGATCTTTGTCCACAGAAGCCATCCTTCATGGCCATCCTTTGGCTGGAGTACGAAGGTCATCAATGGCCAGATGTCGCGGTAGGCATAGACGACCAAGATGGCGACTGTCACAAGCGACAAGTGGGACGAGTATACTAAGCCCTGTTTTGCCGTGCTGAAGGCATTAAGGACGGCCAGTAGGGATGCATATACCTGAGATTGGATTTGCATCAGGATTAATTGTCATTTAGACGAGTGATCTGCCTACCAGAGCTGCGCCCTGAGCAAAGTTGACCCAGAACTCGTCCCGCCCGGATTTTGTTACAGAGAGCAGTGTGAAAACAAGCAAAATGAGGACACCAGCCAGTCGAGCGAGTTTGAAGCTAAAGATGACTGCTCCGCCTCTGCGCGCCAGGAATCCTTCTGTGGATAGTGCCTCGAACTTTGGCGTACTGATTCCGCGTAGCTTTTGGACTGATTCGAGGTTCCATATAGCACGAGCAGCGACGATCAGCAGTGAAGCTGCGGCGACGTAGGTTGGAAAGACTCGTTCGTCAAGCCAAAGCCTACATGGGAGTCAGTCACACGAACTATTCCGGCGCTTGCTGACGGGCAGATTCACCTCTCGCTGTCACCACCACCTGTGAATGTGGAGGACAGCACCACCTGGAGCTGCCTCGCGTAGTCCATCGCTAGTGGGGAGGGGAAACACGACGCGTGTGCCCCGCAGCAGAGAGCTCCCGCTATGTATGTATTCGGACAACACGTCGCTATCAAACGCTCGGATGGCGTGGGCTTCCAATATTCCGGCCCCGTCGTCGACCGCATGGTTCCTCTGATATACCTCCGCGCAAGCACTGCCACCAGGGACCATTTCCCATGATTGTTACCTCGAAGGTCGTGTCGGTCTGCTGTGCACGGGCAACTCTACCTAACTGCAGAAGCACATCTCCCTGCGAAGGCGGAATTGTAGGTCCGCGGCACTTCTACTCGGAATGCGTCCAACGACGGTGCTAAGCTCGAGTCGTACAGCGGGTGTGTTGCCAGGTTGTCAAGTTGCTGTCCTGATCTTCCATCACCACGACATTCGACCGTACAACGGGTACCGGTACCGGTATCAACACCTTGTTGGCCGTTTGACGCAGCTCCATGCTACTCGTCCACCGTGCTTGTCTACGGATCTGGTATCGGACATACTTGGATGCTCGCTTCGTGAAATAAGGCAGTATGCCCTGAAAGGCAACTTGGCCGTTGTAAGTATCCCACCCTTTGCTCCGAGCAATGACTATGAGCCGGGTCAGACGATCTAGAACATTCGTGTTATCGGAGTTGTGCGACGCCCAATCAAAACCCTTCCCGGGGTCAGCGTCAGCCGCTCGCGGATGACTCGCCGAGCCCGGGCACCCAGGCCTCATGAGAGCCGGCGTGCTCGCTGCTCGCCGCATGAAACATCTACTGCACATGGCGTGTGCCGCCACACCATGGAGCCACAGAATCAATGCCAATTCATGACCCTTGTCTACACAAAATTTGAGAGGCCTGGGCATGAGAACGCACTCGATTACGCGGCTCCGGCCGACTCAACTTAACACCGTTCGAACACCCGATACAGCTCTGGTAAGTGCGCGACCTGCACGACGTCTCTGTCTACCAGTGTCTTTGGTGGCAGCATGTACCGTGTCATTGCGGGGAAGAGCACATGTTGAATCTGCCAGCGCATCGCGGTCTCATCTGCCCTGTCCGCGTCTGTCGAGCCCGATATGAGCGGCTCCGGGACATAGAAGTACGCAAGCTCGCGCAAAAATGTTTGAAAGCACTTCTGTTCCGAGTACCAGTCGACCTGTTGGGCATGTGAGCGCCGTGCGGGCGCAATGAAATGACGATACGCACCTGGGGGCCGAGACGCATGAGGAACAGGGGCAGCTTATCCAGGTTGGGCGTGTAGCCCTTGAGTAGAAGAGGAAGACTGCTAACGTTGCCGTCGGCGTCAATCTCGAGGGAGAAGTACTCCGCGAGCATCTCGCGCCTCGCTGTGATAGTGTCCACAATCATCTATGCAAATGAGCGTAAGCATGAAATACGCGGGAAGGAAGCAGAGATGCCATGCACGTTAACAATGTTTGCCTTGCTAAGCTTGCTCGCTGATGTATCCTCAACGTCCACTGCCAGCTCCACCAATGTCCGTAACGGAGGAGACGGATCAAGCTTGATCCGATGGTAGTCTCCGAACTGGATGAGACCCAGCTGATAGAAAAACTCTTCACTGGGGAGTAGGTCAGACTAACAGAGTACCGGGAGATGACCAACGACGTACGCCAATGCACCATGGTTCATGAGGTACAGCTTTTTGGAATGTTGTACCAACGACAGACATCGTCCAAGGTCAACAATACCAACGAAAACGTGCTTTTGAAGGATCTCTGTGAGCTCTAGAGATGTCATGAGTACAGGCACATTCAGTCCTAACAAGCCCTAGACCGACCTTCATGCTTCACGTCCTCTACCTCCTGCCTCAGCCGCATAACCGATGCCAAGTTACACTCCGAGACAACGATCTCGGGTACTTTGACCACCACAGTTTTTTGTGTTTGCCCAAGATTTGCATCGCCGATCGAAGGCCGTTGCGAGGGCGTGTACACTGGGAACATCGAATCCAACGTACGATCCTGCTGTGAGGTGCGGACCTTGTGGTTCGGTGCCGGTTTCTTCGCGGCTGGGGGAGCGGCCAAGGGGACAGAGGAGCTCGCCTCGCTCAACTCGTCCTCCTCGTCGGGTCTAGCGCGTTTTTTGCCCTTCTTGCTCTGTGAAGCCGTGGGCGCCGTTCCACCAGTGAGCAGAGTCTACCGTCGCGAACCCTCAGCACGGAATTCGCCATAGAGGGCATTTGAATCTGGAACATACCTGGTATTCGAATGTCTTTGACTGGTTCTGACCAATTAGGATAGCGTGGACAGCGTCGCCAATTTTTTGCGTTATTTGCTCCTCGTCCAGGAAATGTACCTCTCGCTTCGTTGGGTGGACGTTGACATCTACGGAACGGGAGTCGATCTGAAGGCTGAGATATACGAATGGGAATGCACCCTTCGGTAGGATTCCGGTGTAGATAGTCTCCAGTGCCTTTTTGATCCTCGACGACTCCACCAGCCTATCTAAGGGACATACGTGTCAAGTAAGTTGTTAATGAAACGAGGCGAGATCTCACGAGTAATAAATAGCAAAAAAACCATCTTCTTTGCCTGGTAGTTAGGGCTAGTAAAAAATACTTCTGCAGACCAGGGTTCCTCCTCATCGACGCGTATGACACCATCTCCAGCCGAAGAGATTCTTGTCTCAAGAAGTTCCTTTGCGATGGTCTGGCCGTACAACTGTCCTATTGCCTGTTTCACCGACGAACCAGATGGCGTAGTGATGTCTGGTGAGGCGGAACCTGACTATATGCGTGTTGGACAGTAGATTATGTATGTTGTGCGACCTGCATACCTTCTTGCAAGTAAAGGAGACATGAGGATTATGCACGGCATACTTCGTTACGACGTCTAGTATCCGAGAATATTCTTCTGATGACCCTCGCAAAGCTGACAGACGCGTTGGAGTGTTATAGAACAAGTTCTCGACCTGCTCAACGGTTAGTACGTGTATGCTTCGTATAACGATCCAAACGTACGGTTATGATTGTGCCGTCGTTGCCAGCACATGCTTTCGGCTCAGTGGGTGAGCCGTCTTTTGAGGCCAGCTTGCCGTCGATATACGCGGCTCTAAGATCTATGTCACAAACTGTAATCTAAAGCGGATGCAGTCGTGCTTACTTCCATGCGCAAGTATCCGATTTGGTCTTCGTGACCACGGAGAGTTGAGAGACATACGAGACTGATGCGAGAGCTTCGCCTCTGAAGCCGTACGTCGTGAGGCGCTCCAAATCTTGAAACGAGGTAATCTTGGACGTCGTGAACCGTTCCGCCAAAATCGGTAGGTCTGCTTTCTGACGTTGCTTAATTAACGCGGTCCCGTGACAAGTGATGGGCGTACCCAAATACCACATCCATTATCCTGAATCTGCAGCAGCTTCATGCCGCCATCTTCCACGCTGACCTTGATGGAGGTCGCTTTTGCGTCGAGGCTATTCTCTAGTAACTCCTTTAGGGCAGAAGACGGCCTGTGAATAATCTGCAGGATTATCAGTCCGGTTCGGAGAACGCGCTGGCAACTGTGGCCAAATTTACTTCTCCTGCAGCGATGCGATTTATCACAGCCTCTTCGAGTCTTCGTATGGGTTTCGGGCCGTTCAGATTGCTCGCCGTTGATTCGTGGTTAGCCGCCATTTGCGAAGAGACAAAGGATGAGGAAGACGTAGCATGTGACGCTGAACGCGGAAAAACATAAGTCGCGAGCCTGGACTGCCACCTATGCTGTGACACGTGTTATAATGTCAACGCATAACAAACGGTTACTAAGGAGGCAAATAATTGATCGAACCTCCCTTTCAAACTTTACTTATGAGTTCTGATCTACTCATTGATCCGCGTGTCTTACTTCGCATTACTAATTTGGGCGGGAGCACATTTCCCCACCGACCACATTTGGGTGCCCCAGTCTACCTCTCACTCCTTCCACTTCTCCGTTTCGCACTCTCAGAAGCTATAAAGCGAAGTGTTCGTCGTCGCTGATGCCACATCATGTCTCGACCGTCCTCTCCTACAAAACAACATGCGGATGTGAGCGCAATTTTCATCGTGCGGAACCAAATTGCGTTGGCTGACGGTCGTGTGCAGGTAGACAGCATCAGCCATAGCTCATCGACTGAGACACCGCCAGCTTCAAGTACAGTTTCTCAGAGAGCGTTGCAACTGCCTTCTAATTCGCGCAGCCGTACCGCGCGCTACCCCTCGCACCTGGGCCGCGGGGATCCTGGACGCGTTTTTCTGCACAAACGCGGGACGTCGCGCAAGTATGAGGCGCTCGAAGACCTGTTGCGGGAAGCGGGTTATAAGGAGACGAGGATTTTCTCGCCGGAGCAGGAGAGAGAGGAGGGGAGAAGAGATGGAAGGAGGGGTGTTGGAGCGGTCGTGGGCTTCTTGACGGGATTGATGCCAGGGGGAAACAAGATAGAGGAACAGCAGGCTGTCTCCAGCAGCGAAGAGGTTCCAAAGGAGTTGCCATCACCATTGTCACTCGCTGGCAAGAGCACACGGAGTTCGTCGTCAACACGACCCGTGGTTATAGAAGACCTGTCTGAAAATACCCCTAGCTCTCTGGGTAGTCCTCAGCGGCAATATGGCCGCATTCCCCTCGGCCTCTCGTCATCGGAACATAGTCCAAGGTTCCAGTCGAGCGCATCTGAGTATCTGCGGCCTCTATCCCAGATATCAGCTGCGCAGGACTATCTTCGGCATATCGCATCTTCGCCAAACATCTCAAAGGCCACCAGGCAGAACACGCCGGCTCACTCGAATAAGCCCGGTGGCTCATCGAGGCTCAAATTTGTCCATGGCGAAGAGCCGCCGCCGATGCCGTCGAACTGGCTGGACTCGGTTACACGAGCGGTGCTTCGCTCATCGGCATCTCAAGCTCACATTGGAAGCTCAAGTAACGCAAATAAGCGGTCCCAGCGAGGTTCCCGTTCGTCAAAGGAGAACCAGCCAGGGTTTTCCAGCATGAGAATGAAAAACAAGGTCCGGCCTGTGACGGGGTCGCTTCGCGCGCAGACTTTGGAGGGTACCGTCACGACGTGCATGGTCGTGTGTCGTTCGGCACCTGCTTCTCGATCATCCTCTCGCGTAGGCGAGAGGCTAGTTCCCTTTGCCGATAGGGGCAAAGCACGTGCCTCGTCGAGGCCCAAGTATCAGAAGACAAGGTCAAGCGGCTCAGACGTCCCGACTCTCGCGCGGTGTAGGCTGGAGAACGATGCCTGGGATCTTGAGCAGACTCGTACAGGCGACGTAGCAGAGGCTGCCGTGTCTGACAATGATTTTTCGGACGACGACGACGAAGGCGAAGTCGACCTTGCGCGTATCCTCGTTCCGCCGAAACGTCAAAAGTCGATTCGCAGCCTGCGACAGCACCTGCACCGCAGCGACAGTATCCGCGCACTGCGTGGCGAATTTCTCCGACCCATGGAGCCATGGACACCGCAAGACGATGACGTAGACCCTTCGCGACGTTCTCGTGGCACGGGCTCGAAGAGCAGACGTGGTTCCATCGAGAACGGGTCCTACGAGCACTGCTATCTGCATGAGCCCCCGTCGTCGGCGAGGGCGCGTCGGGCGCTTCCCAACACTTGGTCCAGCGCAGCTTGACCCGGCTCTAATAGCTTCGCCTTCGTTCGCAGCTTTTGTGCTGGCAGTCCACGAAATGAAGGCACTTACATGTGTCAAAGCGCAGCAGCTTGGCTCGCGCATCTGTATCATGATCCATCTCCTACTACAGGGATATACTCACATTATTCTATTAATGTATGCACCCTTTAACAGCAACGTAGACTCGTTCGCTAACCTATCTCACTTACTTCCCTGCGCCTTTTTTAATTAATATTCGCGTACTTACTCCATTCATTCCTTTGCTTCACCGTCTTATTTACTTGCCTGGGCTGTACTATAGACATGGAAAAATCAAAATATTCCGCGATAATGGAACACGCACTGGCTCTATGGCGGATCACGAAAATTGAATGCATGACAACGAAAATAAAATATAAAATAAGAACGCCACAAAGGTCTCGGTCCTGCTTCGGGAAAGAAGCACGTGAATCCTGACTTTCAGTGTTAGCGCCCGAGTCCTCTTGGTGACGGTTTTAACGAGGGAACGTCCTTTCTGCATTTCTCTTCAATTTCTTCCCTATTTGGCTCGTCATCCGGTCATCTGTGCCCTGCGCTGTTTCCGACAATCTTTTCCCAGTACAGTCGGCAGATTCGCTCTTTCAATATTCTCTTTTCGGTCGTGGGGGCTTCAGAGGTATGAGTGAAGGCGTGCAGATTACTATTCCAGGTGCGTCGGCAGTCTCAGCGTGAGCATTCCTGTGACGAACTTACCCGCTTTGAATTGTCCCAAAGACTTTGATGACGATGATAACTTCAACTCGACCCCCGTCTTCGGCCGGACAAACGCAGGAGGCTTCTGGGGAGCTGCGCAGTCTGGTTTCGACTCACCAACGACCTCGACCCCAGTCATAGACCGCGATGACCGTGGGTTTTTTCACGCTAGGGGCGACTCCGTCGCCTCTGAAGATTCTTCACACTCTGTACATACGTCAACACGAAAGTTCAAGGCTCCATTCGCGCACTCTGCGCAGTCCTCAGTCGCGACTACCAACAGCTCCCCGTTCACGAAGAAGCCATCTTTTGCATCTCTGCGTAATGCGTTCAAGAGCGCGAAGTCTTCCGACGTTGCACCGCCCTTGCCCACAATCAACCATGAAGCATACCCTGTGCTGAAGAACCCTTTCAACCGCTCTACCTCGTCTCTTGCACATCATGCACACGGGCGACCTTCCATACACACCAGTCCATCCCAGATGAGGCCCGCTACTCCTGCCTCGAGCGACATGAGGTCTCGTAGCAAGTCCAAGAGCCATACGCCGGCAAAGTCTCAGCACTCGCACTCCGGGTCTATCTTCCACAGCTCCGATGCAGGCAGCGACTTTGGTGGCGGCGCATCCTACATGCCATCCTTCTCTCCACCTCCTGTTCCGCGCGTGCCCTCGGCCCTTGGAGCCATGTCAAGTCGAGAAGACCTCGACCTGGACGACAAAATTGTGGTTGAAGCGCGGACACCTTCGGACTTTGCTCTACACGCCATCTTCATACGCTTTGCCGCGCGTGCGGAGGATCTAGTGGAGCAGTTTGTATCTCAGCCACTCGTGAGTGGTCAATTATTCGTTGAAGGATTGAGGGCCGACGTATGCTTTTTTTTTGTGCAGGACCGCGACCCTCATTTAGAGAACTTCATGGGCTCGGGTGTGGACCTTAAGTTTGATGAATTGTTGCGATCGCTTGGCAAAGTCGCCCAGAAACATGCAAAACCTGTCGTTGATTCTCTCTTGCGCTGGCGGAAGAGTCAGAAGGACGGCAGTTATTCAGACCTGCAGCATATCTATTCAAGAAACACGAAGGTCGGGCGTATAAACGACGTGAGCTCGGTCATCCACGAACGCAGACTGCAGGCGTCGATATACATCACATGTCGTGCACTCGTTACGGCTACACAATCATTTTCAAGAGACTCGTTGAGCGACACACTCGGTAACCAGCTGGAGGAGCTAACCTTCGCGCAGTTCCGGAACCCTGATGTGAAAATGCTGATGCTGTCGCCTAACCACCGAGCGAACTCGGACCTGTATGCAATAGTACTGGGCAATCTTGCTCTTCACAGGTTAGTACTCTTCGTTGTCGCATGCTGGACGCTATATGATAGCACATTATAGGTTCGAAAGCGTCACCGACAGATTCCGCGTTGAACTCGGTCCCGTGGCGGCTGGCCAGGTTCCTAAAGATCTGGATTCCAAGTACGAATACCTCGTCAAGGGTCTGCAGCACGTCCAGATTAAGGTTTATCCTCCGGAAGCCTTCGAAGAGGGTGCAGAGTTCCTGGACTCGCTATCGAAATCTTTCGAGCATGCTCATGGCAGCAGGCTGAAAAGGGCCTTTGCTGAAGTCCTCGTTCAAATGCTATACGATATTGCCAAGGTACGATGGGCTAGGTTGAAATATACCAGGACACTAACCATAGAGTAACAGACGGCCCAGGCCGAAGTTAATCATCCGCAGTGGGCGAAAGCGATAGAGATCATTTATCCAAAAGCGAGAGACATGGCGAACAAGCCTCGATACTGGGATGTCGCTTACCCTCTAGCTGTTATCAGTCTTTGCGTCGCACCTCGCGAGTATTTTCTTCGTCACTGGCAAGGCTTCGTAGATGCTAGCCTCAACAAGTTGAAGGCGAGTGCTGTCTGTGCGCACGACCGATACTCATATTGACACGTCCACAGGAGAAGCCCGTTCGGATACCCATAATGAACGGCGTGCTGCGCTTATGCTGGACATATCTGTACCGCTGCCATGAGCCCGCTTCAACGATCCAGATGAAGATAGATCCGCTACTGGAACATTTCTTTCCACCCAAACGCCTGACGGTTCTGCCACAGGATGACCGGCACGAGCTCCTCGTGTACCTCATCCATTTTATCCTCGGCCGTAGCTTTGATTATGGTAGCGAAAAATGCCTCGAGCTCCTGCAGGAAAGAGCCATCAGCAGCTCACAGTCCTCGAACGTGACCAGCTACCTTGCTCCGGATCGAATGTCCATTGCGCTTCAAGCTATCTTGTTATCTGTTCGTTTGTTCGACGGAGACGACCCGATACCGTCATGGCCTTCAAGCCCAGATTTCATGGTCATTCCTGATTCTCTCGATTACCCGTCATCCTCAAACATAATTCCTCCTGGGTTCCTGAAGCCCAATTGGACCGACTTCCTGGATAGGGTCAGCGCAGTCGTTTGTGCTGTCGCTGCTTCCTGCTATCAGTACGTCGGCAAGATGTCTATGTTAGATGACCAGTGGTCTGCCGTGCGATTGAATCCATCATACGAAGAAACGCACAACTACATCATACGGCGACACGACGAGGGCTCCATGGCATATCCTGTTCACTTCGTATCTCAGATCAACGTTCTCGTACTCTGCTACCGGTCCTGGCCACGGTGTCTACACTCCTCATTATCCCTGGATAGCGCACTGGAAATGCTCATTCGTGGCGTTATCCATGTCGAGCCTGCCGTCTGCGACACGGCCTTCTTAGCTTTGGAGCGGTTCACGGCGGACTTCAAGTACAACTGCGCCCTGCTTTCGCAACTCATGACCATGCTCTTTGACCCTCGAAGCGTCGCCTCCGACGGCTCTGTGCTTCGTCTCATGACGGAGTCGTCGAGAATGACGAAGCTTTGGGGTCGTGCTGTACAGAAATGGGCGGACCACATCAAGGAACGGACACGAGATTCCTTTGCCGAAGCGGAGATGGAGCTAATCGCCTTGAATATAGCCGAACTCGAAGCGGCTGCGCTATTCATGCTCAGCCATGTGAACTGGGCTGTCTGCAACGCAGGCACGAAAACGATCCGCCTCATTGAAGCAGTGCGCAAGCACGTACCGAATGTTGCTGCTGACGAGTCCTCTGCACCCGCATCCGTCCTGTTGGGTTCGCTGCCCAAGTCACTCCTGGATGGCAACGATGACCTACTCGACGATGCAGAACTCGCTCGTTTACGTAAATGGCGGGATTCAGAGAGGGAGCATGTGTTCCTAAACATGGCGGAGAGGGATGACAAGGAGGACCGCGCGCTCTGGTGGAAGCACACGTACCCATCGGTCATCCAGACTTTGTCCGACCAACGGTCCGATGCCATCGCGGCTCTCAGAGAGAAATTAATTTCTGCGGTGTTGCGGTATCATCCTTTTATCGCCCAAGTGTCTGGTGTCACTGGTCGAGCTCCGGGAGTCCCACGTTCGGCTTCAATCGGCAACCGCGAGACATCCAAAGTTTTCATGGACAACAAGTTCGCGGTGCAGCAATGGTACATCTGGACCCGACTTCTGTGCATCACTGCACCAGTCTCCGACTCTCGCGGCGCTTCTAGCCCATCGTCTCGTAGCCACACGCGCGTGCGCTCAGAATCCAACGTGGAGCGCGAGAGCCTCACCACGTCCAGGGACTTGTTCAAGTACCTCGCCCCTTTCCTTGACTCAGACATCTCGCTATTTCAGCAAGCTGCGGTAGCGGGCATCAGCTCCCTTCCTGCGTATGGCTATTCCCAGCTACTTGAGGACCTCAGTACCCTTGCGTCTCGCCAATTATATGACGATGTTCGGTCAAAAGGCTCCATACCGAACTTGGGGCGCATTCGCAGACCAGAGCGCCTCTACACTGCAGTGGCGCGGATCTACTTCCTTACAGCGCAGAACATGCAGAAGCAGCGGTCGTCTGGGAAGCAGACTGCCTTGACGCACATCATCAAGTACATTCGCAATATGCAGACCTTCCTTTCGTCGTACGAGAATCGCGATGTATACTCCTTGCAGCGACTCCGCCGATATTTCTGCGGCGTCGTGGAGCGCTTCTTCGATGGTCTGGCGGTGCTAGCAGACACCGACAGGTTCGTGCCGTCTGGCATGTATCCCTCTCTATACCGCTTGTGCGAGGAATGGTGCCAGCTAGGAAAGCAATCGGACGACGTGAAGCAGCGCCTCATATTCATGCAGACGGCCGCGTCGAGATCGATAACGAACCCCGCGGAACAAGCTGATTGGATCCAGAAGTTTCAAATTGAAACCAAGAGCCTGTCAAATGCAGCAGCCGGCGCGATGGCATCGTTGATTGTAAGTGTGATTCGTGATGCTCATAACTACATCCAAGCTGAGCCTGCTCATAGCCAAAAGCATATTTCACTCCTGAAGTGTCAGCTTCCGGTTCACCAACCGAGAAGGCAACCTTGGAGCAGAGTAAGCCCCTCGAGGCCGCTCAGATCTTAGACCGGCTGGTAGCATTCCTCGCTTCCTTCATGGATCCTGTCCGAGATCACGGAAAGTGGGTACTCTCATGGGCTCGAAGCACACAAAAGTCTCATACATGGTCTACAGGAGAGGCCTGAAATCTTTGCTGGCCAATAAGCGCTACGACGTGGTCTTCGCGGATGAGGTCATGCGTCGAGCTTTCGTCGTCACTCGGGAGTCCAATACAAGTAACGCGCTCTTCTTCGAGGCGGTAGCGGACGTCATTCGCACCGGCGAACACGGTTTCTCACCCAGTCAAATCGTCTGCTTGGGTCTCTCGAATCTCTCCCATCCTGACCAAACGGTCCGACGCCGAGCATATGATATGCTGGAAGTTATTCACGAGCAATATGACCGTCTTAGATCTATCGCTCACTACGAACCATTTGTGGCAAGCCATGCGCCTAGTGCATACCTGGAAGCTCATCGCGCAATTTCGGACGCCCTCTCCCAGTCGCACTCCTACCAGGCTGTGAACGTCATGCAGCAATTCTCACTCTGGATCCCTCGGATATACGACGCTCTTGAAGACGTTGGGCGAACGCTCATACTTCTCCAAAGTCTGGAGTATTGGGTGCCATACATCGAGCTCATGATACCGGACAGATCAGAGTTAACGCGAGACGGAAGCGTGGCGATGTACAACCTCATATCGTTAACAGCTCGCTACGCTCAAAAATATCCCGGACAAATTACCGCTCTCTGGTCACGCTTAGTCGAAGCGCGGGATCATTGGAACTGCCATGCTGTCATTCGCTTCCTCCTGGAACAATCGCAGAAAGTAGGCAGTACCGCGTTCGTGAGCTGTGCGGCGAAGATCGTCGCATGCCTTTCCGCTAGCGAAGAGGGCGATATCGTCCTCCGGGGACTGTGCGACATCATTATCCCGGCCGCGATGTTGCCGGCCCTCGACCACAAGCTCGGTATGCCTGAGGAAGAGGACGTGGAATTGTGGTCAGACTTGGATATCCTCTTCCCAGACCAGCCTCGGATTACTCTCGGTCTAGCGCAGTTCGCATTGCTTTTCCTTTCGGAAGGTGCTATGGCGTATTGTGCGGAACTGCAGGACCGCTTGCCTGTCCTGTTGCATATCCTCCTATTGCATCTAGATCACCGCCTCCAGTTTGTCCAGCAGTCGTGCCGCAATATGCTCTCAGAACTTCTCCGTTCTTGGATCTCAAAGTACGACAAGCTACATGATCGCTCGGCTTATGCCTCACGGGCCGAGCTACGCGCAGCCATTACCAAGATCGAAGACTGCATCTCCGACTCCACGATCTGGAAAACGGACGACCCAAATTCAGAGGTACAGCGACTCTGTTCCCAACTACTCGAAATTCTCGGGCCTCTCGTCCCTGATCTGGAGGATACGTGGGGTGCTGTTGCCCTCGACTGGGCAACGTCATGTCATTTTCGACCGATTGCATGCCATTCACTCCAGCTGTACCGCAGTTTATCGCCAACACCCTCCCAGAACAACTTAGACGCCCTGCTGGTCCGACTGTCTAACATCGTTGCAGATGAAGATCCCGGCATGCATCCGTTCACCACCGAGCTCCTTGCGACTCTCACTACCATGGCCTCTGCAGAAGACCTCAACATCGTACTAGTTCCCCAGATATTCTGGTGTGCTGTCGCTTGCTTATCGACGACATCGGAGACAGAGTTCCAGCACGTGCTCGAGCTTTTGCATGCTCTTCTGTCACGGCTTGACCTTGACGACCAAGGCACTACCGAAGCTCTCTTATCAGAAAGACCACCTTCGTGGCACGAACCTGCCTCTTTGCAGGCGCCACTTCTCACAGGACTGCGTTCCTCGAAGACATCACAGAGTACCTTCAAACTTCTGCAACGTCTAGCCAACGTTGCGGATGGCTGCATCATCGACGCTTCCGAGGGTCGCCTTAGGGATTTGTACACGGCTGTCTTGCCGTGGTGCTTGCACGCCATGGCGAACGATATCTCGGACGAGGCATTGCAGGACTTCGCTCTGGATATCGGCTATCTAGCGGAGCAAGAAGAGCGTGGAAGCATTACCAGGATAATGACTTCGTTCGCAAAGAACCGCTTCCGTACCAAAGAGGACTTCTTGCGAGAGTCGGTCGCGAGTCTGCGTGAACACTACGGGATGGATCACTGGAGCGATGTCGTGACGCTCCTGGTTGGACTAGTCCTCAACAACGAGAAGTGGCTTCGCGTTCACACCCTGCAGATCCTCAAGGTCTTGTTCCAGCAGCGGGAGACGAAGAGCTCGGTCGACGTTATGGGGTCGGAACTGCTCATGCCTCTGCTACGATTACTCGAGACAGACCTTGCGCAGGAGGCATTGGAGGTTTTGGAGGAACCGATGCGGATATCTGGGGGTCCAGCGGCGAAACATGTACTGCGCATGAGCTTGCACAACCATCTCACTGCCAACGTCAAAGAGGTCGAGTCGGTAGCAGAAATCTTTGGCATCGCAGAGGAGTCCGGGTGGTGCGTCCCGCGGTCGGCCGCCAGGCGCGAATGCTGCAGAATGAACGTTGGCGCAGTATGCGATCTACATAAGGCTCCCTTGCGACCGTCGCAGATTACCTTCCACGAAGAGGACATGCTGGCACTTTCGGAGATGCACCGCTTGGAGGAAGATGACCTCGGCGATCTTGTCCAGAACCTGCACGAGTTGAGCAGCTTTTTCCAAGACGACACTCACGGCCTTGTGGTACCCAATAGACAACTGGAGGCGCGTGTGGCAGCCATTTTGGCGAAGTCTACCGACTCGTCAGCTGATGCCCCTGCCACTCCATTCGGCGACGTCTTCGATGTTATCACGTCGGGTTCTTCAGATCTATCGGACGACGATTATCCTAGCGACGTGGAGTCGGACCTGTTTGAGTACGATCTTGGGAACTAGATTTTGTTACATATAATCCCTCGTTCTTTTCCCCCAATTCTCTTCTTTTGATTGTTTTCTCGGACACACCAGATATATTGTATCAGTAGCTTCGTCACAACATCTCACGCTCGAATTCGTTTTGCTTTTGACCTCTGTTCTTCAATAGTGATTGTCTCGCTCGAGCAAGCTATTCGGTTTATTGTAGTATACGCGCACGTCTCAACAAGTAGTAACATCTCGGAAGCTCAGTGTACGTACATGCGCCAAGTACTTATCAGGCTTTAAGCCTAGGTAGGTGTTTGGTTGATTGGGTTCATGATACAGTAAGGTAAATTCACAACAACATTTGATCAACAAAGTATTGTGATAACTTCTGCCACTAGCGCAAATGGCGGGGAGGGAGGCTAGCGAGCCCCTGTCCCTCGTGCATCTGCGGTCAGGAGGGCGTACGCTGCTGACAAACCGTACCTAACACCCCTGAGCAGGTGAGCTTTATATACGCTACCGTTTCTCGACTCCGTTCCCTCATCTTCCAGCTCTCTTTCCCGAGAGATGTCGTACTCCGGGAAGAAAGGAACAGCAGAGCCGCAAACTGGGAAGAGGGGATCTTCCGCCAAAGCCAGCACCGAACCACCTGTCTTGTTCATCCCAGCTGATGTCGAGCAAGATCCTGTAGCTCTCATGCAACTTGCATCCAAGCTGTCTCTTGACAGCGGCAACTTTGTGGATACCAAGTTCTATGCCTTCTCACGACGAAAAGCATCTGGCACGATATACGCACCCAAGGCCATTTACGCCAACAGCTGGATACTCCGCGCGAAGTCTCCTCAGTACATCGAAAACTGTGTGTCGTGTTCTCCCGTGCTGTGCCCGCCTTTGTACAATTAAATGTTTCTATGCAGTACTTTTCGAAGGCTATGATGCCAACTGTACCATCGGCCCTCTAGATAGCGCTATCCCTTCATATCGCGAATGCCTTGGCAAGGCCAAGAGTACTAGCTACGACTCGGACAGCGACATTGAAGACGATGACGACGATATGGAGGCGTCCCGCAAGTCTGCGCTTGGCGCTCCCAGCACGAAGGATGGCAGGTCGACGCCAGTAAGCCATTCACCAGTGCTGTACCTACTGATTGCTGATTGCCTCAACGCCGGTTCTCAAGGCACCTCACAACTCAGTCCAAGCCAAGCCGGATTCCGTACAGGAAGACGAATCCCGGCTGCCAGGACAGAAAGGCCGGATTATCGTGCTGCAGAGCTTTGCCTATCGACGTGCGCATTCACATCGTACAGCCACTAAATGTGTATGGTGTCTTACCTCCTTGCCGACAGATGGAAGGCATTCGTGTACTACCTATACACCGGCAAAATAGAGTTTGCACGCCTGAAGTCGCAGAAGCCTGCAATTCAGCCCCTCGCAAAGACTGCACAGATGTCGACGAAAGCGCCTCCGTGCTCTCCGAAGTTTATGTACAAGCTCGCGGATGAGGTGAGCCTGCGCGGACTGAGTATATACGCCGAGTCGAACTCATAGTAGTCTTGCACTCAGCTTGGTATCTCGGAGCTGAAAAATCTCGCTCAGGCGGACATTCAGTCCAAGCTGTCTGGTGACAATATTCTCGCGGAGCTGTCTTCTACCTTCACATCACGGTGAGCGTACCCGGTCCGAGTTTGCTCAGGTGAATATATATTAATTGCTGTTGACAGATATGATGACATTCGTGATATGGAAATCACCTTAGCGTGTGATCAGACGAAAGACGCACTCAAGGCAGGCATGTCTTCTTGGATGAATGCTATGCCGGCAAACATCCTCAAGTGCAATGCTACCGTAATTGGTTTGCTGGTTGAGAAGTTGGCGGCCACAGTGACGCCTGCGCCTGCGCCCGCGTCCTGCCGCTACTGTGGCAACCGAGGTCGTAATGGCTTTATCACCCACTTCTAGTGCTACAGTTGCACAACCTAATTTCCTTCGTAATTCTCTTTTAACCTGGCACAGCTTGTGTTTCGTTCTTTCGTCTCGTAAGCGAGCTCTGGAGACAGGTCCGAGTTGTATTTCGTTCGTGTTCGTTTACGCAGACACATACCGGATAGCTGTTTCTAGCTACGAATGCAATTCACTCTTCATCGCAACTACAACAGACCTGAGCAGCAGTGATCTAAGCTATTGCGAAAGTATAACAGGCGAGGCCCAATTTTGAGCGTCCACTCTGTTTAGTACGCCCTGATGGCATATGCCACCATGCTAGTGCTAACAGTGCATCAGAGAAACCACGCGATCGAAGACGATATGTACCAGAACCGTAGGAGGTGCGACCACCGTTCACATACATAACGCAAGGACATTGCTGCGGGTCCCGAGGCACGCGCGTCGTGGTTTCCTTTCCCACTCACTCCCGCTCGCTCCCGAAGCGCGTGAGAAGGCGTGAGAACGCGCGGGGGTCCCGCTGATTACGATGGCAGTGCCCCTGCGCTTTTGGCGTTCCGACATGCCCTATTCTTGAGGACGCCTCATGTATGCTTTGCGGCATTCGCGCTCAAACCTTGGCTGACACCTGTCTCGCACGCGCTGAGAGCTCATATATATACACGCTACCTCCGGGTGGTGCATCGCATACTTCTTCCCAGCCCCGCTCCCGCGTCTTCCAGTGCGTCTCAGCTGCTCAGCTTTTCTCGAGAGATGTCGTACTCCGGGAAGAAAGGAACAGCAGAGCCGCAAACTGGGAAGAGAGGACCCTCTGCCAAAGCCAGCACCAAACCTTCCGTCTTGTCTATACCAGCTGATATCGATAAAGATCCTGTAGCTCTCATGCAGCTTGCATCCAAGTTGTCTCTTGACAACGGCAACTTTGTGGATACCAAGTTCTATGCCTTCTCACGACGGAACGCATCTGGCACGATATACGCACCCAAGGCCATTTACGCTAACAGCTGGATGCTCCGTGCGAAGTCTCCTCAGTATTTTGAAAACCGTATGTTCCACTTCCCTCGTACTGTGCTCGTCTCTTGACAGCTGATTAAACGTCTCTGCAGTGCTCTTCGGAGGCTATGATGCCAATTGTACCATTGGCCCTCTAGATGGCGCTGTCTCGCTAGACCATGAATGCCTTGACGAAGCTGAGAGTCTCGGCTACGACTCGGACAGCGATATTGAAGACGACGACGACGACACGGAGACGGTACCTCCTAAGACTTACCGCAAGTCTGCGCTTGACGCTCCCAAGACGAAGGATGATAGATCGACGCCAGTAAGCCACTCGCCGTACTCACTGTTTGCTAACTGCCTCAACGCCGGTTCTCAAGGCACCTGACGACTCGGTCAAAGCTGAGCAGGAAGACGAGCAGGAAGACGAATCCCAAGTGCCAGGACAGAAGGGCCGGATTATCGTGCTGCAAAGCTTCGCCTATCCGACGTATGTCGCACGCGCATTCACCATTGTACCACTGCTGACGGTGAATGGGATCTTACCTCCTTTATCGACAGGTGGAAGGCATTCGTGTACTACCTATACACTGGCAAGGTCGAGTTTACACGTCTGAAGTCGCAGAAGCCTGCAGTTCAGCCCCTCGCAAAGACTGTGCAAATGTCGGCGAAGGCTCCTCCGTGCTCTCCGAAGTCTATGTACAAGCTCGCGGATGAGGTGAGCCTGCGCGGATTGAGTATATACGCCGAGTCGAACTCATAGTAGTCTTGCACTCAGCTTGGTATCTCGGAGCTGAAAAATCTCGCTCAGGCGGACATTCAGTCCAAGCTGTCTGGTGACAATATTCTCGCGGAGCTGTTTTCGACCTTCACCTCACGGTAAGCGTATTTGGCCCGATTTTTCTCGGATTGCTCGTCAACATGTTGATTGCGGCTGACAGATACGATGACATTCGTGATATGGAAATCACCTTCGCGTGTGACAAGGCGAAAGACGCACTCAAGGCAGGCATGTCTTCTTGGATGAATACTATCCCGGCAAACATCCTCAAGCGCAATGCCACCGTGGTTGGTTTACTGGTTGAGAAATTGGCTGCCGCACCAACCCCTGCGCCTGCGCCCGCCATACAGAAGCCTACCCATTGCCCCAGCTGCAGCTACGGTCGTAATGGCTACCAATTCTACCTCAGGTGCAACAATTGCAGCTACAACTTCAGTAATTCCTTCTAGCTTGGTATAGCTTGTGTCCCGTTCGTTCGTACCGTATGCGAGCTCTGAAGATGGGTCCCATCTCGCCCGTGTTTGTTTACGTAGATATATACCGGACAGCTCTTTCTGAATGCGAATGCAACTCACACTTGTCCAGCATATCCGAGCGGCGGTGATCAGAGCTAACGCTCCACAACAACAAGGGTACAACGCCAAATTTGAGCATCCACTGTGATTAGGGGTGTTCAAAGTTCGCGCGCAAAACCGATTCACGGCCGCTTCGAGAGTCGTTTCGAACGAAGCGAAACGCGACTGAAGCGCGCGTAGACTTTTAACACCCCCGACCACGAGGGAGTAAAATCGAAGTGCTGGCGGCGCGAGGGACACATCCGCCTCATTCCTAATGGTCTATATACACTCCATTATACCTGTAGCGGGGCTCCTGCATGCTCTCAGGGAGCGAAGATGCCTCCAAAAAATTACCTGTTGGTATGCACCATGGGGCGGCCGAGAAATACTTGTATGGGGACACGCTTTTCATCGTAACATGCAGAAAATAAGTAGCAAAATATGAATATAAATTGATTCCACTGTCACTACTCCATGTGCATGGGGTTATTACAAAATTGATGCAAATAGCACAGGAGGAGGGGGAGGGGGGTGCCAAGGACGGGGCGAAGCGGGTTGGTCTGGAAAGCGAGCTTGAATCGAGCGAAAAGCGGCGTGCGAAGCGGCTCTCAGGAGCCGCTTCGACGAACGACCTCGATTCGACGCGATTCAGCACGATTCAGCCCGAATCGTCGCTTCAAAACCCCGAAACCGCGCCGCTTCGAGTTTCCGTTTCATCGTCTGAATCGCCATCAAAGCGAGTCCAAAACGCGTTCAAAGCGAACTCTGAACACCCCTATTCTAAGGGCGGTGTATCAAAGGAATCATGCGGTCGGGGACGATATGTGCCAGAACAGTGGGAGCATGTGGGAGTTGCTATCACAGGCGCCGCTTTTGATAGCGATGTGTCCACACACATAACGCAAAGACTCTGCTGCGGGTCCCAAGGCACGCGCGTCGTGTCTTCCTTTTCACTCGCTTCTCGCAGCGATGGACTACAGGGGGCAGCCCCAGACAGTATTGTCCTCCACGTTCACGGGTGGTGGCGATGGCAGAGAGAGGTGAAATCGCTTGTAAGCGCCGGAACGGTTCATGTGACTAACTGCCATGGCAGGTTCTGGCTCGACAGACGAGTGTTCCCGTCCTATGTCGCCGCAGCTTCACTGCTCGTACTCGTAGCTCGTTCTATATGGAACTCTCAGCCATCCCGAAGATTGGTTGGAATTAATGCTCCAAAATTCGAGGCACCATCCGCAGACTCGGAAGGATTCCTCGCGCGCAGAGGCGGAGCAGTCATCGTTATATTCAAACTCGCCCGACTGGCTGGTGTCCTGGCTTTGCTTGTTTTCACACTACTCTCTGCAGCTAAATTTGGTCGAAACGAGTTCTGGGTCGACTTTGCCCAGGTCGCGGCTCTGGTAAGCGAGCCAACCTGTCTGAAAGGTAATAATTCCTGATGCAAATTCGTTATCAGGCGTATGCATCTCTACTGGCCGTCCTCAATGTTTTCAGCGCTGCAAAGCGGGGTTTGGCATACTCGCTCCACTTGTCACTTGTGACATTCGCCATCTTGGCCGTCTATGCCTACCGCGACGTCTGGCCATTGATGACCTTCGCACTCCAGCCAAAAGATGGCCATGAAGGAGTATTTCTGTGGACAAAACTTGCACTTGCTGCATTCGTGGGTGCAATAGAGCCAATGTTTGAACCGTATCCGTACGTTCCGTACAATTCAGATGTGAGTGGACGCCTCTTCTAAGGCTCAAAGACGGCCACTGATAGCCTCCTAGCAACCCCGGATACCCAGTCCGGAACAAACGGCTTCGCTGTTCTTCTTCATCACATACATCTGGCTCGACCCTACAATCTGGCAAGCCTACCGCATCCCTCATCTACCAGCGGACGAGCTGCCCCCGTTGTGCGATTATGATGAAACTCAGAATTTGATCAAGCGTGCCTACCCAGTAAGACATCTTATGCGCACCGTATGGCAACTATGACGTTCACTGTGCCAATACAGAGCTTAGACACATTTTCCGGAGCCAAGAAGCGGCATCTCTTCTGGGGCCTCATCATTATTTTCCGCCGGTCGCTCATCCTTCAAAGCATTATGCTCATCATATTCGTATGTTCTTGCTAAGTGGATTTGACCCCGCGTTTGTTTCATCCGGGTTGTCTGCTAGGCCATGGCTGCCATTGCTGTGCCTATTGGTACCAACCGGCTGCTACAGTATGTCGTTCCGGCCATGCGGTAGCCAACTGTTCACCATTGTACAGCTACCTCGAGACTGATGGTGAAGGTGCAACAGTCAAGCCTTGGGTCTGGATCTTATGGCTCGGTGGTGGGCCAGCCATCCAGGCAACTGTCTCCCAATATTATCTTTTCCTCTCGGTGCGCATACAGCCTCGTCGCATAGACAACCCCTAACCTGACTCCAGACTGGCACCCTTGTCCGTGTGCAAGCAATTGTCACCTCCTTAGTCTTTGATCACGCACTCCGTATCCGCTTCAAAGCTGAGACTGGTGACAAAGAGGCTGATGTCAAAGAAGCGTCCGCTCCGTCCAGCTCCTCAGGTAGTGACACGAAGGGCTCCGCCACTCCCGACAACGCCTCCGAAGGAGGCGACGACAGGACAGTTCACTCACGCGCCGAGACGGGCTCCTCGACTGCGACCGCTGGCACGAGCTCCACCACGACCACCGCGACTGTGGTCCCGCTAGCGCCAGGCAAGGGCAAGGACGATCACAAGGGTAAGAAAGAAGACAAGAAGGATGATAAGAAGGATAGCAAGAAGGGCGATGTGAAGAAAGGCAGAAACTTAGCAGGCAAGATCAATAATCTCGTGACGAGCGATCTCGACAATGTCACGAGCGGCCGTGAATTTCTGGTCGTCGTGCTGGCTGCGCCGCTTTTGTTATCATTCGGATTGGTATTCCTGTACCAGGTCCTCGGCTGGAGTTCGTTTGTCGGTCTAGCTGTGATGATTGTGCTGCTGCCTGTCCCAACGTGGGTAGCGTCGCTCATGCAAGGGGTGCAGAAGCAAAAGATGAAAGCTGTGAGATTGATCGGGTTGCGTTGCGCTGTCATTATGCTCACACTATCTGTGTCCTTTAGACGGACGGTCGTGTACAAAGTGTCACGGAAGGTAAGCAATAGCCATTGAGCTGCACATGTCTAGCTGACTTAGACATCGTCGTAGTCATGAGCGTCTTGCGCATGGTCAAGCTATTTGGTTGGGAATCGCGTGTCAATCAGATCGTCGTAGACACACGAGAGAACGAACTCAACTCCATATGGAAACGCAAGGTCCTTCGTGTGACGAACAGCTGCGTCAAGTAAGTCCCGATCCCGAAGGTATATATAGCTATCTCTAATGATACTGTTGCAGTTATTGTATCCCGCTGGCTCACATGGTCGTTACCTACGCCGTCTATGTAAGTACTTACCGCCCTGGTTGACGTGATAGCTAATATTGCCATAGACTCTCATCATGAAGCGCGAGCTGACCGGTGCGTCAGCAAGCCGTCCGTTAAGAGGCGCTATTGGTTTACATGTTGTATCATTAGCTTCAATTGTTTTCTCTTCAGTAACCGCTTTCGAAATGATGCGCAGCCAGATGTCCAGGGTCATTCAATTCATTCCGATGTGTATTACCGGTAAGTACAGAGTAGAACACTCTACATAGTAGCTAGTCCCGCTAACCAGTCCATATCGCAGCCAACGTCTCTCTGGGCCGTGTCACGGACTTCTTGCGTGGTGTACGTGATACTTCGCAGCGCATGCTCTTTAGAGCTTCTAATGCTTGTACTTTAGACAGAGCTGCTCGACGCTTTCACCGAGACCCCTGCTGAAGAGGTCGTGACTGACGCCTCCGAGGTACACAAGAATGACATCGGATTTGGACGTGCCAACTTTTCCTGGAGTAAGGAGAAGGATGACGGCACACTGACACCCTCGCGCCAGACATTCCGCTTGCGCATCGACGACGAGGTTCATTTCAAGAAAGGAGCCTTCAATCTCATCATAGGACCTACAGGTTCCGGCAAGACGTCTGTTCTCATGGCCCTCCTCGGAGAGATGCACTACATCCCACTCGGCCCTGACGCGTGGGTCAGCCTCCCACGCGGAGGTGGTATCGCATATGCCGCACAAGAGTCGTGGGTGCAGAATGAAACCATCAAGGAGAACATCCTGTTTGGCGCACCATACGACGAGGAGCGATACAAGAAGGTGATCTACCAATGCGGCTTGACGCGTGATCTGAGTCTATTCGACGCTGGAGACGCGACTGAGGTCGGCGAGAAGGGCTTAACGCTGAGTGGTGGGCAGAAGGCACGGATCACGCTTGCACGGGCTGTGTACTCGTCTGCGGAGACGCTGTTGCTGGACGACGTCCTCGCTGCACTTGACGTACACACATCTCGGTGGATCGTGAACAAGTGCTTCAAAGGCGAATTGATTCGAGGCCGTACTGTGCTTTTGGTGGTGTGTTTTCAGGGTTATTTCCCGATTTGCACTTGATAACCTCATATTCGTAGACGCACAATGTAGCCATGGCCAGTCCGCTCGCAGAGTTCGTGGTATCTTTGCGGGACGGACACATTGTTGGCCAAGGCTCAGTGAGCGACGCACTGATGAATGATGCGCAGCTCGAAGAAGAGTTCAAGCACGAGGAGGAGGTTATTGAGCTCGACGAAGCTGAAGACGTGACAGCTGTTATTTCCGGTCCTGCGGATCCTGGTGCTCCCGGTAAGAAGAAAGAAGGCAAACTCGTTGTCGCTGAAGAAATCGAAGTCGGTCACGTTAGTTGGGCAGCGTGTATGTCAGGTTTCTTCCGGATTCAATTAAATAGAGCTGACACAACGTGTTCAGTCAAGCTATTCTTGGCTGGTCTTGGAGGAAGATTTCCGTTCCTGTTTTGGATACAGTACATATTCGGCTCGAGCATGGCAGAGGTATTCGGCGTTCTCGAGATGTGGTGGCTTGGGTACTGGGCTCGACAGTACGCGTTGCAAGATCCTAGTGGCGTTCGCGTCGGCTTGTGAGTCCGAAAGCCACAAGTTTCTTGTCATCTACTGACTAGTACTTTCAGCTACCTCGGCATCTACTGTGCTTGCGTTGGCGGCATGGTCATGATGCACGTATATGCCCAGCTGATATACACCTTCGCGAGCATCCGCGCTTCGCGCGCCATCCATGTCAAGCTCGTAAAGTCCCTCTTAAGCAGCACCTTCAGGTGGCTAGACGTCACACCGATGTCGCGCGTAACCACCCGTTGCACTCAGGACATCCAAGCCAGTGAGCAGCCCTATTTGTGCCAGTCGTACCGGATGCTCACGCGTGCAATCAGTCGATGGGCCGGTTCCTCAATCCCTCGATTACGTTTGTGAGCTTCGTTTTCTTCAGCTCGCGCTCCTTTAGCTAAGAATCGTGTCCAGTCCAGATCGCGCTCACCTGCACGATCAAGGTCGGTGCAGTTTGTATCTTCACACCGTATTTCCTCCTCCCAGCAGTCTTCATCGCCGGGTTTGGCGGTTTCCTGGGCGAGGTGTACATGAAAGCCCAGCTGTCGGTCAAGCGTGAAATGTCGACTGCCAAGGCACCTGTTCTCGGCGTGTTTGGTAGTGCCATGACCGGTCTCAGTGAGTAGCTGTTGTTTCTTTAAACCACATTGTGCTGATGGTTATATAAAGCCTCTATTCGAGCCTACGATGCCCAGCAGACCTTCAGGATCATGATTCATGAGCGCATAGACCGATATGTTCGTGCCGCCAGGTCGTTCTACAATGTCAACCGGTACTTGCACCCTTCCTACCCGTACCTTATACCGCTGATCGGCGCGCGAATAGATGGATCGGAATCCGTCTCGACTTACTCGGGCAGCTCTACACGGCCTCTCTCGCATTTTACTTTATCTATGGTCCAATAGGCGTGAGTCCCTCTGTGGTTGGTTTTGTCATCAGCCAAGCTAGTGCGTATTCGGCCCGGATCACCGAATGAGAGTTTCTGTCTGACGACATCCGCAGCGGGCTTCAGTGACTTGGTCAAGGTGTTTATCCGTCTCTTGAACGAATTGGAAGGTAAATCGCCCTTCGCTGCTGCAGTGCATCGTCGCTGAGCCTCCTCGTAGTGAATGGAAACAGCTTGGAACGTGTTAAGCAATACGTAGACATTGATCATGAGCCTGAGCCTGAACCCGAGGGCGTGCCTCCGGCGTACTGGCCCTCGGGTGGTGATCTCCGGGTCGAGAAGCTCTCCGCCCGGTACTCGCTGGATGGTCCGAAGGTGCTGCAAGATGTCACTTTCCACGCTAAGCCTGGCGAACGCGTCGGGATTGGTGCGCGGCTTTATTCCATGAGGTCTCGGAAGCTTTGCTCACGCTGTTGCGCAGTCGGTCGTACGGGCTCAGGCAAATCCACGCTGACGCTCGCTCTTCTGCGGTGCATCTACACAGAGGGCAAGGTCATCTACGATGGCCTCGACACGAAGTCTACCAACTTGGACGCCTTGCGCTCGAACATCACTATAATCCCACAAGTGGTCAGTATCTGCGCGCCACTTGATTGGAACTCTCCTGAAACAGATATTTGCGTGTATGTAGCCCGAGCTCTTGAGTGGGTCTCTGCGCCACAACCTCGACGTGTTCGGCCAGTACGACGACGCGACGCTGAATGACGCGCTACGTGCCGCCGGTCTGTTCTCTCTCCAGAAGCTCTCTGACGAGAGCAGGATCACACTCGACATCGAGGTTGCAAGTGGAGGTGGGAACCTGTCGGTTGGGCAAAGGCAGATTATCGCGCTCGCGCGGGCGATTGTGCGCCAGAGCAAACTGCTGATCCTGGACGAGGCGACATCAGCCATTGGTGCATCCACCTAATGAACCTCGGTAGATCCATACACTTACTTGATTAAATGAACAGACTACGAGACCGACGCGGTCATCCAGTCCTCGCTGCGCACGGAGCTCAAGAGTGACGTGACAGTCATCACCGTCGCGCACCGTCTCCAGACGATCATGGACTATGACAAAATTGTTAGTTGCACCCATCCTCCCCCCTCTGCCTTTTAACGCTGACTGACGACGCGCAGATGGTGCTTGACGCCGGTCGCCTCGTCGAGTATGATGCACCCATGGTGTTGTTGCGGGAGGAGGGAAGCTTCCTCCGCGCGCTCGTGGATGAGAGCGCGGACAAGGAGACGCTTTATGCGATGGCGGAGGGCAAGGCGCGGCCCTAACTCTATATCATTTTTCGTGCCATTTGTGCTATATTGACCGTCTTGTTGAGTTGCTTCTGTACTTTCTGTAGGCTTTGTATGATACCCTGATATGCTACTAGTTCTCCCGCTGGGCCACAAGTGCCCTCAGGCGTCCTGGCTGTGACTCGAACTGTAACGCCAAAGGCAATCACGAGACAGACCCAGTAACTCCTAGCACAAGAAGGATGACCAGCTGACACCAGTAGGCCACCGATTGCTCTCGGTGCTCGCTGCTGGCCTGGTAGACACGGCGTCTCGCCCAACGGCACCAGCTCGCACTTACGGCTTACGCACAGTCACTAAAATTACTAGCCATACGAAAACACGCTAGAAGCATACTAGAAACACGATTGTGATATCCACACACGCTCAGCTGCCAGTCACTTGCCACCATGACTCGAGAAAATCGTTGCTGAACAGAGCGTCGGGGTCTGCGAGGCTCCATTGCTCTTCGAGCGGCTGAAGAAATCTGACCAGTCGCCCGTCGCCTTCCACTTTACTCTCTATGTCGAACTCGGTAGCGGTGGGCTCGATCTCCACGTAGATGTACCGCAGGCTCGCGATGCAGCGCATGGCATGCTCGGCGATGCTTAAGTGATTGAAGTTGGAGTCAAACATAGGATCTCCTTTTGGACCGTTGTAGTACCATTTGATGCATAGACGCAGCGTGTGAAGCGGGAAAGCCGAGAGAGACTCGATCATTGCGTTCTGCGGACAAACAGGTTAGTAAATTCAACGAGACCACTATCCTGACGAGAAGCTCACCGTATAGGCGGGAACTTCGCGGTAGTTCCGCCCGCGGTATTCGAGGCGCAGCATCAGTTCGGCCAAGGTTGCTTTCACCGGAGCAAGGGCTCTATCCAAGGTCGCGGTGTCGAAGTCGGGCGCCTTGAGCTTGAGATAGAGGCTGTGCAGACCGCGCAGGTCTCGGAGAACGGCGCTGAGTCGCTCTTCGTCGGCCGGCGTCAGCATAGACGATGCCACGCAGAGGTGATCAACGCTGTGGCACAGGGCCAGTGTGTACAGGCAGACTAGGTTGCCCGAGAGACGTGTAAGCGACTGCCAGACGACCTGGGCTCGTGCCTCTAGATTCTGGGATCTCTGACTATCTATGAACCACTCTGAGGACACGGCGCCCTGTCCAACCTCCAGGTGCAGGTCCTGTAGGTTGGGGAAGCATCGAACCATGTTCAGCAAGTGGACGTTGTGGCAGTCTTGCGCTGTGAGAGACGTGACGCGGTGGTACCGCACGTCTGGCTTGCTGAAGTGGACCGACGCTACTTTCATGGTCTCCAGTGACTCCTTGAAGGGGGAAAAGACGACGACGGGATCCCTACACCGGCCGTTATAGCCGAAGAAATCTGCATCGACTGCGGTCAGAGGTGCTTGCATATCCTTTAACGTCTTAAGTGTTGTGGGAGTAGGACTCTGGATAAGCAGGACCCGCAGCTTCGTCATAGCCGCCACCGCATCGGAAATGCGGTCGTCTTCGTCAAGGACGGAGCCCCTACCGAGATCAAGCCACTCGAGCTCTGTGGCCTGGGCGAAAACAGTGCCGAAGGACATGCCACACTGTCCGATCACATTGAATGCCAACGAGATGCTGAGCCGTCGGAGGTAGCGAAAACTGTCTTTCCTGTCGGGACGCAACATAAACTTGCAGAACGACCGACACTGCCGTCCGGAAGGTAGCGTGACCGTGCCTGCCAAAAGGTACCGCGGGGCCACTTGGAGTAGTGTGCGGCACGTGCGCGCCATCCGACTTGCGTCCGCGCGAGGGACGAACGACATGACCTCGGCGAGGATGTCCCAGTTGAGCAGCTATATGCACGCGATGATATCGATGCTGAGCATCGATGTTGAACTATGTTCGACGGTAAGGCCTGACTCACGGCTTGTCTGTCCGTAGACGGGCTACGACGTGCCAGTGGCCCCGGTGGAGCCATGTATGTTGATGGACTTGGGAATGGAGTGCTAATAAAGGGACAGAACGGATGTAGATGATTGCAAGTAGATGGCGGTGTTATATATCCCCTCACGCGGTTGATTTTGAGGGCCTCGTGGCGATCTGATCCACTTCCTAAATTGAGCCGGACAAAATGACTCCAGGACAATTCCGGAGCCGTTTCACGTCGTAGTGCAACAAAGGGGACGTCAGCTCCGCGGCTGGATCACGCGTGAGACGAACACGTCAGCCTGACCAGAATTTATCTCGATGTGTTGCTCTCCAAACCTTGCATTGCAAAGGCACCTGGCATTGCTGCGTAGACATTACAGAAAACGTGGGATATTACACTTTGTACACGGTAGTGGAGGACTGGAAAGAAAGTTTCTACTACCCCGAAAACAAGCGGGAAGACGACAACAGACCATAGCGGAACCAGAGCGAAAGAGTGCGGGAAGAGAGAACATCATGGACAACGATTGTTACGGAGAAAAGGTGGAGAGAAAGAGATTGCTGCTGGAACATGAATGGCGAGCGACTGCAAAGTGGTGGACATAGGATAGCGACACTCTTAATGACACTGAGGAGGGGTAAAATCCGTGAGTGATGATTTTGGAGATGCGAATGCAGGAGAAAACTGATGCAGTTGTTGTGTGAATTCCGGCCAAACGAAGCGAATGATTGAATTGGGAGAAAGCTATGCGATCGATCCTGTGCATGATATAGTCCGGCAGGCATGGGGTGCGAAGGAGGTCATTATGCAAACTGAGAGAGACGTTGTGCGAGTGCTTCGACAATGTGCGCGTCTACGCCGAATTCTTTAGCGAGGTCTCCGTAAGGCTTGATATTTTCGTCAACAGTATTAAACTTGCGACTGCTCTGCAGTGGTGCGGTAGGCGCGGAGGCGTTGTTGGATCTCTGAGGCGACGCAGCGTGGGACACAGCAGGGGAAGAGGTGGCGGGAGGGAGCACGGCTTCCAAGATATCAGAGAGCTTGCTCATCTGCTCGGCGGTGAAGGCTTGGCAGCTCATGGCGGCGCGGACTAACTCCGCGGCAAGATTAGCCCAATCGGAGAAGGGGCTATCCTCAATGCGGGCAAGGAGAGCTTCTACCGCAGCGTGAGTGACCTCTGAGAAGACGAAGATAGTTAGTATCGCGCACCTCCAAAACAAATAAAAAGTCGCACCATAGAGCAAGTCTCTCAGATTACCAGACCAAAAAACACGGCTATCCTCATCCGTAGGGAACTTCGACAGGATACTGATGAGCGAGTGGAAGGGAAGAGATGGGACCTTGAGGAAGTGGCTATCCGGAGAGCGAATCAAATGCATAAGGGACTTGAGGTCAGCTTCGGAGATTAGACCATGCTGCAAGGCGGCGATAACATGTTCGTTACTCAAACTAGACAGTGAGGGCCGCGAGCCGTCGAAGACACCCTGCCACGACGGAAAGAGCTGCACGATGATTGCATCAGCCGTATACGAATGACCAAATGGACACATATACTCACTGCCCGCATTAGCTCCTCTTGATTACTTCGTGTGACCGTGACCCCACGAGCGCGTTTGCCCCTGCCCAGAACAGAGTTTTGAGATGTTCTCAACGCAGCCTTCGCTGCCTCAGGACTGGCCATCTCCGCAAACGCATGACTGAGCGTCTTGCCCTTGCGATCGAGCAGGACATGAACGCGTTCAACAGGATGCTTGAGCCAGGCAGCAATAGCCGGAGGGGTAATGTCCTGTCAGTATTGCGTGGGTTCAGATAGGGACAGTGAGTACATGCGGATATAACGCACCCATGGTACGTTATCGATTCGAAGGACAACCTTGTCGTCTGACTTGGTGATCCTAGCCGTCCCTGGGAGAGGTCGAGCCCGCGCCACTGGAGTAGAAGCGCCCTGAACGTGACCGAAGAAGTCCTGAACACCACCATCGTTCGGCAGCGCAAAGGCCTGGTTATATGCGTCAATATCGTCGTCACCCATGCGAACGGCGCTGGCGGCACGGGAGTTGGGCACATCCTCCATCTTCTTCAGCTTGAAATCGAGAACCTTTGACTTGCAGACCGCACACTCCATGTCCTTCTCTCCAACAATATTCAGAGCACTCGTGAGACACCCCGAGCATAGAGGATGGGTGCAGGGTTCGAGCACAGCCAGGGAGCCCTTGGAGGTACCACAGACCGAGCAGGAAGGAGATGGAGGGGTGGCAAGTTGTTTCTGTGTCTCAAGAAGTGCCGGGAGCGAATAGGCGTCGTAGTACATTGCATCTGAAGAAACAGAAGTGTCAAACGGATCTTGCAGGTGAAGAGGCAGAGTCTGAGAGTGTGCTTGGGCCGCGGCCTGAGAGAAAAATGCGGGAGGCTGGAGCAGATAATCATCTTCCTCGATGTCACAGAGTTCGCTCACCTGAAAACCGAGCTGGGTCAGCTGGAAACTGTCGCGATATCGGAACGATGCTCACTTGTCCAAAAACGGGTCTTCGACGAGTATGTGCGGGATCGGTAACGGTACCACGAAGCCTAATCTTGTTAAAGAGTGCGGGGTTTGGCGGCGGGGTATTGAGGAAGGCAGGTGACAGGGTAAACGACTGCACAATCGAAGCGCGGGCAGGGGTCGACAGTTGAGGGTTGGGAATTGGAGAGAGAGGAGACGCAGCCACGGGAGGCTGTATTGTGGTAAATGCACGGCCACGGCGCTGAGACGACAGGAAAGGAGCAGGAAGAAGAGCTTGAATCGAAGAGCAGTTAGTTAACGGAAGATGCCGAAGCATAGCCAAGCTTACACTTGTCGACGGAGAAGAAACTGGAGCCGTCAAGATCAACGCCATCATCGCCTACGTGCAATACACCATGTGAATAGTTGACTTCAGGTGCAGTTGTAGCGCATATATGCATACCTTCGTCGTCCGCGAATTGCGACTCTTCATTTAGACGGACTTTTATGTCGTTTTCGCCAGCGCGATCCCGCCAATTGCCAGCGATGTCTGCGCAGCTTTTTCTATCCTTGTGCCTGAAGCTATCTTCAGGCGAAACAGGGACGTTTTGACGGTGGTGTTCCGCAACCGATGCTGGAGTAGCGAGCGACGAGACGTTCGATGATGAGAACGAGCGGAGGCTGTGTGGGGTATATGGAGTGGAGAGTGAGTTGATGGGCGTATACGGCGAGGCGCTGATTTGTCGGTGGTGCGCTCGCTGGAGAGTGCGCTGAGGAGTTGCCGGCGGGTTGCCCTGCTTGCTGCGCGCGACGGCCGGCGACGTCGGGGCAGAGGCGACGGGAAGCGGAAAAGAGTGACGGGGCATTGCTGTCGTTATCGGTGGTGTCGGTCTTGTCGTCGTCGGCGCCGACGATGAGGAAGAGGCGTATCCGTGGGAGAAGTCGGTGAGATGGTCGTGGTTGGAGTCGAAGTCGACCGCCACGCGAGCGTGAGAACCATTTGTCCGAAAACTATCGCGACTCGTCAGGTGACCGCGCTCCTTAATGACCGCGTTCGACCGTCGCAGGCGCAATCACGAGCAACGTAAAACTGAGCAATATATTCGGAACACAACGCAGACGCGTAGCATAATCACCCGACGCGAGCTAAATAAGTCTATGCATCCAGACTAAAGACGTCTAACCTCTCCGGTAAAGTCTTGGAGTGCTCAACGGAACGTTGGATCAAATCTAAAGCCGCTTTAGAGCGAGGTTGCAGAGAAGCCTTGAACGGTACGGGAAAGCTACGAGGAGAATTAGGTGCAGTGCCTACGCACGATAAGTTCTAGAACTTACCTGACGACTCCGGGGGTGTCCTCGACTTTGGGCTCAATGACGTTTCCTTGTGCGTCATGCGCTTTCGTGATGTTAATCGTTGCCAGTGTTACTGCTATCGACACGAACATATGCGGCTGTGCAATGAGCATCCCCGGACAGATGCTGGAACACACATGTAAGTAGAGTTCGCGGGGAAATTGATATCGCGTACCGTCGACCAAAGCCAAAGACGTCAGTAAGGCAGTCAGGTGCTCCTTCCTCCATGAACCGCTCCGGGATAAATTTGTCGGCGTCGTGATAAACGTTCTCGTCGTGCAGAATAGCCCTGTTGTACCGCGATTTAGCTCAGTGAAGGACAGAGGCAATATCGGGGGGAACACTCGCCAGATATTGCCTATCAGCGGCGTCTTGGCTGGAATGAAGTAGCCTTGGTACTCGTCGTCCTTGCTCGCGGAATGTACCACTGAGTGATAATCAGCGTGAGAGGTGGGGTCCAGAAAAACCGTTTTTCGTACCCATTTTGACAGGTGGCTGCCATCTAAACACTTCTTGCATGATGGCCGAGACATACGGCAGCGATTCCTTGTCCTCGACTCGCGGGAGTCGCTCATTGCCAATGACTTTATCGATCTCAGCTTGCGCCTTAGCTTGAACCTCTGGATGCAAAGCCATTGCCATAAAAAACCACGAGAGCGAAGCTGTCGTCTGGAGCCCAACAATGACCACAGGATGGTGTGGGCGGAGGCGAAAAACGTACCGTATCCAGCTGACCCAGGGATATACCCACGCTCGAGTACTTAATGCAGTTTTCCATATCCAAATGTCCCTGTGCCTGCTGCAATAGCATCGAAGTGAAGGATGCACCAGCTGTTCCTAATTTCTATCAAGATATCAGCACACAATCTAGTTGCATGCAAGAGAACGCACCGACCATATGCCGTTTCGTCTCTTCAAAAGGCTTATTAATGCACTCAAGGACGACGGGTTTTGCGCGTGCCGCATATCGCTGGAAGGACGCAAGTGGGAACCACTGAGGGACATATCTTACTGCATGAGCATTGTGAGTTCATAACTGGGGCGTATATGGTGTGACGTACGGATCGGAAGGATGTCCACAAGCCACACCCCAACTACAGCTGTCTCCTCAAAGTAACGGTTAGCTTCGTGCGAAAGCTGATACATATCCTCGTCCTCCGTGATGCCATCATAGCCATACGCAACCTTCATCGAGATGGCCGCTGCGTTCCTGCGAGAGGCTGTCAGCAACGCTGTGACCCAGAATTTCTAATGTGACGCACCGCTTGAAGACATCAGGGAATGCTTCTGGTCTATTCAACAGATCTCGTAGGTAGAGTGAGCTCTGGCGGTTCAAAAAGGGTACGAAGCTCTGCGCGGCGCTTGGACCAAGACCTTTGCGCATGAGTTTCCTGCAGTTGCGGAAGTGAGGGGTGTTGTTAGCCAATATAACCGAGCCATCCCAGCCGATCCTGTACAGAGCCAGTCCCTAAGTGCGCGCACCTTCAAAGGAAAAAGGCAACACGTACAAATCCGAGCTCATAATCACGCGAGGCCGGTCGGAGTAGATAGGCGATCTACTGTCAAAGAGGTCGAATATAGCTTTGCGCGAATTAAGAATGATAAAATTGCTTCCTAGCATGCGAATTGTCGTGATGTCACCTGCCACCAGCTTGCTGTTTAGCCTGCGACCAAGCTAGATTTAACCGAAATACTCACCGTATATATTGCCGAGGTTCTGGAAGGTAACATATTGTTTCGTGCTGGGAATTTGCAGCAGGTTGCCTAAGAATGGCAGACCTGGTGGCCCAGGAGGAAGGTGCTTCGCCTTCCTGCGCCATGAATTAAACATGAACGCAAATACAAGTCCCGTCGCGGCGGTGGCGGCAATGTCCGCGAGTGACAACATGCCGGATACGTGGAAAGCAAACGAAAATTCTGTAACACATCGCTCTCGCAGTGTTTTAAGTAGGCCTGCAGGCGCCAAGTATAGGCGAAGGATTGGCTGGCCCACGGGAATTGGGTGCACCTGAATGTCGAACGCCGAAGCGAAACGTGTCGGGACTCGGAATAAGACGCGATAGTCTGTCCGAGAGCGGCATCACCACGGTACGCCCGCGCAAACCCTGTCGACTAGTCTTGTCCGGCTTGCGGTCTCTACATAGCAAAGCCAAGACATCGACCAGGAGCAGGGACAAAGCAGGCAAAGCCAATCGAGGCTTCCCCAAAAGGCTTCCTACTCTAACTCAACTGCTGCTTCTGGCGCCTATCACTTTTTGATCACATCAGAGTCAGGCAACCTCCCAGGCCTCATCCAGTCGTCTTGAGGCTCGGCCGATCTTATCAGGTTTAAATTTCCTCCGCAAATATGCCTTCCGTCACAGCGTTAGCTGAATAGCCTCTGGAGTGCATTTGGTGGGGGCATCACGGATACGTGGCGCAGAGAACGTTTTGCGGATACTCTTATCACGAGTTCGGCGCACGCGATGACCTCACCACAATCTGCAGCTTTTCAGCAGACTCCTTTGGTCCAGGACGACTTCGACAAGCCTATCAGCTAAAGGCCGTTGCATTATTATTGCACATACCTGTCCCACGCCATAGTTTGCTGCTGTAGATATGACAGACTTTGTGCGACGACTCGTGTCGGGAAAGAAAGCACGATTTCGGGATGAGGAGTTGGACTTGGAACTAGGTGCGTGTACGTGTCCTTGTCTGCAGCAGTCCATTTCATGTCCCCCACGTAGATCTAGCATACATAACAGATCGGATCATAGTCATGGGCTTCCCTGCGGCGGGCCTTGAAGGCCTGTACCGCAACCGACGCGAGGACGCGAAGAAGTTCCTGGACCACCGCCACGGGGCAAACTACTGGATCTTCAACTTCTGCCCAATCAAAGAGAATTCGTACCCGTCTCAAGTATTTGAAAATAGAGTCAGCAGATATCCCTTTCCAGACCACCAGTGAGTCAGTCCTGTGTGTGTATGGCGCATAGATGTTGAGATACGCGCAGTGCGCCTCCTCTGGCTATCTTGCCGTTAATCGCACGAGAAATGCGCACATGGCTGGACGGATCGCCTGAACGTGTCGCGGTCCTGCATTGCAAAGGCAAGTTACGTCTGCATGTTGATTATATGCGCTTGCTAACAAGGTAGTGCAGCCGGCAAGGGAAGGTCGGGCACCATGGCCTGCACGTACTTGCTTACGCTCACGGATCTTCCCCGGCCGCCGAGCATGGGCCGCAGCCGAGCTGCTGAAGAGAAGGCGAAACAGCGCGCTGAAGATTTCATGAACGTCATGCCCGCCGACATCGATGCTTCTGTTGATGTAGAGCCCCGTTCAGACGCGTCTTCAACAACGTCAGACCCGATTAAAAATGAAATTTCGAACGATGTGCTGGATGCGAAGCTTACTAATAAGACTACAGTTTCCAGAGTTGCGTCAGCCACTTCTCTGGACGACGTTCTGAAACTACATACTGCGGGCCGCATGAAACCGCCGTCGTCGTCTTCCGAGAAAGCAAAGCAGGGCGTAAGCATACCGAGCCAACGGCGCTGGCTGTACTACTGGTCACTGCTGATCGCACATCAAGGCCCGCATGGCCTCTGGTCGCTTAACGAGTCCGAACGTGAGCCTCCGCCAAAGGTGCACCTGACTCAGATCAAGATCCGCATGCACGAGCTATCGGGCGTGAAGGCGAACATGATCAAGGCGGCGAGCACGCTGATGGACCGGGCGGGCAAGGGCAAGCTCGCGGGGAGCACGAGCCAGGTGTGGGCGTCCCTCGCCCGGTACGACGACGAGCTCGTGGACACGCTTGAGTGGTGGGAGCGCACGACACGCGTTGATGACGGTAATATGGGCGTGCGCAAGCCCGGATCGCAACATCAGCCCGACGGGGAGCTCACGGACATGTTTGCGACGGCGAAGTGGGACAAAGGCAAGATGGTGCGGCCGTTCGCCCGCCTGGGGACCGTCAACGGAGATGGCGTGCAGAAGCAGCTGTCGGAGGTACGCAGTTTGATTGTGGTTTAGACTCGCGTTTAGCTGTATCTGATTGGGCTCTACTAGGAGGGTAAGATCGCTGTCTACGTCCTGCGCCCTTTATCGGACGACAGCTGGACGCTGGTTAAGTCAGGTCTAGAGGGTGATGAGCAGAGCCCCACGGTCGAGTCCGAGCAGGATTCCATACAGGATGCGACACGATCATTGGAGGATACGAGCGGCATTGTGCTCGATGCCCACCGCGAGGTCCGGGTGAAACTATATATCGGTCAGGTATGTGGTGTCAGACTGCCGCCACCGTTTGCCTTGGGTGATTGACGTGTTGCTGCTGCTCAGGTTTTCATGGGGTGGTTCTGGTTTATACCCACGTTCCACATGGCTCACCCGCGCTCACAAACGCAGCAGCCCACCGTCTATCCACTGACGCGCAAGGAAATCGACTTTCCGCTTGGTATCGGATCGCACCTCATCGACGTCGTGGTGTCGATGGAGTGGTGCGCCCCTGATGCGGACGTCCTCTCTCCGCCCGCCAGAGAGGACAGCCAGGATTCCGTCGAAGGCCGAGGCGACCCCACGGGAATTGGGGCGGCCATACATGCTGCGGCGATAGGGGAGACGCAGCAGGCAACAGAAGCATCCCAAGTCGGGAACGAATGAGTAGAGGGCGGTACGTACGCGTGCACGCGGATGATTCTTATTCCGCGAGCAGCAACTCAGATACCTCATTTGCAGACGTTGCTATGCACGAAGCGCGTAGCGGAGGACGACGGGGGTGTGGGCTAGCCTTACGGAAATATGTTGCATGATTAGCTCGCTGCAATGGTAATTCACCGCTAGTCCTGCTCTGATTCCGGGTTGTTTTTCCCAGGTAAGCCTGCGGGGATCCGTCTGAAGAGACGTGACGCCATCTCCTGTGAGTGTTCGAACCCATCTGGTGTCCGCTGCTTTGCGCAGATGGCACCAAGACACACTTGTCCCGGAATTGCTTAGCGAGCGGTCATTGATGGCCGCGGCCGGCATGCGGCACCTTGGGTGATGTGCAGGACCACACTTGCCGCAGAAGGCAGGCCAGGTGATTCGACCTGGTCGAGCTGCTTCTTCGCGAACACGCTCTGATGAAAGATTCTGGTGTGTCCTCGGCGGATGCAAATTCGCCCTCTCGTCCCTTTCCTTTACTCCACCACATCTGCGCGGCAGGTCAAAGTCGACGGTGGCCTGCGCTCGTCGCAGAAAGCGTCCCTTCTGCTCGGTCTTGTAATGCTCCCCTACGGGCTCAAAATCGTCTGGTTCGCCCTTTCACTCTCAGGTATGCTAGTTTCGGAGCCGACGCGGGACCCTTACTAGTCACATCCAATAACGCTCTCCTCTTGTACAGGGCTATTGAGCAGCTGGGTTGCCTTGCCGGCGTTCCCGAGGACCGTTGCGAAGGGGACATGGATTCCGGTCATATATGGTGTTGTCGACACCGTGCTCCAGGGGGTATTTTGTCTAGGTAGGTAACGAGCGGACAGTGTGTATATGATCTGACATTGGTGCAGGGCTCATCTGGAAGATGGATCCGTTCCTTATGCCTAGAACATTCTGTATCAGTACGTTCCACCATACTGGCTTCAAATGACGTCCATTAAGTTCTGTAACAGTACAAACAGGCCTCATGCAACTCTGCTGGTCCTGCTTGGCTGGGTGCTGCATCGCCATGTCCTTGAGGAGCGCAGCCGACGTGTTTCACGACAGGGCTTTCGGACAAGTGCTACAGAGGTATGCATGGAGTCTATACCACGCACTGGGAGAGCTCATATATAAATTTCCCACCCCACCGCAGAATGTCCGGTAGACTGTCTCGAGTGGTCATAATTGCCGTATTCCCTGCGGCAGTCTTCGCCGTGCAGCTTGCTCTACTACTGAGTCTGAATGCCGTACAGCCTGTGGACGGTCTCAATTGTGACGCGTCTAGCCCTCCATGGTGTGTGTCTACCATTCTTGTTGTTCCAGACTCGGGCTAAACGCTTCATCTCCGACAAAGGGTCCGTCTTGTAGGCTACTCGGGCACCTCTCTTCTTTTCGCCGTCCCTTCCGTCATCTTATCTCTCGTGATCGTCATTCACACCCTCTACCCTCGTCATGCCCAGCCAATGACCATCTCTACGGCCCGTACGGTATACTCTCATGATTCTCTAACCTCGCTTCCCACTCGACGCCTGCGACACCGAGAGCCCAAGTATCGCCCTCGGGTGACCGACACCTTCGACTATGCCCTCTCGGAATCACCAATAGACACTCATTCTGCGCTGAATCTGCCCAAGACGCTCTTTCCCTCAAATGATTCTGAGAACCCATATCCTCCACTAAGTCCCGGTCGCACGCTTTCACAGGCGAAGCACTCCAAATACCACCTGCCTTTCGCCAGTCCCCCAGTAACTCCCGCGCAAGAGCTTTCGCACCCGTCTAGCCCGCAGCCGAGCCTACAAAGCGCGCGAGGGTCTCTCTTCCGTGAGGTGAATCGTAGTAGAAACAGCTCGTACCGCAGTGCGCCTTCACCTATCATATTCTCTTCTCCTTCTCGCACAGAGAACCGTCCACGCGAGCCAACCGTGGTCAATATCTCTCCGTCACCTGACCCACCCACATTAGAGGATGAGAAGGACGATGGATCAATAACGGAGGTACAACACGACGTCGAAGGCGATAATATTGCGACGGGCTCGCTGCGCTGGGCCTATGACCCAGAACATGCGTCGCTCAAGCAAAGCAAAGATTTTGGCTATGACGATCTCGAAGAGGGCGGCTACGACGAGCCAACGTTCCCGCCGTTCCCGCGCATCCGCCGCTCGCCGTCTGGCCAACCGCCCTGGCTCAATGATGTACCCGACCCGGCCCCACCGTTGCTGCGCGTGGTGTGCTTCCAGCTCTTCCTCGCCGCATCGCTCGTCGTCTGCGCTGTCACGTCGCTCGTCGACATCTTTGCACATCATGATCCACCTACGCCCTTCGGAACGCAGCACGCGGCGCTCGTGCTCGTCGCGTGGGGTCCGGCTTTGTTTATGGGGACTGTTGTGCTCATGAACCGCATAGACTGGGTATCATACCCAAGATCACGGCCCGTGCTTGCACTCTGCCGCCGCTAATATTTATGTGTACGTTGAACGCTGTATCATTCTACCTGCGCAATCCTGCCTTTTTCTATCTTGTCACTTCTCTACACTCGGATTGCATTGCTCTTGAATAAGTTAATCATCGTACACGTTCTTTGCTTGCATAAACACTTGACTTCGCTTTTCTGCTTGCATATGCATACCCCCTTTTACCCTTGTATTATGTAGCTTACCTGTAACACTAACCGGCCGCCGACCGTAATACCCCTCCTCTCCCCCTGCTCATGATCAATACCACGTTCCCTTGTAATTCTTAGGCAGCAATATACGACATTCGTTTAGAAAAAGTCAGATCGATCCGCGTGAAGGGCGAGACTAGATTAGAATGTCTTGATGGTGCGACGGACATGAAGGCGTTGAAGCCGACAGAGATGGATACACAGTCATTAGAGGGCAGAGCGGTCGAGTCCAAGCGTACAAGTCGTGAGTGTGCGGGGGATTAATTGAACATGAAAGACTAGCCCCGCCTCTGCACAAAATTCTGTGCAAATGGTGAATTCATCGTAAAATGTATGAGGTATGCGAGAGGACGTACAACGAGATCTTGCCTTGTGACGACGGCGAGGACAAACTTCCGCCCTGCGTCGGTAACTATACACGCATATAATCAGTATTGTCAGATGCGGCCAACAAAGGGTTGCGGTACGCACCCAGCGCAAAGATCTTGTCTTGCAAGAACTGCTCGAGCTCGGCCAGGGGCGTCGATGGGGTGATGACCGTGTACGGATGCGAACTAGAGCGGATGAACTTGATAATGTACTTTGACACTTTCTCATCCTACGTGGCATGTCTCCAGATGAACGAAAGTTGATAGGCGCAGAAAGAGCAAACGCACCGGACTCGCTTCGCCCGCCTCCCACTTCTTCTTGAGCCCGGCAACATCGATGTAGCCGAGCGGCTTCCGGTGCCTGTCCAGCACACTAAACACAGAACACGGCAGCGCATCAGACTCCGCTTGTCTGCAGAGGACATCGTCACGTACGGTATGTGTGAAAAGTCGCGCTCGTACGCGAGCTCAATTGCCCGTGAGATCGCCTCGTCTTGCGGCAGCGCAAACGCAGGGGGCAGTTGCAGGTCCTATGCACACAGCCGGCACCACGAACGCACGTCAGCTCCTCCCGAGCCAAAGCGCACCATAACAGGCGTACCTCGACCACTGCGCCCCGGTACTTGTCTCCATCGCCGAACGGCGGGTACGCCAAGCTCGCCGCCGCCGTGCTCTGGCTGGGCTCTGCTGCTGTTGTCGACATCATGTCACGGCAGAATCGTCGCCTCTGGTGTTCTGGAATCAAGAAAGGTGCTGTCCGGGGAGGGACTGAGCTGAGCTGGGCGTTTCAAGGTGCTTCAATGCCATGGTGGCGGAATGGATCAGGCCACTTTGCGTGCGCCTCTGGGCGCCGAAGCGCTGAACCGCCGATGTTCTGTCGTCCCACTCTCCTCGGTCTCAGTGGCGGCTGTAACCCCAGCGCGAAGAGGAGGACGTTTGTGGAGAGTTGTGAAGATAGAATCTCACATCATGCGTGTCTTACTGCGTCTGTACAAGATGCTGACCAGATGACTATCGAGATTCAACAGGCTTTGATCTTGCGCCAGGGAACACGCTCTGAAAGCCTGTGGCTCGAAAGACGACGGTAGCACCGGTGAATCGTCAGCGTAGCTAAGCTTTCACGCGCACGGCGAACCCTCAGACTGGCTCGCGCATAAAATCCCGATTGTGCTATCGTCCCGACAATGATTGCGGACAGGGACTCGGTGGCGAACAAGCCCTTCTAACCTCTAATTTGTGGGCAGATGTCACATTGTTGTTGCTCCCGGCGTTGAAGTCAGAAGTCAACATACCATAAACAACGCCGAGCTTTACACACGCAAGTAGTCGGCATACGACTTGGATGCAGGTAGTTTTAAATCCCGAGGACCCCAGGCACAATACTTCTACCGCCTTGAAGCCTCCGTTGGCTGATGAGGATGACAGGTATGTCTCACTGCCCTATCCAGCCTCCGGGGTAATCATTCAATAATTAAAGTCTCTCCAGGACATGGTGTGGAAAGTCTAGCTCCCACTCGCGGGGAGCACAGGCAAACGTCATGCGGCGGAGTCCGCAGATGCTTGAGGCGGTCAACATGTGTCTTAGTAGGACCTTCAGACAAGACACGTCCAACTATACTTGCGCTGGATGATGCGCTCACGATGCCTTACTCGTTTCAGCACTCTTGCCGTAACACCTGGCCGATGTGGTGAGGCTCGATCAGTCATATAGTGGAGGATACACTGATTTCCTCGCCGCACGGCTGACTCTTATCCCTCACATCCGAAAATACAATGCTGGTCCAGCTGTTTTCCGCTATTCTTGCACTTTTCCTTGTCTACAAACTACTGCAGCTGCAGAGACCTAAAAATCTACCTCCCGGCCCGAGGCCCCTGCCTTTGCTTGGCAACCTCTTGGAGATGCCAGTGGAGAATGCGCGCGTCGTCTTCAGAGACTGGGCGAACATCTACGGTATGAGATAGTACGCTTCGTCTTCCACCCTCACTTCTAACCTTTTAAACGCTAGGCAGGGAGCTAATGAAGATCGAGCTGCCTGGCAAAATGCTATACTTCATTTCCGATAGGCAAACCATGATTGACCTTTTCGAGACGCGAGCTGCTAAATATTCTTCTAAACCTCCATTCACCATGACCTAATCGTATGCACATTCAGTATCCTTTACTCTCATCCAGGATACTCACTGTGTTGCAGGTCCGGGTTCAAATATATCGTGCCTCTTCTACCGTATGAAAGTCGTCTGAAGACCACGAGGAGGCTACTGGGGCAAGGCCTCTCGCACACCGCCGTACGAAGCTACCAGTCATATATCGACCGACGAGCAATGCTCTTGCTGGAGTCATTGTGCGAGAATCCGAGCGATTTCGTCATGCATTTCACCAGGTCAGTTCTGTCGTAACGTCTATCGGCTTTATCAAACTGACCTCCAACATCAACAGAATGGCCGCACATACCGCGATGAAGATTGCATACGGCCACAAAGATGTCACGGATAATCAAGACTTGCTCTCAAAAGCGATTCGATCTATGGAGATCTTCACCGAAACAGTAATCCCTGGCGCGTGGCTCGTGGACTCCCTGCCAATTCGTAAGTGTTCTATGCTTGGGTTCGGTATTTCACCAGACCTGAAGGATACTGCAGTCGATCACCTTCCATCGTGGTTTCCTTTCGCTGCATTCAAGAGGTACCAAGAGATGGCGAAGCCGATAGTTGTTGAGTCTGTCACAAAGCCGTTCGAGATAGTCAAAAAGCATCTGGTTAGCCGCTATTTCTTTAAGAGACGACGCTCGAGTAGTAACATCTGCCAGGCTCAGGGCACAGCGGACGGATCCTTCACCTCTTATCTCCTTCAGTCAGAGAAGCTCGATCCTGAAACCGAGGACTGCATCAAATGGGCTGCGAATGGTATCTTCTTCGGTCAATTCGAGACAGTGCGTTTTTCCAACAGTGAAAGTCTGCCGTTAAGCAGTTAGCCGATCTATATCAGACGACGGCTGCCCTCTCTTGGTTCACTCATGCTATGGTCAAGCATCCTGATGTACAGAAGAAGGCTCAGGAGGAGATCGACAGGGTCGTCGGAAATGAGCGTCTTCCCAAGGTCGAGGACCGTGATTCGCTGCCCTACCTCAATGCCGTCTTGCGGGAAGTCATGAGGTGGCAGCCGATCGTTTGTCTTTGTGAGTGCATCAAGGCACCAAAGCGCCGCATTCATTGACGGGAAGTGGCAGCGACGCGTGCCGTCAGCGAGGAAAGCGACGAGTATCACGGTTACTTCGTACCAGCATATACTGAAATAGTGGTGAACATCTGGTTAGTGACATGGCTGGGACATGCGAATTGTCGCTGAGTTACATCAGGGCCGTGCTACACGACCCTACGGTGTATCCCGACCCCGAGCGGTTCATTCCAGAGCGCCACCTTGAGAAAGATGTTCCAGATCCTCTGGATGTTGCATTCGGGATCGGTCGTCGGTGAATGATCTCGATATACGTCCCAGTTGTACCGCTAACCGACGTACGTTGTCTCGTACCTTCAGAGGTTGCCCTGGAAGGCAAGTGGCTCAGGCTCAGCCATTCGTGACCATGGCGTGCATGCTCGCAACCCTCGACCTCAAGCCCGTGAAAGACGAGCACGGCAATGAGCTAATTCCCGAGACGAAGGGAGGTGACCTTTTGATCAAGTGCGCCATCCCGTCTCGTTCACGTGTGTCAATTCATCTCCAACTCCTCACAGCTTCCCTGTACCGTTCAAATCGGCGTTTACTGCACGCTCTGAGATGGCACTGGAGCTTATTCATCAGTCGGCGGAACACGCCAGGTCGCTACCTGACAAGCTGGAGCGGTGGTCTGACTAGTTCGAGGGTCGGCGGTGAGCTCGGGGAAAGACAGAAGCAGTCGTGTTTCGACAAACATATACTGTCTTGACGAACTAATAGCTGTAGCCAGGGTTGTATTTGTACTCGAGGAGCCGGCGACACCCTGTTCTGCCGTGCTGGCTAATTCATGAAGAGGTCACTTGGCGCCATGACTGATGTTCTCCGTTATAATGGACACATTTGATTGCGAGATATGCAGCGAACGAAAGGGAGGAACTAGGATTAACTGGTGCCTACAGCCGTAAGGGAAACAAACAAGAGGATACCAGCGCTCAGACAGCACTAGCAAGTTGCCGGCAGCACCCTGTTCTGCCACCTGGACCGATTCCCTTCAACGAGATCTTACTGGCTTGTCATGCGCGTTTCTTACCCTGAGATCACGTTGAAACAAAAATATTTGCATTATGTGGCCAGAAAAACCAACCGCGATTAACAGCTTTCACTGGGCGAGAGTTCTCTGCGTAGTCTGCGCCGCCGTAATGGCACGAGAAGGTCACTTATGCTTATGCTGATCCATAATGGCCACTGCAGCTTACCCACGTCTTCGTCGAACGACTCCCGCCCGTGTCTTTGGTGCTTAGTACGCTCCACAAACGAAGCGAGGTTTTCGTTCGCGGCTGGTCCTGGTCCTGCGCAGCACCTGCGGCAATCGGCGAGCTCGCGGGGGTCATATAGAGTGACATTTAGTTGATGCGCTATATTTATGGTATACAGAAAGCTCGTACATATGCTGACACTGCAAGTGCGGATAGCTCTGCGGATACAGGTTCTATGTCCAACGAGCGTAATGAGGAAAGGAACGAGACAAGAAGCGTAAGAACGTTACACACATACTATAGGATCCCAGACCTTGTAGATATGCTGTCGCCTACTGGTCCGTGTTGGCTGGACCGGTGTGCTTCTTCAAGCTCTCAACAGCCTTCAGGAGTTGCTGTCTGACTAGATCCGGAGAATCGGTACTAGAGGGTGGCTCCAGTGGATCAAGCTCGTATGCAAACCACTCTCGCAACTCAGCAGTGGCAATCCCATCTTCGCCTAGGGATAGCTCATAACCTGGAGTGTCGGTTGGTAAAACTTTGCTGAGGTCGGATGCGGTGTAGTCGGCACCGCTCGCAAGATATTCCTCTCGGCGAAGAAGAGGCCATCGCGTGCCACCTTCACTTAGTAAGAGAATGATCTGCTTGACTTGGTTAGACATGGCTGGCTGCCTTTGCGGAGGCACAAGAGCAAATAGCTCTGTCATGCGCATCTAGCTCACGTCAACACACGACTGTAGCTGAAGTTGACAATGACACGTACAGTAATCGCAAGGATGTCCCTGTTTTCTTTGGGGGTCAGCTTTCTCGTTTGACCCGTCGAAAGGGCGTTTTTAAGGAATAAATCCCCAACGCGTAGAAGCATAAGGACATTGTCTGCAGTTGCGGGCATGTCAGGGGGAGGTGGAATGCTGCAAAACTCGTGAACGACGTGAAGAGATGGATGCGAAGATTAGTCCCAGAACCCACCCTAACATATTAGAATATAGCCATGGATGTTTTGGGAGAGGCTCATGTTTGCGAGCCTACACAAGTCTCGACTAGTTGACTAGCTTGACTAGCTTGACTTGATGTAGTGTCCGGAAACCGATCAGAGTCTCATCAAAAACGCGCGTCCGATAATCACACGAATGACTAAGCAAGCGATATACCTGATTGGGCGTTCCAGTTATGGTCAATTGATCTCAAGGTAGGCAGGCGCGAGAGGGGACTAACATCAGCCTGACTGTCATACGTAAACTTAGCTGAAATAAACGAAGACATCGGTGGCCAAGAACGCGCCGTAGCAGCGTAGTTAAATGCGATGAGCCCGTCGATGACACAGCTAGGAGTCGAGGCTAAGAGACGGCAGCTCGCAGGAGCCGTAGAGCGAGGCGACCCTTGAGGCCTGAGGCCCAGTGAAGACCCCTTCCGCCCGAAGCGACCGAGGACTATCTGAGTCTATCGAAAATTCACTGATCTACCCCCAGCGACCTCAGAGAAATTGGCAGACGCCGGAGAAGCTCCGACGACCGCGCCCATCGGTTGCGTCTCCATTGAGTTGACGGCGCACCATGGCGCATCGATGTCACCACGATCTTTGACGCGTCCATTAATGCCTCTCCGACGTGTCCAAACGCCACCAGCTCTACTCCAAATCCAAATCTGGGTCCGAATGCGAGGACTTCGAACTAATGGCTTCAATGTCCCGACACCGCCGACCGATGCTGCCAAATCGAAGCAGGAGCACCCTATCCGGATTCCGACATATATAAGGGTACACGCCAGACAACAGCGCCGTGCCGCTCTCCTTCTGCTGCCCTCACCACGCCCCACCCGTCGTGCCCTGCAATTCAGAGGTCCCCGTCCCGCCTCTATCTAGTCTGGCAAGCAGGTGAGTATATGCGCATATACCGACACAGAAAGTCTTTGTTGACATCAACTCAAGCTTATGACGCTGGCTGATACTCGACGTCGCAAGGGCAGTCGAGCCAGTCGACACGCTGCCGCAAATAGTCGGGGAGGGGGGCTCAAGGTGCATCTACGCTCGCTCTTTGGACAGTCACGTATACGCGCGCAGGACGTGCGGGATCATGGTACCGTGCCCGCGATAGATGGCGGGATGGTGAAGAAGACTTCTGGTGACCATACCTCGACCGCTCAAGACACCTGCGGCGAATCTCAGCCTGCTGAAGTATCTAGGGGTGAACTGACACATTCTAGCATCGCGGAGAACTGTGACAGAGATGAAACGCACACCACAGAAGCAGGCAGCGCTGATGGCGAGGAAAAGGACGATTCCCCCGTTGTTTGTACTCCCAATGTTCCTGCTCCGCGCAAGAAGGGCAAGTCACTCACACCAGGATTGGTTGATACATTGAGGTATGTGTCTATTCGATGCCAAAGAGGTCTCACATGATTTATTCCTCCCAGGAACCTGTTCGGCCGCCAGTGGGTTGCCTTCGAGAAGGATACCGCGCGTGTACAGGTACGTAGAGCGATCTCTCGCTTGTGCGAATACTTATCGCTGTGTGATAGGCTTTTGTAGATGACGCTATACTACATAGAGTTCATCTCCTTCGCCTAGTTTCACCCGAAAGCTGCTAACGCTTCTACAGGGTGTTGGTATCAAGAAGGCACGTGGGCGCGCAGCAGGGACAGCGAAATAAGGTACGACGAAATCTATTGACTCTAGCTACATGGTACTAACTACGATGTGTTGAAGGAGATACATATGGCCTCTGTTGCAAGCCACTCAGCATCTGGTTGACGTCTGCTCTGCACAAGCCGGTGTGTGGGTTCGTTTCTTGTTGGACAGCTGTGGTGGGCGGTAGTACATGCGAGAGCGGGTGGCAGTTCAGGATAGCCAGAGGTAGCTGGGGTGGTGCGGGCACGTATCTGGCAGATGGGAGCAGCTCGGGACATGTACTGGTAGTTTCGGGCAGACTGCAATAGATTGGCGCATTTTCAGACCATTTTCTGGCGAGCACGCAGGAGAAAAATATTCATATATCTTAATCTACCCTCTTGTGCACATGAAAAAGCCCGTTCGAACAAATCTACCCTCCTGACATTCCGGGTGGATCTTAAGTCCCATATTTGCAGTGTCCGCGACCTGGATCGCTCTCGTGCTATCGGGCCAATCATGGGCAGATCCGGATGAATTCAGGTCGCGCCAGGCGGACGGGGTTTTCACTGGGCCTGAGGCCTCGACCACTGCTGCGCTATTTCTCCCTGCGGTCGAATTCCCAATCGAGCTGTCGGCAACACTCGTCTCTGCCGATTCCACTCAAAAGGACCTTACTGACTTGCCATGCGAAATTCTTACCCTGAGATCCTGTTGAAACAAAAATATATGCATCAGGTGCCATGGCTAGACAAGCTGGCCGTGGCGAAAAAAAATTGCTGGGCGAGAGTTCTCAGACTCTGCGTAGCCTACGCTGCTCTAATGGCACGAGAAAGTCGCTTCTAGTGCAACATTTGAAGTGTATGAGAGTGTTTCGACGAACTGAGGAGGATATTTGTGGCTCAGCGAGACAGCTTTCTCACGGTTTATGCCGATCCATAAGGGCTACTGCAGCTCACCCACACCTTCGTCGAACAACTCCCACTCGTTTCTCTGGTGCTCAATACTCTCCACAAACAAGCTGACGTTTTTGCGCGATGCGCCACTCCACCGGCCCCACTGGCATTGAGGACTCTGCCGCCACTCTATACGACCCCCCCCCCCCCCCCCCAAAAAAAAAAAAAAAAAAAAAAGCTCGCTAATTGCCGCAGATGCGGTGCAGGACCAGGACCAGCCACAAATTGTACATCTGCTCTGTCGCATGCTTGAGCTGGGTTTACCGCGTGTTAACATCAACCGCCGCGCGTCGCTGGAGTGACGAGGGAAGGTCAGACCGGTTTCACGAGTACGAGTTTTTCGGACATGCCAGAGTCCAGGATGCTCGGCTCCGGATGGCAGCTCAGGTGCCATTGCTCTGACGCTAGTGCGCACTGTACGACGACCCTGGACGAGGCGGACCGTTCTCTGTGGGCGGTGTCCTGCGCAAGCGTTGACCCGGCCTGTCACTTGATTCTGCGAGCAGCGATACTCGATCTAAATAGCGCTTCCTTCCAGGGGATCCGTGCTGTGAGACAGCAGTTTAAGAAGTTGGAGACGGGCGAGAGAAGGCGGTTGGAACTGTCCCTTGTATTTGCAGGATCTCTGCATCGTACTAGTTAGGCCTGGACTTTCCTTGTGCTAAACAACAGATGAACCTCTCGGCCTGTGTTGGACCAGAATTCTCGTGTATGGCTCATCCTGGGAGCCTATGGTGATGCCACCAATTCCTTTAACGGCTCTCATGGGCACTTTTCTGCCGGTTCTGAATGAAGGTCCCGGAAAAAACTAATCGGGAGGCTTACAAGACGGCCGCCGGAGCTGCACGAGCCTGGCTATGGCGCGTATAAGATATAAGAGTAGAGACCTGAGGACTAGAGTTTCGCCCGAGAGACAATCGGCACAGTAAAAACTCGTTCCCCATTACCATCATCGTCGACGTCGCGAACGGAGAGCTGCCGATATCGCGAGACGTTGCATGATGCATGATGACTTATATTCGGTAGTGATTGGCGCTCTAGCGACCGTTGAATCCTGCGATACAGCTTGTGCTAAGCTCTTAAACCTGCGCAGCTCTGCTTCTGGACCTGATTCACGATCCACAGACCTCTAGAAACATTTTATTTTTTGCACGGTACCCGTAGTGCACGGCATAGTCTGGCTGAAGGGACAAATAGCGATAAACAGAAGGGGGGAGAAATCGCGGCTAATAACAGGCTTCTGGACGTATGGGACATGATGCCGCTCTCCCGTGCAGTATAAGCTACAAAAATATGTTCACCCATTAATATCGACATTATTTGTGTGTCTACAATTTTTGTGGCTTTTTGATGCTCGGGACCCTCTCGATATCGCCCCCCGGGCCCCAGGTCTTCCCCGGCGCGCTTCCGCCTTCGCCAATGCTTACATAATCCGGCACGGGACCGTAAACCGGGCGGTAGGCCGGCGGCGAGCTGGGACTCTACCAGTCTGGCTGGCTGTACGTTTTTTCGGTCACGACCACAGCGATTAGCGAGGCTGGTCACGCCGCAGCGATGTAATGAGCACCCTATACACGAAGGTAGGTGGCGTTCACAATTAGTAACAGCCTGCCCGTGGTGCTCATGTAAGCCCCGCCCTGAGAAAGCCACCGAGGCGATAGTGGGCAGAGAAAGCCTGCTAGTCCTGAAGCTGAAGGCCTGAAAGCCTGAATAATGAGTAAGAGTGCGAGCTGAGTAGGAAAGACAGTGTGCTGACACTGTACAACCTTACAAATATCTTCAAATGCTGCCGCGCTGCTATGTTAAGCTGAGACAAAAACGCTGCCCCCATGGCCGCATGTATGTTCATACTTCTCTTGAGTACTAACTATTTCCTGAAGATGCTGGGATGACAAGAATCTCGGAAAGGAGACGATGGTGTCAAGCATGTGCGGACAGTGTGCTCAGGCAACTTAACGTTGGAACTCTGCGATGGATCAGAAGAAAGCGAGCCCCTGCTGAGCAAGATTGAATTACTTTGTACCTGATGACTCCGGCGCCGAAAACACCTGGCTGTTTCAAGAAACCCACGATCCAGATCTTATTGAGCCCCTGTATGAAGTCCTCAGGATCAGCCCCGGACATGCCAATCTAGGTAACGCCGAGTTCGCGCTGTAACCCCAGCCGGAAGCTGATATGCGCGCCCGGGCGACGTCCATCGCCCGGGTCAAGTGCTGACGATGTAATGAATTCAAGGAGTATAAAGGAGCCCACTCTGCAGGCAAGTGGACGTCACCAGAATCTTGCTTTCCAACAATGTCTTCCACTGCTAACAAGAAGGTCATCCTAGTTATCGGTGCCACCGGTGCCCAGGGCATCGCCGTCATAGAGGCGCTCCTCGCCACATCTGCAGATGGTTCGCCATCCCCCTATGCTGTCCGTGCCTTGACTCGCGATCCCAACGGCCGTCGCGCTAAAGAACTTGCGGCCAAGGGCGTAGAAGTCTTCAAAGGTATGGCAGACGCTATACATCGCGATTGGCATACTGACGATGTCACCCAGGATCTGTGGAAGACTTTCCCACTGTCCTCGCTGCCCTACAGGGTGCCTGGGGCGCGTTCGTGAATACAGACTCATTCACTATCGGCGAGCAAAAGGAAATCTACCTTGGAATGCGCATCTTCGAACTCGCGAAGCAGGCGAAGACTGTCCGCCAATACATCTGGAGCAGTCTTGATTACATCGGCAAGGTACTTCACGCTCTTTCGTCTCTGAGGCATGACGACCCTGACGTTATCATTGTAGAAATCGGGGTACAACCCGAAGTACAGAGCAGAGCACTACGACGGCAAAGGCCGTGTCGCAGACTGGTTGAAAGCACAGCCTTCTGTCGTCAGCGACAGCGACATGGCTTGGAGCTGCATCTCGTCAGGCCCTTACATGGATATGCTGAAGCTCGTGCGTATGTTCGCCACGAAATATTTGTACAGCATTGACGGGATGGTTTACAGCCTATGCTCGGTCCTCTCTTCCGCCGTGAAGACGGAACGTTTGTCTTCGCGTTCCCTGCCGGCGTAGGCCACGTCGCCATGGTATCTCTCAAAGATATCGGCTTCTTTGCTCGCTACTCGTTTGACAACCGTGCTGAGGTCTCAGGCAAGGATCTCGAGATTGCGAGCGAGATGGCCACGCTCGAGTATACCGTCGAGACCTTCAAGAGGGTCACGGGGCTGCCGGCCGTCGCAGTGCACCTCACCGTCGAGGAATGGTTCCTCAACTGGACAAACACCGATGAGCCTGTCGCGCGGGACGGCAAGCACGTCGCCGGGTCAACGACTTGGAAGGATAATTTCACCGCGTTCTGGAACTTGTACCGAGACGACATCGTTCAGCGGGATATGACTTGGGTTCGAAAAGTCAATCCTGACGGACAGAACCTAGAGAAGTGGATGCGAGAGACCCAATACAAAGGGGATCTGGATCTATCCTTGCTGAAGTACTGGGAGGACGGGAGCCGCGTTAGTCTTGATTTCGAGCACATCGCCGCGACTCTAGGAAAGGCATAGATACTGTATGTTTAAACCAGCAAGTTATCCGGCTGCAAGTATCCGTAATAATTATATAATAGCATGCACGCACCAGAACTTAGATGATAGACACCGCGCCGACACTAGACGGCAATGAGTGAACGATTACTTTTCTTTTTCAGGCTTGCATGAAGAGAGGTGATCAATTATTTATTTGTCTGTGTACGCCAGCGTACGACAGACGTCTAAGGATTAATGTTCGCCGACTGTTCTACAGACTACAGGCTGAGCCTGATTCACTCTCCACCACCGGAACATCCATCAATAGACCAAGTCCGCGCAGCTTCACACCACCTTTCCCCTTCGACCCCGGCAGAAAACCAGCACCAGGCTCTGACAGCTGGAGCTGGAACTCTGTCACGACAAGGTCGAGCTCCCGGACCGATTGGGATGGCGTCACGGGGCCCTTGCTCTCGGGGTCGCTCGAGCTAGCGTCACTAGCCGAGCTGTAGCTGCTAGCCTCCTCCGACAAACCGCCAACAACGAATACGTTGGCGGTAGCTAGAAGAGACACGTGCTCTGGAGTTTCCGCGAAGTGCATCGGCGGCGTACGAGGGGGGGCAGCCGCGGCGACATGTTTTGCCGCCTTGCTGTCCGCCATAGCGGACTCAACTGCACTCGTCGCCGGCTCGATGTGAAGACCGCAGAACGCCGCAGCGACGCGTACATTGTCCGTCGCGTGCGCAATCTCGTCGTTCGTCATGAAGAACGTATCGAGATTGATGATAGCCTTTCGGAGCTCGGGGATGGTAATACGCTCCGTCGGCTCGCACACAAAGATGCGACGCAGAATCTTTTGGGCGCCCTCCGAGATTGGGAGCATCTCCCGGAGGTAATTCTCGTGCGACAAATATTCACGGAAGCACGGGTCCGTGGACATAGCTTTGTTCCACGGACTGCGGCTGGTGATTATGTTGACGAGAATGACGCCAAGAGCCCAAATGTCAGAGGCACGGTTGGAGTAGGGGACATGAACAGTCTCCTTTCCAATGCACTCTGCGGATCCAAATAGTAAAGATCAGGCCATATTAAAATCAATGATCGTAACTCACCTGGGCTCATGTAGTATGAGCTACCACAGCCAAACGTCTCACTGACTTGGTTGCAGGTAGCAAGCCCGAAGTCAGTGAGATAAGTCTCCGAGCCGTCCCGCGAGACCAGGATGTTTTCGGGCTTCAAGTCCCGATGGTAGACGCGCCTGCGGTGGCAGGCCTCTACGGCATCCAAGATCTGCAGGAAGACCGACTTCGCCGAATCGTCGTTGCGGAAGTACATCTTCTCATCGACGACTTTCTCGAACAAATCGCCACCAGGGCAATAGTCCAAGACGATGTAGATATTTTCCTTGTCCTCGAATGCGTCATGCATCGAGACGACATTAGGATGATCTGACATCTCGCGATGAGCAGAGACTTCTCGTCTCACTCGCCTGGTAGCGGTAGGAGTCAAGGACTCCTTGTGGAGAACCTTGATCGCTATCCGAGGCGAGGTCTTCGACGAAGAAGACGAGTACGACCAGGCGAGGTCGACGGCTCGATAGACTACTCCGTATGACCCAGACCCCAGCATTTGGATGAGCTGGTACTGGCCGTTGCCAACGACACGGCCAGACATGTCCGGCATAGCAGAGCGAGCAGACATAATAATAGTGGTGAAGAGCTGGTAGTAGTGGATAGAATATGAAAAAGTCAAGTGTGACCGGCGCACTTGACGATGGGTGATGAAAGACAAGATGGATGGGAAGGAACACGTACGAATGCCCCCTCTTATGTGACTTCGCTGCTTTGACTTGTTTGTCGCACAGCGGAAGCTGGAAGACCATATCGGCGTTGGTGATGTTGTCGCCGCTCTGCGGGTCGCAATTCAGGCTGTTTCAAACATCGGAAACGACGATGGGGTAGAAGGAAGGACGGGAAATGGACAACAAGTGCGGAATCTGTGCGGCATTGATAGACGGAAAGCGGCACTGAGTGCACATAGTAGGATGTGAAATGAGGATAGGATGTGACTGATCTTTGCGTTACGTTTCAGACTAGGGCACGACGGAAGACTGTAAACGGTTCAAGTTGGACCGTTGCGCATCAAAGGAGCATAAAGGGGAGCATCAAAGGCAGCTCAGATTTTAAACAAGCTAAACACCACAGTTCATACTGCTCAAAGGAAAAGATGTGGGCGACAGAGGGTCGGCGTGGCATGATGGAGGAGAGCAGGACACTCAAGCGCCGTCCTTGTGGCGCAGGAGCTCAGGCGCTCAAGCGATCAGGTGCGGATACAAGTGCTGTATTTCTGGTAGTAAATCGCCCATTCCCAACGTTCGCCTGGCTCGAATGATTAGAGACCTAAACAATTATTCTTGCGAGAATTTTTAGGCGATATGAATGTTGCACGTTGCACGTTCGCCCCTCACTGTGGGCTGGCTGAGTATAAAATTATCTCATCCTATCCTATTCATATCCAAGCCCTCCCGCTGATCATTCAGTGCTGAGTAAAGTGTCCTGACATTGGTATGCGACAATAGCGGTTTACAGTAAATTTTTCCGCGGGTTAGAGTTTAGTGTATCGCAATCCACGGTACCTTTGTATCTCATTATAAACGGTAGTAAAGCCCTTATTCCCATACAGACTGTTCTGTTGCGAGTCAAAGAAGTACTAGTGGTCTCTGAGGGCTTTGTATGGAATACAATGATTGCTCACTCAAGCACAATTTTGTTGGCGACCAATACAGAGTGAAATAGAGCTCTGCTATCATCACGGCGGTGGTGTGGTGACGGAATGAATAGCTTGGTACTCACAGCATGCAGAATTGTATTTCCATAAAGACGTCGCAGCGGCACCAGCAATTGTTGGCTGTTTGTGTATCACTGAGCATGAATTCTCATTTATCCTAGCACCGGGAGACAACTTACAAAACAAAATATCAATGAAGACAGGATGAGCGATGTGGTTGTGTAAGACCGATGAGACCGTGCATCAGCCTCGGAAGCATGACGGGCTGGATAGATTTACATTACATGGCAAGAAGCGTCCAGTCTGTCCAAACAGCGGGCAGTGAACCTTCACAAGAGCAGCGCGCACGTACGTCCACGCGCCTATTCGGCAATGTGGTGACGCAGGCCCCTGCGACATTTAGGGGATAGCCCATAAGGAACACCGCATCTCCTTGTTAGGGATTGTCAGAGATGCTAGGCAACATCTGCAACATCCGTAACTTCTAACAACCTCCTCTAACATGAGGTGTGGTTTTGCTGATGTGGCGGGGAGCCGGGTAGCATCACATTTCATAGCAACTGGTCTACGTGTTGGAATTGTCAGAGAGTGTGGCCGCAACTGTCAGTTGCCAGCGAGTCGCAAAACTCACGGGGTGAATTACGGCTGCCGAATTACTCCATCACGCATCGTGGATGGCATCAACTCCCACGGCACAGTTGAGGCGCTTAGACCTCGACGGTTTGATTTGGTCCAGGTGCTCCCAGTTTCAAGCTTCACCCAGTGCTCCGGTCCTTGCCGCACCTTTTCTCTTTGTCTCACCAGCTTGCTTGGTTTATAAAGGCCTCCCTCGGCGCCTTGACGGCTCCTTGTACATTTCTTGGACTCCACACCGGACTGTATTCGCCGCAGCACCATCATGACCTCCGAAAATGGGCAGCTTGCGTTTTCGCAGCAGCCCGTCTCTGGCGCAGAGAACCAAAACGAAGACTGGGACCGCTCGATACGGGGTACCGAGGGTACGCGGGGTGTGCAGGGCGAGACACGCAAGCGGACGTTAAGCGACCTGTTGCGACTCCACACAGAGAAGGGGAAGGACTTGGACTTGAGTCCGGAGGAGGCAAATCAGCTAGCAGAGGTCTTGGGCCGCTGGGTAAGCACACATGCAGATAATTCGTAGTTTCGTAAGATTGCTCATCTGACCTCAGATAAATTCTGAGTCATCGCCGTTTGAAGGCGAAGACACGTTCTTCACACCAAGCCAGTCTCAGGATGACTCTGTGTTGCCATCAAGACGTAGTACTGCTGATTCATTCGAGACTCGACCGCGAGGTCAGAGCGAAAGCATGACGGGCTTATCGTCATAACGCTACCAAGGCGAGCGTCGGCAAGGCGCATGCAGCCTTTCACCAAATTTCAGTATGACCCAGCTTTCCTACACGTAAGTTTTCGGCTCATCATGTGCTCAGAACTTATTCACGGGTTGCACAGGCTTCTAGTCGCTCGATCTGCTATATCAATGCTCTCCATGCTCGTTACGACTCTCATGACTTTACGACCTCTCACGACCGCCACGACTCGTCATGACAGCCTACTAGTATACACACCTTTAATTTTAATCGCCGCCTCTTGGCACCTTTTTTACCTGTGCAAGGTTGCTGCTTATCCTACAGTGCGTTGCTTCACTGGGTGTAATATCAGGGTCCCTCTGTACGGATGCATACTATTTGTCCCTTTCGGCATGCTGCACTCTCATAGTCCCTTGTATGCTCTAAACCAGTTGATGCTTGCGTTAAGTCTCCAGATACGCCCCAGTGGACCACCTATTGAGAAACGCACACTAGAGCACTATACAACACCTTCAAGGTTCTCGTACGTTCGTAGCTTTAGCCCATGCAGTGATAAGTGGAACAAAGTGAGGAATAGTGGTTGGTGGTTATGGCAACGCTCGGTACAAACGGTATGTGCTTCGCAAACTTCCAAATTCCAAATTGTACTCCCCCCCCTACCAGGATCATCGCATACATGGAATCGTGCCTGTCAAGCCAACATCTCGGAATACAGCAGAATATACTGCTCGAGGTCGTGGCACCGTATGCCGCGCTAGCTGAACGAATGTTGAAGCACTGCGCCTCAATTTACTGAAGCACGCGCATTCAACCCACATGAACGAGCACCCCACCAACCAATGAAGTAGCATTAAAGACATATTGTGCCCAAAAGGCATGTAGTCGGAAGACCATACACAGTCACGCAAAAGAATGGTTCTCGTAAAGGGGAGGGAGAAGAAAGGAACTGAGCTGAAGCATCCATCTACAGACGTCAATGAGAAGGTCCGTATATACATCCCTATGCTCGTTTAGAGCATCGAAGCGACAAAGCCAAGCGAGCCCAAGGCGACCAAACCAAGGCTGAAGATGCTGCTAGTCATAACGCCAGAATTCGGCTGTGCAGCACCAGTCGGCGAGGCGCCGGCAGAGCCAGTACCAGAGCCAGAAGCAGAGCCAGTGGGCTTGCTAGACGTAGAGCCAGTGCCTGAGGCTTTGGCTGCGCCTGACGCCGACGGGGACGCGGAAGAGATGCTGCCGGAGGGAACGGCTGCAGCAACGTTCGCCACGCTGCTCCACTGGGCGGCGGAGTTGGTGGTGGCATCCCCCTCGGTGTACGGCAGGAAGCTGAGCGCACCACTGCTGTCGAGCTGAACGAGTGCGGTAATCGATGCGGCGTAGTTCGCCTTGGGGTCCTTGTTCGTCGGGCCCGCGAGCTTCTGGGTGGTGTTAGTCTCGACGTTGATGACATAGGTGGCCGAGCCGTCGTCAGGAATGAAGGCGAATTCCTGTTGCACACCGCTCGACTGGAAGAACGAGGCAGTCAGACCATGCTCAGCTGGGAAGGCGCTGCCATCGGGGAGGGGGTACGCTTGGGGCGTGGGCTGGAAGAACGAGACTATTAGACGTTCAGCGAGCACGTTCCGAAAGACAAGAGAGCCGAGACATACAATGAATGACGAAGATGTCGGCTTCACCAGGGGGATTGCCAGGCACGTCCAAGAAATGGACGTGGTTTTGCGCGAGCGCCATGACGGGTTGATAACCACTAGGGTAAGGAGCCATGCCAACGTCCATCCAGGACAGAGCAGAGGAATTGGCGGTGGTCAGACTGCCCATGTCAAGGAATAGCATTTCGTCATTGGACAGAGCGTAGAACACATTCGTGTCGTGGTCGAGAATGGCTTGGAAGTTCGAGGGGTCGAACTTGCCGGTGGTAACAGATTGCGTGCTCCAGGCCTTGGTTCCCGCGTCATAGATGTGAACGGCGGAAGGATTTGAAGCATCGCCGTTCATGACATAGATGGCGTTGTAGAACTGAGCCAAGTAGCAGGTTGTGTTGGCTCCATCGAAGGGCCTGGTTGCTGATTAGTCGTGGCAACGGTTGAAGTACAAGTCAACTCACGGGCGACCGGTGGTCGTAACATCAGTGGCTTGGCCTAGAGCCCACTCAGGGTAAGCACACAAATCTTCGGACAGGATATGAGGTATGTTACTTGCCACTTGCCCAAGCGTCCTGAGTGCCCGCATCCCAATCTTTTCCGCCCAAACCAAGTGCGTATAGGTTAAAGCTGGCATCAAAGACAGTGCATGGAGAAGAAAAGGCGGGCAGGACGAGGTTCAAAAGAGAGACGAGGGTGAGTGTCCTGAGCATGGTGGCAAGATGGTGGTTGAGAGAAGAGATAGTACTACTGTAGGCCTAGCGAGACCGGCCAGCTTCACACTCGGCCCACCACGTGGCTGACACCTATTTGGGGCATGGCGACAGCGCTCGCGCTCACCCGGCTTCCAGAGTCCAGACGTGTCGCTGGCATGAAAAGCTTGTCTGCTAATACGGTCAGTCAATGTCGCCTCTCATGGCGATGGCTCTGCTAATCGAGGTTAGGGGCCAGCTTACTGAAGCTTAAATACGAACCAGTAATTACCGGACAATTCAAGCGCCCGTCTGGAGAAGCGGCTGGCGTTTAAGCTGTAGCTTTGCAAGGTTCAAACCACGGTCTTCACTTGGCTGTCTGCCGTCTTCCAAGCTGGCGAGTCTACTATGTGCTAGACTCTATAGGCACTGTACATACTATTCTCGCTCTTTAAGGGGTTCTCTGCCTCTCTCGGTCCGTCATTACATCAAAGACCCCACCAGTCCCATGAATTGGTCGACCTCGGTTGTCTCCACAGCCTCCTCGGACACAGAACCAACAATTACTATCAATTTTGAATCAGCTAAGTATATCTTCAATGCAGGAGAGAACACGGGTCGTGCTTTTCTCCAGAGCAGGACGACCTGGCGGAAGGCGAAGGGCTTGTTTTTGACTTCTGTTGGCACTCTGCGCGGAAGTGGTCTCCCTGGTCAGACGACCCGTTTATTTCACCCATACTTGGTCTTCTCACTTAACTTCCTAGGACTTCTCATGTTTCTCGCGGATTCTTCGATCACAAGTGTGAACGTCGTGGGACCTCCGGGCACATTACATTTTCTGGCACAGATGCGTTCATACGTGAATCGGTCAGTGCTGTCTCGAGAAGACGCAAAGTATGAAATGCTCACAATGACGAGGATGTAGTTTCAGTCTGTACGTCAATCCCATTGAGGTAGAACCATCTGGCAAACACGGTGGTTTGCAGCCCGAACCCGTTTTTCAAGACGAGAACCTCCGAGTCTATGGTATCCCTCTGTTGACTACACCTGACACCGGGTCCGCTCTGGAAACGGGAAATAAGCGCAAGCGTTCTCCTTCTCCAGACCAGTCCTCCAAGCGTAGCAAATCTTCGGCCCACGAGGCCACGAAAGAATATTCTTTGCTCGAACGCAGCAAGCAAGCCGATTTCAACCCTAGCATCCTTACTGGCGATAAAGCTCAAGAGTGGCGCAAGATGGTCATCAAGAACATGTTCAGTTCAAAGGAGCCGGAACCACAGGTCAACAAAAAAGGCAGAGGCAGGAAAGGCGATCACAACGATGACGGCGCACAGATTCCAGCCCGTGATGACAACGTTGGCAATACGACTTCTTTCGGCCTGATGAGGGGCGTGAATGAACTAGGGGAGCATCGCAGCTCGCAGTTGCCGGAACTCGATGTTCCGAAGATGACGTTCTGCTACGTTTGCATCGGCCCACGTCAAAGAGGAAAATTCGACATCCAAAAGGCTGAAAACCTGCGGATACCTCGCGGGCCTGTGCGGGCTCGGCTGACCAGAGGCGAGACTGTCATGTTCATGGAGGACGATGTCAACGGGGGTCAGGTTGAGAGGACGGTCCGGCCTGAGGATGTGATGGGTCTGCCGGAAGCTCCAAAGGCAAGCTCGTTATTTATCTTCGAGTACAGTGATTAACGAAACACAGGCCGTTATGATTTTCGATGTGCCCACGCGAGACCATATACCCTCTCTTGTGTCCGCATTCGAAACCTCACCGTTCTACAAGAGCTTCCTCGGCCAAGAACACGCCGAAGAACACACTGTCTACTCAATATTCCATCTCTGTGGCGAGGGCGTCCTCGAGGACGAACGCTACAAAGCGCTCATGAACAAGTTCGCGCCCGATGTCTACGTGAGTGCATCGACGACCGTTCCACCTTTATTGCCCTATGTTTATTCCGTCTTTCTCGCAGCACTTTATCTCCTCACGCGAGCATTCTACGAATCCGGTGACGTTCACCAACGCTGCATACAATCAGATGCGGTTGAATAAGCTTGACCCGGAGATGTTCCCCATGCAGAAGTTCCATCTCAAGCCCAACAAACAGCTCTGTGGTGAGACCTCGCATCTTAGTCTCGTTCACATACATTAGCTGACGCTGATCCTTCCAGACATTCCCAGTCTTCCGAAGAACGCCATGTCGATGTACACTAACCTCTGGCTCAACGTCCGGCCAGTTGGTTTGCCTACGCATGGTGAGAGAGCTGAGAATCGCGACCTTTTCCACCCTATCGTGCACTCCGATGCACCTATTGTCATGCCTGACCTTACGTTGGAGGCCTTCGAGACAGCGAAAGCGCATGCAGCGACGGTGCTTGAGGGTCGAGGGAAGAGACCTGGAGATGATGTCATGATCACTCCCCTCGGTACTAGCAGTGCAGTCCCGACGAAGTATCGTAACGGTAGCCTGACTTCCACCTCTCAATCGGTCAAGTCCTGACAGCGTTACTTTTGTAGTGTCTTCTACGCTGATTCGGATACCTGGGCACGGCAATATCATTTTGGACGCCGGTGAAGGCACCTGGGGCCAGCTCGTCCGCCTGTTCGGCGATGACCCTGCTCGCACGGTTGGAGTCTGGCAGGTGCTACGTGATCTTAAGTGTCTCTTCCTGAGCCACAGCCATGGCGACCACCACATAGGCACGGCTAAGATCCTTGCAATGCGACAAAAGGTGCGTATCCAAAATCTCTGCGTGGCATATTGCTGAAATCGTAAGCAGATGAATCCCAGACCTACTCAGCCGCTATATGTTATTGGTCTCCGCTCAATGTTGATGTATCTCCGCGAGTACTGTGAGATCGAGGACCTAGGGCTCGACAGGGACGACGGCACTGGTGTCGAGACGATTCTCTCGGAGACCATCCACTGGCGTGGTCATAACCGCCATTACGATTTTGCACCCTTTATGCCATGGCAGGCCGAGACGCTGTAAGTCTATGCCGTTTCTCTTCAGAAGCTTTGACGAAACTGATGATATTGCAGTAACACGCTCACGAAGAGCGCGATGTGCGATGCGCTTGGTTTGTCTGACTTTTCGACCGTCGACGTCGACCACAGGGTCCGCTGTTATGGGTGTGTTATCAAGCACAGTGACCGATGGAGCATCACGTATGAATGGTTCTCTTACCATAACGAAGCTTTCTTGCTGATTGCGAGCTTAGCTTCTCGGGAGACACAAGGCCAACAAACAATCTGGTTGAAGCTGGAGTGGGCTCGACGCTACTTATCCACGAAGCCTCCATGGCAGACTATCAGCGTCACATAGCCAATGAAAAAGCGCATAGTACAGTTGGTCAGGCAATCGAAATAGGTCGCAGGTACGTCTGCCTTACCTCTTTTCTGCTTCTTGCTCCTTACCGGTCTATCATACAGGATGCACGCTGAAAATATACTGCTCACTCACTTCTCAGCCCGCTACCCCCAAAAGCCGCCACCAGAGCTCAATCCGGCTGCCCCGGTGTCACCAGGCGGCACACCTGCACCTGTGTCGGCACTCGCATTCGATCATGCCTGCGTACGCATTGGCGAGCTAGCGAAGCTTCGCGCGTACTTGCCTGCGATCGAGCGGAGCCTGATTGATGTCGCCGCGCAGGACATAGACGACAATGAGGAGATGGACCCGGCCAAGCTCTCGTGGTAGACACAAAAGTACTCATACATCACATACTTTACATTCAATACTAGACAGAGGTCCTTGCTACCTCAGCTCACTCAAGACGCAACGACGCGGATGATGCTAACGCTGAACGCGGGCGCGGTATAGTCGATCGTCTTTCCAGTCGTGATAGTGCTTGTCTTCGGCACAACAGTGTTCGGCGCTTCAGGTGTGTTGCTCGCGGTCTCTGCGCCTGTGAGGAGCTGCAGCGTACCAGAGCTTGCGACGTCGCTGAACGGGAGAGCAAAAGCAAGCTGTGCGCTAGAGTTTCCGCTATTTGCGATCTAGTTGAGATGCATGAGATTTCGAACAGGCGAATATAGAAAGAACGATATACCTTGATGATGACTTCCAGCGTGGATGTCAACCTGGAGATGCTCCAGAAGACGGTGCCATTTTGGTTGGGCAGTGTGCTCGGCATAAACTCGTCGCCCTGGTTCGTAGCGAAGAGCTAATGGCTACTGTGAATCTTACGCTCATAAGACTAACATGTGATGTCGTGCAATACCTTCTGTGTATAAAAGCTCGTTGAGCGGACTACCGAACCAGCACTGGAGAATTGGATTGAGCTCGCAAAGTGGACCAAGTTCAGAAAATGAACTTACTCGAAGCTGACAAGATCGGGAGTCTGTTTGAAGGATAAGCCACAGGACATAACAAATGGCTTGGGATACATACCCATTGTGTACTGTTCACATGCTGTGCACAAGCGAAACGGGCCTTAGTAGCATCACGAGGAAAACTCATATGGCTTACCTGCAGAAGAGGTGCATAGGATGCCGCGAACACGATATCGCTGTTGCGCTCGAGTCCAGTCATGAAGGCGGCTTCTCCAGACGAACTCTGCATGGTCGGGAAGGTGAGCCTACCGTCCGACGGTGTCCCGAAAAGGTCATTGGCATTGGTCGAGATAGCAGCATACTCTCCCTAAGATTGTGTTAGCATTTGAACTTCCTATGCTTGATGAGCTTATACCTCGAAGTATTTCTGACCATCACGTGCAAAGCTGTCGTAGGAGAAGACGTTCTGCGCGAACCAGCCTGAAGTCTTATCTTTAGAGGGCTTACCGAAGGTGCATAATGCAGTCTTACCTGGAGTTTGGTATACATGCACATCGTATGCCTGTGGGGTTGGGGTCAACGTAGGGTCACCTACGTCTGATGTGGCAATGAAAGCTGAAGTCGACCGAATGTCAGTCGGACTCAAATGGCAGATCCTTGCGTCTGACACCCACTCAGCTGCGGAAAGGCCTTGCTAAGGTTGCCAACGAAGTCTTGGAAACGGTATGGGTAAGTATCAGCAGCGAAAAAGTCCTGGAGTGGGAGTTGGGATCACAGATGACTTGCAGCCAAATTCAAGACAGACCTCGTTTCCAATCTCAACGTAATTTAGTGTAAAAGGCTCAGGATGGCCGAGAGACGCCCGCAGAGCACCTGGCGAGCGATACCCTTGAGACGAGCGAGAATAATCTAAATTACGTGGAAAGCGTACCGGGTGCCGTGGATGTATCACCAATTACGAAGTTGATCTAGGGCATATAGGGATAAGTGACCTGAAGCAGAGCAGCATAAGTCATAACATGCCTGATCAATGGATTGCTGAATGTATGGTGCAAGCTCGTTCTCAGGAAGACTGGTGCCGCCGAGGGAGTAACCTACGAAAAGGAGGTCAACGTTAGCATCTCATAAAATGTCAATAGGGCGCAGTTTCTCACCTGACCATACGGCCATGATGGGTTCCATGTCGGCATCTTCAAAAAATTGCAGGTACTCTAGCAGCCCCAGACCGCTACAAATTCATGTAAGGTCTAGCTTGAAACAGGACACTAGGGCGTGCTCACTCGGTATTAACATAACCCCAGTCACCAACACGGCCAGGCCGGTCGAGCAGAGAGCCTACGGTTGCGTTCCATTGCCAACGAGTAGCAGTAGTCTGACCCTGTGAAATCGATCAATCGCGAGTAAAAGACGTACTCGACACGAAGGACGTACTTCCTGTTTAATGCGTAGTCAGCTATGGTGACACCTTTAATTCCAAAAGCTCTGAATGCTCTGTGCTCACAAGGTTATTGCCTCCTGGGAAACGGAAGAACTTCGGACCCATCTCGACAAGTGTCTACAGAGATGGCTTCAAAATCTCTCCTCTCCATTGCGCCGTATAGTGTACATACCTCAGCTATGTCCATCCGCATACCGTTTGAGCGGCCCTTGAAGGTTGGTGGGAATAGCGAGAACATGGCAAAGTCGACGGTTGTGGTAGCACTTCCGCTCGGCTGAACGAGAACGACAAACTGATTGTTGACATCTGGCGCAGACGTAGTGGGCTTTAACGTCAGCTGGACCTGCTTCCATGTCGTGGCAGTGCCTGAGGCAGTCGTCGCGCTCGAAGCGAGGGTCTTGCCAGAGGCGGAGCGAAGCTCGACTGTGAACTTGACTGACTGGCTGGACGACGTCGGGAACTTATAGTAGAAGGAAGCCGTATACGTCCAGGAAGAGTTCACGTTAATACCTGCACAAGGCGATACATGTGAACCAAACTTTAATCGGTAAGGGCGCTCATTGTTGTACTCACCCCAAAAGCCGGAGTTTGCGAAGCCTGCAGTTGTCGATTTGCCAGGGACGGAAACCTGTAGAGAGTTTGGCAGCGCATCTGACACAGGTTTAGGGTCCGCAATAACGGCTATATTTGCTCCAGCAATGGCACTCCAGAAATCCAAAGCGTCTGATGTTCCTGGAGTGACCTGTTGGAAGGCACGATTCTGCAGCACTAGAGCAGGAGCAGTACGTCGGTATTATACCCCAGAAAGAGGCTGAAGGACATACTCTCGGCGTATAATCCACCATCGCCGCTCTTAAATCTCGTAAGTCAATGGAAATCTTAGCTAAACAGGTTTCTTACGTTCTGGTAAACCAAGTTTAGTCCTAACAACAATACTTCCAAGTGGTGCGGTACTTACGTTAATATCCTGGTAGGCGACGAAGCCAGCGATCAGTACTGCTTTTGCAGATAATTTTTCGCTTAACATACTTCGAACATTTGTCCAACTAACAGTCCAAATCAGTGCTAGGCCACGCGAAGTGTTGCGAAAAAAAACTCACAAAGGGTAGTCGGGATCGCATGGCTCGCAGTTGCGCTGACGCTGACGGTGGTGACAGCAGCCTGACAGACTGCTGCGCCTATACCCAATATTCCAAGGACCCAACTAGACAGAGAATGCATTTCGCGAGTGGTTTCGGGACGTTGCAAGGCAATAGAACCCTCTTCTTATATGCTCGCCTTTGGCTAGGGTTCGTGAGCAAGCATTCGCTACGCACATGCTTAGAGAACGCCTTGAAGATTGTTCCCCGCCAGAAAGTTGGACCAAATTTGAGAACTTACAGATATCTCACACCGCCGACTCAAGCCCGCGACCCCGGCCGGGCCGCGCAAGAAGCAGTGGTTGCATATGAGCAGCGGAGCCGCTCCATTACATCGAATCTGGGTATACACATTTGAGGAAGTCGTGAGGGTAGCGTGACGCATATGGAAGAAGGTCTGTTCATACAACTTGTGCGGTAATACGCACGGGCGCGGTCACCTGAGGCTGTGCAGGACAGAGAAAAATGCCACCGATGATTCTCCTAGTGTTGGGCAAATTCCCTTGCGGAGGAATATTAGGATCTTTGGTGTTGAGAAGTCGTAGAGCAGATGGCGGTTCAGTCATATGTCGACAACTCGAGGCCCTCCAGAAACGTGATGACATCCCTCGCCACCGTCTCGCCCTTTGTGTCTCTCAAAACCTGACCTACACTCCCTCTAAGGTCCACTGTGTCCCTCCCATCTTCTGCCTCGTCCGCGTTACCGCAATCTAAATCCTCTTGCTGGCTCTCCGCAACCTTGTTCGTAAAATTGACATAAAAATTTGTAAAGTCTCTCGCGTTCTCGACGAGCCCGTGCAGCTTCTCCCGATTCGATCTGCCGGGTAGGGCATCGAGCAGCACGGCCTGATTGTACGGGCGGCGCTGTATGAGCAGGCCAATTAAGATGGCCATGTGACCTTGCACAACGCTGTCCAGGTCGTTGTTCGAGGCGCATTGCTGGGAGTAAACGTGGGCGAGACAAGACAGCGCGGGTTGTGTTGAAGCGCAGCGACAAGTGAAAACGCACTCCTGTGTGCCCGGGCAGGATGGATCAAGCGCTACAAAGGAGCGTTAAAACACTGCTCTGAAGGCAAAAGCGCTACGAGAGAGTTACCAATGTGGGATATGAGGTCTTTGATCTCCTCTGTAACCTGAACGAGATTCGTGAGCAACCCGAGAGCGAGGCAAAGTTGGTCCAATAGTGCCGCGGCTCTTTCTTGCTGAGCTTCTTCTGCGTGCTGCGCAATTTGTCCGTCTTGAGGGCCGGATTGAACGAGTGAGGGGCGCTCTCGTTGGGAGATCACGATGAATCGCAGGATGGCAGGCAAAGTCAGCTTGTCGCTGAGAATGCGATCACACCAATCTCGGTTGTCGTGAGTCAAATTGATGAGCACTCGTAGAGCTGATTCCAGGCACTTGTGAGCTAAAGTGATGTTAGGGTCAATCAGACAGCATATACATGGCCACGTACCATTAGATTTATATTCCACGTATTCGTCGACACGAGACAGAGTGTCTGCCGCGACGCATAGAGAAATAAGTGTGCCCGGTAAGTCTTTCTTCAGTTGTAGAATGTTGATATCCTCTTCGCCGTCCGCTCCGCGTGCTAGCAAGCAGCAGTCCGCCAGCCGCAGGCAGTTATCGATGTGATTAAGGGATACCACCTCCATATGCGTACTTGAATCCAATTCCGGTATAAGCGCAAGCCCAGATGTGAATGCGGACACCCTGTCTGGCAGTGGGGCAAGCTCGGATCCGAGGGACAAGACAATAATGGGTAGGTGGTTAGATGGTACCAGAGACGATCGTGGCAAAAGCGCAAGGGTATATGAGAGCAAAAGGCGGTTTGAGATCTGGACTTGACTCAGTCATGATTGCCACTCATCAGGTTGGCAGCTCACGATTTCGCTATTGAGAAATAGCCCCCCTTTCTTGCGCACCATCTTGTGCAGCTCTGTCATCTGTTCGCGAGTCAGCCTTCATCAAACTCTGCAGGGCGAGCGTCGTACCAAAGCCTTCTCCGTTCGTGAGATGCCGGCGCGCTTCAGCATTGGGTCGGTCATACCACACGACATAAGCCATAGAGAATCAGTTGAGCGGTCGAGTTTGTTTAGCATGTCGAACAGCTTGTCCACGAACTCAGGCTTTGAAGAAAGTTCCGTAAGATCAACTGGATCGCGAGCAGCTAATGCTGCAAAGAAAGCCAACGTGCTGTCAAGGACCTGCCGGCTATAAGTCAGAGGCGAGCGGGGCACTTAGAAACGATGACCATACGTGCCTTATCGCCATCGCCCGCACCAGCAGAACGGAGTATGTCCCAGGCCTTGCCCAGAAAATCAGCAGCCTTGGCCCGTCGTGCGAAGTCGTTGTCACAGAGCTTCGTAACAATCTCTAGTGCGCTGCATAGCAGGGGCGGTGAGAAACGACAAGTAGGATGGTTCAATGGCACGCACCTGCCCCTCCGTACAGCAGTCGCGTTGGACAGATCCAGTCCCTCGAACAAGTATCCCATCTCGTCAAGGAATCGCCTCGATTCGCCCTTACTCCTCAATTCGCTAATGCTCTTCAGGTCATTCATAATGCCGGGCGGGAGCTCCCCGTCAATTCGATTCATATTCTGCTCCGAGGAGCGCAGACCGACATACGGATCATCTTCAGAATTATCGACACCCCAGCGCAGACGGAGGTCCGTGTAAGATTCTCGGGGCACTTCGAGATTATCCCCCTGGCTTTCGTCGAGCGTGGTTTGCGAAGGATCTTGATCAAGAGATAGTGTTGGATTCGGCAACGTCACAAGAAACGAGCGCGACTTTCCTGCGTACGTCCGGACACTGGTAGATGCCAGTGCTGGACGGGCAGGTTTGCCCGGTGAAGAGGATAAGATATCTTCCTGGGACTGAGAAACTGCCTTCAGCGGACTACTGGAAGACGGCGAGTCCAAAGTGAGGTCGATGATAGAGTCCGCGCGCGCGAGACCAAACATGCGCGAGGTGCGCGAGATAGATACAGTTTCTTCGGGGGCATCTTCAACATGCGCAGATGGATCGGAGCCCATAATGGAGGACTCTGTGCGAGTACGACGTAGCATGCGCTTCACAATACCCCCGCTCTTCTGCGGAGAGAGAGAAGGTCGTCGCGGAGGCTCTGAGGAGCTAAATAGAGTGGAGAGTGGATCTTTGGTTGTCGGAGATTCAGCCGAGGGGTCGCCGCTCTTGTCGAGAGGGTTGCGCTCACTTGCAGCTCGTCTGAGAGGGCCTGTCGCCTTAAACTGCGAGGCATTGCTTGAAGTTGCGACAGTTTGCCTAACAGCTAGCGCAAATCAGCGTATGCTCAAACACTGGTGCGATTTCGTGTCAAACCAGCGACCTTTCATCGCGCGAATATCCTCCTGAGAACGCGGCCACACTAGTACAAGACGCGACTTACAATCGGGTTTCGTATGATTGCGCGAGCCCTTCAGAGAGGTAGAAGACGCTGGGGCGGCCTGAGAGATCACTTCGACCTGTATCTTTCTCTTCTTCCGCTGTTGACTAGCTTGGGGCGGCTCAGGGCTCCCTTCAGGCGAACTGTCCGCAGACTTGGAGACGGTTCGTCGGCCTCTCCGACTATACGTACGCTGCATAGTAAAGCAGCACAAGGAGAGCGACAGGCAGCTCCAAAGTTGCAATAGCACCCAGAAGAGGAGTTTCTTCGCGTGGAGCCGAGAAAGAAACTGTCGGTCGTCGCTGAGTAGTTGTCGAAGGGGGACTGGTCTAATTCAGGATCAAACTCCCGCCCCGACGACTGCGCATCAATCCCGCCAAAGTAACGCCTAGTCACGGCCTCTCGGTCACTGCCTGGCGTGACGGTTCTCCTTGCTCTCATTCGCACCACACGCAGCGATGGAGTCCTGGCAATCACGCTTTGATTCCTTCAACAAGGGGAAAAGAGTGAAGAAAGGATCCTCGTCGACAACTCTCAGATGGCCACACCCTTCCTTGTTCCTCGCAAATCCAGAAACACTTGCAGAGGCAGGCTTCTACTTCACGCCCAGTGTCGGCAATCTCGATGCCGTGACATGCTTCATATGCAGGAAGGAGCTATCGGATTGGGAAGAGGGAGATGACCCCTTCGCAGAACACGTACGTCGAGGCAGCTCATGTTGCTGGGCGATTGCACGATGCGGGCTGAGGGACGACATGGACGAGGACGGAAAGTGCGTTGTACGCTTCTCTCTTCGCCTGTATCTGACTGTCTCATTTTTCAGCTTTGTGTTCCCAGACCCGGCCCGACTACCTTCTAGCAAGCTCATGGAGAAGGCGCGAGCGGATTCTTATGGTGCGAATTGGCCGCACGACACGGTGAAAGGGCATGGTGCAAACTCGAAGAAGGTATGACGCGTGGGTCCGGTTCCGAACGCGTTATAACGGTATTATTAACGCACATATATTGCTAGATGGCCAAGGCAGGCTTCATCTACAGTCCCCAGGGTCCAGAGGACGATACTGCAACGTGTTTCTACTGTGGTACATCGCTAAGTGGTTGGGATGAAGGCGACGACCCTCTGTGCGTGTCCTACCCATGCCGTTGATGCTCGTGCTAATCTATAATAGAGAGGAACATCGGAAACGAGAGGCCAAGGCTGGCCAGCCATGCCCCTTTCTCGCTTCAGCACAGCCCAAGCCCGTCGGCCGGCCGCCGACCCGTACACAAACCAAACCTTCATCTAAACAAACCACTGCCTCGAAAAAGAAGATGCCTACTCTCCAACAGGAAGATGAAGACTCGCCATTGTCGTCTGATGACCCATTAACCCCCGCAACCACGTCCAAATCCCGCGCATCCACGGCAAGCAAGACGAGAACATCTAGCGTACCCGCAAAGACGCCTGCTCAGAGCTTGCGCAAGTCTACTCGTTCCTCAACAGCTACGAAATCATCATCGCGAGGAACAGCTGGCTCCGAAAATGAGGACAACGCAAGTGGTAGTGAGGTTGGAAAACGCGTTTCAAAGACGAAGCGGAAAGGTGACAAGGAGAAAGAGTCAAATCGCATCGAGGTCATTCAAGAAGAGGAAGAAGGTGACCTTGGTGGTTTTGACACCGTTATGGAGCAAGAGCAAGAGCCAGTACCGGCACCCAAGAAGCGTGGGCGCCCGCCAAAGAAGGCTGCCGCGGCCAAGCCAGCTCGAAAGACACTTGCGGAGGAACAACCTGAGGACGAACAACCTGAGGATGAGGAAGAGAACGAACCTGCCGAGAGGGCGACACACGGTGGGACGCGTTCCAAGACCAAGGCGAACGTTGAAGACGAAATAGACTTGCTTGCAGAATCTTCGTCAAAGAGCAAATCTTCGACCAGACCCAAGACACGAAGTGCACCCGCGGCCGATAATAGCATGCCGCCACCCCCTGTACCGCCCAAGCGAGCCAGCTCGTCCAGGTCTGCCTCACGGCACGTCGCACCTGTCGAGGAGCCGGAGCCGGGGCTGGAGCCGAAGTCGAAGCGAACATTGATGTCAAAAGTGAAGGGGAAAGCGAATTCACGGATGGAGGAGTCTGATGATGAGCTCGCTGCGTCTCTCGAGGATGATGAAAGCATTCCTGCTCCGAAGAAACCTAAGCAATCGCCGATAGCGAGACCCCTTACTACGACGAACGGCACACCTGCTAGGCAGCCAGGAATGGATCAGCCCAAAGCCAGGTACCGCAACAGCAGTTCCACGTCAGATGATGCAGGTTATGCCACTGCAGAAGTCCTCGAACCAGGGACTATGCAAGTTGATCCTGAACCCGACGGTGTGCAGCTGGCTGAAGGTACCCGCAAACGCTCATCTTCCTCACTCAAACAGTCCGAAACACGAGACACAACTGCCGCACGTCCCAACGGCGCGTCATCTGATCAGCTTACGCGTGGAAGCTCTGTGGACAACAGACGACCTACGTCCCGGGCAGGTAGCGTTCGACCCTTTGCAAGGTCATCGTCACGGCCTGCCGGCAGCCTCGCGATACGTCCATCTTCAAAGATGGGTAACGAGATCGTCGATATCAGCGATTCGGATGACGAGTCTTTTGTCAAGGTTGCGTCAAAATTGTTGAAGACGACGAACGGAGTGGTGAAGGTGGAGAGAGATGAGGCGATGGCGGTCGACGAACCAGAGGCGGCCAAATCGATACCGGTGCCGCAGCCTTTCGCGCAACAGAAACTACCGAGCAAGGCACGCCAGAGTAAAGCCACAGGCAAGCTCCCGAAGTTCCAGGTCGAGATCGTCGTTCCACCGCCGCCGACCAGTACGCCCCCCGTCCAATCTGATGTGGAGATGGGGGACGATGTGGCAACGGTTCAGCGCGAGCCATCACCTCCTCAGCCGGTCGTCGAAGAGCCTGTGACGGGCCAACCCGCGGAGAGCGCCCTAGGCAAACGCACGAGCCCAGCGACACCTCCGCCGCGAACGCCATCACTGCCTCCTACCGATACTGAAGCACCGAAGCCGAAGAACAACGCTCCTGCGTTGCCGAGTTTCGACGAGGATATAGAAGCCGAAGCTAAGGCCGTGCGGCAGCCTGCGCTATCACAGACGGACGGCGAAGATACCTTTACGTCGTTCACACCGCTCCTGAGCATGCTTTCCCTCCAGCGAATCACGTCACTTACGGAGGAGGAGTGCGACATGACGCTCGAACAGTACATCCGCCGCGAGATTGAGCGCGAATACGAGCAACTCAAGGCCGACGGTGAGCGACGCATCGCACTGTTCCGCGAGAAGGCGACCGAGGCGCGTAGGGCCATTGAATCTGCGTGATTCATCGATTTCTCTCGGACGATTTGCTACCTGGACTTGCGCTTTGACACTGCTCTCATCACCACACTTTGTCTTGTTGTCTGTATTCACATGCCTTATCTGTATAGAAGCGTCGCAATCGCAAGTAATATGGTGTGATTATGTGTTATTATTTCAATTACGCTGCTCAGCAGCATTCTGAAGGACGTCTAGGGGTATAGGCAGGTACGGGGTATGTTTACACGGACCAGCCGAGTAGACTTTAAGCTAACATCGTCGCCAGGAAACGCTCTGCTGGGCTCTCCTGCAGCACAGAGAGCTTCCCGTCTCGGATCGCCAACTTTTCGCCAAAACCGCCGATAAAATGATCGTCCACCTCGGCAGCGATATCCGCCTTCCCCCTCTCTTCGTGAACTGGCTCGTCGCACAACGTGCTTCCGAGCGAGAAGAGCGTCGAAGACGACGACAGTACGTCGGACGGCGTGGACGGCGTGTCCACATCCCAGTCCGCGTCGGGGTCAGGGCTCCCGAACAGGTATCCGTCGTCGGGGAAGTGGTGGATGTCGTGGATGGCGATCTTGCTGCTGCTGCTGCCGAGCTCGGGCGTCGCGAGCTCGAGGATGCGAGGCGTGTACGCCGCGGCAGCACAGCGCGCGTTGGGGTTTGCGCACGCGACCTCGCCTGCGCTCATGAAGAGCGTCGGCATGCCGAGCACGCACGCGCGCAGCTCGGCGATGCTGATGCGCTCGGCGGGGTTGAACGTGAACACGCGGGCGAGGAGGGCGGCGCACGGCGCGGAGAGGGGCAGGAACGACGCGAGGGCGTCGGACGCGCCGAGGAGGAACGCGGCGAAGTGCGCGTCCTCGGTCGTCGCGCGCCGCCAGGGGTTGCGGCCCGTGAGCATGTTGCAGAGCACGACGCCGAGCGACCAGATGTCGCTCAGCTCGTTGTAGAACGAGCCGAAGCTGTGCTCTTCGCCGATGCACTCTGATGGGGAGGCTGGGTTTCAGCGCATGTTCTGCGACTGGTGCAGACAAGAGAAAACTCACCTGGACTCATATAATATGACGAGCCACAGGCATGGTTCGTGCTCAGCGCCTCATCCGTGGCGAGGCCGAAATCGCCGAGGTGTACCTTTGTGCCGTCCGCACTGACAAAGATGTTCTCAGGCTTCAGGTCACGATGGTACACCCCGAGATCGTGGCAAGCCTGGACGGCGTCTAGGATCTGCACGAAGGCGCGCTTCACCAGCTCGTCGTTCTGCGCGAAGATGTGGCGCTCGACGATCGCCGTGTAGAGATCGCCGCCCGGGCAGAAGTCGAGGATGAGGTAAATGTGCTCATCGTCCTCGACGACGGCGTGCAGCGGGAGAACGGCGGGGTGCGCGCCGGAGACGAGCTGGTGCAGCGTCGCCTCGCGCCGCTGGCACCGGCCCTCGGGCGTCCAGTCCGCCGCCTTGCGGAGCACCTTCACGGCGTACTCTCGCTCGGCAGAAGGGTGTGCGGACGACGATGAGGACGACGGGGAAGCGCCGTCTGACTCCAGACAGCGAGCAAGATATACGACACCATAAGCACCCTCGCCAAGGATCTCAGTGAGCTTGAGCTGAAGACGACCAGCGTCGACAGTCTTGCCCACCAAGTCCGAGATGGAAGGGCGAGAGATCTCAGAAAGCATAGTAAAGTCTCAAAGGCAAGATGTAGACTTTGAGGGATGGTGGATGGACAAAGTCAAGTGTTGTTGGCCTTCCCGAGCGCATATCCCTTCAATTTATGTCCTTTAGCCAGGCTCAGCGGATCGTCTCTTCTCGTATTACTGTTTGGCATGGTTTACCGTCTTCTCCTACCCGTCCCCGAGGGAGTGAGCATTAATGACCATTCAGTCTCGATAACAACGCGGAATAGCGGGACTCTCGTATTCCGCAAGCGGTCTCGATTCGAACGTTGAGGCTAGTCGCGACCAACAGTCTTCAGCCAGATCAATGCGTGGGAAGGCTGTGACGGGTTACCACCTGCCTAGAACGTGATGCTAGACCCTGTGAAGGCTCTTACGGCAGAGAATCATGATACCACTGCGCAAAAGAATTGCACGGGACGTGGCGAGGTGCATTGCCACCGCATTGTGGCGTCCCGACTTGCGATCATGATCGACGCCGGGTAGCGGGAACCCATATTCGGTATGCGTCGGCTCTGGACCCCAGTCGTCTGAACTCAGACGTCCCGTCCCTTGGGTGGCAATAGTGAAGGCCTTTCTATTCTATGATTACAGTGCTAAGATACACCCAGTGCATAATTCACCTCCTTATTAGCAAAAGCATATCAGTCAAAAATCTTGTCCATGATACGTCTGAAGATCCCTATTGGCGAGTGCGACCGCCAAAACCTCTTCTGTTGCTCCCGGCCGTCTGAGTGTGACGAACCCGAAGACGGCGTGCGCATGAAATCCCCAAACGACGGCATTGGCTGTGGCCGCGGCGGGCCAGCACGCCCCCTCGCCTCGGGCCGCACCCCGTCTTCCGGCACCTCGAGGCGCGGCCCCGGCGCGACGACAACCTCATCGTCGCTCTGGAGCACTGTCGTGTCTTTTCCTTCCTCCTTCTCCTTCTCCTGCTCCTGCAGATCAATCAGCCTGTGCGCGGCGTCCGCGACGTCGACGTCGAAGAGCGCGCCGAACGACTCGACCGAGTCGGTGCTGCCGCTCGAGACGACGGCGGCGTACGACTCGGCCGCCTGGCGCACGCACGCGTCCGCCTGCGCGAGCTCGGCGGGCGCGAGGAAGAAGGTGTCCGCGGCGAGCACCTTGGCGCGGAGCCCGGCGAGCGAGAGGCGCGTCTCGCTCGGGGCGAAGACGCCGGTGATAATGTCGTTGGCCGCGGCGCTGATCGGCAGCATGCGCCGCAGGAAGGACGGGTCGCAGACGTACGCCGCGAAGCACTCGTCCGCCGTCACCGCCCGCCGCCACGGGTTGTGCCCCGAGACCATGCTCGTGAAGATCACGCCGAGCGCCCAGACGTCGTTCGCGGCCGTGCGGTAGCTCGCGGCGCCCATCTCGGTGCCGATGCACTCTGGTGAGGGGAGGACGCATGAGTGGGGGCGGCTCTCCGACCGTCGATTGATGTGAAGGCTCACCTGGACTCATGTACCCCGCCGTGCCCGCCCCAAAGTTGCGGCTCGCGACGCTGCTCGTCGCGAGCCCAAAGTCGCCGAGCCGCACCTGCGTCCCGTCGCGGGAGCAGAAGAGGTTCTCGGGCTTGATGTCGCGGTGGAAGACGCCGCGGGCGTGGCAGTGCTGGACGGCGTCGATGAGCTGGCACATGGCGCGGCGGACGCGCGCGTCGTCGCGCACGAACGTCCCGCGCCGCGTCAGGAACTTGAACAGGTCGCCGCCCGCGCAGTAGTCGAGCACGAGGAAGACGTGCCCGCGCTCCTCGACGACGCGGTGCAGCGTCACGACGCCCGGGTGCGCCGAGACCCGGCGGTGCAGCTCGATCTCACGCCGCTGGAAGATGGCCTGGCGCGAGCCCGGTGCGCCCTTGACCATGCACTTGACGGCGTAAGGGGTCGACGAGCAGAGGTCGACGGCGCGGAAGACGACGCCGGTGGCGCCTTGGCCGACAGGGTCGATGAGCAAGAGGCGGCCGTCGTCTATGGTTTGGCCTGCGAGTGATTCGACGAGAGGTAAGTGGTTGGGCATGGTGTCAGCAATGAAATGAGTGGTGAGTGGTTGTGGTTGCAAAGTAAGTGTTAAGGATGCACCGATGGCTAAGAGACTCGCCTCTATATCCTGCGGATACGCAGCATACCGAACGCAATAGTCCCGCAGAGGTAGTGATCGCGGTATACCGTCGATCTGCATGCGAGCGATCGCAAGGTAGCGGCTGCGCTCAAAATGGTCAGTAGGCTCAGTATGGTGCTAACCGACCGTCGTACCGACGGTCGTCGCGATTGAAATCCCCTTCGCAGCGTTTCCGAGAGACGTTTACGAACGTCCTGCCTGGGGCCCTCGTCACTGACCCACTTGCCAGCGCCGGACTATGACCAGAAACAGGCAGAGAGCGGGAATCCCAATACAATTTGAGGCTATGCATTACGGAAGGACGAGACAGTTGCAGCAGGGCGCAAAGTTGCAAATCGCAGACAGACAGCATCACCAGCCAAGCTCGACCTCAGCCATGCGCAGAAAGCTTTCCTCGTTGATAGAGCTCGTCGTTAGATCGGGTGCATTCCAAGGGCCGCCAGTGCTGTTGATCGAGCACGTTGCTTATGAGCTGGAAGTTCGCATGATGTTTGCGCTCATTGATGATGCTTGATCGAGATTGTCAGCGTTTCACAGACACAAAGCTCAAACAACACACTCTGCGAGACTCGAGGCAAGTGCGGCGATATTCTCGGTATCGAGCGCGTTCGTGGGTTCGTCTAGGGCCAGGATACCGCAATTCTGGCCGAAGGAGTCTGCAAGTGCAAGTCGGATGATGATAGACGCCAGCATCTTCTGCCCTGCTGAGCAGCGTCCGCGCATGTCCATCCCCGCCTGATCCTTTGTCATAACGACCTATCATGCAAATTCAGAGAGACTGACTAGTTCAAGACAGCAAAGCCACTCACCCGATACTGGTGTGACCTTCTTTTCCCGGTGGTGTCCGAGTCCGAACAAATCTTGATACCATCGATGTCTACGAAGACTTCGGTGACACCGCGCCCAGGCGACCCTGCTCAGATACTCACCCGTCCCCTGGTATGTCTTGTTCCATAGGTGTCGCATGGTATCATTGACTTCCTCCATCTTTAAAGAGTGATACTTCATAATAGCACTATGACGTGTATGAGTATCCTCCGTCAGAGATAGGGTGCATTCACATACCTATCGAGAGCCTTGGCATACTTCTCTAGGTCATTGTTGGCCATGCCAGACAGCTGGTGAACATGGGAGCGTTCTGTAGCCTTGCCTATAGATAACTCCTCTCATACCTTGACTTTGATTAGCTTGTCCCGGTAGCGCCTATTGATGTCGTTGTAGTTCTCTTGAAGCTTGATTTGAAGAGATTCGAGTTCTTGGTTGTTCGTAGCTATCACTCCATCGAGGTAAGCGACCTGTGAGACAGTTAGCACATTCTCCAAGAGTAGATCATATTGGACGGTACCGTGTTCTGCAACCCGGTCTCCTCATCCTTCTCGGAGGGATACTTCTCATCGAAGAGATGCATCGCCTGCACCGCCTCCTTCATGTCGTACTTGTTGATCTCAGCTTGCATATTGGCGATGTCGTTGACGAGCTGCCTGGCGCGCAAGTTGTTGTGGAGGTTGGGCAGGGCAGCAGTACTTTCGTTAATTCCCTTTAAGATACTACTCGCCTCCTCGTCCGCCTCGGCCTGTTTGCGCTCCAGCTCCGCAATCTGGCTGTCGAGCTCTCTGATCTCGGTGGAGCACTCCTTGAGATGGCGGGCGCATTCGTCTTGGACATACTGCTCGATAGTGTGCGTGAGATCATCCAGTGTGTTGATACTGCTATCGACATCTTGGGCTGCGCTCCGGGCTAGCGCGAGTTTCTCGCTCAGTTTCTGGTCTGCAGCCTGGTGCTCTTGCTCTAGTTGCTCGATGACAGGATCCAAATCCGAGACTTTTGCGTCGAGCTCTCTGATAGTGTTGGCGGCGCTCTCGACGTCTTCCTTCATGCTCTTGATCCGGTCTTCCAGAGATGTTTTCTCGCGAAGCTTGCCCTTGAGGTTGGCTTGTTTCTTCTCGAGCTCATGCAACTCTTCCTTGCGCTCGGTCAATGCGCTGCTCTGGAGTTCCTTCTCGGCGGCGAAAGACCGCAGTTCTTGATCGATGCCGTCGCTGCAGGCCATATTGAGTATCGTCTGATGAAGGAGCAAGATCAGACATACATCTTAACCTTAAGGAGTTCGGCCTGGGCCTGCACTTCTTCCACAGTCTTCGTTGAGCCAGAGGCAAGGAGAGTCGTCTCCAGCCTATCGACGTCCAGCCTCAGTGTCGCCAACTCTCGTTGTATTTCAGAGATACTAGTGGCACTACGTTTTAGCTCATTAAGCTCGTTCATTTCTTTCGCTGCGTCGTTGACACGCTGAGTAGCCTAGAAAATTCGACTTAGCGACCTCGCGAAGTGCAAATCTGAGGTTTGCGCACCTCTTCGCCTACGATCCTCGCTCCGGAAAGTTCACCCTCTTTCTCCTTGATCTGTCTCTCTAACGCCGGAATATCAGTGTTCTTCAGCCTGTCGCGAGTTGTAGCCTTTTGTGAGGCACTCTGCAGTTGCTTCCATACGTGCTCCCACTCCGTCAACTCTCGCTCAAGATCTTGGATATTCTCCTGACTGGACTTCGCTACTTCTTCGTCGATCTAAGCGACAGAACAATTGAGCTAGCGGTTGCGGGAAGCACAAGTGAGCAAACTCACCTTGCGCTCAAAAACACGGAGCTCCTGGTTGTTCATGTTTCGATCACATAAGGGGCAGCATTTTCTCTCGTTGCCAGATTTCTTCAGCTCCTGTAACTTTGGACCTCCGCCTTTGGCCGAGGCAATCTCGCTGCAAACACTTTCAGCACTCTGATATACAAGTTCAGCGTGTCCTAAAGCTTACTTCCTCGCAGAAGCAGTCGCTTTTTCTGCTTCTGACAGGGCCTTATATGGGTCTGGAATGTTGAGCAAGCTGACTACAGCGTCCATGTCATCCTTGATCTGCATATCAAGCCCTGATAGTTCTCATGTCAATGAGTTCCAACACTAGCATCTACGACGACATACCTGCGATCTCCTCAGACTTCTCCTTGATTTGTGCTCGCAGCGACATGAGAGCGGTATCGATCGTTTGGACATCCTGGCTTGCGGCCCTGGCAGCGTCTATCAGCGTGGAAAGCTTCGCGTCCTTTTCTCTATGTGGCATTCAGCTCTCGAAACCACCGGGCTAAGAGTCCAAGATAACTTACATGGACACGCGGCTCAACTCTCGTTCCATCGTTCCAGGGACGGCATCAGAGCCAATAAATCTCTGGAATAAGGGATTGCTAGCCTCGAGCCTGGAAGGAGAATGTTAGCCAGCCCCATGGTGAAATCTTGAGATGATAGCGCAACACACGCTTTCTTGAGCTCAAACTCCTTACGCTGTTGTTGTTCACGCTTGAACTTCAACTCGCCTTGTTCAGACGATTGCTTAACAACGCTTGCAAGTTCAGCCTGGAGAGTGCCATGGTGTGCAGCACGCTCTTCTCTTTCCGCTGTCTTCTTGTTCATGCGCTCGTCGAACTTCGCTTCCCTGATGATCTCCTTCGCATGGTCGATGCTGTGCTGTGCTTTCTCGATGTCGGCCTCGACCGTCGCGTTCTCGGATGTAGCGCTCTCGAGATCACTAAAATCGCGCAGCTTTGCGCTTATCTGCTTGCGTAAGATCTCACTCCGATCTTGTGGATCCTTCTTGCGCCCCCTATAGCTCTCGCGTTCCGAGCGCAATTGTGTGAACCTCGTGTTGTATTCAGCGGACAAGCACTTTTGCTTGCTCTTTGAACTTTACATCAGCACTCAAGACGGGCGGGAGATCAGTGTCGAGAACATACTTGAAAGTCGGCAGATTCGGTGTGGAGACGTCGCTGTGTATCTTCGATGCGCATGATGAAATCTAGGATCCGTTCTTCATCAAGAGGGGTGCTCTCAAAGCCTCTCATGCTATATTTCGCCGCCAGATCCTTGATGAGCTGCTCGCGTTTTTCCAGTACAATGTCATGTGCCTGTGAATTAAGATTAGTGAAATTTATGTATGCCAAGCGGAAGATGAGAGCCCACTTTGGCTTGCGCAACGAGCTCTCCATGTTCATTGAGCTTTCCATCACGTATTGTCCTGGTGCGATCAAGTTCAGACTTCAGATTCTGGATATCATCGAGCCGAGCAGCTCTCTTTCGTTCTTGCTCGAAGACGTGAGCTTTAAAGCTGTTAAGCCTATCCTGTAACTCCCTGTCTGAGCCTATATCACTGCGAGTCAACAAGGGCAGAGTGTAGCGTGAGATGGTCAATCGTACCAGCCAGCTCTTGCAGGCTTCCCTTGAGATTGCCGAGCTCCTCTTCGTAACGCCTCTTGGTGGCGGTCAAACCGTCAACCTTTACGCAGATCTCACGGGATTTGGTGAAAGACTCGCAGAACTCCTGATTTGAGGCGACTTTCAGCGCATGTTTCTTCTCAGCCTCCTTATACTCGTGAGATTTCGCCGCAATAGACCTTGTCAGCTCCGAGAAGCGCGCCTTTAGCCCATCAGAGCGCGTTTTCTCGAGCCTAAGCGAGTCAAGCTGTTCTTTCTCAATCCTGAGTTCCTGAGCTTTTTTGTCGCGCAGAGACCTGATAGCGTCTAAAGCCTTAGTGTATCTGACCACTTCGGTCAATCCGGAGTCTGGCTATGATCGCGACGGAGAGATGTACTTGGTAGCCTCGAAGATGCCATCAAACTTCTTCTTCAAGACGGAAGACTCGGCTAACGGCCAGCAAGAGTCCTCCTGATGGCAAAAAATGACATTATCGAGAACAGCTTGGGAAACACCAAACAGCTGTGGAATCTCGACGTTCATCTCAGCGCATCTAGTCGAGATAGTAGCTCGCTACGCGTTGTCAGACATGACACAGCGGGTAACGTGTAACACACCCACCTTGCCAGTTCCCTCCGCACCCTTCGTACTCAAGATGCCCTCCAGGGAGGTAAAGTTCGACTTCAAAGCATCGACCCCGCCCGCGGTGATTTTGAGATTGCGAGTCGCTTCCATCACAGAATTGTTCGCAGCGGTAAACTGCAGCTTCACCTGTGCCTTCACCTCGTTCTCGTTGGCCAACTTGGGGTCGTGGACGAACGCGCCGCCGTTCGTGTTTGGCGGCTGTTTGCCAGTCGCCGCGTACTTCAGACATTCAATGATTGTAGTTTTTCCACTGCCATTGTGACCAACTACGACAGTAACAGGTGAGAAAAATTGGATAATTTGAACATCTTTGTCGTCGAAGGAGCGTATGCCGCGGATTGCGAGCTTGTTGAGGCTCGCCATGGCAGCCGTGGTCAGATATGGCCTCGGCGTGCCGTCGCGTAGCCGACATGGTCGTGACGTCTCGGCGTTTAAAGAAGTAAGCCTCGGTTCAGCTTGCTAAGCTTACTGCTTCCCTTATTCTAACACTTACAGCTGTACTCGAAAAGTAAGCAATCGCCATTTACCCGGTTTGGTTATGTAGCACCAGTCTTTGCTTAACTGATGACAGCGCGGTCACATGTTGCTATGTTATAGATTGGCGAGACAACTTTCAGTGAGGAGGGACACACGTTGAATAGTTCCCGTGCTCTTCCTCGGCCGGTCGTCGAAGACAGAAAAGAATACGACCATCCTATGGAATCGTAGCGTACATGGCGTCTCTTTAATATTTCCGGTATTACTACAAACCTAGCTTCCTTCCTTAAATATTTACACTCAGTGCTGATCCAGAGCCATGAGACTCCCGACAAAGGTCATGATCTGGAACACAAGTGTAAGCAGCCATAAGGAGACAGAGAGGTCGGAGAAACGGCTCACCAAGCGTGCACGAACATCGACGATATCCTCGGGCACTAGGAAAATAAGGGCGTTCGCCTTACGCGCGATTGAGATGGAAAGTTTCGCTGCACATATACAATGTCAGAGTTCCACTCGGTCACCCACGGTAAATGACACTTACCGTTCTGACGACGATCCTCATAGTCTCCGGCCTCGCTGACGTTGATAACAAGGCTCGGATCGACGATACCGGGCCGCAGTGCTTCGAGGAGGTCGAGCAGGAAGAGGCCGGTCGTGAGCGACGGGTCTTTGAACGAACGGATCGGCCGCGCCCCTGGCTTGCCCTTCTGCACAGTCGTGTTTGCCCACTTGAGGATGTCCTGGTCGCCGACTGGCCGGCCCTTGGCTGCCTGACTGAGCGTCTTCGTGATACTCATGCTGGAAAAGGAGATGAGGATAAGATGCAACGACAAAGTCGAGAAACCTACCGCATGAGCTGCCACACGAGACCGAGAACGAGCGTCCGCTGGGCGTCGACGATATCCGAGCCCTGCACACCGACGAGGTGCATGCCGTTCTGCTTGCCGAGCTCGGTCACATAGTTGCAGTTCTCGACCTGCTTGAAGCGCGAAAGGTTCGACTGGTTCGGCGTCACGCCGATCTCGACCTCTTCTTCCTCGCCATTCTCGTTGATGTACGTCTGCGGCTGCACGTCGACCGCGCCTGCCTTGGGCTTGTTGACGCGACGCCAGACGACGCTGCCGGGAAGAACTTTGTCGAATGCCTGCAGGATGGCGAGGCCGTCGCGCAGATTCTGAAACAGGTTGAACACTGCGGGCTCGACGCCGAGCGAGTTGAGCCAAAGAGTGAAGACACGCGCTTCGCGCTCGCCCTCGGCATCGAAATCCTCGACAATACCATAGTCCTTGGCCTCTTGCTCGTCAAGGGGCTCGAGACCGGGATGATTGTTGAAGAGGTTGGCGACGAACGCAAGGTTTAGACGGGGGTTGCCGGAGAGCAGGGAAGTAGGCGTCAAATACTTCCTGCAACCAATCCTGTCTGCATTTTGAAGCACCTGCAGTGATGTTAGCATCGAACTTCGAATATTGGGCCGCAACATACTTGTTCTGCGCGCGTCTTCAGGTCGCGGGTCTGGAGAGGGTCCCGAGAACACTGTTCGGGTTTGAGCTGATTTAGCAGGACAGTGTAGTTTTCACCATCGTTGACATCACGGCTGAAGTTGTTCACTCTATGCGGAACATGAGCATTCGGATGCGCGCGAGTATGTAAGAGTACTCACCTCCGCTTCCAGCCAGCAGCCTTTAAATGGTAGTTGAACCAACGAAGCAGAATCTGATCAGGAGTGAGCCTGAGCAGATCGTCGATAGTCTCGCCTTCCTCGCAAAGACGGTACAGCTCGGGGTGAATCTTGATATCAATCTGGCTGAGCAAACCCCTCCGGATGATCTGCCAGATGAGACCGAGGATGAGATGCTCCCGACCCTCCGCAAGGTCTGTCGAGCCGATGTTGACGACCGAACATCCAATGGCTTTCGAAGACGTGATAACGATATTATTGTTCTCTGTCATCTGAAACGCGTTCAAAGGCTTCTTGGGCGTTGGCTTGTTGAGCACACGGGCATCGATCGTTTCCGGCACTGAGTCGTTAATGAGCTTGGAGAGAATGAGACCATCTTTGCACTCGTCAAAGATCTGGAAAGTATCTGTGGGGATGGGGACGCGGTTTCCAACATCTGGGTCGCCCTCGAGGACAGAGTTGATGTGATGAGTGAACTCGCGTCGCTCATCCTCGTTGATGGTGTGTGCGACATTTGCGTTCGAGCCCTGGACGGTGACCTTGCCAGCCTTCGAGGGCAGTGCCGTCGGTGGTGCTTGTTGCTTCAGCTTCACGTTGAGCTAGAACCGAGTACTTGTGAGACCCCTTTCCGAGGATGCGCGAGCGGTGCAGACATACTTCAACCCAGTCCTCTAGCTCGACCTTTCCACTAGCATCGACACTGACGTGCTTGAGAGTCTCTCGCGCGCGGTCATAGGACTCTCCGCTCGACTGCAGAACCTGCAAGACGTTGCTCTTGTCGACACGTCCTGGGGTATCTGTAGATATCGCACTGGACCCTCGTCAGTCTCACTATCAGGCTCTGTGGCAGAACATACACACTTGAACCGATTGATGAGGTCGAACAGCTCATCCTGCGAGACCTCGGGGTACTTTTTGCGTAGACGAAGGGCCTCCATGGTGGTGGGGTGTTAGAGAGTAGAGGGGGATATTGTAAGGGTTATGGGTCAATGGTGACGTCGACTTTCCGAATTTATACTCTTGTGTGACCGCCGCCCGCTCTGGCTGCGTATGGCGATGAAACAAATCTTCACCATAGAATACGCAGCTCGCCTGCGCTCATCCTCGGCATGCCAAGGGCCAGCGGCAGCGAAGGTACACCTGAGGCTGAAAATCTCTCTTGGCTTTCCTCGTCACGTTCCCATTGGGCCTTATAGGCGAGGTTTGCTGGACCCGCGCTCAACGTTGGCAGGTTCAGCTGGCAGCAAGCTACAGCGCATGCACCTTCTAAAATCGTTCGCTAGGACGATCCTGCAGGCTACGAATATACGCATATACAAAACGCTGCATCGTTGCTAGCAAAGCTGTTGGTGCAAGTCAAAGGTAGAGGCAGGAAGAGAATGAGTGTTAAATGACCACTCGCGAAGCCAACTTTATTGTGCTTGAGCCCCTCCCGCAACGTTACGTCAACCAGCCACCGATACCTGCCTAACTAGGTTATTTGCCGCCACGATTGTCAGCCAAACGTCCATAGCAAGCTCAGTACGACATAGCACCGTCAGAGAAGAGACGTATCATATTCAGCTGCCCTCGCAGAGACGTGGCTATAGATCAATCCTCCACCTCGAGAAGCTCGTATGCCCGTCCTCGCCTTTGCAAGCAGCTCTCCACGAGCTTCATCCCTTCCAAGACTTTCTCCTCCTCAAGGCGCCTGCCGACGACCTGCACGCCCACTGGGAGACCGTGCATCTTGTCTGCGTTGTACATCCTGTACTGCTTGGCTTCGAGATGATTCTTCGGCTTGAAGTTCCGCAGCGTGTCCTTTGTGCGGTCGACCTTGGTGACCGGAAGCACGCCTGCGGAGTAGTCAAGCTGCGTATATGTCGTTAACAAATTACTCCGCCCCGCAGCTCCAAACATAAATCACTCACAAGGTTAAACAAGAACGTATACCCGCAAGCCGTCCATCCATATCTCATGCCTCCGTGCGGCACCGCGGGAAGTGAGTTCGGGACAGTCAGCACAAAGTCGAGGTTGTTCTCGTTCCACATGTCGAACCATTTTTCACGGTAAGCCTCGCGCCGCGAGACGAGCGCGAAGTACTCCTCCACCGTCTTCTCGCGCCAGACGTCGACCAAGTCTGCGTACACTGCATCTCGCCGGATGTAGCGCCAATACCAGGCGTAGAGCTTCCGGAAGATGCCTGGGAGACGCAGTACGCGGAGTGCTTCGACGACGCCATCGTCCATCCATTCGCTACGCCGCACGGGTTTCGTGACAGCCTTCCCGGCATCAGCGAATAACAGTTGGCCGGCAACTGAGAGCGCATTCGCTGTGTCTGGAGGAGTGCTGAGGAAAGTTAGGTGTCTCTTATTATGCATGTGGCGGGACTGGCGCTTACATTAGGACGATCTCATGGCCGTCGGACCTCAGCGCAGACACGACTTTCTCCAAGGCTCGCCGACAAGCCGGACTGGGCTCAACGACACCTGCGGATGTCGTCAATGATTGTTGGAAAGGAATCGGCCGTCACCAACCATCTGTCCACATAACACCGAACCTCAACCTGGTCTTCTCCGATGGGAACAAGTCTATCTCTCTCCATGGGAGCGGTACGCACTAACCACGTAACTGAGCATTTCCTTCCAGCAAGAAAAGGACTGCGTACCGAGTGATCGTATGCCCATGGCTTCATGCTTACTATTGCTCGCCACATCATCTCCAAATCCGCAAGAGTGCGCGTCATGGGCGAGTACACAGCAGGTATACCGATCTGTCCCGGGATACTTGTGCCATTTCCTGTCTTCGGGAATCTGTGCATAGATGCTTTAATGGTGTAAACTCCTGAGTAATGTCTGGTAGAGTCGAAGTAATCAGTAGTCGAAACTTTTATGGTGCACTGGGGACTTACGCAGGAGTGCGTACGGAGCCAGCAACATCTGTGCCAATACCCAACCGAGAGCCACCATACGCAAGCAGTGCAGCTTCACCGCCAGAGGAGCCGCCTGACGCGTGATCTTTGTTATGCGGGTTTACGCATCGTCCGAACACGTCGTTCGCTGACTCAAACGATAGGAGCGATATGGGGACATTCGTCTTCACGAAAGGCACAGCACCAGCATCTCTCAGCAGTCTCACAAGACCCGAATCCTTCTGCACCGGCTTGCCGACCCACGCGCTGTACCCAATACACGCGTCCCAGCCCGCGACGCCCGTGGTGTCCTTTAGACTGACGGGCATTCCCGCCAGCGGGCCTTGGCGATTGCATGTCTTCGCCCAGCTCTCGGCCTCAGGCAAGAGCACTTCGGTAAGGCAGTTCGTCGCGTCGTGCGCCTTGAAGGCCTTCTTCGCGTATGCCCGGAGAATTTCGAGCGGGTCAGCGGCACCGGACTGCACCTGCTTGACCGTCTCGGACGCGAGCTGATTGACGATGTTCTTCTCAGAGGCGGTCAATGGGGTGTGGTACTCTGGCGGAAGATCCTCGATGCGCTTGCGTCGTTCTTCTTGCTTGGCGGCGCTGTAACTTCAGTGAGTGTCGATATGCGACGCTTTCGAAGCTCGCACGCACCATGCACGCTTATGAGCCCTACTTTCGAAGAACATCAGGTCGCTTGCTCGTGGCTGCTCCCGCTCAGGTCGAAGGTGACACACGAGGGCACGATTTGTCGGACTGAGCAGACTCTTGTATATGCCGGCCCCGGCGATGATAACCTCCGTTCCACTTGTCCCATGATCAACCAGCCCATGCCACCAGTATTCCGAACCAAAGCGGCAGCTACACGCTCGAAGATAACGGGCTTTATCAGAAGCCAACGTCCAGTCTGAGCATCATGACGTTCAATGCGCAGGGTTGCACAAGGCTTCGCAGGATATACATACACCGGTACCGGCACAATTCAGCTTGAGGAATATTCAAGATGCTGAATTCCACGGTCCTGCAAGATCCAGTCGCTGCAGCTGGCGGGCCAAGGCAGATCGGGTAAGCGCCTTCTGCCGTGAGTAGGGTGTAAGCAGCTGGGGTGAAGAGAGCATTGGGCAGAAGTGCGGCGCGGTACGGCCTGAACGCAAATTGGGGGCGCATCAGTTCCGGGCGCATCACCCCGCACTGTACGGCGCTCGGATCATAGAACTCTGAATCTGTTGAGCTCCAGTCTCAATCGTCTGGCTGTGTACTACCAGTGATCCCTCTTTCAACCAACCGACATGTATGAGCTGCCTGGGCACCTCCGGAATGGCTCATCTCTGAATATTAATGGTAAGTTTGCTTTACTGCGGTTCTCAGCCAGATACCTCGAGCTCCGAAAATCTCTTAGTAAACTCATGTAATGACCATTATTGCTCTATATGGCAAACTATGTAGGCAAAACGAAACAAGTGTCTCAGGTGGGACAGTGCCTAGTGTTTTGCGTTATTTTTGAGCCTAAGCTTTGGTGACAGTGATTGTTAGTCACTGAAGTACTGACGAGGGATCCGGGAGGGGTCATCGCCCACATATGCATAAGTAGCTAGCTACACGCACATGCTCAAGAAGAAAGAGATGGCGGGAGGAACGGCTCCGAGACAGAAGGTAACCGCGGCTTCCAGACTGGGGAATCAATATTCGAATCACAGAACAGGACTAGGAACGGGATCTCAGAGCTGGCCGACATGAGTCTACGTGAGTACGTCAGACCATACGACGCCGCTCATCGGGCCATCATAGCCGGACCAGCCCCAATATCAAGTACTGCAGGTGGGACTCAGTTATCTAACTTGTTTCATCGCCGGACGGTGCAAAGTTATAAGTACCCGAGTCGTTTACTGCGAGGCACGTTGCGAGATATCCCACTTTTCCCTCTGTCTATCCGCTACAACTACACTGAAGAATGCCGCCGAAGTCGCTGGTGTGGTTTATAACAGGTACACAGGCTGAACATACGCGGCTAGCTCACAGGTTCCATCTCATGTTCTGCTAGGTACATCCACGGGCCTTGGGAAAGCCCTCGCGGAGGTAGTCCTTTCTCGCGGCGACCGTGTCATTGCGACGGCACGCTCGCTGGACACGATCAAGCATCTCGAGTCTCCCAGCTGCAAGACGCTGCAGCTCGATATCACCGACAGCTTTGATGCGATACAGGCAAAGGTGAAAGAAGGGTTCGATGTTTGGGACAGAGTAGATGTTCTCGTGAACAACGCAGGCCTTGGCTCCTTAGGCATCACAGAGGAAATGGGGTGAGTGGCCTGTATGCACTAAGCTATAAGTATATTCTGACGGCCGCTGCAGGGCAACTGGATACATGAAGGCGTTCAACATCAACCTCTTTGCAGCTATGAATATAACGATAGCGATCTTACCGTTCCTGAGGGAACAGAAGTCGGGAACAATTGTGCTCATGGGAAGCAGGCATGCCTGGAAATGTCAGTTCCCAGTAAGTCGTCATTCAAGTACACACGATCAGTATACCTAACTTCAAATAGTACATCGGTGAGACAGCCACTTTCGTGAAGAATCACGACACTGTTCAACGTCAGATGAAAATCAGGCGCATATGCCTCGTCGAAGGCAGCAATACACGCTTGGGGCGAATGCCTCTCGACCGAGGTGAAGCCCTTCGGCATCCACGTGCTCATTGCGCAACCCGGCGCACACCGCACGGGCATCATTGCCACTGCGCAGGCGCATTGGCTCGGCGGAGACACAATTGAAGACTACGACTCTATGCGGGAAGCCGCGGCGAAGCGGTTCAGAAACCAGCACGGCAAGCAGCCAAACGACTCCATGAAGTCTATGTCCGTCCTCGCTGATGTCGTGCGCGGCGAGGGTCCCGCCAAGGGGAAGCAGATGCCACTGTGGCTGGTACTCGGAAAGGATGCGGAGGAGGACCTACGAGCGAATGTCCAGCAGCGTCTGGAGAATCTTGACGAGTGGAAGGACGTCACCAGGAACGTGGTCGTAGACTCAGATGACGCTGTACTCATCTAGCTATGTCCATGTCGGCGCCGGTATGGTTGACGCAGTGTAGCTTGTTGTTAAGTACGAGGCTGCCGTTAGTCACCAATCAGATGTTGCGATAGTAGAGACAATTGATGCCGGAAAGTTATGGTACAGAAAATACAACACCAGAGATGTCTAGCCGGTAATGTACTCATGAGACTGCGCGTCCATACATAATGATAGGGGAGTGAATTGCGAAAAGTGCTGGCGAGTATCCATCATGAATCAAATGTGAGGCGCCAGAGAAACGCTAAACTTACAAAATATGAAAGTCCGTTTAGATACCCAACTTGTCCGACACCTTCATCGAGCGCAATACAGGTATGACCTCGTGCACATCCTGCGGCTCCCATACATCGCCGACGATACGATGTGCGATAACGAAACAGCCGCTTTTCATTTCGTCTTCACCGACACTGTCTCCTTCCACGCCAAGACTCTCCAAGGAGCGTATGCTGGGAGATGACAGTGTGGGCGTAGACGCAGCTGAAACACGACCCGAGCTCTCTGAGTGTGCGGGAGAGAACGCTTCGAGCGAGGATATGCTGCGACGGATAGTGAGGTGCTTTATCCGCTTGAAGCCCCGGGTGAGTGAGTCTGCGCAAGCGGACGATGGAGCATCGACTGCAGCCTTCGCCTTCGCTTTCGTCTTCGGCCTCAGTCTCTGGGTACCTCGAAGGGTTACGAAACTAGAAGCCAGCCCTGGGCTCGCACCCATGAGCGAATATGGCTCGAAATTATCGGAATCATAAAGAGTAGTACGCGTCTCTGAGCGAGGGGCATCGGGAGACGGGCTTGAGGCGATGGTGTGCCTAGCGACTGTCGAGGAAGATTCCACGAACGGATCAGGTCGTAGCCACGCAGCAGATGACGGGCGAAGATGGAATTTGGCAGTTGAACCGTACTCCGGTTCGTCGGGATTAGGTTCGGCGAAAATCATTTTTTCGCTGCAGCGATCATCGCAAACGGACATTGAAGATGATGAGGTCGCCAATGTGGACATCAGAGGCAAGATGGGAGCGCACTCGGCGACGCGCTGGGAAAGCGGGAGTGAAGAGGATCGTGGTGGAATATGCTGGTCCCAGAACCCACGCTGTGGATTAAGTGTGTAGCGGGACGACAGCAGGTCGCAGCTCGGAGAGGGGCTTTCGCGTGAGAGCCCCAGAGCAGCGATGCTGGTTTTTGTAGATGCAGCATGGGAGGCACTACAGCGTGGCAGAGTCGCAGGACGTCTTGATGTTGATGGAGCGGATATGCTTCTATCATCCCCTTGATTCAAATGTCTCCCAGGCTGAGGGTGAGCAATAAATATCAACGGGCTGCAAGGATGGTTCGATGAGTCCTCATTGTCCGAAAGCTGTGCGTCCTTCCATGTCTGTTCATCATCATAGTTTAGATCGAGCATCGGGATGGCCTTGCGGCGGCGCGAGACCGAACACCGTGGACTTTCATCCGAGATAGAAAGGGAGTATGTCGTCATTCGGGAGCTTGTGCAGGTGGGGTGGCATTCTGGGAAGGATGCAACGGGAAGTGGGGACATTAGCTGTGGTGTACTGGTACAGCTGAATTAATTGAGTGAGTATCAGAGAGAGCGATAGAACGAAAGGATGCGGAGCGAGAAACCAACGAATAGACCTCAAACCTTGCCAGCAGCCACGCTATATACGCTGTAGGGCAAGACCTGGGAAGCGATGCATTCTCGCAGTGACCACCATCACTTGCCAGGACGGGTATGAGCGAACGGGGCGTTGGTGGGCTGTGGCACATCATTGATATTTCTCGCGTTTCGAGGACCGTGACAGCTATTTGCAGACAGAAGTAGGGAAGCCAGTCGACGTTGACGATTGAGCTGCGCGGGCGCAGATCGATCTCCTCGCTACGAGGTTCAGCAACGGGGAACAGGGCAATTTCATCATTCCTTTAAGCACTATCACCGGACATAAATCCAGAGAGAGACATCATACTAACGGCCCGGACTCACCTTATAGAGTGTGCCGGACATGTCTAAACTCCTGCCTTCCGTGATGTCGGCATGAATTAAGGCTGTCCAGACGGAGAGACACATAAGAGGTGAAAACCCTAGTGCTCCCAACACCTCATGTTTCTGCGAGATTACTCAGCAAGTATCGCAACGCTTAGCTTCTGCAGCAGCATGAGGCAGGACAAATGGCGTGGATTCGGAAACATCGAGTCACCTCCCGCACGCGTGACAGAGATGTCTGAGAGTCTGTGACGATGATGTGACATTTTTGTGACATGAGTGTCACGAGTGCCTTCTGGACGTTGCTCAGGCGGCCATGCTTGTTCGCATCGCCGTCGCCGTCTCTGTCGCTTTCGCCGTCTCTGTTGCTCTCCCCGTAGTCGATTGTCTTCGCTCTTTTGACACTTCACAATGTCAGCGACACCGGCACCTACAAACTCCAATTCTCAAAATCAGAACCAGCAGGGCTCGTCTTCTGCATCCCAGTCGGGGTCAGGAAGTGGCTCGTTGCAGGCGTCGACGAGCACAATCAGCATCCCGCAGACTGCCCCTGCAGGTGGTCTTACCATTACTCAACCCCCGCAGACACAGACGTCGTACTTCAAGATCGCACCGAGCGACACTATCACTTTCGCTTGGAACTTCACATATCTGCTATCGACGCCCACCCACCTCACTGTCTCCGCCGTTTGCGATAACGGCAATACCTACCCCGTTGGTCCCACGGACGGTGTCATTCCCGGCTCTGCGACATCTGTGACATGGGACGTCTGGTCATACCAGCAGGCGCACCCTAACACTCCCCTTGCCCAGGCAACGTATACTCTACATATCTGGGACGATCGTGGGCCGGGCGCGCCGCGCGAGCCAGGCCTGTTCACAGAGAATGACGCATTGCAGTTTGCGATGTACTCACCGCAGGCGTACACACCATTAGCCAGTGCGTAACTTCCTTCTTCTCAGGAAAGCTTGGACCCGGCTGATCCGTTTATATAAATAGGCTGGACATGTGGAGGCTGCAACAACGGCGCATGGTCGTCGTATGTCGCGCACCCGGCCTTCGTCAGCCTTGCTGTGACCTTTGTTGTTATGTTCCTCTCCGGCTACTCTCTCCTGCGACAAGTGTTCCGCGACTGATCACACCATCCTCTTCATCGCCTCATTCGATACTTCTGCTGAAGTGTATCCAAGAGACTTGGCTTACTGGGTAGTAGAAGATGGAAGATGGTTGTTTAGATGGACTTGGGACTTTACAGGCACTCATGATATCTCTCTCTCTCTCGCATAACGTACACTCATGTTGACACTCCGGACTTCTTCTCTCCTCATAGTAACCTCGGGTCTCCTATATTCTAATTGGTCTTACAGTATTAGCAGTTGTACATCGGACGCTATCTCCGCTCTCGCACTTTCGTTCCTGTTACGCATAGGTGTTTCACACTTCTGGGTGCAACGGTGTCGCTTCCAAGCAAGACAACCTGAATGCTGCACTTTGCTTGAAGATTCACCCCTATCCGTGGGGTCGAGCTGGGAGGACTGCTATCGCTGCTGACCTTACTCAGTGTGAAAAAGATATGGTTTAGAGTGGTGCTCAGCGCTCAGCTTTTGAGTTCTTGACAGTCTGCCACTGCTGAAATGGGTGAGCGTCGTGTGATTGGACTTTGTTCTGGGCTCAAGCTGTGAGAATCTTAGTCCGTAGTGCAATCACCATTGCACCATGGTTTGAACTCGATGGTGCATTGAAACAACATATACGAAACTTTTTGTGCTCCTTGGTGCGGAATACCATTATCAACAACTAATTGACTGAAGCAGCTGCGCGAGCACGCGTACTGTAAGTCCAGCGCATAGCCAAACCTAGCCAAACCGTCGGGCAAAAATATCCGAGACTCTCACTCGAGTAAAGGCGGTGATGGCGACAGCTTGCACGTGATGTCGCTATATGGCAAGAGGTTGCGTGGGCTCGCCATCCCAGTCCTTCTTCAACAGAAGTGCCAACGAGGTGGTGAGGACAGAACCTGTTTCTGTTTTCTACCCATGTATCGCATATACTATAGGATACGCGGAAGACGAGCAGTTCTTGATCAACAGTACTTGAGGCGGCGCCGGCAGCAATGCCTACCCAGAAAGTGTCTTGATTCTTGGGACACCAGACCGCCGCCTCTCGCGCCACGCTGGCCATCGGTACGCTGCATCATTCTTCTTATGCACGCGAGGAGCTGAGGTGAATCTGTTAGCTTCCACGCCCACGGCACCGCACTAGTTCCAATACGTGATGTTTGCAAGTAAGTTACCCGAACCTGTGTGGGGAGCCAATCGCTCCGCTGAGTCTGAGACCAGCACAAACATGACTATCGCCATGGTCTTGTCTCGCTAATGCTTAAAACGTTTGCTTGGAGGTTTCAGAGACTCTCATCGGTATCACCGGCTTCAAGATGACAAAGTACCGCTCGACCTGGAGAGACGTCATCTCGATCTGGTTCAAGCTGATTTGGAGGCCTCAGCTACTTGGTATTCTCTGCTTTGAAGCTCTCGTTTTCGGCTTCAGCTTTGGCATGAATGTGGGCTCTATCCCAGTTTCGCTGTTTGCACTTCTGACTTCCGGCCGTAGACAACGAACGCCGTCTTCCTCGGCTCACCCCCGCCCGTCGGCTATGGCTTCGAACCATTTGCCATCGCTGGAAGCTATGCTACACCTATTGTAAGACGCTACACACGCTGCACCTCGATGTGAAACTGACAAACTGCGCAGGTGGCAGTCCTCATTGGCGAGCTCTTGGGTCGATTCTTTAACGACTGGGTCATGAACCTTTCGATTCGCAGGAATGAGGGTGTCTTCGAGGCTGAGGCCCGTCTTTGGTATGCATGAGTGGAATCAGCGCGTAAGGACCAGCAGCTGACAGCTGTACCAATAGGACTTGTTACATCGCCGTTCCACTCTACATCTGCGGCTTCGTCGTCCTCGGTGTCTCGTTTCAAAAGCACCTGAGTGTCGGTGCGCTCGTGATGGGATGGGGCATCGCTGAAGCGGCCGCCATGATCAATACTGTCGCCGTCTGTGAGTGGTCCTGCCAACTCGTCCCGCGTGCCTTGCGGCTGATCTAAAGTTCCACAGATGCCTACGTGAACGACTGCTTCCCGACCCTGCAAGGAGAGATCTCTGCGCTAGTCAACCTCTTCCGAACACTCGGCGGCTTCAGTGTCGCATTCTTCCAGGTGCCGTGGGCAACCAAGAATGGCGCATTGCAGACATTCGGTGTCGAAGCCGCCATCGTTGCGGCTCTGTTCTTGTTGGTTGTCCCTGCCCTGCAATTGAAGGGCAGAGAACTCAGGGTACGCACCGGAGTCTCCGGGCCTTCGAATTGTGCGCTGATGTTGCATTTTCTGGTAGAAACGATTCTCATTCTGATAGTGCTTCATGAGCAGTTTCTTACGATTGTTACGCGTATATATGTATCCGTCATGATGTGTTTATGTTATCCAGAGATGACCTTGCACATATGATCAATACTACAACTTACGGAGAGGGTGCGCGAGAAGACGACGAAACAAGAGCAATTTGATCTGGAATAGGGACAGCGCAGCAACGGACAAGTCAAAGCGGGTGAATAAGTTAAAAGTGACAAGGTTCATGTTGTAGTATCTGAGGCGCCGGATGCGCATCAGCCGCGCCGGTAGGGATACCGACATGACGCGCTTAGGTCGTCATGCCCAATATGGATCTGTCATGCCCGTTTTAGATATGACCCGCGCAGAGCACTCTCGGCTCTGCGCCCTCGTTATGCTTCCTCTATAGTCTCAGCTTCCTAAGGTACATTTTATTGGTCTGACCAGATTAGGAAGTAGATAACCTATATAAGAACATGTAGTATTATTTTTGGAATTTATCCTTGATTACTCGTGAATCCCCCGCCTGCGCGAAGTCTTTCACAACAGGTTATGAGCCCCGCGCTCTAATCATCGGTCACCGACATCACCTGCAGGGTCAACGCGACCCTTTCCCACTGTTGATCAAACCTTGATCGACCCTGTGATACCACGTCCAGAACGAACTCTATCTAGGCGCCGCCGTAGACTGTTGTTCTCGAGAGTATGGACAGTTCCCCAAAGATCGAAGCCCTGAAGGGCACGGAGAACTACTTTTCCTGGAACATTCAAATCCAAGACGTTCTCACACTCGCTTCGCTGTTAGAATATCCCAAGGGTACGAAGACCCTACCTGCTGATGCGGCTCTGGCAGCCGATTGGCAGACGAAAGACCGGAAGGCATTAAGCGCCATCCGCCTCCGGTGCGCCCCCGCCGTCGTCGTTCACATCGCCGACTGTACCACCTCGAAGGACGCGTGGGAAACACTCACGAATACGTTTGCCAACTCCGGTATGATGTCGAGGGTCACGGTGATGAGGAGACTGCAGAAGACGCAGATAGGGGAGGAGGCGAATAT